AACAACAACAACAACAACAACAACAACAACAACAACAACAACAACAACAACAACAACAACAACAACAACAACAACAACAACAACAACACACCAGCCGCAGGCCCCGCCAGCTCCCAAGCCCAACGCAAAGGCAAACACCCACAACAGCAGACCTACATCTCCGAAGAAACCATCGAAACCGCCCTCCTCCACCTCCAAGTGCTGCACAACCTGCTCATCCACCACACCACCATCCCCCTCGAGACGGCCCGCTGGATCGCCGTCTTTACACAGCACATTAGCACGGTCCCCTACCGCCGGCAACGCGACGCGGCCACCGACGCCGCCGCCAGCTTCTGCATGGAGACGGGCCAAGTGCGCACGGGCGACGGCCCCCGCGACACGTACGTGCGCATGCTGCAGGAGATTGGCCGGCTGACGGCGCCCATCGCCTACGGGATCGCGGCCGAGTTTGGGACCGTCGCGGGACTCGTTAGGGCGCTGGAGGAGGGCGGGCCGCTTCGCTTGGAGAAGGTGCGCAAGAGCGTGAATAAGGAGGGGGAGGTTGGGGAGCGGACCATCGGGCAGGCGGTTAGTAGGAGAGTTTACAAGATCTTTACGGGGAGGGATGAGACTAGTACGGAGATATAGGGCTGGACAGGCGGGAGGGTTCAGACATTATGGAGGCCCGATTTGTACGATGTTCAGTTCTAGCGTTTATTAAGTCTTTGTAGAACATGTGGTTATTCGTGCTTGGATATGGCATGAATCCAGCTGTGATGTCATCGTCACTACAGCTAAGTTGCGTCCCATCTATCTACCATGTAAAAAAAAGCAACCTGGTAACTGATATCACCGGCCTCCTATCTATTCATGACTTGCCTCCAGATGCTCCAGCAAATTCGGTGCAGTAAGCCTTCATCCGGAAAGTGAAGGCTCCTCATGTGTTTGAGAACCGCCATCGTTGAGAATAGCCGCCGCTCCCTCTTGCACCCCGCGCCCTCTAGAGAATAACAACATTGGGGACATAACCGGGCCCGCTTACTTCCCCCCAAGCAGCACCTCCAAAGCACCCACCACGGCCTGCACCACCTCCGCCGACCGACTTTTCTTTGCACACTCAGTCAACGCTTCCACCACCCCGGCAGCAAGCAGTTTCTCCCTCGCCAGCCTGCCCACCTCTCCCTCATGTAAGATCATATTCTGCACCACCACCGCGCCGCGATGCCTCAACCCCTCGCTCTCATCCCGACATAAACCCAATACGATCCCAGCGCCCCTCGCATGCGCCAGGATCCCGCGCACGACCGCGGGGTCAAACCCCGTCAGGCTCGCCAGCGCCCCGCCCGCGGCGCTCCGCGTCTTGTCATCCTCGGCGTCGGCCAGCGCCAGCACAACCTTGATCCTGTTCTCTGCGCGGGTGGTGCCGTCGCCAAAGAGCGAGTTGGCCTGCTCGGGCGACTGGACTAGATTGCAGACCAGCTCGATGGCGGCCGTCGACACGCGGGGGTTGCTGTTGAAGAGCTGCTCCTCGATGTCATCCCAGGCGGCGCGGACGATGGTGGCGCGGGTGTCGTTGTCGGTGGAGGCGAGGTTGGTCAGGGCCAAGAGGGATTCGAAGGTCGGGAGGAGGTCGCGCGTTTCTGCGTTGGGATCTGGCGCGATGATGGATGCGAGGGGGCGGATCGCTGAGTTTTGCGGCGTCTGGCGGAAGACAAGGGCCGGGTTGGTCGAGATGAGGATGCGGGCAAGGGCTTGGGCTGCTGTGCGACGGGTTTTGTCTTCTGTCTGGGGAAGTGCCGTCCAGGCTGCGATGAGCAGGCGGACGGCGCCCTGCTGAGCCAGTTGGCCGCGGAGGGAGGGTGTCATTGAAAGTGAGCAGATAATGGAGATGATGAGTGATAGTGATGCGGTCGAGCCTTGCTTGCTATGTGTGACGAGAACCGGGGTGATGCCGGCTTCGAAGACACGCTTGCAGCGCTCCGCCACATGCGCGTCGTCGTTCAGGGGGTCGGGTTGCAGCTTCACGGCGGCACTCGCGTATGCCTTGAGCTCCTTGAGCCGCTTCTGCTCCTCGGTTTCGACGGGCTGGTACCTAGTCAAGTTAACGAAGATGCTGAGAGCGCCGTAGGTGAGTGATGATTTCGGAGGGGCCGCCTCCAGTGTCTTGACGAGTCGCTTCAGCGACTCCTTGTCTCGAGCCAGATCCTCCTTGACTTTCGACTGAATAGTTGCGTACGCTAGCCCTTCCACCGATGATGAGGCATGTTCGGGACCCTCGACGAGCATCTTGGTGAACCTGTTGGACAGGTCCTCGATGCTGGTTGTTGCCGACTGTATTCTAGGCTCAGGGTCTTGGTTTAATTGGTTGCCTGCTGATAGTATTGGAACTGCCTTCAAGCCCATGTCAGCCAGACATCATCAGCCAAGGACAGCAGGTTCGGATGTGGGGAGGGCAGAGAGGTGATGGCTAACCCTGAGCTTGGCCAGAACCACTGCGGCGAGGTTCTGGACATGTTGCGAGTGCCGTCTCATGGAGATGGACCCCTCCTGCTCGCGTAGGTCGGGGTCGGCGGAATGTATGGCTTTCATGGCGTCCTCGGGGTCTTGGTCCACGATTTCCTCCAGCCAGTCCACGCAGTACTTCTGGACAGCCTCTCGACATTGAGAATGCATGCAGGCGGCGTTGAGCATCTCCAGACAGGCCGTCTCAACCTTTCTGCTCTTCCACTTCCGCCTCATAAGCGGGCCAAGAGTGCAGAGGAAGCCCTCGCTGAGGAACAGCTCCGAAGTGAGATCAGGCACAATGGGGAAGATGGTGGAAGCAACGCAGAAAGCGACAATGTAGTCGTCGTAGGTGCCACGACGAACTCTGGAGTAGAAGAAGTCTGACAGCTTCTTGTTCCCGTCTTCGCCGGCGGCCTTGAGGTATGCCGATGTGCACAGCGTGGCATGAGCGCGCACAATCTCGGGCTGCCTCATGTCCAGATAGCAGGCAATGGTGTCGACGCAGTCGCCATCGATGACCGAGGTGATGGAGAGTTCCCCTTTCTTGGTGAGCTCGGCGTCTTCATTAAGGAGCCTCGTCAAGGTGCCCATGTCTGCCACAGTCTCCTCATCTTCTTTGCCGCCTTCCATGAGGCGAGCGAAGAGAAGCATAGTCTGGTCCTGTCTCCCCAAAGACGCGGTCCCAGGAGGACTGGTGGGGGCAGCCATAGTGGCGCTGCACTAGCCCCAGTAAGCTCTTGTCCTTGCAATTGTCGGATCCAATTAGGAGATGATGTCCGTTGAGTGTGCTCCCAAAAAAAAAGAAGAGAAAAAGAGAAAGAAAAGGACGACCCGGTGGCTTGAAATTTAGTGACCGGCGCTGATTAGGCACGTTATGAGAGAGATCCAGTTTCAAGGTCCTGCTTCATATGCTTGAGAGCTCAAGGTTTGCAGTAGGAAGTGGTCAAGTTCAAGACAAGTTGCAGGATTGCATTCACATGGACTCTGTATTGACACTGGATTGGGAGGCTACCCCTCCAGATTGGCGACAGATAAGATCTTATTGCCCCGCTATATCCCAGGGGCTCCACCTAGTCTACCTGACGTGCCTGACTACGGATTACAGTCAGGTGTAACTGACTAAAGCCACACCAAGGGGTCTCGGCGTCGTACCTTTCCCGGTTATCAACAACCTGGGCAGATTTCGAACCCGGGAGTTGCAACGATCACTTAGCAGGGAGGTGTAGGGGGTTACAAGACTTGCGCAAGCTTCATGAAACCTGCATTAATGAAGGCAGCAGCAGTGAACCAGGCTCAGGAAAAGAATCACATGAAGCTGCCGGCCCCTGATTCCATCCTAAAATCGGAGTCTTGACCAGTAACTTGTTAGGGCTTGCCTACTAATGGGATGAGTCTTCTCAATTCCGAGCCGGACCCGACATAACAACTTGGAACCCCGAAATCAAATCGAGTCAGGCGCGACGACAAGACGGACACCGACTGAAGGGAAAAAACAACACACTACTCTCCTTGACCTTCCCGACGAACTCATTGACCAAATCCTGGCCGAGGTGAAATGGGGTGCGCCCGCCCCAGCCTTCGACCAGGACGGGCTGCACTTCCACGAGAACCTGACTGCCAACACCGACGACATCCAGCACGTGCGACTATGCTGTCGCCATCTGGCATTGAGGGCCACCCCTCTGCTCCTCCAGGTGGCTTCTGTCTCCATCAGTGATACATCCTCGGTCGACCGCCTCGAACACAGCGCTGCTCACGGAGCCTTCGCCCCGCACGTAAAGGCTGTCCACGTCTACTTCCGCTTATACGAGGCCGAACTTGCCCCTCATATCCGGGAGCTGAATGCACGCCTGCTCTGGAGCCGGCCCAGGCATCTTCAGGTCTCGCCCGTTGACACACCAGCTCAGCGCTGCCGCTACCCGGTCGCAAAACAAGGGCCGAGTGGAATTAATCTTCAACGACTGGGAAGCCTTGAGTCGCCGCTATAACTGGGGAATGGGTGAAGAGGCGTATTCGACCCGGTCTGGACCGGCAGTAGGAGGTGAGGAAGAAATAGAAAGCATGCGCATCCCGAGGAGAGAGCACGTCGAGTGCACGCACCGCTTTGAGGCACAGCAGCGCGATGGCGTGTCGATCAGCAGGCGCATTGCCAAAGCGATGGCCCGGATGCCTAGGGCCACTAGGCTGGTGCTGGACGACGACCCAGACACGACTGTGCCGGCCTGGGCTACTGCTGCGCCAACAACAGCACAGTGGCTGGTTGCCCCGACCAGCTGGGCGGTTGGGCTACGGCCTTCAGACTCGGCCGCGGCTTCCCTCCTATCTATACACTCTTCGCGCTTCCCGAAGCGATCCGTTACGCCGGCGTCAGATTTGGTTCAGGCAAATTACATAACGTTATCTGGTACACAACTCCCTACATTTTCAGGCCAGTTATCCCTCCCGAGCTTACGGGCCTGCGCATCCACCGGCTACGGCTGCCTTCCGGATTTTCCGCTTTGGCTGGCGCCGGAGCGAAGGGACCCGCTGCCGCTTGAGGTTGCGGATTTGCAGGCGGATTACCGCTCGCTGTGCGTCTTTGACTTTACATCTGACTACGAACCGAACTCCTATTTCACCGACAGCCTTACGTGCCTCGAGTGTACGGAGATGTCCACTCTCTCAGAACTCCGGACAGGGTTGCATGAGATCTTGGAATGGATGCTGGCGTCCAGCAGCCTGAAGCAGGTTCAAGTCGATCTCCAAATGGTGCACAGCGGCATCCCTTGCGAAGTCGCCATGCCTAACCCACCGTGGCCCCATACTCAGGTCCTCCACCTGCAGGACGGTGTTCTGGTTTTCGCCGGCTTCGCCAGGTTCCTCGAGGCCACCTCCGGTACGCTCACAAGCTCCACTTGAATGGCATGCACCTGATCTCCAAGCCGGTTGGTCCCTTCCCCGGCATTTCGGCGCCTTTCTCGTGGTCGGCGGTCTTGGACCTGCTGCGTGTCCACTGTTGTCAGGCGAGCGAGCAGATTGGCAGCATTGAAGGTGGTGGCGGCGACCTCGAGGATTTTGTCAGGACGACGGCGACGCCAGGGTCGCTGACTGTCCGACTGAGACGGCCGCTTGGTGCCGAGTTTGACGATCCGGCGCTTCAAAGGCCGCCTGCGCGTACACCAGGGCGCTTTCTGACCCCGACGACGAATACGCGCAGGCAATGAGGCCTTTCGAGAGGTACATACACGGGTTCAGTGAACGCAATCCCTTGGTCGAGGCCGGCAGGACCCCGTTACTTTATCCGTAAGCTGAATAGGTGCGGCGCTGCTGAGGCAGGGTAAATAAACTGGAAATCGAAAGTAGACGAGGGCTAATCATCTACCAGATAATACACCAAAATTGAAGAGTGTAAGCGTTCTATTGAACCGCCTTGGTCAAAAGAGCACTTCCGAGGTTGGAGTAATACCTGACCGGCCTGGGCGGGACCCGACACGAGGTATCCGTACTTGTTCCTTATTATTAACCTCATGGCCTTTTCGCGATTACCAGAATAGGTAGCCGGCTGCTCTTAGTACCAGCGCGGTCACTGAGATAGACATTACTCGTGTACTAGGCCCGACCCAAATGCCGGATTGACGGATCAAGATGTCTTGCAGAACCTAATGGCACCTGAAGCCCGTTTACGAGACCCTCAGTTCTCCTTTGAAGTTTGGTTACTGGCCGGGATCGGGCGTGTGATGCACGTCTGGGTGGTTACTTTGGAAATATAATACGTCATCTGACACTACAACCAAGCCGAGACCTCTCTCCCCTCACAACACAGCGTCATGATGATACCTTCGGGTCCACGCGGGGGAACATTGAAGAGTGGTATAAAAATATAATGGCTCCTAGCAACAGATCCTTCAGCGAGGTCTCTTGTTTTCCTTCTAGGCTATTAGAATAGCTGGATTACTACTCTCCTGAAATCATTGGCCTCTTCCTCTCATCGCCAACATGAGTCTCAACACCAACCAACTTGATCCCCGCCAGCACCCCTTGAAGGCGGTGGCCACGGCCATTGGCGCCGGGGTACAGGGTGAAACACGCGGCCCTCGCGTGAGCCACATGCAGAGCGCCAACGAAGGCCCCGCCGACATCATCGGCAAGGTGTCTGGCTGTGTTCCTGGCGGCAAGCGGGAGGACGACAGCCTGTACTTTACCAACAACGAGGGCATCCCCTTCCCTGATCCGTAAGTGCGGTTGATAAAACCGTTGAGGCAGCAAACCAGCTAACGGAGAACAGGGCACACAGCAAGACAGTGGGCGGCATCCCCGTGGCGAGCGATGTCTTTCTCTTCCAGAAGCAGCAGCACTTCAATCGCTCCAAGCCTCTGGAGCGGATGGTACACCCCTGCGGATCCGGGGCTTTCGGCTACTTTGAGTGCACCAAGGACGTGACTAACGTTACTGTAAGCCTTTCCTGGCTCCTCCCACTCTCTGTGTTTTGTGGATGGACGTAGCGTTGACGTGTTGTCCAGAAAGCCAATTTTTTGTCGTCGGTCGGCGAGAAGACGCCCGTCTTTGCTCGATTCTCGACTGTCACCTTTGGCAGAGAGTTTCCGGATGAAGGGCGCAACCCTCGAGGATTTGCCCTCAAGTTCTACACCATGGAGGGCAACTATGACATTGTCGGCCTGAACTTCCCCGTCTTCTTCTGCCGGGACCCGATTCAGGGGCCCGACGTCATCCGCTCGCAGTGGCGGAACCCAAAGAACTTTTTGCTCGACTACGATGCCCTCTTCGACCTCTTGGCCAACACGCCCGAGGCAAACCACGCAGGGCTCATGTTCTTCAGCGACCATGGGACGCCCGTGGGCTGGCGCAACAATCACGGCTACGGCTGCCACACCTTCAAGTGGGTGAACAGCGAGGGCAAGTTCGTCTACATCAAGTACCACTTCATCGCCAGGGACGGACAGAAGCAGTTCACCGACGAGGAGGCGATCCGTATGTGCGGCGAGGATCCCGACTTTTCCAAGCGTGACCTCTGGAATGCCGTCGAGCGCGGCGACCCCATTGAGTGGACCGCCTATGTGCAGGTCATGCAACCCAACGAGGCCGACCCGGACAAGCTGGGCTTCGATCCCTTTGACGTGACTAAGGTGTGGCCGCGCGGCCAGTTCCCCATGCAGGAATTCGGCAGGCTGGTCCTCAACAAGAACCCGGAGAATTTCCACCGCGACGTCGAGCAGGCCGCCTTTTCGCCGGGCAGCATGGTCCCCGGCATCGAGGACTCGCCGGACCCGCTGCTCCAGTTCCGCATGTTCTTCTACCGCGACGCGCAGTACCACCGCATCGGCGTCAACCTGCACCAAATTCCCGTCAACTGCCCCTTCATGGCCAAGTCGTACGCGTCGCTCAACTTTGACGGGCCGATGCGTACCGACGCCAACCACGCGGGTAACAAGCAGTACGCGCCCAACAGCTTCTCGCACAAGTTCCGCCCGGACGCGGCCGAGGCGCCTTACGTCGTGCACGACAACATCATGAGCCGCAAGAGCCACTACTGGCACGAGGGCAAGAAGAACGACTACGACCAGGCCACGCAGCTGTGGGCGCGCGTCATGACGCCCCAGCAACGCGCCAACACGGCCAATAACATTGCCAAGTACCTGTCGCGCGTCCAGTACCCCGAAATTCAAAAGAAGTACCTCGCCCAGCTGTACAACATCTCGCCCGACTGCGCCAAGGGCGTGTTTGAGCGCATGCCCCAGCCGCAGTTTGATCTGACCGAGGTCGAGAAGCTCGCGCAGGACGCGCACACGTGGTACAGGAACAAGGCCTTCCTTCCCAGCGGCGGGGAGAAACTGGCGGGTTATGCGCCGCCGCAGGCTGTCTATGGCATGTAATTGATGTAGCTGCCAGGGCTCTCGCGGATACGCGGTTTCCTAGGTACGTATTTGAAATGTGGTCCCACTATGCTTTGGACATGCTTTTCTATAGTTTTTTGTTTGTTGATTTTGGCGTACTGTGGATGGATCGGGTGCTAGGTACAATTAAGGGGTACTGGACAGGTATGTACAACGAGTCCAATCTTACAGGAACTCGCCATCCTTTTATCCAACACCACTGTGGCTCTGTGCCCTGGCCTGTCAATAACTGGTCTGCCAAAACCAGAAACGGGCTTCTTAGTTCTTAGAGACGAGGAGGACCCGTCGACAAGAATGAGAGATAAGCTGGCCCGAGGAGTCAGGGCCAGGGTCCAATAGAGTCACCAGATAATCACAAATGGGAGAAGAAAATAGAAGGACGCACAGGGCTTCAAGCGTGTGGATTTAGCTCTATCATCCAACGTTATACTTTCTACACAGCATAACATGCGTATCCTCAACAACTGAAAGACTTGCTTGCCAGTCGGCCCATGGACACCTGGGCAAGGTCGATCTGGTTTGTCAGAGTCAGACTACTGGTACCGAGTTGTACGACATTGTTTTTAGCCAGACGGTCCAGACCAGTACTGGCCACCGTGGTCTGGTATGGACTCCAGTCACAGCACGAGGCTGTGACAATTATAAGAATTCGATTCAGGACTGTGCTGTAACTCGTTTAACCAGGTGGCACATTCTATGGCCCCTAGAATCAGATGTTCAATGTGCAGAACGACTCCCCGTTGGTGTTGATGGATAAAACTTCCTAACTCAGTTTCGTGAGTTGGGTTTGGATTGTGAATACTAGGAGTGATTAGGCCACCTTCTCTTCCGAACTTGGTGAAAATCCTTCTAGTTCTACCCAGCAACACTCGTGCTGTTGTGGCCATTCGGCCTGGTTCAGGTTGGAAAAAAGGACCGCCGAGCGAATTCAAAGTCGTGTAAAGAACTCCAAACATTTGAGTCAAAATGCCAGCGAATTGCGGTCATTACCGATGGTTACCTATACTGCTTGCTGCCCCACAATTTTGCGATTAAGAAAGTCAGGACACGTCCCGAGCTTCCGAGAGTGCCAAGCATCACGTGTCCCCGCGACAGTCTGAGGGGTTGCCAAAAACGCGACCACCATCGAAACTCGGACACACGCGACAAGGCAGCGTGCGACTGCCAGGGAACAAAACCGCACACTCCGCCCTTCATCAAGTGGGAAGCACAGTCTCAGCTCAATCATGAGCTGACTCTATCCGGGCAAACCAGCTACTTATGTTATTCTGAGCAACTGGAAGAGTTGACGACAGATTTATGACATTGACTCTCCCGGCACGGATGCTGCCAAATCGCTGCGCCGAGAACGGATCGTCACCCGCGGCAAGCCACAGGCTGAAGGTCTCAAGATGAGTGTCCAAGATGTTGTTGACGCGTCGGAACACTACGAGGTGTACAACACCGACGACATCCCATCCCTCCTCACCATCATCATCGACACCAACCCCCGCGCATGGGCTGCCGTCGCCGATGTTCTCCCCATCTCCAAATTGATAGCCAACATCCTCGTTTCCGTCAATGCACACCTTGCCTTCAGCAACTCGAACCGAGTTGCCCTCATTGCCGCGCATACCAATCGAGCAGTCTGGCTCTACCCGCCCCCGCCAAAGCCAACAAAGCAGGCGCCTGCGCACTCGCGAGATGTCGACATGAAAGATGCTGGCAACGGCAGCACCAGCAGTAATGCCCCCCCGAACCACACCTCCTCCTCAGCCAACAAATACCCGCAGTTCGCCCAAATAGAGAATTCCCTGCTCGTCTCTCTCCGAGCCCTCATTGACGAGACCACCGCCACCGATCTCTCAACGACAACTACGCAAATATCGGGCGCCCTCACTCTTGCCCTCGCCCACATCAACCGAACTGCCCTCTCCTTCACCACCTCCTCAACCGCAACGCACGCCGCCACCTCGACGGGCAGTTCCATGACAGCAGGCACCACCGTCGGTCCGACGCCCGTGGCCAACACATCGACCAGCTCGGGCCTGGCGGGTCTGCACGCGCGCATCCTGGTCCTCTCGGTCAGCGACAGCGCCCCGGCGCAGTACATCCCCACCATGAACGCCGTCTTCGCGGCCGCGCACGCCCGCATCGCCATCGACACCCTCTCCCTGCGCGGCAGTGCCACTTTCCTCGAGCAGGCCTCCTTCATCACCCGCGGCACCTTCATCCGCGCCGCCGAGCCGCGCGGCCTCCTGCAGTACCTCATGCTCGGCTTCGGCAGCGGCTCCGCCCCGTCCAACCCGGCCGGTGGCGCCCCGACCTCGGCCGCCACCTCCAGCTCCGGCGCCGCCGCAGGCGCCTCCAAACCCGCCACGTCGAGGACAGCCGGGGGGGGGAAAATATCCAAGCTCGGCCTCGGCGCGAGCGTCGCGGACCTGCTCGTCACTCCCAGCGCTGATGCAGTCGACTTCCGCGCCGCCTGCTTCTGCCACCGTAACGTCGTCGACACGGGCTTCGTGTGCTCCGTCTGCCTGAGCATCTTTTGCGAGGTGCCCCCCGGCGGCGAATGTCTGACGTGCGGCACGGTGCTGGCGCTGGGAAAGTACGGAAAGAGGCCTGTCGTTGCTGCTCTCACCGCTCACAATAATGCGGGTGGTGGTAGTAGTGGTAGTGGTGGTGCGTCAACGGACGCGGGGAGGAAGGAGAAGCGCAAGTTGGGGGTTAACGGGGAGGCTTGACTTTGAATGAATGAAGTAGTCTACAGGCTATCGGGAAGAAGGAGGGAGATGGAACCAGGGTGGGACTAGGAATGCATGGCCTTGATTTTCTTTGCATGTACTTGCATCAACCAGCGTCATTGGCAAGGAAAAAGGGATATTCAAATCGTCAGGGGCGGCGTGGCGTTTGGCACGGGGAGGTGTTGGTTTTGCTGCAAGTCATTTTATACAACGATACTCCACAAACCTATCAGCAAAAGCTGCCTCTCTTACACAGAACAGATTACGATGAGAAATGCTTCAGGACATCCGGATCCCGAGGCAGACAGAAGCAATGTAGTCTATTGGTGTTTCCTGAGGTATTCTGATAGCGACGATCGACAACGAGCAGTGGCATTTTAGGTATGAACTCCCTCCTTCTGGATCTTCGACCTCTGCAAGTCAGAACGCCGATCGCCATACCAAGACGCCTGCGCCACGTCTGTAGAAGCAGCCTCAAGCCAACCGAACCTTCCGCCCGCCCTGGGCGACGCGCCCGGTCTTACCGAGGCGCGACATGACACAGAGCGGCTCTCTCTCGGTCGACGACATGGAAGCCAGCGCAAACGAGTCGGTGTTGTGGGCAAAGTAGAAGTGCACCCCACTACGGTCTTTTTTGACGGCCATGACACCAATGGCCCCAGCAGACGGCTGGTCCCTGATCCCGGGATGGTTCATGAAGTCGTCGAGGATGAAGGACTCCATGATGTTATGCTCGTCCTCCTCGGGAATGTCCCGTCCGCCGGGCCCGCGACGGGTCCCTTGGTACAGACGCTCGGCGCATTTTCCCGAGGCAAAGCAGGTGGCCATGTGCTCGCCGGTCCCGCTGGTCACTGCGGCCACCGAAGTGGCCAGGTCGTCGTCGGGATCCTCCGGCACGACAGCAGTGCCAACGCCTACCAGAGCGGCAGGCCCGGTGCGACCCTTGTGCTTCATGCCAATTCCTCCAGAGGACGAGCCCGCTGCAATGTTGCCCTGTAGGTCGATTGCAATCGCCCCAACGGTATCCGACACCATGTCCATAGCCGCGTTGACCGGGTTTCTTCCAGAAGCTGTGGGTTTGCCCTGGTCGTACCAGGCGTCAAACCCATAAGTTCTGTAGTAGTCAAAGTCATCTACCATATCCACCTCGCCGTCATCACAGCCTACTGGTCCGTCGTTGACCGAAGGCAACGGAGGCTGCTTCCGCTTTGGGGCGGGACACGGCGACTCCTGTTTCAGACCGGCGCACTCCACCGACTCTTCCGGCGCTGCAGGGCTTCCGCGTGGCTGAAATGCGGCACTCAGGAGGTCTAGGCTAGGACGCTCAGGATTCTTGGGTGGATTCAGCGTGTCCCCAGGATTTCTGGTGGGGTCGGAGCGAGGTGATGCCGGATCGACTGTGACCGAACGGGATCCGTTCCCGCCCGGAGGGGAGCCGCTGCGGCCAGGCGAGTCAGGTTGGCCCTCGTTCCAAGTACCCGTGAGAATCGCACTAGTATGATCTCGGACATGATGGGAGTTGTTGGCTGGATCGGCGGCCTCGTCGTAGACGGTTGGTGATGGTGCTCTAGGGAGGGGCCATCCCTCAGCATTGAATCTTGTGGGTGGCTTCCTTCTCGCCTCCGCCCTCTTCAGGTCTTCGCTCCAACGCAACCAGCGGTCTTTTGCATTCCTGGAAACCAGAAACTCGTTGCGAACGGTTACGAGTCCGTGCTCCTCTGCAAAGTCCTTGGCCCCTTGGCCTACGAGAATGTTGGGCGGGACTCGGCGGAGAGTGAGTGGCTGACTGCTCGTATCCAGGATCTTCTTCGCAAGAGAAATGGGATTTTTGACTCCTTGAAGCGGGAAGGTCAGCCCTGTTCCATTTCAACCATAACATCTGAACATACCCTGGACAGCACCGCATGCCCCGCTCCTCCCAAGATGATCAACAAGTGTGGCGTCACACTCGACAATGCCCTCGATGTTCAGGTTACTTCCGAAACCAGCATTCGTGATATCCCTGTCTTCGAGACACCTGATGGCAGCTTCGACAGCCTGTGGAGCGGTTGCGCCGGCCTTGAGGAAGGCCATGGCTATGCGAGCAGCACTGGTTGAATAAGAAGTCAGATCTTGTTGATGACTGAGCTGGTATCTGAAACATACTCCTGGCAGGCCTTGAGATGGACCTTTTCATTCACAGTGCTGTGGTAGCCTGCGCCCGCGTGGACGAATATCGACGCGACCGGTCTTCTAGCAGCCCGTTTCCACACATTGTCGAATGTGCCATCCCCTTCATGGGGAATGGCGGCGAACTCTCCGATGCTTGACATCGCCCGCAGTATCGGCTAGTGCTTCCGTACAGCAAGGTAAAGGATCGGCTCAACTGCTCTTGACTGTCCCTCTAGGTTGGACTGGTCGGGCACTGGACGTGGTTGTTCCGAGGCTGTCCTAGGGATTAGATTGCAGGGGTAAAGTGAGATGATGTAGAGGTTCAGGACACGTGCAAATGGTCGCCGCAACCGCGATGGCAGTTGCCTCGAGGCGGCTGGTGATGAAAACGCAAGGTTGCCGGCGAAATGTTAGAATCGGCGGGGCAGCGCTGTCTTGTAGGTTCCGGAAAGAGGTAATGAGTCTGGGAAAATAAACAAACAATAAGTCTGAATATGACGGTCCTGGCTTGTTCGGAATGCTGCCCTTAGGGAATGGAACAAATACCGGGATGGGTGCGGTTTGAGCAAACCGACGACGATGTCGGGGGAGGGTTGACGGAAGAGGAAATAAGTTGGGGAGTCGCAAGAGGGTTACATGAGAAGAGGAAGCCGTTGAGCGAGCCGAGATGGTCTTGTGATTTGAGGCGAATCGCAGGGCTTAGAAGATGGTGTTCATATTATTGGGAAAGAGCGATTCAGTCGGTATAGGCCATTCTTGCCCGATGACTGCAGTGCGGAGGCAGTCGGTGGTGAGCTGAGCTTCATGGTCGATTCCTCTCGACTGACACGCCAGCAGGAAAGAGGAAACCTGGAACCGTCGTATTGAGTTCCACTGACCATTCTATGATTGCCCATTGCCCTTGTCCCAACTCAGAGCTCAACCGTCACGGCAAGTTGTTGCCATCATTGTTGGCCAACTGGTGCTGAACCAGGAATTTCTATGCCGCTTGAGGCCGCAATCTCTTGGACTCAGGCACTTGTTAAGGTCTTGAGACAGCAAGCTGTGAAGTGCAGAAGTCCGGCGGCGGCTCAGGCACTTTTTTACAGGCTGAGTTTCCGACCACCGTACGTACGTTGGCGGGGCCCACACAGAGTACACCCACCTTCAAGTTCTTGGCGCACAGCCGCAGCTCGTGGATCCCACATGAAGCTCGCTGAGACGTAATCTTGGACCTCAACGCTCCACTGCCTGCCCAAACGCCGGACAACGTAGCCTCGCCCTTGAGCACTGCTTGCTATACTCGCTGCGCAGGAAACAGGAGCATAAGCTGCGCGCAGCGGCACCTATTTACTCCGCAACAATGGCCAACCAAACCCCCGCCGTTGTCATGGACAAGTATGTGCAGTGCCGAGATGCCCCCAAGCCCCGCTTCAGGAGTCTAGCAGACGGCGCCCAGCTTCGAGTCCACCATCACTGACCACATCCTCGCAGCGGCACGGGGTTCTCTAAGCTAGGTTTGTCTTCTGGATTTCGAGTCTCATCCGGCATTTTGCCCTCGCGTTGCTGACCCGCCATTCCCCCAGGTTTCGCCGGCAACGATTCTCCATCCTTCGTCTTCCCCACAGCGATCGCGACCAAGGGCCCCGCGGCTGGAAGCGGATCGGGTTCCGGCCGCCCCGCCGTTGCGAACAAACCTTCCTTTCTTACCGGCGGAGCTGGCCCGACAGGTCACTTATCAGCGAAGCGCGGGACCGAAGACCTCGACTTTTTCATTGGTGATGAGGCCATCGCGGCTGCCTCTGGTCCAGGTACGGTTGGGCTCTTCTGAAACGGAGGTACGGGCTGACGGCGGTATCAGGCTATGGGCTACACTATCCAATTCGGCATGGGCAGATCGAGAATTGGGTTGGTCGAATTGCAAACAGAAGCCGAGAAAGGGGCTAACGCAAGGGGCGCTAGGATCACATGGAGAGGTTCTGGTCGAACTCCATTTTCAAGTATCTCAGGGTTGAGCCTGAGGACCACTACTTCCTCCTCACTGAGCCGGTCAGCCATCCCCAATCAGCCACGCACCGCTCCATCTAACGTAGCTTCAGCCCCTGAATCCTCCCGAGAACCGAGAAAACACGGCCGAGATCTTCTTCGAGTCCTTCAACTGCGCCGGTCTCTACATTGCTGTCCAGGCTGTTCTGGCACTCGCTGCCTCGTGGACATCGTCAAAGGTCACAGACCGGTCCCTGACAGGCACTGTTATCGACTCGGGTGACGGTGTCACGCACGTGATCCCGGTGGCCGAAGGTTACGTTATCGGGTCGTCGATCAAGTCGATCCCCATCGCCGGCCGCGATATCACCTACTTTGTGCAGTCACTCCTCCGAGACCGCGGCGAGCCCGACTCGTCTCTCAAGACGGCCCAGGAGATCAAGGAGAAATATTGCTACGTCTGCCCGGATATTGTCACCGAGTTCGGCAAGTACGACCGCGACCGCAGCCGGTTCCTCAAGCACGTCGTGACGCAGCTCGGCGGACGCGAGCTAATGGTTGACGTCGGGTACGAGCGCTTCCTGGCGCCCGAGATCTTCTTCAACCCGGAGATTTACTCGTCCGATTTCCTCACGCCGCTGCCTGTGGTGGTGGACGGCGTGATCCAGTCGTCGCCCATCGACGTGCGCCGCGGTCTGTACAAGAACATTGTGCTCTCAGGCGGCAGCACGCTGTACAAGGACTTTGGCCGCAGGTTACAGCGCGACATCAAGCAGCTGGTTGACGCCCGCATCCGCCAGAGCGAAATGCGCAGCGGTGGCGCAAAAAGCGGCGGGCTCGAGGTGCAGGTCATCACGCACAAGAGGCAGCGGCATGGCCCGTGGTTTGGTGGCAGCTTGCTCGGCCAGACGCCCGAGTTCCGGTCGTACTGCCACACCAAGGCCGAGGTATGTTTGTTTTTCATCTTTGTCCTCTTGCCTGTTGACTCGCTGGATTGGGTGTGGTTGGCTAACCGTGTGATAGTACCAAGAATATGGGCCGGGTATTGTGCGGAGATTTGCCCTGCTGGGCGGCCCCGGCGGTTCTTAAAACTGGTCTTTGGCGTTTCATTTTTCTGTAGAGAGCAAGCGATGTTCGTGAAGAGAGGCGGCAATGTTTCTTCGGGGCGGCGCCAAAAACAGATAGGGAATGAAGGCCAAGTTGAGATCTTTGCTGTTGTGATGTGCGGATGAGTGGACAGCCTCAGGGCCTTTGCCCGTCCGATGCCAAGCCGGCGAAGCTCCATACTTCCGGCTGTTGTGGGGATGCCGGTCTCCGGGCCGGGAGATAAATAAGTCCGGCGGGCGACTTTTCCAATCCGTACACAAGACTCTATGGGCCAGCAATCTCCACTATAATGAGTAGCTCTAGGTTTGTTGGCTCTACGATCATAAAGCCGGCCCGAGCCGCAGCTGAGTTCTCCATATTGCCCAGAACAGGCAGGTTTCTCCGATCAGGCGGATGCCCCCGGTATACAGCCTGTCGCGATGCAAGAGGCATACACCTCGGCTCTAGAGGCGAATTGTTTGACTCCTTCGCTCGAGCGAATATCATAAGAAGCATCCATGGTTGTGTTGAGACTGTGTAATAACCGCCCCTATTGCATTGCGAGAAGTGTAACAAGTCGATTGTCAGGGTTTGGGCTCGGTTCGGGGCAGCGGATGTCTTGAGGGAAACCCTGTGTCGTCTGAGAAGGGCGTGTGGTCCAAAGCACCCTGGCGCTGTTTTCCCAGTGGGAGAATCGAGGGGAAAGCCTAGGGTGCTGGACTCGTAGATCATCGGAACCCTGGTGTGTTCTAGAAGGGTATTAGGCCAGGTGATCGAGTAGTCTCACCAGCTAGGACAATCGCGCACTCAGATATCAATACTCAGGATTAGACATAGGTACCAGGTAGGCTCAATGTAGACAATGATTCAAGGGTCTTTACAGTACGGAGTACTATGTGTGGATGGTCTTGGTAGCGCCCACAGCATGCTGGAGTTCCCGGCCGAGCCCGGTGAGCTTGGACTGGGGGTAAAGTGGGTCCATGACTCCATCTCCACGCGTTCCGCTTCCCCGGACGAACACCGAACTGGAAGAGGGCTCCTGCGTTCGACGTGCAGGTGAGGAATCAGCCCACCCATCTCTGCCGCCAAATCTTGGATTACGGCGACTTCCAGACTGTTACGTTGAAGAGCAAGACAATCCTGGAAGCGCCGCTTCTCCTCTCCTGACGGGCATCCCTGAGAAAGGTGCAACACATGCTTTGGACAGTGATGACGGAGCCGATGGCTTGTCGGACCTGTTGAAACCGGGAGCAGCTTCAAGAACTCATCGACTTTAGCAATGTCAGCATCAGGTGAGGATTTTAAGTGCTTGAGCTGCGGCTAGCGCACAAGGCTGTGCAGCTCGCGAGCTCGTATCGGGTTGTGAGGGAAGCATCGCGGCAGATGCAGGGCTTCCAATTCACCGACATCAGATCATATGGTTTTTGGTGGGCTGTCCGATCTCCTTCCCACAGTGCCCAGGCCCTGTATCGCGGTCGGGTCTTGTAATTGTTTCCCACCATGCCACCCGACAGGTGTCGCCTACGCGTGTATCGTGCGGTCCTGCGTCAGCTGCATGAAACTGATTCGCCCACCAGCAACTGCTGTTTGCAGACTGCCGCAAAGAAGATAGTGAGACGAGCTCCGAATATAAGACTATGTCCTGTCACACCAAATGGCGGCTACTGTCTTTCTAGGTATGGCATAGATTCACATTATCAACTGGATCAGTGATATCATCATCTCTTCTTGATCTACCCCTCCTCTTCTCTTCTTTGATACAGGTCCATCCACTCACAAACAACCTCACGATGACCGACATAGAGATTCCCAGCGAGCAATGGGCTCAGGTGGTCGAGAAGTCAGGTGGTCGTAAGCTTAGTCCCACCCCCTACTGAACGGCACACTCCAGCCCTGACACTAGATCCTGACACACCATACCACAGCCGTCGTCTACAAAAAGATACCCGTCAAGAAGCCCAGTCCCGATGAAGTGCTCATCAACGTCAAGTACTCTGGCGTGTGCCACACCGATTTACACGCCATGATGGGGGACTGGCCGTTGCCGACCAAGCTACCTCTCGTCGGCGGACACGAGGGCGCTGGCGTCGTGGTAGCCAAGGGCGAGCTGGTCAAGGACGTCGAGATCGGCGACCACGCCGGCCTCAAGTGGCTCAACGGCAGCTGTTTGGCCTGCTCCTTCTGCATGCAGGCTGACGAGCCGCTGTGCCCGCACGCCCTGCTGTCGGGTTATACAGTCGACGGCAGCTTCCAGCAGTACGCCATCGCCAAGGCCGCCCACGTGGCCCGGATTCCCAAGGAGTGCGACCTCGACGCCGTCGCGCCTGTCCTCTGCGCGGGCATCACCGTGTACAAGAGCCTGAAGGAGTCCGGTGCTCGCCCCGGCCAGCACGTCGCCATCGTCGGGGCGGGCGGCGGGCTGGGCAGCATGGCGATCCAGTACGCGCGGGCCATGGGCCTGCGCGTCATCGGCATCGACGGCGGCGAGGAGAAGGGCCAGAGCTGCAAGTCTCTCGGCGCCGAGGTGTACGTCGACTTCACAAGCAGCGCCGACATCGTGCGCGACGTCAAGGCCGCGACCCCCGACGGGCTCGGGCCCCACGCCGTCCTGCTGCTGGCCGTGAGTGAAAAACCGTTCCAGCAGGCGACCGAGTACATCCGCAGCCGCGGCACCGTGGTGTGCATCGGCCTGCCCGCCGGCGCGTACCTCAAGGCGCCTGTGTTCGACACGGTCGTTCGCATGATCAGTATCAAGGGCAGCTACGTCGGCAACCGCCAGGACACGCAGGAGGCGTTGGATTTCTTTAAGCGCGGCATGATCAAGGTGCCGTATAAGACGGTCGGGCTGAGCGAGCTTCAGGATGTGTACAAGCTGATGCAGAAAGGCAAGATCGTCGGCCGCTATGTGGTGGATACGAGCCGGTAAGAAGAGTAAGCGGTGTCAAGGGATAGCCAGTGAGAGCTTCTTACGGGATGCATGGTGATACTTAGTGATGGTGGGATGTAATATTATCATGGCTGTATCAATGCTGTGGATTGGGCGGGTCTTTCCTCTTATTGTTACTCTACTGGATACAACCTTAATGACAGCCACACTTGACCATCGCATCACGATGTATCAATCTATCACCCTCCCCCTTCATTTCCCCGGCCTGTACAATTCATCATATAGTATACCCGCCGCTATTGACTTGTCTCGTCTCGCCGACCGCGACAAACCGCCCATCTCCCCTCCTCATAACCCCCTGCACCGCGCTCAACCCAGGTGCCATCCATGTCACGTTATGCCCCTTCCCCTCCAAATCCCGCACCACTCCCTGCTCAAACCCATCCTCAACCATCAACACGTTCGGCATCAACTGGTGATGCAGTCTCGGCGCGGAGATGGCGTCGCGCAGGCTCATGTTGTGCACGAGCACGTGGAAGCCGACCTGCGTCGTGGCGCTGATGATGCGGGAGCCGCCCGCCGCGCCGGTCGCGAGGAAGACGGTGCCGTTGGACAGATGCTCGGCGATGAGCGGTGTGATGGATGAGAGGGGCCGTTTGCGCGGCGAGATGTAGTTGGCCGGGGACGGGGGGAAGCCGAAGGCGTTGTGCCGTCCCGGCTGCGAGAAATCATCCATCTCGTTGTTTCTGGAATGGAACGGGTTTTGAAATCAATGTCCAAACTTAGTTTGAAGGGTAGCAGGTTGGCTTACAAGATGATTCCCGTGTCTGGAGTCATGATTTGGGCGCCAAAGAGCAGGTTGATGGTGGTTGTTGACGTGATGGTCAGGCCGGACTTGTCGGCCGTGACGATGTGCGAGGTGCCGTGGCTGTCTGGAAGGTAGAGGGACAAGGGGTCGTAGGCTTCGACTGGCTGTGTTTTGTTGTCGAGGATGCGGTGGCGGATGCTATTTGCGGTGTGGTTGCTTAGGAGACGGCTTTCGTACTCCGTGGTGTTTGTGATGAAGTCCGGGTCGCCGAGCTGTAGCCGTGCCCCGTAGGCAAACTTCATGGCCTCTGCGAAGCGATGTGTGGTCAGATTGGTGTCGGTCTGGTCTTCTGCAGGGTACTGCTCCATGGTCTTCAGGATGCTGAACATGACGGCGCCACTGCTCGGGGCTTCGGTGGTGAACAGTCGGTAGTCCCCATAGGTAATGTTTAGGGACGGCTTCACATCGACGGTGTACCCCTCGAGGTCATCCAAGGTCAAGGTTCCGTTCATTTTGCGTATAAAGCCTACCATTGACTGGGCTTTGGGCAGTCAGTAAGAGGTCTTACGATTCAATTTCGAGTCGCTTACCAATATTTCCTTTGTAGAACACATCGGGCCCTTGGCCTGCAATTCGCTCGAGAGAGCTTAAGAGGTCAGCTAACATCGACTGCTGAGTGCGTGAATCACGTACTCGGCGTAACGTAACCTGGTGATAGTATCGCCAAGTTGAAGAAGGGTGCCTTGGAACAGGGGGTTAACTGTCATACTCCAACCTCCACTGTGTATGAGCTCACCGTTAGGGGCGAAATCCTCAGCCCAGATCGGATCGTCGGTTAAGAAGGTATTGTTGTTTTGGCTGGCAGCCTTCATGTACCGGACTAGGTCCTCGGTTACTTCGGCTCCTTTTGTTAGCAAGTCCCTTGTCCGTCGATGACGCGTACTCACCTCGGAAGCCATTGCGAGCAACACGGGCCGCGGGCATGACAACCATCCTCCAAGGAAGCAGCTAGCATTTGGTCAGACCCCTGGGCGCTCAAGTCACAGGACGCGGCCACTTACGCCGTATTTCTTGTGCAAGTACTCCAGCCCCCTGAGCTCGCCGGGGACGGCAACAGCCAGGCCGCCAAAGACACTGGCGTTCTGATTGTGCTCGTACATGTCTCGATGCGCGGCGGCCGGGGCGGTTTCCCTGTAGTCGATGGTCTCGTAGTTGCCGCCCTTATCCCGGACGAGCATGAAGCCTCCCCCGCCTATGCCAGAATGATACATGCCAATAACGCCGACACATAGTGTTGTTGCCACCATGGCATCTGCGGCAGATCCCTGGGACAGTTAGTTGATGGCCAAACCTGTCATGGACGAAACAAAAGAACTCACGCCTTTGGCAATCGTGTTAATTCCGATTTTGGAGCATATCGAGCTTTCACTGGCTACAGCTCCCCTGCTACCATGAGAGCTAGCGTTCTCTAGGACTTCTTGGTGAATGGCTGGGAAAGCCGAGCTTGGAGAGAGTTGCCAGAAGGAAGCGAGGCAGAACTGCAGCAACGCCAAAGAACCTATGAAGCAGCATTTAGTTCGTATTTAAACACCAAACCCCAAAGTTCTCATCACATCGACTTACGCATCATGTCGACTTTGTCTTATCTGAGATCAATATGGGCGCGGCAAACATGCGAAGAGAAGAGAGGAACGGCTGCAGCCCCGGCATCCCGTGTCTGACCTACGATGACGAGACGAGCTCAACACCAGCCAAATACGAACCACTTCGTAGACACTCTGGTAAAATCCGGAACAGCAGCCGCAACCCAAAGGCTATACTGTTGTGTTGAGTCAGTGACGATAAAGAGATCCACTGGTTAAGGGAATCACCGTGTCTACCCTAACCCAGGTCAATCCTATTCCCAGGCTAACTTGTCAAGGAAGGTTTCCCAGACAAATGACAACATCATCTGACCGCTGATCAACCGCTCTTTCCCGCCCCATTCTGAACGACAATCAGCTTATCGTTTTCCAGCATGGAAGCCTCGATCGTTGGTGCTTGAGACTTGAAGTTCACTTTGAAGCAAAGCTACCTTGGTCAATGCGTTTCAGGCTATGCATACATTGATGCCTTTGACAGCAACATGATCAGCAACCGCCCTGCACGCATCTGATCTTCCCGCGATCGGTCGATCGAACTGCAAGGAGAAAGAACCAGAAATGGCGGGGACAAACCCACTCATTCATGGAAGGCTCATCTGATGAGTCTGCCAGCATTTGCAAGGACTGTGGAGAACGACGCATGCGATGACCTGCGTTCTGTCATGCGACCCGATGCTTCCGGTGTCCATCCTATCAGCGGTGGCTCTGCGACTCCCGCCGTAGCTCGGTGTTTCACGGGACGGAGAACAGAGGTTTTTATCCTGTACGTGCTGATATCAGTTTACTTATACCACACCTCCCACTACTAGTAAGAGGCTCGACACCACACAACTCACACAACTCCGAGAAACGTGAGGCCGGGGCAACATGCTCATTCATCAGTCTGGCAAGCAGCCGCCAAAGTGTTTCTGAGGTTAAGTTTCGCATTGACGACCTGCCTTATTGTGGAGTCATTGAGTCGAACTCTCAAACAGCAGGGGCCAATCACAGCTCGTCCCAACTGCAAGGGGCCCGATTTCATGTCCAAGTGGGACCCAAAGGCTGAAACTGCCCCCTTTCCTCCATCCGGTTCAACGTAGCGGGAAGGAAGCCCGTCAGAGGTGTTGGGAATCTTTCCGACTCTGTCACTGTTCTTTCGGTTAAGATCAGACGCCAGGAATCGAGAAACGAGCTCTGAGCCGGACTACTTCCGTACGACAAAGCACCAAGCGACTCGCGGACGGGATAGGTTCCAAGGGTTAACTATGAAGTCAATAATATCGACTCATCAAATGCAACTGTGCGCCTGGCCCACGATGTATATACATACCTAGGTATTGAAGTGTATGGTGCAGTTTGAGCTTCCAGCACCGGCAACGAAACATATGGAGACGGCTTGGCTGCTCCGCGCATGAATTCACAGCCGAACTTCGGCATGATAGCAAAAGCTTAATTGCCAGCACCTTTCTCATGGCTCATGGGAACCGGGCTCCAGGTCGACAAATGTTCACAGGATTTCCGAGTTTCGCAGATCGCAGCGACCATCGTCGCGGAAACATGGGGATCATTGGGCCGTTCGTTATACGGATAGTTACACTAAGCTGCGATTATCCATGTTACCACTGACATCGCTACACGTAATGTACAAGATACAGTACTAACGAGTCCGCACAAGGAAACGTCACCACCGACCATAAAGCCATCTGCAGAAGTTCTACGTCTTTTCGCCATCTTCAGTCTTCAACTCTCACTGCGGCAATGGGACTTGCCCACGGTCCCCTCCTTTCCCGGATTCGCCTGCCGCCCAGGCCAGCGATTGGCTGGACCAGCCGTTTCAGATTCACTGTTCCTGCATGTGCCCCTGGACAGGGCTGGGCAGCCCCTGCTTGTGTCACTCCACCACTCCTGGTCTTCAACGCGTCGGGCGTTTGCTCTGTGAGATCACAGCCTGGCCGCGCAAAAGCCGACATGGCATTGGGTCTCTGCTGGAGCCCCTGTGGAGGATCCCGTTGATTAAGGGCTGCTGTCCGTGACGCCCACCTGCCGGATGCCATGGCTGATGGGGATCTGGGTTGGGCAGGGCTCTGCCTGTCCCTGACTCTCTGTCATGCCCTGGCTTCATGCCATGGATCTGACACATGTCGTGGAATCTCCGGATGCGACGAAACAGAAGAACACGCTCATAAAGGTCTCGCAAGACGCCGCCTAGTCTCGCGACTGTCTCGTCCTCCCTCCCCCCGAGTCCCTCTCCTCGCACTTCCTTCACTTCACCTTGGCATCTGTGCTGTCATTCTTTCATCAGTCAAGCATCATTCCTTCTGCTTGCTTGCTCACCACCTTCACTTCTTTGCCTTCTATTGTATATTCGCCCTCTTCGCGAGCAACGGTGTCTGCTTGCCCCATTGCCGAGTTGACCTCGCTCTTCGCTCTTTCCGCCTGGCGCACTTTGACAAAAACGAAAACCACTGCAACGCTCTACGAAATACGAGAACATCCTCAAGATGAAGCCCGCGTACTTCACCCTTGGCCTTTTCGCCACCCTCACCTCTGCCGCCTCCAGGCGACACCCACGATACCTGCGTTTTATGAGAAGCGAGAACGGAACCATCTCCAGCGCCTCTGCCGACAATGTCTCGGGAACCGTCTCTATCCCGTTGTCAACTGGAGTGTCCTCAGATACGGCCAGCGCCGTCACCACTGCTGCGCCTGTCGCAACTGACGCCGCTTCTTCCGGGCTCACCACTCTGACCGTGTCCATGACATCGGTCCGTACCATCACCTCCTGTCTCCCCGAGGTTATCGACTGCCCTGCGAGGACCGAGGATCTCGCGAGCTTCCCAAGTGAGGCCCTCGGCACCACCACCGTCACCGACGTTATTATCCTGACCGAGACCGTCTGCCCGGTGACTGCTGTCCCCTCCATTTCGTCTAGTGTCCTGTCTGAAGCCTCCGAAGGCATCATCACCGGCAGCACCGTGACCACTACTGCCACCGCTGCGGCCCAACCGCATGTCACGACCGCCACTGAGACCAAGGTTGCTACCCTGACCGTCACTAAGGTGATGACCATTACAGTGGGCGGCAACGGCAACGGTGCCGGCGAAGTCGTCACCACCACTGTCGAGTCTACTACCGAGTCCACCACCGTTGAGGTCATCACGCACACTGTGTCAGAGTCCGGGGAGACAGCAACGACGACCTCTGCTGCTGCCGCGGGTGAGCAAGACACCACCACCACCGAGACCATCACCTCGACGGGTACCCGCACCGTCACCGTGGTGAAGGCCACCTCCGCCACTACTGCGACTGCCAGCCCCGGTGGCGCTGGCGGAGAAAACACCGGCAACGATACCGGCAATGGCAACGGCAACGGCGCCACATGCGATTGTGCCGCCAGCATCGTGACCGTCACCCAGGTAGCCGTCACACACACCGTGACCGTCCCGGCCTCCACCGTCTACGTTACTGTCACCGGCACCGGCCACCCCGCGGCCCCCTCCGCAGCCGAGGGCGGCGAAACAACCACCGCGACGGCTGACGCCGTGCACACCTCCACCACCGCCGCGGCGGCCACCACCACTACCACGGCTGTCGGCAACGACACCGGCGACGACGCCGAGGAGTCGGATTGTCCCACTGACGAAGTCGTCACCGTCACCGCCACCGGTACCGCCTCGGATACGGCTACGGCTACGGCTACGGCTACCGAGTCTGCGTCGGCGACCGTCACGCCCGGCGGCACGAACGGCGCGGCAGATGGTGAGGAGACCGATTGCCCGGCTGATGAGGTCGTCACCGTGACGGCGTCCGCGTCCGAGACGGCTTCCGCTTCCGCTTCCGCTGAGGATTCGGATTCTGCTTCGGCCTCAGCGACGGCAACGGCAAGCACGACTACGGCTGCGCCGTCCGGGCTTTATTAAGGGTTTTGTATGAGGTTGCGGGTGAAGGAAAGAGGAAATGATTAACGTATCAGGAAGGGAGGGGAAAACGGGTGACATGGTTTCATGTACGCAGGATGTTCCCGGGCTAGGTCGCGTCTTTGTTTCTTGTACACTGTTGCGTATCGTCCCAGAAAATGCAGGTGCATTCATCAGCTTACGGAACGCGCTGTATGTCCGATGTGGATGAATGATGGCCTTAGATTCCGTTTTCTCCGTTTGTCTCTTTTAGATCCCTTTACTCTGCGCGGGCTGGCTTACGCCAGTTAGGTAGACAGTATGGTCTGCGCTCTTGTCAGTATGGTGATAAATTACATGAGGAACTTTGCTTGCTTTTCATAGAGTATTTGGCCCAGATTGAGATGCTATGTAACTTTCTTGCCATTAGAATCTGCGCCTTGGGCTCTATCGTGCCAATACAACAACAACCCCATGTCATTTGCTCAATACGGGTCAAAGTATTTGATGTCGCGAGGACTGCACAGCATCCAGTAAGATCCTGTCCTGAAGCCCTACAGTCCTGCACTGGACTGTTATTGACGCCGAATATCCATTCCTTTGTGAGTAAACCCCTTAACAACGTAACTTGGTGATATCCATGACAATGACAATGGAGGACAGAGGACTAACTCGAGAGTTCTGATCAGGGTATACATCTGGTGCCTAGAAAGACAGAAGAAGCATTCATAGATGACAAGTTGCAATCCAGTGCTAAGCTAAATAGATGTAACTAGGCTACTTGAAGGCACCTGACCCAACCCTGAGCCGTTCTAGGCAAGGAGGCTCGCAAGCAGTAAAAGTACGACTTTGAGTAAACCGACTTGAAGGGAGGGAAGCAAGTTAACAGTCATGCACCACTTGTCTTAAACCCGTACTCTACGTTCCATTTGCGAGGTAATAAAATGTATTGCGTCTATTCCAACCAACCTGCCGCCCTCTGTCTTCCCTTGTCTTGGCCATTGCTTTGCCGGCGAGGGAACTTAACACAGGATGCTACCCAAAAAAAAAAAAAAAGAAAGAAAAAAGAAATCCCAGAGTTTCTCGATTCCAAGCGCAACTAGCATCCGTCCACCACACCCCTGAACCCCTTTCGATATATTCAATACACACAGCCCCGTCAACTCCCGGAGAACTTAGAATTTGGGGTACAGCACACAACCCGTCTTCAGTAGCACTTTCTCATTCTTTGACCTCCGTCCTTCCCCATCTCCAATCAAACCCGCACTCCTCCTTGAGCGTTGAGACGCCCTCTTTCCCTCCCCATCCTACTCCCGCTTCTAGTCGAGAGCCCGACCAGCGACAAGAGCAGAGCCCTACTCCGCACTCAACTCCTTAATCCGCCTCTCAATCTCAGGCACGCCCCTCAGCAGCACCTCGAGATCCTCCTTCTCATCCTCAAGCCTCATCCTCCTGTCCGCATCCAGCTTCGTAAACACATAATGCCCCTGCCCGTCAAATTGTAAGATGTGCGTGTGGTACTTCCACAGGCTGCGCCGGTGGCTGACCGTCATGAGCGTGATGCCCAGCTGCTTGGCCGTGTCGTACATGATTTTTTCCGTCTCGAGCGGCACGCTGCTGGTGCACTCGTCGAGGATGGCGTAGCGCGGGCGGTGGTAGAACAGCCGGGCCATGGCCAGGCGTTGCTGCACGCCACTCGAGACGGCCTCGCGCCACTCCGTCTCGGTGTCCCAGCCGTCCGGGCTGACGTCGACGAGGTGCTCGAGCGACAGGGCGCGCAGGATGGCGAGCAAGTCCGCGTCCGTCACGCCCTTGGCCTGCATGGTACGCACGCCGTCCGGGTAGATGACCTGCTGGCGGAGGGAGCCCTTGGACAGGTAGGGGCGTTGTGGGATGTAGAAGATGTCCGAAAAGGGGGGCTTGTGGACGGTGCCGCCGTAGACGGGCCAGAGGCCGCCGAGGATGCGGAACATGGAGGATTTGCCGCAGCCGTTGGGGCCGACGACGAGCAGGTGGTCGCCCTGTTTGAGGGAGAAGGAGAGGGCGCGGACCAAGACGTCGCCGTTGGGGGAGATGATGGGGACGTCAATGAACTGGATGTCTTTGCTTTCGATGACCTTGCCGCGGCCCCTGAGCACGGCGGCGTTGCTCTCGGTGCCGGAGCTCGAGACGAGCTTCTTGGAGAAGCACCCTGCTTGCACGTCGTCCATAACCTGGAGCAAGGACGAGACGCGCGACGTGTAGCCGGCGAGTTCCATGACTTCTCGGTACGAGCCCGTGATGCGGCCAAAGGCGTCCGAGGCCGAGACCAGCAACCTCCTATTGGTCACAAAGCTCTCTGTGCGGTCGCCCATGCTTGCCACCACGTGGCCGGGGAGCTTGACGAACACGGGTACACTGCAGAGGAGCAGGCCCAGGGCGCCCCAGAAGTACTTGACAACATAGTCCTCCATGAAGCCGTGGTAAAAGCGCCTCCTAAGGTGGTAGTTGATCATTTTGATCATGGTGAAGTAGCCCTTGTCAAGGGTGTCCTTCTCGGCCTCGTGGCCCGCGTACAGGGCGACTTCTTCGCTGTGGTCTATCAACCTCGAGTGCTGGAAACGGTACTCGCCTTCTAGCCTCGTCTCGTCGGCAACGAACTTGCCGAAAGGCGGGGTCAGCGCTCGCATTACGTAGGACGAGAGCTGGACAAGGAACGACATGAACAAAACTCCCTCTCCGCCGACGCTCCTGGAGAGCTGAATTGTATAGATGGTCTGGTGCGCGTGGGTCAGCTGGGGCAGACACACGAGGCTGATCAGAAACAGGCGTTACCATGTCAAGGAGCGGCTTTGCGAGGTTGCTGTAGAGCTCAGCGAGACTGCTGGAGAACTTGGTCACATCAACGGCAATCAACTGGTCGGGGTTCTTGATGCGGTCATCGAGTGCTGTAAGGCCGTAGAAAGTCAATTTTGACAGGTACTTGTCGTGTATGTGTTGGGTCAAGCGTGTGCGGTACTTGAGCGCGAGCTCTGCTTGATGGTATGCGAGCATAGAGTTGGTAAAGGTGGCGGGTAGCGCAAGCAGCATCCACCACATGATGCGCACCAGGAACTCACGACCGTTCCCCTTGACCAGGGCTTTGACGATGGCGCCGTCCATGGCCGCGACTTTGACGCTGATTAGAGTTCTCAGGACCAGGAAGAAGCTGTGGCTGATGAGCAGGCCCATCTCCTTGGTCCTCCATCCCGGCAGCACGATGCGCAGCAGCCTCATCAGCGAGCGGAGGAACTCGCGGTTCAGGCCGACCTTCTTCGTCTTGTCGGCAGCATCTCCCTCGGATATGGATCTGGTGCCGCCGTTTTCGGCGCGCTGTGCTGCCTCGCGGGCTGAGGCCCGTTTTTGATCGACGATGAAACTCCGGATGCGGTTGACGAGGCCCACGAACAGGGCGATGTAAACAGCGCGGGAGATGCGGTTGCGGTTGCGCAGGTATATGGAGGTTAGCTGCGAGACGATGGCGCGGATGGTGTGGGCGCGTGCGGCAGCGCTGCTTGGGGCGACTGGCTTCGACTGAGTCGGCGCCATTGTGGGCGGCTGGTGACGGCGAAGGCGGGAGGAGGCTGTCGATGCGGAGCCAGGGGTTATGGCTGCGTCGTGGCTATCATTGGAAGTCCCCTAGAACCAGGAGGGCTCGTCGAGACGTCGGGAGAGATGCGAAACGCACAGGGACGGAGGTTGGATGACAGCACTGGACAATCGGCAGGGCTGAGTATCCTCTCGCCAATTAGGCGTGTGACAGGAAGCGTTGCAGTTGAAGGTCCTTGCAGGGTGTGCCTAGTGTTCGCGCAACGCTTCGCTGGTTGTTGTCCTGTTTGGAATCCTTGAGATTCGAGTGTGCCCTTCGTCTCCATCCCTCGGTCTTTGCGTCACCCACTTGCTGGAATGGGCAGGCAAGACCGGGAATGAATTGCTGAACTTCAGCATGTGATTGTCTTGGGTTGGGGCGCTCTCCACTGTCCGGAGTGCAGTGGCCCCACGTCCAATGATGTCCCTTGTCTCCAACAGACCGGATTGGTGCATAATCTGGGGGAAACTGCTGGGTATCCGCATGCCCCGGCCCCCAGAAACCACCTCCCGGGAGTCGGAACCCCGAGTCCGAATCACTAACACAGCGTCGGCGTCCTATTTTAGATCCGACTCGACTGGCCAAGATGGCGGTGATGACCGTTCTCAGTTTGATCGTGACCCTCTTCCTCACCTCAGTCTTCGCCAACACTGAAAAAACCATCTTCCTCGGTCCCGAACCCATTCCTCTCACTGTTGTTCACTCAACCCTCTCCGACCTCCGACTCGAAACGCTCACTCCGGCTAACGGGACCCTGAGGACGAAAATCAACGCCCAGTTCCCTAGAACCGAACACTCCAAGGGAACAACCACATGGCTCGTCCTCGACAAGCTCACCCCCAACCAGCGCTATGAAGTGCGCGTCTGCTGGCCAGCCACAGTAAGTATCTCTTTCCTCTGCTTCCACGTCCAAATAAATGGGAACGGCTTCCGAATTATACTTAACACCTTCCCAGCAACCAACCGAATTATCCCTCTCAACCTTTCCCCTCTCCGCAGTGCGGGATGACGCCGAGCTGATGGCCTCATTACACGCCTATTCGGCCTCGCGGCATCATTCATACCCTAACGAGACGACACATTTTTCCATCCAGGGCAATAGCAGCGAGCGTGGGGAACAAGCATCAATCCTGCTTCTGCACATCCTCGCCGCAGCTGACTACTTTACCACCGACACGTCGCTCATGAGGGACGTGCCGCCCGTGGACGTCGACATCATCCTGGATCCGTTCCTCATGAATGTGCTCCCCCGCTCCATCGCAGGCACGGCGTGTTATATTGTCGCCGTGGCCGTGGTAACTTTCCATCTTGCCAGGAGAATGAGTTTATGGTTTCAAGAGCTCATTACATGTGGTAGGGGCAGCTCCTCAAAGCGAAGTGTCAAGAAACGGCAATGACATATTGTGGTATGTCATGTTGTTGCGAGTCTATGTACCGGAAGACATAAGCAAATAGATGTTGAGCAACAGGAAGATTCAGGCATTCGATGTGACGGGATATTTGCGGAAAAAGTCAGAAGCAGAACGTATAAACAGACGAACGAGCCTCGTCATCGCTGCCAATTTCTATCACATCAAACAAAAGCCAGAAATAAATAAAACACAGTCCGCCACCCGCGGCCCGCACTTACACTTTAAGACCCATCATCGGGCACCGTTCCATTCTCGACGACCCCTCCTCCCTTGAACTGCTGTTCTGCCAGTCGAGAATTGTCAAGCCTCCTCCACCACCCTCGGCCGCCCATTCTCACCCATCGTGACCGTCCCCCTGATCTCTTCCACTCTCCCGTCTCCCAAAACTTTGTGGCCCCTTTTAGTGCCCCTTACGCGCCGAGACGGACCTCTCCGACCAGAGGCCCTTCTGTTGACTGAGAGGCCACGGCCCGCTATCCCATCCCCCACCGCCATGTCCCACCGCAAAAACCCGTCCGGCCCCATTACCCCATCCCACGCCACCCACCCATATTGCTCCACAAGATACCGTACCACCGGCCACTACTCAGTCGCACCTCTCAATTCCCGGTCTTGGTACTGCATTTCCACATTCGGAATCACGCTCGTTTCAACTTCCTTAGAGTCGGCATTAACAGCCGGGGGGACCTGGGCATCACACGGAAACCCCTCCTAGTGGTGGTACTGGCCAGCGCCTCCATAGCCCTGCTGCTGCTGCTGATGCTGCTGCTGGTGCGGCGCGCCGCCGGCATACTGCGGCTGGAGAGGGTAGGGCGAGTGGCCGCCGGGCGGAGGCGGAGCCTGGTACGAGGCTGCCGCGACGCCGGCATACTGTGGCTGCTGGCCGTACTGCGGCTGGCTGCCGCCGTGGGGCTGGCCGTAGGGCGAGGGGATTGGGGGTGGGACGCCATAGTTATGTTGCTGCGCGGCGGCGCCGCCGGGGGGAGGAGGCGCGTATGAGTTCTGGCCATAGGCGTGCGGTGGCTGGTGACCAGCCGGGGAGCCGTACTGAGCGGGGTACTGCGCATGTGGAGGCTGGTGCTGGCCTGGGGATTGGTACGACGGCGTCCCGGTTTGGTAGGACGGGACAGTCGTCGGTTGGCCGGGGTGCGAAGGCGGTTGGTACGAAGTCGGCGGGGCCGGTGCGCTGTAACCGCCCGTTTGGCCAGTGTTAGAGTAACCAAAGTTGTTCTGGTTCTATCTTGCTGTTAGCGCAATGCTTGGCCGCGATATAAAAGATAGTTTGTTAAACCTACCGAGCCGTGGGGCTTGCCGCCCAACATGCTTGCGACTCCGCCAACGAGGCCTCCCAGGCCGCCTGCAGAGTGGCCAGATGTCTGACCGCCGTGGTAGTTCTGGGATTGCGAAGAGGGCTTGGATCCGAACAGGTTGCCAGCCAGCGACGACGCAAGCTTTCCACCTATGCCGCCGCTTGCGCCGTGGCTACCGCCGTGCCCGCTGCTGCCGTGGCCCGAGGAGAGAAGTCCAGAAGCGAGCGAGCCGGCCAAACCGCCGACGCCGCCGCCGCTGCCATGGGATCCACCAGGGGGCTTACCGCCGAGGACCCCCCCCAGGAGCGACTGTGACGGGTGGAGAGCATGTCAGCAAGCTGCCAATGAACAGGACCACGAGAAACTATATTAAGAGAACCAAACGCACCCCAAGGCTCCTATCCCCGCTCCCTCCACCGACACCCCTTGTCCCTGCTCCTGCCGACCCATCCTCCCTAGGATGCACAGGCTCGAGCCTGCCATCAGGATACCTAGCCGTCTGGCTTCCGTCGGGATGCACAATGATCTCAGCGCCGTTGTCGCCAGTCTTATGAGGGACGCCGTAAGGGTGCTCGGCGCGGGCGGCAGGGGTGCCGCCAACGGGTGCGGCTTCGGTGGGCGTCTCCCACTGTGAGGCGCCGGTCGACAACTGCACAAAGTAATACTTTCTGGAAGACGCGTCCCATTGGGCGATCCAGCCCGCGGGGAGGGGCGGGGGCGCAAAGGATGGCCCTTCACTGCCGGGGGAGGAGGGACCAGCCATGGGAATCGAGGATGCGCGTGACGGAAATGGTAGATCGATCGACTGCTCGGGGGTGGTATTGTTAGAAGTGCCGAAATGACTGGAGTCAGGGCAGCAGTTCTTGCGCTTCTGTGCTTTGATAAAGAAGAAAGAGAAGAAGAAATCAGTCACCGCCGTGGCAGCGGGTGGGTAAAAGATGACAGTGGGAGCTGAATCCTGTGGCGCGGGCCGATGGAGGGAGGGTACCTGGTAGTAATTTGGAGAGGGCGGGGTAATGTTAGCGCTAATGTTAAGGTTAGCAACAACCTAACTGTGTCAGGGGCTCTCAGATGTTGATTTGGTTCATCACGAATATCAGACCGGGCAAAAGTCAGAAGTGAGTGCCACAAATAGGAAAACCGGGACATTGCGAACAAGCGAAATACGCTCCTTTCCCATGTAAGTGTAAGTGGAAGCTCGGCTGCCTTGCATGCACTCACTATCAGGTTGAGCGCACCGCATCCCGTGCCATCAGGTCAACTTTTGCACTCAACCACAGAACAGGTAGCTGGTCATCCCGGTCAACCCCTGGAATGGGAGGGAGCCAACGCCGCTGCGCTCATTCATTGCTCCCATCCACGTCGCGGTCCTTCGATCCACGACCCCTTTCAACCCTCACAGCTTCAGCTTTCTTGAATGGACAACGCAATGACCACCCAAACAGGCCAAACTAAAGGTTATGAACCATTCCATCATTGGACGTTCTATCAATCGAGCCCACATCTAGGAGACTTCCACAGCACTACTCCATCTTGTTAGCTTACCTCAGCTCCGCCACGAACCCGACCTTGCCCTAGTTCCTTCAACAAGAACAGCCCATCACAAGCCCATTACTCCAGTCCGTACCACAGTAGAGACCGTGGCGATTACACAAGGAGTTTCCAAGTTGAATCAGAGCGAACACGCATAGCCCCATCGCTCCTGCTGAAAGATAAATGTTACCTTCCACTCGCGAGCCGCTAACCCTACGGGTACCTAACCTTCTCTACCTGGGCACCTGATGCGGTTTCAGCCACAGCAGCTGGCGTGTCCTCGCACATAGCGGGAGGCAGCCGATCCCATCGCCCCTCTTTCACACCTTTTTCCAATGGTTCGTTTTACCCAGGAAACAGCAAGGCGACACGGCCGGACAACTTGGAAATGTGAGAAATGATAGTGAGAAGACATCGTCTGTCTCTGTAGTATATGCGTCCCTTTGGACTCCCCTGGCGGTGTTGAATCCCGCCCAAGCTGTAGCGTAAACAGTGTGGACCGCATATTGTGTAATGTGCCAAAAGCAACACATCAACGTGTAAATGCCCATTGTAGCCCAGAACGCAACGCCTAACCCATCCTCTCACATGCGCCATCCCGTCCGTCTATGCGAGACTCCCCGAAGACATCATCTACTCTCTTCCAGTCCCTCTTCGCTCACCCCATTACTATCCGGCCTGTCGCCGTCAATCTTGTTCCTGACCGCCACTTCCTCCACCTTCTCCTTCAGCGCGTCGCCGTCGCCCATTGTACCCGCCTCCTGACCGCCCGTCAGGCCCTTGCGGATGGCCAGGACGGAATCGACAATGACGGCGTCGATGCCCTCTTTGACCTGGCGCTGTAGATTCGTCAGTCACTGAGTCAAACAGAAAAAGGAGACGAATCAATAAGTGGATAGCATGGGAAGAAGAAGGGAAAAAAAGAAGAAGAAGGGAAAAAAAGAAGAAAAAAGAAGGAAAAAAAACATACCTGCACCAGCCGCGGGTCATTATTCATGGTCCCGTAGCTCACACAAACCAGCCCATTCTGCTTGACCACCCTCACCAGCCGGGGCGAGTTGACAAACGGCTCCGAGTGGCTCACGATGCCCAGCAGATTCCACCTCGACGCGAAGCGGATGGCCTCCTGCAGGCTGCTGGCGCGGATGTCGCCGACGGGGCTGGCCCCGGCGTCGGTGAGGAACAGGATCGGAATGTTGGGCTGCTTGAAGCTCAGGCACAGACAGATATCCGGGTTGAATGAGCTGAAGATGATGTGCCGCCCGTCCAGGTGGTCGTACACTTTGGCCAGCACCGTGTCGCAGAACGAGTTCAGCTCGACCGCGTACGTGTCCATCTCGTGCTCCTCGCTCTCATGCAGCATCGGGTACTTCATCTCGATGTTGAACCCCACCGATGGCGGCAGCTTGCGGAAGAGGTCCTCGAGCGTCGCGAACGGCGCCTGGATGAAATTGCCGCGCGAGTTAGCCTTGAACCCCTTCTCCTTAAAGTCGCGCGTGTGCTTCATGCGCTCCTCCTCCATCTCTTGTTTGCTCAGGTGATCTCGCGCGGCCGGCCAGTCCATGGACATGGACCGCTGCCGCGGGCCAGGGCTGTTGGTGCGAGTTTTGTGGACTTGTTTATGCTGCGCTTCGGGTGCGTGGTGGGCTCCGTTGCGGGAGGAGTCCGGGTTGATGTGAAGGAATTGTTCGAGGGTGAGCGTATGGACGGGGGCGTCGAAGCCTGTTTCGCTGACGAGGAAGTCGTGGTAGATGACGGGCACGTGGTCCTTTGTGAGCTGGACGTCGAACTCAACGTACTGCGCCCCCAAATTGGCTGCCGCGATGAAGGAAGGGACCGTGTTCTCGCCGAGCTGCAGCGACCTGTTGGAGACGACGTTCTTGCCCAGGCCGCGGTGGCCGATGACCATGGTCGATGTCATCTTCTTCCAGTACGTCTGCTGCTCCGTCACCTCCATGTTGGGATGCGAAAAGGGCGTGATGACCAGGAAGTTGAAGTTGACCGTCCCGATGACCTCCAAGTTCGCCCCCACGATAGGAACGCAAACGTCTCCCTGAAGATTCATCCTCTTGTTCCCTATCGTTGGCCGCACGCTGGAAAGCAGGGCCACGCCACGGCCGATCTTATTGTTTTGGTTGCCCGAGTACGTCGGGACGATGTCAAACAACAGCTTGACCTTGGCGGCGTCAGCCGTTGTGAAGACGATGGGCTCCGTCGAGATGTTCTCATGGACCGGCATGTCGATGATGGTCGGCTCGCCTTGCGCGCCCTGCGCCGACACAACGATCGAGAGGGCCGTATCCAGCTGGGTGGTGTGGGCCTCGGTGAGCGGCACATTATCCAGAGTGACAGCCTCGACATTCTTCCGCATGTCCATCGAACCGAGGCTGACGAGCACCATACTCTCGTCCTTGAGGTACCGATGGCCAAACGACTTGACAGGTTCTGCAGGCCGCGAGGAGCCGTTCGACCTCCTATCCCCCAAAGAAGCGACCTCGCGAGGGGCGGGTTCGGTGGCCGCCTTCTCCTCGTCAGAGCTGCTCGTTCCCGTGTCGTCCTCATCCCGGCTATGCGCAGCAAGCAGGCGGGCGATATCGAGGTGACCTCTTAGCGCTGCGTGCTCCTTGGCCGTCCAGCCTGACGAGTCCGGCTTTACCACATCCGCCCCAGCATCCACCAAAAGCTGTGCAATTGACAGATGGCCATCCACCGCTGCGACGTGAAGGGGCGTCCAGGCAAACGAGTTTTCCGTCAGCTCGAGGTTGGCCTTCTGGTCCGCCGTCCCCTTCAGCAACACCTTGGCGCACTCATGATGACCGAACCGCGCAGCGATATGTAACGCCGTCTCCCCATCCTTGTCCTGCCAGTTGATATCAACGCCAGCCTCGACCAGCATCTCCACGATCGGTTTGTGGTTGGCCTTGGTCGCGATGGCCAGAACCGCGCTAGACTTGGATATGCGCCGCCTCATCTCGGCCTTGTTGTCGCTCACGCCCTGCCAGTCTTCGCCCTGCAGCAAGGCGTTGGTCGTCAGAGCATGACCGCCGAGGACGCTGAGATGAACCGGTGCGTTGCCATCCTTGTCCTGCCACTCGGTAGCGTCAACGCCGTTCTCGACGTTGAACTGCCCCCAATCCTGCATTGTTTTCATCAAAATCTGGCAGACAACGACGAAGCCAAACTGGGCGGCGTAATGCAGCGGGATCCGGCCAAAACCGTCTCTCGCAACCAGCGCTGATCTCTGGCTTGATTGGAGGCTCTCCAGCAGATACATGAGCATCTGAACTGCTTCGTCGTCCTTGGTGAGAAGACTCGGCGATTCTTTCAGGCCAAAGATTCTCGGAGCCGCAAGGGGCGACGTCGCTGGTGTGAGGTAGGTCTGTGCGTATTGAGCTGCCCTAGGGAAGGGAAACGAAGAAAGATTTTGGCCCACGTCGTTCTTGGACGAGACTGTCTTTGTCCGACCGATGTGAATCACAAGCCTGTGGATGCAGTTCCGCTCGTTGATGTCGTCGGGTTCGTCAAGTGACGAGATATTGTCCAGCAAAAACGCAATGGAGCCCCTGGAACGCGCGGAGATCGATCGTTGGAGCAGGTTGAGCAGCATCCTCTGCGAGGCCGGTTCCGAGTTCAGGAGATTCCCAGTGGTCAGACCGTCTTTCAAGGCCCCCACGTCGTCTTTCCGGATGGCCTGGTCCAGCATGTCCAACAGACCCGACGGAACACTTAGCATAGCTTTTGCCGATGCTCGCCCGAGTGAGCGGGTTGACCTCTCGGACCTGGCATCGTCAACATGGTGCGAGTCGCCCAGGACCGAGATCCACTTGTTGATCTCGGCCAGCAGCCTGGCGATGGCGGTGTCCTTGGCAAACGGCCGCGTGTCGACCTTTGTCGAGATGTAGCGATGTTGTGTCGTCGTGTTGGGCACCTTCTTGTCGAGCTTCTTGGTGATCTTGACGAAGCCGCGGCGGTTAATCTCGCCAAACCACTGTAGCTTCCGCAGCTGGCTCCGAAGCTCGAGCAGAGCGCCCATCAGCTCCTCAATTTCGTCATCGTCGAGGTTCGCCACAACGTCGGGAGAGTTGCCGTATCGGTCCTGAAGCACCTTGAGCCTCCGGCAAGCCTCGGCAAGCTTTTTGTTGTAAAAAGAATCGACGTCCTCCAAATTGCGGTCCAGGTCAAAGAAGAACTCTGTCGTTCTATGTCAGCACAAAGTATAAGTAACGTGTTGGGTTATGCCCACCTGCTAGATCAACCGGCTCTCCATCCTGAGCGGCCTTGGCTGCACCCTTAATGAGCTTTTTGAGGCGCTTGTAGTTGATGTATGAGCCCGCCCACTCGGGGACTTGGTTTCGCGGGAGACTGCACATCAAGGTTAGTCCATGCCGTACTACCCATCAGAAGGCGAGTCCCGGGTGACATACTTTCGACCGAATTTCATGCTGAAAGAGTATTTTGAAATAAGACCGGGGGTCGTGGTAGTAAGAGGACTGAACTGTGCCGACTTATGCCAGGCAGCGTGTGCAAGACCGGGATCCCGGGGCACAATGATGAGTTACCTGTATTCGGGTAGAGAGACTGGGTGAGGCAAAGTAACTGGTGCTGTTTAGAAGTTGATCAAGTAGACTTGGACAGTTAACAACTGGGAGCTTGCATATTGGTGCAAGACTCTGAAGCAATCGTAAAAGGAAGGAATGGCCAATTTGCTCCTTGATCGCCGCCAACAGGGTTAAGTTCGAAGGTTTCCACTTGTGACGCCAATCTGCAAATACTGCCTGGAAGCTGGCAGTAGTCCTTCGTCTTCAAGAGAAAGTTCAAGATGGCAGTCTTATCTCAGAAAGAGTCACGTTGAAACTTGCGAAAATGACTAAAGGCGCTGTTTGTTCAGGAGCAACCGGGATTCTTGGTGTTGATAAGTCAAATCGGACAATAATAAATGGTGAGCAAAACACCAGCCGGACTTAGGAGACTCTCTTACGAACCCCGGTAAGCAGGGTCTAATATTGAGGGAAAACGCACGGCTGCTTCGTCATGTTCAGGTACCTTCCCGGCTCTGTATCGACATGTCCATTTTGCCTTGAGCCAGACCTGATGAGCTCATGTCCCAGGTACATAAAGACAACCAGACGAAAGCGGACTCGGAAGGGGCATCTGAATTTCGACCTCCGGGCCGGAACCAGTGAGACTTCGCCGTGGCGTCCAGTGCAGCCAGGGATTGGTCCTATTGGACGATCTGCCGCCCCACCCATCTCAAAACGACGTTTCGAAGTCATTTATCCCACTGTGGCGGTGCGTCCCTCCCATTTGAGTTCTCAGTGGCAAGCTGCAAGCCATGAGAACGTGCCGAGTGTGCGTGAGAAACTGGAAATCCAACTAGATCCAATGCATTGTTGTCTCCTCCCCGCACTCTTCCCCATGGAGGTTGCACCTGAAGCTGCTTGAGTGCCACAAGTGAGTCTGCTCACCGCTTTCATCGTCACGAGAGACAAAAGAACCTCGTGACCCGCCCACCCTGTTAAAACCCTCAGGACACTAGTCAGGCACCTCGCCGGCAAGTATTGGCGGGATACGCTGGTCTTGTGACTCCCCTTTCGCCTCCACGAGATCTAGAGTTGGCCAGCACCCATACCCCTTGCCTTGGCCATTGAGACTGAAGTTTGACATTCTCCCTTCTCTTGGCGCGGGATGGCAAGAGTTGGCTTGCTCGTTGAACAATCATGTTGTGTCAGTGTTCGTGGCTCTCAAGTTGACAGCAGCTCCGGCCTGTCAAAGCGTCTTTGCCAACAGTACCCGAGCTCGGCGGAAACTATTGAAACCTCCTTGTATCCCAGATCTACCGTACCGCCTCAATCCTCTCTACACAGGACACCCGTCTATGCCTCCTGGGTATATACATTGTACACCAGTTCGTACACTGTCCTCTTCACGCCTTTCAACGCCAGTTCCCGTTCACCAGCCAGCATGGCGATCCAATGATTGCGCCGTTGCCGCCGCCATTATCCATTATTCAGAACGACGCCGCCATTACCCAGTATTCAGAACGACGCCGACGTCTTCCAGAACGAGAAATTCGGCTTCGGCAACGCCTGCAGCAACCGCGAGAACGGATCCGGCCTCTCCCGTCTCCACGCCCTGGCCTCGCGGGTTTTAAGGTTGGCCAGGTAGTGTTCAACGTAACTCACCACCCTCCCCAACGCGACATCTCCGCTGTCGGTCTGCATCTGCTCAAGCCCCTGGGCATATGACGGGGGGAGGGCCTCAATCAGCGCCAGCTTCAGCTGATGGTCGATCTCCTTGCTCAGCTCGAAGCACAGGCCCACCCGGTACTCGAGCGTGCCCGGCGCGGCATACCGCAGCGCAAGCTTCATTCGCTTCTCGAGGGGAACCTGGCGCGAGAACTGCGCCCGCGTCCGCAATTTTTTCGGTGTGAGATTCGCGAGCGCGACCGCGATGCCGTATTCGACTTTCCCAACTAGGTGATTGGACGCCTCAATTTCCGTGGCCAGCCAGGCCAACCTCGCCAAACGCTGATTTCTCTCCACCTTTTCCATCTTCCGCCACGGGCGCTCGGCCTCCCGGTTGAGCGCCCGTAAGACGGCGTCCAGTCGCTCACTCAATGGCCCGTCGTCGGAAAGCGCCTGACGTGCCTTTCTCAGAACCCAGTCTAGGTTCACGCAGTAATGCCACGTTTCTCTTATCCAAATCGCTGTAACGAGGTGGTTGAGCTCTGCTCTCCTGGGTTGCCCTGTGTTCGGGCGAGGAGACTGAAACTCGCAGCTATCAGCTCCATCGTCCCTGGGGAGCCTTGTCGCTTGGCAGATGTTGAGAAGGTGACGCAGCTGCCTAACCACCGGGTAATGGACTGGAGACGGACCGAGCAGGAGCAACGAGGCTTTGTCAATGTTATGAACCAGACCATGAATAATGATGTTGGCTGCAGTCGTGTCTACAACGACGAGACACGAGTGGAACAATCTCCAGAGCAGTTCGCTGTTGAAATACCACTGCTCCGCGAGACAAACGGCGAGCAGTCTGGCGCCCGCGGGAAGCATGTCGAAGTCGATAAGGCCCTCCAGCATGGCCTCGGCAAGGTCCTTGGTAAATGGCGCACGCTGGACGTAGTGACCCTTGACCAGGGCGACATCTTGGGTCGCTGCCCACCTCCGCAGCAGAGGATCCCGTGCTACCGCCGCCTCGGATCTCCGCATCAGCCCAATGCCGCGGTGGTCGTGGCCGCACAAACGTCGAATCACGCCATGGAAGCCCACGCCATCCCCTTTTAGTCGGTAGTGGTGCAACAGGCACAAATATGTCGCTTGCGTCGGTTTCAGGCTGCTCACAAACAGGAAAGAGTCCACCACGGCCTGCGACAAGTTGTGTTCGCCAAGGAGCGAGAAACCCAGAATCAGGGTGTTGTAGTTTTCGATACTGGGAGGAGTGCCGCAAACCAGGAGGTTGTAGCAGATCTTTGCCACATAGTGTACCCGCAAGGGCGGGGCCCAATCGTTCAGGATGCGTAAATTGAGTTCGTTCAGTCGAGCCCGCTGCTCGATGGTCTCTCGGCGGTTCAGGTCTGGATGGGCATACGAAGGGTAGCCATCCGAGCGCAGCATGCGGATCATGGTGTTGGCGGAGTCCGGACTGCTGGGAGAGGGTTGCGAGCCGGGCGCTTGCATTTCCGAGGTATACCAGGCCTCTGCCAGGAGTCGGTCCACCAAGTCGTTGACCATGTCGGAGTACTTTTCCATGTGCTTCTCGGACTGCGGCTCCCGGGGTGCCGAGATGGGCATTTCCTTTTCTTCGGCGGCAAGAACCTCCTCCCATTTGGCCAAAGTTGTGGTCCCATCCGGTGTGTGCGTACTCCAACCCAAGCCGAGCGAAACACGTAATTCCTGGATCAACACGAGTCTGTTGTGGCGAATTTGGTCTCGGCCGCGCCAGTCCTGGCGGCGCTGATTGTTAATGCGATTCAGCACATCCAACCTCTCCGGAGGGGGGGTATCGAGGAAATCTGGGTAGGGCGAGTCCACTATCTTTGCCAAATCTCGGGCAGCCGACTGCTCCAGCATAGCAGCCAGAGTGCTCTTGGCTTCTGCAATTTTGCCGTCGAGCTCGCGCCTACGCTCATTTTTGCGGCGGGCGTCAAGGACAGCGGCTGTAGCCATGACGGCGGTATAGCATGCCGTAAACACATCGCTGGCTAGGACTTTGCGGCGTCGGGGGTTCGTAGCCGTGGTCGTCGTCGCTCGTCGAATAACCGTGTTTGTTGCTCGCAAGCACGCCCGGCAGTGGCAGGCCCGCAGTTGGACTGCCATTGACCCCAGGCCCAGCATCGTCGGGGCATTTCGGTCAAGCGGCCTGCGAGCGGAGGGTGCAGGTCTGAGGCTCGAGTTGTCGAGGGGCTGGCTGATGGACCGAGGTCCCGATTTGTGATATGGAACCAAAAACCTCAGCCAATTGAGCAGTTAACTGGCCGGGGCTGTGGTGGGCCCACTGCTTCCCAAGCTCTAGTAAACTAGCCCCGGGGAAATGCTGCGTCGTTTAGTACATACCAACCTGGTAACTTATCTTAGAATCCTTTACATCGGAATGATGCCAAGGAATCATTGTGAGTAAATTTGGCACGGCATTCTGGCGGTGTGTCTGCATGAGAAGAATCGTTGATGGTTTGTTGAGGGTGCATGATCTGCTGTTTGAATACCTCCTGTTGTAATCCGTACAGCTGGACGTATAGAAGAACTGAAACGAGTGTCGCTTTCGGAAGTCGATGCATGGACGGAGTGGGGCTGCCTCAGGTGGGGATCTTCAGTGATACGCCAGATCAAGCCTGTCAACACCAAGACAGCTGTGTCCCAGAGTTCAACCTTAAGGTAGACTCTAAGCAGGTTCGTTCACCTAGGCTGTTGGCAAATCATCATCGCATCCCAATCGTGGCTCAGACAGCAACTTTTCTCAAATTCGTGCCCACGATGTATGCTCTCACACTGAAGGCTGAGCTGGCTGGGTAAGCTGTCTCTTGATTTCAGCACGTTATCCACAGCAAGTACAGAGCAAGTGAGGCTGATGCATAGCTTGCAGAGTCACGAACCTGCGGCCAAAAGACACCCAAGAAGCCAACTTCTTTTACACATTCAGGGTGCAATGCACGTCTTGCAGAGAAATTCATCCTAACCCCATTGCCGTCAACCGCTTCGTAAGCTACCTCAACCATAGCCCGTGTATCCGACATCACAATGCTGGGATCTCACACCAACCAGGATACGAACGAGATGAGCGGCAGCAGGGGCGAGGCCAACTTTGTGTGGAAGTGTAAGAATTGCAAGGTACGGAATGCACCTGCCATATCTATTGTCGAGGGGACGGCACAATCTAACCTGCGCATCTCTTGGGCAGAGGGAATCCTCGGCAACGATAAGAACCGCCCCAACCCCGTACGAGCAAACAGAACCTGCCGCGGCGCAGAAGATCCTCGAGTTTGACTGCAGGGGGTTAGAGTTCACAGAGTTCATCCCGGAGGTATGTCGACAGGACTTTCTGTCTTCATATCCCGATGTGCTGACACATAATCTGGTACGTACCCAGGGAGAGTGGCTTGCGGACGGCATCGACTCGGGAACCAAGTTTGAAGGGCTAGACCTAACCGAGGGAGAGTGGTTCGACTACGATGAGAAGGCGGGCGAGGAAGTCAGCATCAGAGACTTGGTGTGGGACATAGTGCGGGCATAAACAAGATGAATTCCGAGACAGAGCTAAGCGAAGAGGTCTTCGGTTCCCTTTTGCACCTTTGCGTGATTTACGTGTGTTGTTGCAGGTGCTACCTGTAATGGTTAGGTACGGTGTATTGTCAGTATCAAAGGGTCGGCTTTCATAAGGTATCTCACAGTACGGATCCGTAGAGTGCCCTGCACGGAGTACTCCGTACTAGGGCCAGTTTCAAGACCCACCCACCGCAGCTGAGGTTAACTTTTCGAAACCGTAATTCGTAATCCGTACACCAATGCGGCCGGCAAAAGCACCCAACCCATCCAAGACAACACCAGCTTCCTCTCACGACGGAAAAATGACTTCTGACGAGCTGGCAGCCACCTTCAGATTCATGACAGATGCAGGTCACCTCCTGGCGGCGGCGGCGCCCGAGACTTCGGCATATTTGATGAGACGGCGCAACGAACTGATGTTTGAGCACGAGATGGCCCCAACCGACAAGCAGAGACAGCAGGTCTGCAACTGTTGCGGTCACATCATGCTCCTCGGGCAGGACAGCAGCTTTCACGTCAAGGCGGCGAAGAGAGCGAGCAAGAAGCTCCGCTCGACTCAACGACCACATGGCAAAGTGGCGCAGAGTGTTGGTCTGCAGACTGGCTCAGGCCCGGCGAAATTCATCACTTGCGGCTACTGCGGCAAGTTCACAGAGGTCAAAGTCCCGGCTCCTGCCGCGATCTCGAGGCACAAGATGAAAGTAGAGAAGACCACCAAAGCCTCGGGGCCAGCAATGGCTCCCTCTCTGTCCAACACCGTTCCGGAGACGCCATCCCAGAAGACGAGCTCCAACGCCAACAGCAAAAAGAGGGCCAAATCCAGAAAGGCAGGACTGCAGGCTTTGCTGGATCAGTCCAGATCCCGGGCCTCACAGCCTGGACTCGGCTTGAGCCTCGTCGACTTCATGCAGAAGTGATATCAACCTTGTTTTTGGTTTCGAGATTGCATGCAACTCGGTGCGACTTGAAGTTTGGGAGCCTCTCCGAACATTCGGGAAGCTTGGCGCGACCTCGGCACCACCTGGACGTCCTTGGCCATGACATAAGCCTGTCAAGGTCGCAGACCCCACTGCGCCAGAGGGATTGGCGCTGCATTATCAACTGAATGCCCCGCCAAAGTCGACTTTTCCAGCGGTTACCCCTCCAAAATTTCCTTGATACCCAATACCTCATTGACAACACCACACAAAGGAGACAAGATGCCAGAGCTGTTCAACCCGATCGGCGAGAAGGCCGAGAAAGTCGCCCCGGCGGCCTTTCCCAATGGGACAGCGCCCGACGAGGAGGAGAGGGTGGTCGAGGAGATTGAGTCCCTCTGCATGAACTGTGAGGAAAATGTAGGTCGAGCCGTCGTTGAGCCTAGACACTAAAAACAGACACGCATGCTAACCACAATGTGATCCAGGGCGTAACACGTCTCCTCCTGACCAAGATCCCCTATTTCCGCGAAATCATCATCATGTCATTTTCGTGCGACAAGTGCGGCTTCCACAATAACGAGATCCAACCCGCCGGTACTTTTCAACTCAAGGGCGCTCGTTACGAGCTCCGGTTAACCGCCATGCCCGATTTCGAGCGCCAGGTCGTCAAGTCGGACACGGCCACCGTCAAGTTCATCGAGCTGGATGTGGAGGTTCCGGCTGGCAAGGGCCAGCTCACAAATGTAGAGGGGCTCTTGACGACCGTCATCGACGACCTCGAATACGGCCAAGAGAAGCGAAAAGAGGAAGCACCAGAGGTGTACGCCAAGATCGAGGAGATCATTGCCAAGGCCAGGAAAATGCTTGCCGGCGAGGCATTCCCCTTCCGTGTTTCCGTCGACGATCCGGCTGGCAACTCGTTCATCGCCCCTGACATGCGCGACGGCGTGGGCAAGTGGGAAAAGCGGGAATACATTCGAACGCCCGAGCAGAACGCAGCGCTTGGTCTAGCCGACACGGTTACCACAGACCTCGACGAGAAAGGAGACATCATTCCCGACCAGGTCTACCAGTTCCCCGCCTCATGCCCCGGCTGCCTGCACCCGTGCACGACCAACATGAAGATGGTCGACATCCCTCACTTCCGGCAGGTCGTTATCATGAACACGTCGTGCGACGACTGCGGGTACAAGTCTAACGACGTTAAGACGGGTGGCGAGATCCCCGAGAAGGGCAAGAAGGTGACGCTTCGCGTCAAGACACAAGAGGACCTTGCCCGCGACATCCTCAAGAGCGAGAGCTGCTTCCTTGAGTGCCCTGAGCTCAGCCTATCGGTCAACCCAGGCACCCTCGGCGGCCGCTTCACCACCGTCGAAGGCCTGCTGACGCAGGTGCGTGACGACTTGCACAACCAGATTTTTGAGGCCGATGCCGACGCCGAAGCGACCGCCCGCAAGAACGACTCTCTCGCCCCCGATGAGAAGAAGCGGTGGGAGGAGTTCTTTGACAACCTGAGTTCTGCCGTCAAGGGCGAGAAGGAGTTTACCATTGTCCTCACCGACCCCCTGGCGAGCAGCTATGTCCAGAGCCTGGCGGACGATCCCAGCCAGCCGGATGAGCAGATGAGGGTGGAGGAGTATGAGCGGACAGATGAGGAGGAGGAAGAATTGGGGTTGAAGGATATGAAGACGGAAGGGTACGAGGAAGATGCGGAGAAGGGTACAGAGAAGGAGGAAAGAACATGAGCTGGAACTTTTCGTTGTTTGGCTGTTAAAGTGATGGATGGCAATGACCTATCTACGTTCTAAATGTCAATTGAGATACCCTGTCTAGGGTTAGGTGAAATGCATGATGCCATGCCACGAAGCTCATGAATGGGATATTCATCCGCTCAGGTAGTCCGTTCCCTGTTGTGTCCGCGAAGCGTTACATGTGACTGAAGTGGTTCATGCTAGTCTGGATCTCATTCCTTGGACAAATCATCACACGAGAACCTTAGAACGCGATGAGCAGTCCGTATTTTGCAGCGCTACCAATTTGTACAGGCAACACCACTGAGTACGAATCATGGGCCACCTCATACAGAACATAGTACCATCCAAACCACCATATACACTTGATCTCAGAAGCCCGTCATTACCCTCCGAACGCAGCGTCAGGTATGTTTCTCGTGAACAAACAACGCCCGCCACCTCACCTGCCCTAAACATGGTATCAGACCCAACCAATCACCTACTCACCCTATAACCGTGAAACAGTGAAAGCATAAGACAGCAGTGGCAGATAGGCAGGCAAGCAAGCAAGTAGGGAAACAAACAAGGAAAGGGATGCAAAAGCAGAGCAAGTAGCAGCCTATATCTGTATATTTCCCTCGCCACTAATGCCAGGGAGATACGTTAGAAAGAAAAAACAGTAAGAGGCGGAACGCAAGCTCAGTGAGAAGCTCTTGGGGCAGCAGAAGCCCCACAGAGCCAGGTAAGGTGCAACTCAACCATGTGATGCCGCCGTAGGGTTAGAAAGCCGCGTGTGAGCATGTAGTCCCCGAGACAGCAACGCCGCGAGTACCCCTTCTCTCACGGCCAGGACGGACTTCCTTTCCTTTCGATATTGGGGCAGGTCGGCCGAGCAACAGGATGTGATCCCGAGTCAGACGAGAAAAGCAACCAACACCGGAAGATCTCGCGAGAAGGGAAAGAATGCAAGAAAGCAACCCGGCTCCTCCATATCTAAACTCCCCAACTCCCAGGATTATCTGCGTGTCTGGCTGCGGTGCTCTGCTCCGCCTAGGCTGTCTAGGCACCCGTCGTCTTTGCTTCCCCCGCCCAGCCACGACCACATATAAACACAGACGACGAAGAAAAGAGAAATAAGGACCGCTGTGCCACAAGTGGAATGGAATAGGAGATTCGGGTATGGGTATCGCTGCCACCATTCGTCCAGAACCACCAACCAACCCCACCAGTATCATCCGTTCAGCCCCTCCTCGACACCGAAGTCAAAGTAGCCCAGAACAGAGAAGCAAAGTGAAAAAGGGAGACAAACGGAAGCAAAGGCCAGAAGCACAGGCCAAAAAACCATACCTCGATCCACCGAAGCCCAGCCTTGCCTGAACCTCAAACCCCAACCACCCAAATCTATCCCGCACCCCAGCGCCACCCCACGCCACGTCATCACCATGCACCCTTCCTGCAGTTGCTAAAAGAAAGTCGGCTTCGTCAGAACGCGATACTCGACATAGTCCTCGCCGTCAATCGTGATGATCATGCCCTGGCTGACCAGCTTGCCCTGGAACGGCCCGCTCTGCTTGCGCTGGTATTTGACGCCCATGTACATCTTTGCGTCCTCGGCGCCGGCGCGGATGCGGTTGGCCTCTTGCGCCTCCCAAATCCTGTTGAGCCGCGAGACATTGTCCTGGAAGTGGTGGCGGTGGTGGCCGTTGTTGCCGTTGCTGTGGCCGTTGCTATCGTGGTTGGTGCGGGTAGTTGGGCTGGTCCGCCTGGCTGCGGCTGTGGCGGCGGCCGTGGAAGGAGCGAGGGACGCCTCACGTTTGGCTGCGTGAACGCCGGCGCGTGCTTGAACGGCCTCGAGACGGGCTATCTCGCGCTGAGCAAGCGAGTGGGTGCGCTCGACGGCGGCGGCGCTGGGACCCGGCGTGGTTCGATTGGCGGCGCGGAACTCAATGTCGGGAAGGGGCTTGCGACCAGCGGCCACCGCCGCCGCACGCGGACCGTTCTCTGAGCGCCGCGAATGGCGGAGCTCTTCAAGTTGCCCGGCGGAGGCGAACGGGGAGGTTACAGTGCCGGGGTCTGCTGAACCTTTCATGGCAAGGGGAGCGAAGTCGTTGCTGCCACGGATAGGGATGCCAGTGGCGAGACTCTGCGCGACGCGGTGCTGTGCTTCGTACACGGCCTTGATCTCATTCGCGGTTCGCTCCGCGGGAGCCTCTCCGAGATCCAGTTGGTGCTGACGGACCCGGCAGTACTCCTTGACCTCGTTCCTGCTAAGATTGGCGAGATGAGGTTCAAACTCGACCTCGTCCCAATGGATCCAGAGCGCGCCAGGGCCACTAGGAAAGTTGCCCACGACGGTCCGCCCATCCCTTGTCTCCCGCGCCAGTTTGACTCTGAACATGTCGTTGGCGCCAAGAATACCGAGTACAGCATGCTTGTTGATAGGGTCCTCTTCACTCGAACGCTTCCAGTAGCCAATCAGGACTTTTGTCGGTCTGGTCCCTGGGATATTATCGAGGGGGTTTTGAGGAGTTCTCGGTGGATCGGGGGTTGCACCGAGGGAACCAGCCAGGCGGCGCTTCTTGGTCTCTGGTCGGTTAGGAAGGACGGCGTTGGCAGGGATCTCGGCGCCGTAGGCGACCGAAGGCGCGGTGGCGGCTTCTGGGGGCGGGTTAGTCCTTACGCGTTCGGCGGCCAGTTCAATGGCTTCCTTGTCTAGCTTGGCCCTCTCCTCTGGGGTTTCATCGTTGCGACTGCCCTCAGCGCGGATCTTGACGTATTCTTTGATTACATGGTGGTTTTGGCCGGCGAGGTGGGCATCAAAAGCTACCTTGTCGAAAGTCACCCAGCTACCACCAGGCCCAGGTGGGATTGGGTACCTCTGGTCCATGGGACGACCGTCCCGGGTAGCTGGCTGGATGCGAGTGCGGAGGCGGTCTCGAACATCGATGAAACCAACAACACCATGCTTATCCGCCTCGTTTTTAGCGGGCGAGTCACGCCAATAGCCAAGCAGCACCCCCTTCACGCCGCCGGCACCGTGTAACTTAGAGGGTCGAGCCGGACGACGTGAGTCAAGGTCCTCGGTAGGCGCCGGGCTAGCCAGCTCTGAAGCGTCCACCAACTCAGGATACGCAGCGGAGGCTCGCTTCCGTTTTTGGTGATGGATGAGCGGCGTTTCCTCGGGGTCGCCCATGACAGCATCTTCTGGTTCGGGGGCCTTCGTGCGGGACGGCTTGTTATGAGCGTTACTACCAACAATGATCTCGTCCTGCAAGGCGTTGTGTGGGAGACTCGAGGCGTGGCTCATTGTGTCCTCAAGAGGCGAGTCAAGTGGCGGGGAATCAGGCGGGGGTGAGAGCTCGTCGTTATTGTCCTCGATATCCGCGTTAATGTCGTTGTTCACATCCTCGTTGGCATCCTTGTTGACGTCCTCGTTGATGTCATTGTTGATGTCGTCGTCGACATTCATCAGCATAATCTCATCGCTGTCGTCCTTGCTGTCCGAGCTGATGTTCTCACTGACGCTTATGGGGGTGGTCTCGTCACTGTCCCTATTGCTGCCCTCGTTGGTGGTTCCGACGTTGCGTGTGTGATCGTCCAGGTTGCTGTGTGCGCGCTTACTAGTGCTACCGTTCGGTTCTTGATGGCTGGCACTGAGGCTGGCGTTATGGCACATGATAAGTCACCTTGCTCTCTCAAGGGGTATGTAAGAGGGCGAGGTCGAATGAACCTACGATGGGGACTGATCACCGTGGCTGCCATCGGTTGTCATTCGGACACGAAAAAAACTGGTTGATCCATAGCTGTCAGTCCCAGTGCCGGGATATAAACACGGCTTAACGAAAAACATCCGTTAATTGTGCGGGATATGGACGGGGTACGGAGTATAGTCATGTGGATCGACATCAAATTTGAGCTGACAAAGAGAACCGAGCAGCGTCGGCTCAAAACTGAACATCTCATGTGTAGCAGGCTCAAGGGAGATCTGAAGCGATTGACACTCGTCGCAACTGTGAGTAACTTACCCGTGGGCAGGCTCGCCTTGAGCCCGAGTCTGTGTGATAGGAGATCCAGTCGACCCAGTCATTTCCACATCGCTGTGTGTGCCATACTTGTTAGCTCTATGAATTGACGCAGGATGTGACTGAGGAAGGCGAGGATGATTCAGAGGGCGGTCCCAGAGATATATAAGATACGGTGAGAAGTGCTAGTGCCTTTATGTTGAACCGTAATGGGTGTGTATTTAGAGACTGCAGAGTAAAGAGACACCCAGCTGTCGAGCGATGGGCCTGGACGGTTCAACGGTGGTTGCTGGTGGTGGTGGTGCAGACTGGATGGGAAAGGGGGAGGAGGAGACGAGGTAAAACTTGCCTCTCGGAACGAGACCGTGCCACAAAAGATCTGAAGATGTTTCTCATATTAGTTTCCGGTTCCTGCTGCCTTGAGATGTGACAAAATGACCCGCCAATTTGTTTTACAGAAAGTAGCTCGTCGACGAGAAGGCTAGCAGAAACAAGTGGGAGCTCTTGGGGAAAGTGAAGACATGACAATAGCTGGTCCCCGTGGCCGTGCTTCGACCATGCCCCCCTTCTACATAACTGGAAAGGGCGGGAAGCGAGACAGGTCCGGGTGAGAATGAGGAATGGGAGAGCAATGGCGGTCGACGAAGGAAGGGGTGTGAAGAGGGAAAGCCAGTTTGGTAGGGCACTGTGAGAAGATAGACTTTACTCACTCATCAGTTTGTTCGGTCTTTGGTTCTGTTTGCGGGGGTGAAAAGACAATGGAAGGCGACTCCTCACTTGCCGTGCCAGCCTCGGGAACGGACACCATGTTTTCGCTTACGTTGGTGGCCATGAGATATAAGGGCCAGTTCTGAGCCTAGATGCCGTAGTTGTCAGCACCGAGAAGCAGTGGGAAGACGGAAAGAGAGAAAGGGAGAAGCAAAGAGGCCGTCTATTGAGATGAGTTTAGGCAACTACCTCGAGTATACAAGGAAGGAGTTGAAGCGTTGGTTGTAAGGGGAATGATAACCATCTGGAAGATGCCCAACTGGACTACCTGGGTAGCATCCTCAAGTCTCCGGGCAAAGAATGAACAATGCATCTACATAGCGACGCCGTTTTGCTCAGGCCGCATGAAAGAGTGAAAGGAGAGAAAAAAAAGGTGCAAGCCAAACCAGGTGACTGAGAGAGGGAGGGCATGAGCGGAAAGCGCTTACCCAGAGCCAGTCAATAGCCCAACGTGGCACCGACTCAAGAGCTGAACCGAAGTGTAAGTGGCTTGGCGGCAATAAAGTCACAACCTGCAATCACGAGGTCGGTATGCAACCAGCAGTGGACATGAAAGGCAGTGATGCCTTCAGGGTCGATGGATGTGGGTTTCTTGAGTCTGTCGCAATGAGTCTTGTGGGTTGGATAATGCAGCCAGACATTTGTCTCCCAGACCCTAACGGGAGTGAAGATTCAGGACTCAAGGAATGGTGAGTATATTGTTGAATGTGAGAGATTGTACTCCACGATGGACGTGAGCAAATGAATAGTGGCGTTGTAAAGAGAGAACGCAGCAGGAATAAGTTTAGTGCCAATGAGTTGCAAGAGGGAAAAGAAATAGATGTGTGGCAAGAAGAATTGCGAGTGGGTAACGAGCGTCAAGATAGGATCTAAGCAATTGAAATAAAGGGAGACAAAGATCATTCGCCAGAGCGAGTCGACTTTGCCGGGGTGGTGAGTGCTTAGGCTCGACTCGAGCATTCCGTAGCGTGACAATCCCCCGGGGTTTGACGGAACAATTCACCTTCAGCCAAAATTGCACCAGTCTTTTGAGAAACCTTTTGGATTGGGTTGGAGCTGTTAAGCGAGGATGATCTCCAATGCAATTGTATTTGACTTTAAAAATGGCCCAAACAAGCAAACAACGGTGCCAGTGGGAATGACTTGGTTCTGCTTGCCAGCACTGCACAGAAGGCCAATGCTGTGGTCCATCTTTAACAAATTGTCGGTTCTGCTGTGAAGTGGACAGGCGTTGTGCTGAGCCATCCCAGCTGTGTCATCTGTGTTCCTGTCGAGTTGTTTGTTATTCGCTCGATTGGGTTTCTTCAACATCTTGCTTCTAAATTGCCTAGGTACCTTTTACCACGGGTCCTCGTACAAGGTCGATCACGCTGGGCTCGAGCCATCTGAAACCCTCAGTCTGTTGCATCGTGCTGATGCAAGCGCGACTTGTACACACCCATGTACGCAGTACTAGTACAGTGTCCGGTATTGGCTCTTTGAGACATGACATGGAAGCTAAACAGGTACTCTCGAGAGACGGCCCACTACACTCTTCGATAAATACTGAACCAAACTTAACCAGAGAGAAGAACACATCGAACTCAAACGGTCGCAATTTGGTAGCAGTTTCTTCGGCAGGTACATGAGTCAATGTCTGGGTTCCTTACGGCCGGTGATCGACAATGTCGCCAAAATAGGTACTCAAGGCAAGGTTAGGTAGCTCCCTGGTTGCGGTTGACATCCACGGATGGCATTGAGATAAGCCCCACATGCTACAGCCCCATTGGTCCATCCGCTCGCAACTTGAAACCCAGCCTCGATCACGGCCTTCAAGCAAGTCTCAAGCGCTCGCAAGTTACTGTATCAGTACCTTATTAAGGATATCATTCATAAGAAGATCACTATCACAAGGTAACGTGACAGTCCTACCTGCTGACTCAACGGTTGTTAGTCGAACCTCCATCTCAATAGCAACAGCCAGGCTCAGAAAACAAAGCACTTGCAGGTGTTTTGTTCCACCACAACAGCAGTGTTGGACAATCGACGCCGCACCACCATTATGTGGTATCGTCGAGTTTCATTCTCTCGACGGAGTATTACCTATGCCAATACCTCTCCAATTTTGGCGTCAACCAACCAAAAAGACATGAGTGACAGTGATCCATGGATGGACAGTGATCCCGTCACCCATCACCCATATTGCGTCTTCAATCACAACACCCAAATCCAGCAACAGGTCTTCCAGCGGCTTCAATTAATAGTAGTTTGTGCGACGTGGGCTGAACATGTATCACATATTACATCAAAGGCAATTATTGTCCCTCATTCTGTGAATACGAGGACGGACTACGAGGACTCCGACTCAGATATGTGTAAGCGCTAACGAGCAGCCTTTGCACTTTACAATGAACTGAACCAACAGTCAGCAAACAAAGACAAGACAAAACAGAGGTTGCCCTTAGGCAAAAAAGAGCCAAGCATTGCAATTGGCCTTCGAAACACCAACTACATCCTTACCCATGTGAAGAATAGGTACTATTTCTCTCCCTCTAACATGGGGTATCAAGTCCCGTCCGAACCCAGTTCATCCACAGTATCTTATGTTAACCACTCTATTCAACCAACTGAACCTCCTGCTTAACGTCAACCCTCACCTCCCCCTCCCCCTCCCCCTTCCCCTCCCACCCTTCCCCCCACGCCCATTATGATTCCCATTCCTCCCAACCCCACCGCCCTTCTTCCCACCCTTCCCCCCACCCCCACCATTCCCCACCCTATCAAACCTCCCGTAAACCTCCTCGACCCCAAACGTCCCCTGGGCAAACCGCATGTAGTTGATCACCCCGTGGTCCACGACGGCGATCAGCACGTTCCGGTACCCGTGCTTGAGCCGCGCGTACACCCTGCCGAGCCCCGTCCACTCGGGCTTGCCCGGCGCGGGCGGCGTGGCGTCGAGCAGCGGTAGTATCTCCGACAGGGTCGGGACCGAGGACTGCTGCGCGTCGACGACAGCAAGGTGGAAGTCTGGGGGCGGGTGCCGGAGCTTGGTCCATTTCTGCGCGGATTTCCAGATGTTGTAGTGGATTGTGAAGGGTTCGGTTGGAGGGGAAGCGGAGGCAGAGCAGGCTGGGGAGGGTTTGTGGCGTGGTAGGAGGGCTAGTTGTCGGTATATGGACGCGTAGCTGCGGTAGAGGCCTGGTTGGACTAAAGGTCCGTAAGGCGGTTGGTTGAAGGTGGTGGTTAGGAGGGAGCTGAACCATTGCCATAGTGTGGTCGTTGCTGGTTGTGATGGGGCTGGTGCAGGCTGTTTGCAAATTGGGGGTGCCCGGAGGACGTTGTAGCCGCATCGTTTGAGGTTGGAGTAGACCTGGAACTTTTGCAGGCTAATCTTGCCTCGCTCGCCGTCGTTGCCGATGAGGAGCGCGTAGGCTGCTTGGAGGCTGAGTGGGAACCCCTGCTCGTACTCGTCTGCCTCTTCCCCTCCCTCGTTGGAAGCCACCGCCCGGTCCGGAGGAAGTATCTCCTCTAGCCCCTTCAATGGCCACCACAAATCCAACGAGCCCCTCTCCACCAGATACAGCGCCTCCTCAGGCAACAACCAATCCCTCCCCCTCGCAGGCCTGTCCTTCGCCTGTCCCGTCACCGCCCTTCCCAAGGCCTGGCTAGCCACAGACGAACCCTCGAGCACAACTACCCTCTCCCTCACGAACGCAAACGGCTTCCTTTCCTTCTCCTCTTCCCCGCCCACAGCCGCAGCCCTACCAGCAGCATCATCCTCCTCTTCCTCATGATACCCCTCCCACCAATCAGGGAAATACCAACCCCTCACCTTGGCCCCGGCCGGGTGCACCCTCGTGTAGCTCAGCACCTCCCGCATGGCATTCCGGCTCTGCTCGAGCGCGTCCGCTTGCGCCCGCGTCCCGTGTGACTCGAAGTCCTTTTCACCCTTGCGGATCGTCTGCGCCGACACGCCGGGCGTCTTGCGATACTGCTGCTGCTGCTGCTGCCGCGAGAGGGACGCGGCAAAGGCGCGAAAATCTTGCGTCGCCGCCCCTTCGTCTTCGATCAGGTCTTCAGCCGTGAGGTCGTCTGCTGTCGCGACTGCGACGGCGTCTGGCGGGTTGTGGGATGGGGAGGAGGGGGAGGTCGTAGTGGAAGGCGGAGGGGCGAGGGAGGGGTTGTCGTCGTCGTCGAGGGACATGGTGACGGTTGGGGTTAATTCTATTTGGTTTGAAAGGTTAGGTTTGAGGGAGTATCGGGTGTTGTTTCTGATCTAGATCTTAGGTGATTGGAGCTGCCAATGCTTGGGATTTGCGTTGGGGAGTCGAGACTGACCCAACTCCGCGTCCTGAACGAAAAACCAATTGAGACAGTGGCACAAAGAAAGCAGCGAGATCTAAGTCTGCAGAGTTCTTTGGCAACGGCTTGTCAAACCAATAAAACGAGGTAGAAGAGAGGTTTGATGCACTTGGGACTCGGACAAGAATTGGGTTGGTTTCAAGAGAAACGCACTTCCAGGGTTAGGGTAAAGCTGGTGAGAGAAGAGGGAGCGCCTGCCTCGGATCATTTGGGTGACTGGGTCAACATCGACGCGGGGGAAGTAAGCTGTCACTATGAAACGAGCAGTTATTAGCATGTTGCATGTTGCTGCTTCCTCCTGAAGCGCTACGGTTACTGCCAATCACGAACGCAAGGCTTGTTGCTTCCCTTGCGTAGACTGAACCAGAACCTCTGAGTTGGCAGGCGAACCGCCCTCGAATATCAGGTATGGATGAAACTAACGTTCAAGCATCAAGCCAATCAAATGGTTGGACGCTTAGGTGGAGAATGATTCTTAAATATTTGTTTCACAACGCATCTGTGACACTGTACTTGTACATTCATCCTTTTTTCGAGAATTTCAACCTCCCATCATCCTCCGCCTCTTGTTCAGCGTCAGGCAATACGAATGAGCAACGGAGAATGCGATAGAACGGTAGTTCAGAACTGGGCATATCTCCAGGGACTTGCCCTCTGTACTTTGAATTCTGGCTGTCCCAAACCGAGTGAGTCCGAACACGCCGGCCGCCTCTCCCCTAATACCGTCTCACCAACCCAGGCTTCAACAACCTACCCAAAACCGGACATGCCCGCTCCTCACCAAACGCCAGGCACCTATGCAAATGACTCATCCTCCAGAACTCCCCACCCAGAAAACCACACATCCCGCGTCCGTACTTCACCGTGTTAGAGACGGCCGGTATGATCGGACTCCCGGTCCGACTTTCATCCTCTGCTCGTGACCTCATCATCGTCCGTCGCCTTTCCCCATTCGGTATAAAGTCGTGATTTTCCCGGGACGTTCCGAGCTATTTCGCCGGCCAAAATCCGCTTGGGCGGCCTTGCGCGTCTTCTCGTCGAAGGGTTGGACGAATATCCAGCATGAATCTCGAATCGAGGAGCAGCCCTGGCGGCAACCCGCAGACCTCACAGGATCCAGGATTCAGGCCACGGGACTTCCTCGACCCGGACTGGCTGCGGTTGCTCGTGGGGATCCCCAATCGAAACAGTGATACTCCATGTATCAGCTGTCGAGTTCGATGCTGTTGGTGTCCCCGTCGCCCAGTTCCCGCTCAACACTGGGTATCATTGAACATCACTCAATCAGCATCTTCTTGACCCCTCCAACCTCGCATAGGCCCAGATGCCGGATCGCCTCTCTCTCGCTCGCCAAAATGATGGTCCGGTCCGGAAGAACTGGGTTGTTCGGGTCCACGTGTGAAGCGTCCTTTGCGGCTTGCTCGATGGCATCCATTTCCTCCTTGCAAGCCTGCTGATCCATCGGGCATACTACGATCGGCTGGCGTAATGTGATATCCCTGGCCGAAGTCATGTGCGCCTATATCGGTGAGGAACATTACCCAAGAAGTCCAGAGCGAATAAAGAAGCGCTCACCTTGATGCTTAGAAAGAACTCAATCTTGTACAACGTGGATGTTGTCGTGAAGCTCGTCACCTCGTACATGGGAAACGCCGGTTTCCCTCTTTTTATTATGCCGTCTGAATCCCTCAAGTCTCGCGCTGGGAGGACAAGCCCTAAATTGGTGATGTAGCCGGTCTCGGGCAGTTTGGTCCCGACGGCTTGTGTGTGTTTGGCGATCTTATTGATCTTCTTGGTTGGCTCGTCTCCTTCGGGGTTGAACGTGATCTCCTCTTCAATAGTGAGCGTAATCTTTTGTATTGTCACCCTTTTCGCTTTGTTCATGTAGTCCGGGTTCGGCGAGAGCTTGACATAGACCGTGATGGGATCCAACGGCCCATAGCTCCATTTGGGGAGCGAGATGCCCAGGGTCACAATATGGTCCGCCGTCGCCGCCTTGGTCTCGGGCCGGTTGTACATGCCGAACGTCGAAAGCGTATCGTAGCGCTGTAGTGGGATGGGGAACGTATATCGGTTTTGCATGCTGGATCCTTGCTGAACGGTGACAACGAGTTCGTAGTATGTCTCTGCGATTCGGCTGGGCAGTTGCAAGCTCGCAGGTGGGATTCGGCGATTGACTTCTTCGCCTCCGCGTCCGAAGGGAATGAAGATTTGAAAGGGCAGGTCCATGGCAATCACGCTCTCTGCCTCTTTTCCTGAGACACATCGAAACAGGAGAACCTCCTTCCCCACTAGATCGACCGTCTCTCGCCGCGGTGTCCCGAGATGGCGCCTCGCCACGTTTTCCGCAGCCGGATGGATAGTCTCTCGCCGCTGAAGACAGATGCGCACCATCGAGATGTTAACGGGCGCTGAGAAGCCAGCGCCAGGGCGGATTTCGACCTTGCCTACGATCCTCGGCTGCGAGCGCCGTCGTCAGCAGCTGTTACGGTGACCGCGCTTGAGCGACGGTGCCTTGCTCGGAGTGCTCTCTCGGCTCCGACGAGTCCATTCAGGCCAATATGCCGCAATCCGAGATATGACACAGGAGAAGGAGAGAACTCACCAAGGTTGCGGAAATGCCCGGGTAGCCCACCAGAAAACTGCTGTTCGGTGGGCCGGATATCCTCACGGTCGCAGGAGCATTTGCGGCATTCATCCTGGAGTAATCGCCCGCAACGGCGATTGCCGAGGGCTTGGTCCAATATCACACTCGTTGTCGTCGTTGGCGTTGTTGGGGCGGGCGCAACAGCCTTCGCCGGTCATGAGGGATGGCCGACTGAGCTGGCCTGCCTGCCGCTTACGGCTGAGAGGAGAGTACGGATGTCGACCCGGGTCGAGGGGCTCTTGGGTGTGCTGCCGGAGCTGTATCGATAAGATGGCCACAACTGAGAATCGACATCACAGTGGCATTCGAAGTGGGCGATGCGTGGGGGGCTGCGATCGATGGCGGGTGCCGATTTAGTGGCCTGGGTATCTGTACTGCAAATGCTGTTGCCGTAAAAATTGATGGTTGTGGGATCGAGCAAGGCCACAGCGCACTCGAATTCCCGCCGCCCGGTAGTATGTAGCCGCAGGGCAGCCTCAGTTCCGTAGCTTGTTGGGATCCCTGATTAGGAGCTTGGTAAGTTGCTGGGAGGGGCCGATGGGGCCGAATTGAAATGCGCCTCGAGCCGCCGAGCTCTTTGTACCGTCGAATTCGGCTCGGTGTGCACCGGGATTGGAGCGTCCCACCTAGACGAGGCTTCCGTCCTTCACTGCACCAACACTTCAGCCGCGGGCGAATGCTCTTCCCCGGCATCAGCGAAAGCGAAAACAGTCAGTTATTCTAAACTTCTCTACGAATAGAGACGCGCACGCAGCTTACACGGTACAGGCTGTGCCAAATAAGGTAGTGGTCGAGGGCTGGGCTGGAGAGGAGAGACAGGAGTTCCCTTACACAGCCTCTCAGTCAGCTAGCTGCCTGGCTGCAGGTTCCATTGCCTGAGACGACCAGGGTTGCGAGGGGACGGACCTTCGGGTACAGGCACCGAATTACCGGTTGATGTCTGACTCAAAAGAAGATTGCTGAAGAGGCTCTACACTGCGATCACAGGTCAGAAAAACTATCTCGTCTCAGTATCGTACCAGGCTTGCGCTGATGAGCTTGATGTCCCGATGCGCCTTCCAATAAAGTGACCAGACTCCTGAGGATTTGGGAGGGGCAAGGACTGTGGGATCTGTACCCCGCCGTCCCTTGCTAACCCCACAGTGCTCAGCCTTTAGGATCGGATGAAGACGTCGTCTCGCTCTTGGGCTGGCCTCGGGAACGTTCAAAGAGAACTTGAAAGACCAAAGCCACAGGACCATTACTGATTCGACAGCAGAGTAAGGGCTCTCTCACTTAAGGGTACATATCTGAAAGATCCCAACACGAAGAGAATCTCCTGAGCAGCTGAGAATGCGCTTCAAATTTGTCCTGCCCAGAACATCCATCCCTATGAGTAACAACATCTACGCGTCGCTCACTCCTCATTTCTTCCAACAACAAAGTGTCAGGCACCCATGTTGTAAGACGGCTGCTTGAACCTCCAAGAACATAAAATGAGAATTAACAGTTCATAGTTTTCAAGTCTTTGTGTCCGTCCTAACAGAGCAGAGCCGTCTTGATGCAGTGGAGCTCGAAGGGGCCATAGCTTCAATCCGGGAATGCCAAGCTCAAGAGCTCCCATCTCAATGCCCGAGGCCGCGGATGCAAGCGCATTTCTCCATGCTCGATCCTTTGAACATGTAGAGAGCCCACACACGATGGACTGCCAATAACACAGCAACCGGACAACACCTACCCACCATGTCGGTAACACTGCACACCACACACGGGGACCTCAAGATCGAAGTGTTCTGTGAGAGCGTCCCCAAAACCGCTGAGGTGAACAAACAGGAGACCCGCCCCCATCTTCAGCTGAGCTCAGACCCCGCTAACACCCTTCTTTTCCACCGCGCAGAACTTCCTCGCCCTGTGCGCATCATCCTACTACGACGGCTCCCCCTTCCACCGCATAATCCCCTCCTTCATGGTACAGACCGGGGCGCCCGCCCACCCCAACCCCCCCGACAACCCCAAGGGCGGACGCTCCATCTACGGCCCGACGTTCGAGGACGAGATCCGGCCGGGGTTGAAGCACCACGAGCGGGGGATGGTGAGCATGGCCAACAAGGGGCCCAACACCAACGGCAGCCAGTTCTTCATCACGTTCTCGGCCGCACCGCACCTAGACGGGCTGAACACCGTGTTTGGGAAGCTGCTCGGGGACGAGAGCCTCGCGACGCTGGCCAAGATCGAGGCGGTCGAGGTGGACAAGAAAAACCGGCCCAAGGAGGAGGTGTGCATTGAGAGGGTTACCATACATGCGAATCCGTTGGCCAAGTGAAGACGTGGGACATGAGGAGGAAGGGACGATTCTATGCATGTCTGGGGTGTGGGGGGTTTGCAGCTACCCATCCACGTTCGGCCCCGCACACATCATGTCGCCGAGGAGCTGAGCAGAGCAACCCATCATTCTGGCGGATGCACACGAGGGCCTCGGTACCTATGACAGGGCTAGCGTCTCCTCCCGGGCAGCGTCGGGTGCCGCCTCTGTCAGTAGCCGCTGTGGATTCCCTTGGGAGCTTGCTTCACCACACAGTGGTAATGCTGGCAGTGGTGGCGTGCCGGTCCAGTAGTAAGCCGCTCGCAATACTCACCACTCACTCCCCGAGGATGGAGCTGGAGCAGAAATACGGGACTCGCTGGGACATGATGGAGCTTGGTTCATGCACCGCTTTGTGTGGCCATTGGAGTAGCCAGTCCAGGCTTGCACTGTCTTTACAACTGAATCTAACTGAGGATATTGAAGAACTTGGCTTTGCTCTCACACCTTGCCTGATGCACTCATATCGATTCTGCGTTTTCTAAGAACACGTTATGTGGAGATCTCGCTCTATCCGTGTCAGAGGCATGCCAGCGGGCCTCCGCACTCTCTCCCTCTTGCTCCAAACCCCCTCCAACCCAGCCACAAGCTTCATCTGCAAGCAAAGAGACATGCCAAGATACAGAAACCAAAGGGGGATATCTAAAACGTCTGTGTGCAACCAGCCAGCCCTCCAACACGTCCAGTACACGTATTCACACTCCCTCCCAAGACCACTACCAGTCAGTCATCAACTGACCAGTCAAACCCGGGCAATACGAATCCAAATGAACCAGAGCAAAGAAACCGTCGGATGTATCACTTCCGATCACCTCCTCCCCCTGAAGAAACCTCAACTCAACCCTGACCAGGCCAGTCTAGCACAGCAGGCCTCCAAACGCCGTCGACAAGCACCTAGCCCTTCCTCCGGCGCTTAGAGCCCCGCTCAGGGCTCTTGTCAAACCCTTCCCGTGCAATCTCCTCGGTCAAGGCAGGACTACCCGTGTTTGCCGGCGACGCCGTCTCCAGCACCCGGCCCGACTCAAACCCACCTCCATTACCGCCACCTCCATTACCGGCACCCCCACCACCGGCACCGGCCGTGTGCTCTCCACCAACCTGACCAGCAAAGGTCCCAGCTGACGTGGCGGCGGCGGCTGCCCCACCATCCAAGCTGAAATTGAAGTCTGCACTGTCAGCCCCAGCGCCACCAGGCATGCCCATTCCGTCCAGCCCGGCGTTCGACTCAAATCCGGGCTCCGAGAAGGCGTGGGGTTGGAGGAACTGGTCATAGTCGACCGTGTCAAAGTAGCCGGTATTCGGATTCCCGTGCTCGTCAAGGCCCGGGATGCGGCCCGATGGGCTGAGCGGGCCGAGCAGGTGGGTGAGCGCGTCAATTTGGTCCGCCTGTTCGTTCTGGAGGCGCTGGAGGGCTTCAAGTTCGGCCTGGGTGCTTTGGATTTCCTGGAGGGAGGGCATTTGCAGGGACGAGAGGTTCGGGGAGAGGGCGAGGTTGGGGGCTGGGATGGGCGGCGTGGTGGACGTCGGGACCGATGCGGCGGGCCTGACGGCTGGGATGCTGCTGCCGTTGGATGCAGTGGAGGGGCGAGAGGCGGTGGGGGCGTTGCTCCCGGCCATGATATTGAGCATTTGTGCCCGCTGGTCGTCGTTCATGCTGGCAGCAGTCTTGGCGGCCACGTTTGGTAAGTCGAGTCCGGAAGCATTGTTGACCGCATTGGTGTCCTGTATGATTTTCATCATGCCCTCCTGAGGATTGCTCCGCAGCTCGTTCTTAATGTAAGCTGGGGACGTGGTATCAGGGGTGGAGACGTCGAAGAGCTCGGTGACTGTCCCCACACGGGGCGCCTGGTGCGCTGGTTGCGGGATCGGTGCCGGCGCCGTGGTTGCAGAGAGCGGCGATACCTTGTTTGCTTGGTGATGTGGAATCGGAGGCAAGAGGCGCTGTTGTCGCTTCGGTGTGCCCACTGCGGTGACATTCTGGGGGCGCTGATTGACAAACCCGCCAAGATCGACGACACCACCCGCCGTGGATATTTGAGTTTGCGGGTGGCCCTGGGCATTTGGGATGATGCTCGCCAGGAGATCTTGGACGGTCTGGGCGCCGCCCTGCTCCTCCAGCGACTTCCGAAACACGTTGGCCAGGAAATTGAGGATTGCGTTGATGGAATTCTCATGGCGCTCATGCATGTTCTGGAAGAGCACAGCCTGCTGGTAGAGCTGATTCTGGTCCTGGCGCATCTTTGTGAGCATGTTGGAGATAGCAACCTGCTGCTGTTGAATCCTCTCAATCTGGTTCTTGACCTGCATCAGATCCTTCTTCTGCAACGGCCCGAGCTCGTTCGAGACGGACCCTCTACCATTCTGGGAAGCTCCCATGCTCTGCGCAGGGTATGTTTCTTCCACACCATCTTCTTCACTCTCGACGTCCGCTTCGTCCTTCTTGCCCTTCTTCTTGCTGTTGCCGCTTTTAGGCTTGTTGATCAACCACAGAAGGTTAGGGTGACCGCGACGGAAGTAGGGGTTGTAGTATTCGCTCGGGCTCTTGTTCTTCCGCTCACTCGCCTTCATGGAGTTGTCGGACAACCCCACACGTTTGTGAAAGCCGTACATGTTCAGCTGGCGGACGAACGAGGCATAGTTGTTGTGTTTGAAGAGCTCGGGGATCAGCGTCTTAGCAAACTCGTCCTCATCCAAAACGATAAACGAATCTCCCTTGTCAGACCAGCGGATAAGGTCAGTGTTCCTAGACTCGTCTAAGAAGCTGCATCAATTCATCAGCACATTGTTCGCGTCACGGGGAGATGATATAGCACACACCTGCTGAGCTTCTGAACAAACGGGGGAATCTGCTTCCTCTTGGCCTGGGCCTCACGCTTTGCCCGCTGGGCCATCTCCTCGAGCCGTTCGATGCTGTCTTGTTCATCCAAGCTTCCATTGGCCGGCGGAAGGTAGCCAGGGTCTTCGCCGAATCCGTTCCAACTGTCCGGAGCGCGGTCAAAAGGGGACTTCGCAGCCGTCGGGACGAGCGCCCTACTGCTCTGTCGCCGTGCAAGAGCCGTGGAGGGCACCTGGATGCCGCCTCCGTACGGTGATGCCTGAACCATTGCGTAGGAGTTCACACCGGGCGTTCCAGTGTCGACGAAGCCGTTCGTATCCACGCCACCGTTCCACCTAAGCATTGGTTCGGGCTGCACCGCTGCAAAGGACGGCGGGTAGTTGGGCAGTGGAGCCATCGGGAGAGCGCCTGAAGCAGGTCGTTTCCTGGGGTTAGGTGACGACATAACACAGGCGCGGTAAGCTTGACAAACTGGGATCGTCTTGAGACGATCCGGGTTGTCAGCTTGCAATGTGGGAGCGGGTCTCCTACTCGAGACAGTTCAGGGCCCTTGGGACGGTTCGATGTTGGGGATCCGCTCTGTCTAACGCAGCGCCAGATGTTGATGTCGTGTTGCCAGTGCCACGGCGATTTCTCAAAACCGGACTTGGTGATTCGCAGTCGCAGTCGAAGGCGCAGTCGCAATGCGGTAGAAGAGTAAGCGGATGAGGCGCGAGCTACCCGGGACAACTCGGGAGGGCATGCAACCGAGCTATATATCTTCGGTCCGGTCCAAATCGCTCAAAGACCGCGATCAGTGGCGACCAGCCAGCAAAGCGACTCCCGGGAGATTGAGCGGCTGCCAGACACGTCCGGGGTTACTTGGCCGTTCTGGAAGACCCAAGTGTATCCCGCGCCGCGGAGCAAGGTAGTCGCTCTTTGATCGCGACCGGTACACAGGAGGCTGTGCTGACTGTCTCGCGGATACGATTGTTCAATGGCCGCCTTTGGGCGCTGAAGCCTCGATGCGATCCGAACAATGGCAGTGGGGAGTGTCAGACCGCCGTGTTTCGCGGGCGGCTTGTTCCCGGTTGGTCGATGGATGTCGCTTGTGGCGTGCAAATTGATGCGCGATGCAGGGAATTGCGCAGGTGACTGTGGTTCTCAAGACCGACAGGGAAAGACGGCGGACGATGGCGCTGGTCTCGAAGTTAAAATTCTTGGATAGAGACCTGCCTTGTTTGGCAGCTGTTAAGGCTTCCAGAAACATCATTCAGAGGTGGCTCTTTCGATTCATGAGATCTCGACGGCCCTTCCGGCGAGCTTTTCGCTTGGCAAACCAATCACCTACCAGAAACTAAGAATCCACTTGTCCCATAAGCGGGGTAGAACGATGATAACGATAACACCTGTACAACGAGGTGGCTTTTTGACGAATTCTTTTTCCCCAAAGGTGCAACACCTAGGAATGATGCATTCAGTTTCTCTTGTCGATGGTGTCCGGAGCAGTCCTCAGGCAACCACCAGACATAAGTTGGCTTTAATCGCCCCGGTATCAAGGCTAAAAGAGTATGAGCTACCCTACGCTACCTAGACTGTGCTCCATGGTCCTCATGGTGTCAGAGCCGTCGAGATTTGTATCATAGTATAACGGCTTGGAATTGGATGGCTCAAGGGCATACCTACTAAGAATCTCCACAAATCGTAAAGCCATGAGCAACACACAAGAATGTGGGATCGTTGTGTGGGTATCTTGATTCGCTGACTACTACTCGATCAATTCGAAAACCATCGGCGCGCCGTACATCAGCTTCCGTCCTCAGCGGCCCCTCCTGTCCCTGCCACGAACCCTGTGTATGTCTCTGTCCCGGTCGCGGTCGCGGTCGCGGTCGCGATCCTTATCCCAGCCCCGAGAAGAACCTCCCATGCGCGCCTCCCTACTGGCCCTTTTGTCCTGTTGGAGGGTCTTGGCTTTCTCAAGCGGATCAATAACAACCAGCTCCTCTTCGGCTTTCTTCCGATAGCTGAGATCTTTGCCTCGCTTGTCAGCGGCAAAACTGAGCGTGTGAGACATCCAGCCTTCGTCGTCGCTCTCGTCCTTGGTCTCTTTATCCCAGGCTTTACAGCTCTGGCAGTTGGCGATGAAGTGCAAGTCGCAAACCTCTCCCTCCTCGTCTTGATCGCCCTTGTCCTCGCTAACATTCAAGGATGGCGGATGAGTCTTCTTCTCAGGGGGTGCTTGTTCGAGCTTTGACTGGAAGCCTTTCAGCATTTCCAAGGCTAGTTGTTCCTCCCTTGTGAGGGTGTTGTTGCCTCCGGGCCGCCGTTTCCGCCCTCGCATTGCCGTCTCTGGAATCATCGACTCGAGCGTTGATTTCATGGTTTCTTTAACCGGCCCCGCGTGGATTGTCCGCTTCATCGACGCCTTGACCGCAGCAATCTCTTCATTGGTCCGTTCCAAGAGGGACTTCTTCCGGTGTTCTTCAGCCTCAGCATCAGGACTTGAATTGTCACTGTCATATGTCTCGGACGGCGGTGGCTTTTTTGCCGGAACCGGTTCCGACATGTCCGGGCTCTTCAGAGGTAGCTTTGAGGGCGCGTCTGTCACCTGTGCCTCCTTGTCCGTTTCTTTCGTTTCTTTCTTGGCAGGCGCTCTAACCGGTATGGTTTTATGCACGGGCTCTTCATTCACGTCCATGGCAATCCTCGTATCAAACTTGGCCTTTTTCACGACCGGAAGATCATCCGCATCGCCTTCGTCATCTCCGAAGCTCAACAATTGCTTGCCCCCTTTCCTTTTCATCTGCTTCTTCTCTGCTGGAACAGGTCTCGGCACCTCCTGCCGCATTTTCCTCTCCCTCTTTTTCATATCCTCAAACGGATTGATGAGGATTTCGATGTGCGTGATTTTCACCGGGTACAGGGGCCGTTCTGTGCCCTCTGCGACCTCCGCCTCGCCCATTTTGGCCAAATTGTAGATAGTGTCTCCCGCGACTCGGCCGAACAGTGTATTCTTGTTGTTCAGTTCTTCGGCCTTGCCCAAAGTGAAGAAGAACTGGCTGCCGTTGCTGTCGGGAATGCCCTCGTTTGCCATGCCTAGCAGACCGCGGCGGTTGAACTTCAATCGCGAGTGGAACTCGTCCTTGAAGTTCACTCCCATGGGGCCTGCATTTGTCCCCTTGCGCTGGTCCCTGGGCCATGAATCCAGGTCCCCGCCGAACGCGCCGCCATCGTAAATCGACTCTCCCCCGTGGCCTGTGCCGGTTGGGTCGCCGCCCTGGAGAATGAATCCAGGGACAAGCCGGTGGAATATGGTGTTGTCGTAGTACCCATCAAGACTGAGCTGTAGAAAGTTGCGACACGTCAGGGGCGTCTGTTTTGCGAATAGCTCAACGGCAATCTCGCCCTGGGTCGTGTGGATGATGGCCGACGCGGTCGGTTGCGGCTCGAGATTGTAAATGGAGGACATCTTTGCGTTTTAAAAAAACTCGGCTGCAGAGGCTTCGTTGGCAGAATCAAGGACGGCGCTCGACTGGCATCGTCTGCCGCCGCGCAGCATTTTCGACGTTGGGATGGTGATGCAAGAAAGTGAACTCGAATCTTGGATTGACGAGCCTTCAAGCTTCCAGGGTTTCACTCGTTGCCTGCCGCAGAGCAACTTTGAAGCAGCCACAACTGCAGTTGGGGGCACTGTGGGGTAATCAAGCCCTATGGCGAGTTAGCGGAAAGAGAGGCGCAGGCCAGCTATCTCAGAATCAGAAGCCCTTCAACAAGGACATCAAAGCCATTTGCGCAGTTCGATGTGAACTTGAAGACTATCCTCAGTATCTCAACTGGAAGCTTTGTCCATCAAATGCGTCCTCGGGGTTATGATGAAGTCGTTGGTTTCGTAGGTGTGGCTGTGCCGCGAATTATTGCGGGGCCTCCATAGTGATCCTTGGCCTTCTTGTGGCAGCTCGACTCCGGAAGCTCTCCGTCACTCTCTAACACCGAACCGACCGCAGCTCTCCAGTCCTCAGATAACGGCTCCTCACCCGCATTGCCTGCCCTTCTTGCATTCAGCTGCCTACGCATAACTACTCAAAGTCCCCGAGACAAGCGCCATTCGCGATGGGCGACCCGCGAGAATCGTCATCGTACCGGGTGACGCCGAGAATCCGTTACAACACTGTTGGCGGCGTCAACGGTCCCCTCGTCATCCTGGACAATGTCAGCACTGTCCCTCCTCCGGTCACGGACGTTCATTCATTGACTGTCTTGTCAGGTCAAAAACCCGAGGTACAATGAGATTGTCACCCTTACGCTTCCAGATGGAACCCAGCGGTCCGGGCAGGTCTTGGAGGCGCGAGGTAAGCCTCCGTGATGGACAATCTGCAGCCATCCAACATCTAATGACCGAATAGGAAACAGAGCCATTGTGCAGGTAGAGCCGTCAGCTTGACCGAACGAGTGAAGAGGGTGGCTGATCGATTTCCAGGTCTTTGAAGGCACCTCCGGCGTCGATGTCAAGAAGGTGAGGCGCAACTGGCAACGTCTTGCAGGAACCACAGCTGATAAGGTCAAAGACCCGGGTCGAGTTCACAGGCGAAAGCTTGAAGCTCGGTGTGTCGGAAGACATGCTGGGCCGCATCTTTGACGGCTCAGGACGTGCGATCGACAAGGGCCCGAAGGTGTTGGCCGAAGACTTTCTGGATATCAACGGAAGCCCTATCAATCCTTACTCGCGAGTAAGCGCTCCTGAACATCGCATGAGAGGAACAAGACTGAGCTGTAACGCAGGTCTACCCCGAGGAGATGATCTCCACCGGTATTTCGGCCATCGATACCATGAACTCGATTGCGCGCGGCCAAAAGATCCCCATTTTCTCTGCCGCCGGTTTGCCGCACAACGAGATCGCCGCCCAAATTTGCCGGCAGGCCGGCTTGGTGCAGCGGGAGGGTGTGACAAACAAGGGCGTCCATGACGGCCACGAGGAGAACTTCTCGATTGTGTTCGCGGCCATGGGTGTCAACCTGGAAACTGCCCGTTTCTTCACCCGCGATTTTGAGGAAAACGGCAGCTTGGGCCGCACCACACTGTTCCTCAACCTCGCAAACGACCCTACGTAGGCTCTGCAACGCGTCACTGACTGCTTCAATCATGCTAACACCCCATCAGCATCGAACGCATCATCACTCCCCGTCTTGCCCTCACCACCGCCGAGTACTACGCCTACCAGCTCGAGAAGCACGTCTTGGTCATTCTCACCGATCTTTCATCGTACTGCGACGCTCTCCGTGAGGTGTCGTCCGCCCGTGAAGAAGTTCCTGGCCGTCGTAGTTACCCTGGTTACATGTACACGGATTTGTCCACTATCTACGAGCGTGCCGGCCGTGTCGAAGGACGCAACGGCTCCATCACCCAGATTCCGATTCTCACCATGCCCAACGACGACATCACACACCCTATTCCCGACTTGACGGGCTACATTACGGAGGGGCAGATTTTCGTCGACCGTGGCTTGTATAACCGCGGAATCTACCCGCCCATTAACGTGCTGCCGTCTCTGTCTCGTCTGATGAAATCTGCCATTGGCGAGGGCATGACGCGGAAGGATCACGGCGATGTATCGAACCAGCTGTATGCCAAGTACGCCGTCGGCCGTGACGCAGCGGCCATGAAGGCTGTGGTTGGCGAGGAGGCGCTGTCTGCCGAAGACAAGCTCTCGCTCGAGTTCCTCGACAAGTTTGAGCGCAACTTCATCAACCAGGGCGCGTACGAGTCGCGGACCATCTTTGAGTCGCTGGACCTGGCATGGAGCCTGCTGCGCATCTACCGCAAGGACATGCTCAACCGTATCCCGGCCAAGATCCTCAACGAGTTCTACCAGCGGACGCCGGCGGACCGGAAGGGCAAGGGCAAGGCGACCACAAAGGACACCAGGGATACAGCGCATGAGGAGGAGAATCTGATCGATGCATGATTGCCTGATGTAGGGGAGGGAGGACGGAGTGCCTATGTGGGAGCCTGTTTCTGTTCGTCAATTTTGCATGTAGATGGCATAAATGTCGGGTTGCCGGGTTGGCGGGCTTGCAGATTGGTTTGAGTTGCCGTTCATTCTTGCCGGAATTGCTCTCGGTATGGACGCTGTTTATCCAGTGCATTTGCGATTGGAGCGGGTGCATCCTTTCGCTCGCCTGCGCAGTGCAACCTCGCCTGTGTCCTGTGTGGTCAGTGTACCACATGAACCGCATGTTCTTGAGCATGTCTTGTGTCCAGACAGGGAGTTGGTTGACAACCCATATCAATGCCATGGTGTCACGAGGTGTGACTGATGCTACGGCTTCCGAGATTAAATGCAACAGGAGTCCCAGCTTCATGGTATCTTGCCAACCTGGAAGGCGACTTCATCAGGGTACCCTACTCTGTCCGGAGTACCTCCACAGTCTCCATGACATGGAAGACTTGCCCTCCCCTCTGAGGATCGGCTACTTGGTCCGCGGCTTGGCACTCATACCAAGCTTTCCAAGTGCAGGGATCGGGTGGAGTTTCCCCGCATTCTTAAAGCCACAGCCGCGCCAATGGGTGGTGTTGAAAGGGGCAAAGGTTTAACGTCACCAACTTCGAAGTTCAGAGAGCGCCAAAGTGCAAAAAATGGCATGGGTTCCGTGATAGCCGGGAGCTGATACCATGAGGGAATAACCGTGGTTGAAAGGACAGCTACCAGGGTAAGTGAGGATCGATGCTCCTGATGGTTAGAAGCTGCATCTTCAACCCGGGCTGCGGACGCAGGGAAGTACAGCTCGCTTGTGGGTGACGGGCAAATCCAACAGTTCCCTGTCTCTCCAACGAAGGTTCCTGTTTTGGAGACTGGAAGGTAGCGTAATCTACACTGGCAGTTTTGCTTGCTGCTCCTTCAAAAATGGTTTGGGATGGGCTTCTCTACCGGCTGGGGTTGGAGCGAAGCGTGGCCCATTTTCAGCTGGTCGAAACTAAGTCACATCGAAACGTAGCGTCACGCAGTTCCTGGGTCTCGGGTATTCTTACCAAACATCTGTCCCCACAAGCGGATATCCGCTCACGACCTGGCGTCAGAAGGTTGGATTGCCCCATCTACAGTAGCACCGAGCTCGACCATACCAAGCCAAGCCGCAATGACCGACCTGTGTATGCCTGTGGCCTCGCATTCACTCTCCCCGGAAAGCGGGGCATGACGCTGTGTTGTTTATCATCACGGGCTCACCGTTGCATCCATTGGCCTTTTATCCCAACTCCTTGGCTCCCCGCTCAGGCATTCATAAACTCGTGTTTACCTTGCCTGGCGCCAATCTCTTTCCCTGTCGTATCTACCAGCCCCAGTCATCTCTTGTCGAGCTAGCTTCCTCCACCACATCGTTTCGACAATAACAAAGATGGTACTCCATCGAGACGTCATGCGCCTGGCTGCTGCCATCTTGGCTGTCTTGCGCTCGGCACGCGCCGCCGCCGATCAAAACGGCAAATACTGGATCTACGGCGAGGGCATCGCGGCCGCCTTCATTCCCTATGGGGCATCCATCTCAGATCTCATCGTCAATGACAAGTACGGTATTCCGAGGGATATCATCATGGGATTTGACAATGCCACGTATTATTCCGTCGACCCGGTGCACCCGCATCTCGGCGGCGTCCCCGGACGCTACGCCAACCGGATCAAGAACAGCACGTTCACCATCGATGGCGACACGTACCGGGTGTCGGCAAACGACAACCCCACGGCTGACCACCCATCTGGCCTGAACACCCTCCATGGCGGCAAGGACGGCTGGGACTGGCGCGATTTCGACGTTGTCGCGCACAACAATCACAGCATCACCTTCTCTATCGTCGATCCGGATGGCAAGGAAGGGTTCCCAGGCGAGGTCATCTCGTACATCACGTACACGATGGGCAACATGACCTGGGACGCCAAGATGGTGGCTATCGCGACAACCAAAAAGACCCCCATCATGCTGACGAGCCACGCCTACTGGAATCTGGACGGCTTCTCCAATAACGAGACCAACTTGGTGCTCAACCACAGCCTGCATATGCCCTACAGCGGCCAGCGGGTGGCGGTCGACAACATCCTCATCCCCACGGGCAAGATCGCTCCCAACGTCAAGGGCTCCGTCAACGATTTCTGGAGCCGCCCCAAGCAGATCGGCGCCAGCTTCAACAACTCCAAGATCCACGGCAACTGCGGCTACAACTGCACCGGCTACGACAACTGCTGGCTGGTGAACCGGAATTCCCCTTACAACTGGCGTGCCGACGGCGCCTACGTCGCCAGCGTATCCTCGGCCTGGTCGGGCATCCGCCTCGACATCTACTCGGACCAGGCCGCCTTCCAGATGTACTCGTGCAACTTCCAGAACGGCAGCTTCCCGCTCAAGACGTCGCAGGGCGTGGGGCGCGACGCCAGCCACGTGCTCGCCGGCGAGGCGGCTCCCGCCGACGACGAGGACAGCTCCTACGCGGGGCGGTTTCCGCGCACCGTGCCCAAGTATGGGTGCCTCGTCCTGGAGGTGCAGGACTGGATCGACGGGATCAACCACCCCGAGTGGGGCAGGATGGAGAAGCAGGTGTTTGGGCCGGGTTCGGACCCGTATGTCTTGCAGGTTAGCCACAGGTTCACTGTGGGCTGAGAGGATGGGAGCTCCTGCTTTTCTCACCATAGGTTGTTTGGGACTTGGCTAGGGATTTGATGGCGCGGCGCATGCAGGCGTTCTAGGATTTGGACCATAGACTGGAATTCGTTCCGTCACCTGAACTATTTGGCTGTATGTGATGCTTGGTCAAGCATGTTCTTGTTATCCTTTTTATGCTTGGCGCACCTATACACGTGGATGAGGCGACGCCTGCCGGAGGGTTTTGCAAAGGTAAGACGCTACATCCCAGGATTTCCGTGGTTCAAGCAACAATAAATCCGTACTCCCAGTCTCTCTGTTTGCTCTGAGACTTGGTTTGAGGAGTGAGAGACAGTCGGGCTTGAGGGCATCTACTGAGCATCTTATGCAAAAAGCGGGGTGTCTCCAAAAGAGCCGGCCAAGCATCGACTCTATATCAAGCTCAGGTTTGCTCGAAACCTCAACCAAACAAAGCAGCGAAACATTCAAGAAGACCGAAACTTCGTAGTGCAGCCACATGTCAAACTCGACCACTTCACAATTATCCAGCTGCCAGCTATAACCACCGTAACAAATTCACCCACGACGAACTCAAATAACTACCTACGAGCCAAAGGCTAACTCACAAAACCACACCCTTTTTGACCTCTTGGAATTCTCAACCACACCAACACCACGGCAAAAATGTCATCATCAATCCCTCTCCACCCCCGCCCGCACAGGACACCCCATCCCCTGTCCCCATCCGCAACAACAACAATACGGAACCCCCTCCCCCCCGTCCTTCAAACTCCCTCAGGCCTCGCCCTCCTCGAGCTGCAGGGGACCATCAACCTGCCCCCATTCCCACCAGACGCCCCACCAGCGCACGCCATCCCCATCGGAAGGCTCCATTTTCCAGAGTATCGCGCCGACAAGGACGACGACGACACGGCGTGGATGAAGAGGGTGTGGATGTACGTCGGCGAGCATCAGAGGTTGCAGGGGGAGGTGAGGAAGCTTCGCAGGGCGATCGCTGTGCTCAGGAGGAGGGGAAGGGGTAGGAAGGGTGCTGCTGAGGAGGGGCGAGAAGAGGACGGGGAGGAGGAGGAGCTGGAGGTGGTGGAGATTGTCAGGTACAAGATTGTGTTTTCGTCTAGGCCGGAGCCGGTTGGGAGTGGAGGGGCAGGTCTGAGTGGTTAATGCATGGTTATGCCGTGTTCAGGGTTGGGATCGCTTCTTACGGGTGGCCGGCGTGAGTTGGGAGGCGGGGGAGGGGGAAGGGTTCGGTAGAAGGGGTCGGGGAATTGCTTTGGCTGAGGACAGGGATGGAAATAGAGGAATGGGTAGAACATTGACATCATGGATGAAGGGAATTGTCGCGCAGCAGCGTCTGCGAGCATCAGCTTGGCGGTCTGGTGTAAAGGCATCACAACCCGAAGGCGACATCTTCGCGACATAACTGAACTGCTCAGCATTTATTACTGATCCATCTAGCTGGGCCCAGAAGCAACTGGCCTGGTTCTCCCGAGCCCCTGTTTACCATAATAATCCATCGGGTATGGGCCCTCCCCCCAGTCTTCCTTCTCCTCCAGCGCAACCAACGCCTCGTACGGCGTCAACAGCGGCCGGGGGAACGCATATCCCCAGTCGATGCTTAGCCGGGGGCACGCTACCTGCACCCAGCACTCGACGTCGCTCATCATCGCTAGCTTGCCCGGGAAGATCTCGCTCAACAGCAGGTTGACGAACGGGATGTTCATTTGCTTCAGTTTGGTCTCTATAAGCGCCATCGTATGCGGGTTCCCCTGCCGTCCTAGCGAGCCCAGAATGAGCCCCCATTTCTTGGCCTTCTTGGCTATCCGGATAGCGTCCCGCCGCAAATCCTGCATCTCGTCGTGGCCGTACGTCTCGTGCGTCAGCTTGCGCGAGTACGGGTCGTACCGGTAGGCTGGGATGTTGGGGTTGTGGATCATGATGCTCTCGAGATGGAAGCGGCCGTCGCCGAGGTACAAGATCAAATCCACCGGGCTGTCGGTGTATGTGGACAGATTGGGGGATGTGCAGCCTAGGATTTCTCCCTTGGACAGTGGTGCAATCTGCGGCACAATCACCTTGAACCCTGCCTTCTCCAGCGTTGACCGCACGCCGTGAATGGTCGCGTTGAACTGAATCGTTCCGACCAGGGCGATCGTTTTTCCTGGCGAGAAGTTGCGCTCCAGAGTGGCGAGAAGATGCGAAGTGTCGATGCTGATGTCGACAAAGACGTACAGCGTCTTGATCTTGGTCACGTCCACTGGGATGAGGCAGCTGTGGGCGTAGTGCACCAGCAGATCGCACCCCATTGCCCGCGCCGTGTAGTCGTCGATGCAGCACGCGCCGTACGTGACATCGCCCATGATTAGTGTTTCGATACCCGGACAGAACTGGGTGAGGATGTCGGATATGGTGGCAGCGAACATTAGCAGGCCCTCGGGCATCTGCAGGGCAACCCTCTTGGCTCCTAGTGAGCGGATGCGGTGAATCGTCTTGGGTATTTCAAAGGAGTAGTTTGCCGGTAGAAGGGCTATGGCGGCCTTCAGCGCCTCGTCATTGAGGATCTCAAGGGGTACTTGATTGAGCATCCTGGGTGGCCTCCTTGGCTGAGCAACTGTGACGGCAATCAGCCTCACTTCTTGTTTGCTTAGACTGATCTGTAGTCCCAGTACCTTGAATGGCCCCGCTGTCCTCTATCGAGGCTGGTCCTGTGCTGGATTTTGCCACCTCTGTCGCTGCCCGCCTGCCAACGAAGCGCTTCTTGGGTTGTCTAACCGCATTCTCGCGAAGCTCCTTCTCCTCGATGTCAGCAGCGATGCCCAAGTCGACGAGAACTCGATCGTCTTCCATAATAAATGTTATAAGCCCTCGGCCACAGTGAATCAGCTTTGTTCTCCCAATGGAGATACTGCCAGGCTGTTCGTGGGGTGTGAGTTACTGTATTCTCTTGAAAAATCCCAGACGAGATAATACTGAGGCAGCTCTGGAGGAATGGCGATGACCCAGATGTCGACCTGTGTGTCTGGCAGTGATTTCCTTTCTGATTTCAGTGATGCCCCTTGTTCCAGTGCAGCCCCTCTATCAGTGATAAGATCTTGCACGAAGTTAACGGCAGGGCGGGAAGGCTGAGAGTCAGGACGGCCCACTTTACGTGGGTTTGAACGTTCTGGCCAATGAAAACATGCAGCTAGTGTGCCCTAAAATCTCCCCTTGACTGGTGGTGCACACAAACCTGCCTTCGATTTTTCCCCTGTCCGCATCATCGACGACGGCCGTTCAGCAATCACCGCCAACATGAAGGTGAGACAGCCCGTACCTCATTCGCGACCGAGCGACGGCACGAATCGACGATTCTGCTATACACTGGGTCGATGCTGCTACCAGGCTGGACAACGTTGCTAACCCGGTCCTGTAGCTGAACATTTCGTACCCTGCGAACGGCTCGCAGAAGCTGATCGAGGTAGAAGATGAGCGGAAGCTGAGGCACTTCTATGAGTACGCTACGTGCTTCTCTTCAATCGTGGCGCCTCAAACTAACTGGACTTTTATAGGAAGCGCGTACGTACGATCGAAATCCGCCGACCCTTCTCAAACATACTGACTCGAAATAGATGGGCGCTGAGGTCCCCGGCGACCCGCTCGGCGATGAGTGGAAGGGCTACATCCTCCGTATCACAGGCGGAAACGACAAGCAGGGCTTTCCGATGAAGCAGGGTGTCATTGCCCCCAACCGTGTCCGCCTCCTCCTGTCCGAGGGCCACTCCTGCTACCGCCCCCGCCGCACCGGCGAGCGCAAGCGCAAGTCGGTCCGTGGCTGCATCGTCGGCAGCGACCTCTCCGTTCTCGCCCTCGCGATCGTCAAGCAGGGCGAGCAGGACATCCCCGGCCTCACCGACACCGTCCACCCCAAGCGCCTCGGTCCCAAGCGTGCCACCAAGATCCGGCGCTTCTTCGGCCTCAGCAAGGATGACGATGTATGTGCTACTTGCCACCTATATCCCGTCATCGCCTGCCTTGGAGCTGCGTCGGTTTCGGTCGCGCAGTTCGGGTAGAGTCTGAGTGCAACGATATCGGAGGCTAATACGAAAATTTTCTCGGGATACTAGGTCCGCAAGTACGTCATCCGGCGTGAGGTTCAGCCTAAGGGCGAGGGCAAGAAGCCCTACACCAAGGCTCCTCGCATCCAGCGCCTGGTCACTCCCCAGCGCCTCCAGCACAAGCGCCACCGCATTGCGCTCAAGCGCCGCCAGGCTGAGAAGGTCAAGGACGAGGCGGTACGTGCTCACCTTGCCCCGCTGGATCCAGATAATTGCGCTAACTGTTCATCAGAATGAGTATGCCCAGATCCTGGCCAAGCGTGTTGCTGAGGCCAAGGCCCAGAAGGCCGATGCTCGTAAGCGGAGGGCCAGCTCGATGCGCAAGTAAAACTGCGGTGTTTGGTAATGGGTCTCGGGCTGCTTTGGGAAAACGGTTACGGCGTGCTTGCTTGCTGGCTCATCTGGGACGTGTACATGGCGTAAACACCTTTCACGAAATCCCGACATTTGGTCTTTGCTCTGAGCACACCGGGGATGTTTGAGCCAGAAGTGCAGAGAAATATGTATTACTCCCACGACATAAAGGACCGGCTCTCGTCGCACTTTGCGTGGTTCATAGATCCTCCGCGCACGAAGATGCCGGCTCGCCTACGTTTGCCTGCCAATCGATCTTTATGTCCCCTCCAGTGATTCATATGGCTGTTTACAGATTGATTGATTGAGTGTAGCAAGAATAGTTCTTCTAAACAGTGTTCAAGACGGCAACCTAAGCTATATGCCTACGGAATCTGACTGAGAGAGCTTGGTCTGTGGGACCCGAGCATGGAGGATGGGAAGACTGGACTCCAGGAGTTGACGGTCGCTTATCTCCCTGGCCGACCAATTTACTTCTCAACCGTGCTAGGTGGTAGGAAAGATGATACGTTAGCTCGGCATTCCAGAGCCCAGCCGAGCCAACTACCGCTCCAGCTGGCTTAGACACCATTGGTTTCCCAAGCCCGTCCTTGTTGAGGACGGCGTTGGTGTGAGCCTGGACCCCACCTTACGGAGCGAGAGTTTGGGGTTTGTAAGCTGGGAGTGTTTGATGGGGTCGACTGGTGCTTCAAGAACCTGATCAGGAACAACATCACAGGCCGTGTCTGTATGTTTGGCGAAGAACTGCGCATCTGGACGGCTTTGCCTGCAGAAGAAAGTAATATCACAGTCCAAGCAGGAAGCTGAGAGAAGCTTTGAAGCGCCCGACCACAAAAATTACTGAGACATGACAGCTGCCTGCCCCACATCAGGACCCAGCTTCCGGCGGTGCTTGCCGCGGCCGAACTTTTTTGGTGCTGTTTGTACCTGACCAGCTGTTGCCGTCATTGCCTCTACTAGCCTTCTCCAAACCGAACCTCCACTGCTTCCCACCACCGACTTCATTACTTCGGCCACTATTCGGCGTAACACTGACTGCGACATCACCCGTGACTTAAACAACGCATACTCGGCGACCGTATCGTGATTCTTTTCCCAGGACATCCTGAGGCGACCTGCACTCGTCTTCAAGCTGTCTTGGGCTGAGGGGCTGCACCATCGCTTGCCGATTCGATCCATCCAACTCCGCGGCGCAGTTGCTGTACGCGGTTCAACCCGCCACCTTGAAGTTCCGTCATCGCGGCAGCACCCTTTAGACGACAGTTGACCTTTGCCGTTATTGACTACACCTTCGGAACCGACTCCGCATTTTGTGGCTAACGCGAGGCTTTCGTGCGTCCTCGAGACGTGGGTAGTGGGAGGGGGAGTACCAGATTTCTTCAGCCCTGGCGGCTCAGCCGCTCCTTCAGGATGGGCAAAATCACCAAGACGATGCAGTCTAAACACAGGGAGAACCTGGTAAGCGCTCAAAACCACATGCTCACGTCTCGCGCCTGTGCTGACCCCGCCCAGTCTCCCTGGGTTAGAAACTATGTCCTCGCCGCAGCTTCTACGCCGCTGCCGCTCATTCCCGAGAAGCTCAACGAGTTTCCGACGAGATGGCCGTTCCCGCGCGGCGACCTCTATCACTGGATCCCGCTTTTGAACCGGTTCGACAGCGTCCTCGAGGCTTTTTGCGCGACCTACAACCTGCATGAAGGATTTCAGACACAGGACTTTGCGTGCGACTTGCTGATGAACAAGGGCGCGCCGGTGGAGTACGCCGATGACCAAGCATATAGCAAGGAACGTCTGGTGCAGATGGGCTACAATGAGGACGGCGACCGCCAGCTCATCATTTCCATTCTCACGTTTACCCGTGTGCTCTTGCAGCATTGCGGCAATCGGAGCATCTACGCCAGCAGCCCGCACCTGAACGATTTGCTCAATGCGACCGATCTCAGCGTTGTCTACTCCACTCTCCAAGTTGGCCTGGAGCTCGCCCAGCGGTACCAGGCGTCAATCAAGCGAGTCGGCACGCCCAACCGCCAAGTCAGCGCGGCCTTGCTTGCGAACCATTACAATATCGATCTTGATCGGGTTCAATTCCTCGCGCAACCCTTCGTGAAAACCCCCGTCTCCCCGGGTCCTCGTTTCTCAGATGTGCCGCCGGCGACCCCGGGGTCTACGAGCAAGGGAAAGGACAAGGCACCTGGCTCCAATCTCCGGAACGCGGCATCCACATATGCCAACGACCTGACCGCAATCGTTGCCCCTGGACCAGTCGATGATGGACGGTGGGCTGGGTGGGGAGACGTCAGAATTCTCTATTATCCGAGAACCGAAATCTCGGACTCCGGCGCCGCCGAACCGCCGAGCGGGGACGGTAGCTCGTCATCAGTGCCGACGACTCCTACTCCACTCCGGCGTAGCGCCACGAGCATCTCACACACTCCGCGTTCGACCAGACTACCGGGCGCCGATGACAGCCCTCTAAGTCGAGGCCATGGTCACAGTGGCGATGACCACGCTGTTTCAGGCCCCAAGTCTCTTGAATTGCGGCAGGCCACTGTGCAGATGACATCGATCTATGAGCTCCTCAAACTCTGTCCTGCCGACATGTCGAAATCTTCGAGGTACGAGTTCCTCAATAGATTGAGAATATCGAAGGCGTTTCTGGGATCGTCCGAAGACCGGCAACTGGCGCTGGCTGTGCGTCTGCTGGCCATCACCAACTTAGCATACATCCACCCCGAAGCCACTTTTGTCGAAAAGGTCCTGAAGCAGGACAACGACGAGCCACGCAGGTACCAGCTTGTGTACCAGCTTGCTGAGTTGGTTCATCCGTCGGCCGATGGAACGCCCGACACGCCTCTGCGGCTGCAAGCCCTCGCGCTCGCCGCTTTGGAGTCCATCACCGTCATGCCATCTAAATATCCGGAGGTGGTTGCCGCGCTGAACGCGAACGTCAATCACGGCGTTCTCCTGTATGTCATCCGAAAGGCTGTGGCAAGCATGAAGGAGGACTCAATTGAGCCGGATGATGGAAAGGTTACCGATACCGATCACTGGCGGGCTAGTCTCTTCGCCCTAACCCTACAGATGGCCATGGCCTCTCGCATCGGCCAAGAAATGTCGTCTGCCGGGCTTCTTGAGATCATGGTTGAAATACTGAATATCCGCTCCAAGACTGCGGCGCGGAACTATAGCATGGTGCTCGCTTTCCTGGATACCATTATTTATGGGTTCAATGGAGCGTTCACCGTGTTCAGCAATGCGGGGGGTCTTGATGCCATCTCCAACCTCATCATTGACACGGTTGCCCGCTCGAAGGAACTTGTCGCGGCCGGGCTTGGAACCAAGCCCGAATTCCACTCGCATACGGTGGACTACGAAATTCCTTTCTACCAGCAGCAAACCCTCAAGTGGCTTCTCAAGTTCATTCACCACATCATGACGAATGCCTTCTCCTTCGGGACCAACACCGATCGACTTCTGAGAAATCTGGTGGATAACTCTGCCTTGCTGGGCAGCCTGCGAGTCATCACCGAGGACATGCATGTTTTCGGGTCTTTGGTCTGGACCAATGCCGCTGGCTTGTTGAGCGATTTCATCAACAATGACCCGACCAGCTTTGCTGCCATCTCGGAATCGGGCATGATCCAGAGCTTTCTTGAGACGCTCACCGGCCGACCCGTTACGGTGCCAAAACCTTCAGAGCCCAAACCCGAAGTTGAGGAGGGCGCGTCGCCCGCTTACTCTGATGATTCGGTCACTTTGGAGAGTGATGAGCGGCCGCACCCCCCGACTCAGGAGATGCTCGAGGCGCCCAGAGACCGTCTTGCGCCAGGTGTTCTTGCCGCGAATGACGCTATCAGCATCATTCCAACTATCCTTAACTCTATCTCTCTCAACAGTCTCGGCATGAAGATGATAGTCTCGTCCAATGCCCTTGAGACGTACTTGGAGATTTTTGAGAGCCCGGATCATGTTCAGGCGCTGTGCGAAGCCGACTTGGCGAACAGCGTCGGTGCCAGCTTCGACGAGCTCGCTCGTCATCACCCGGCTCTGCGACCTGCAATCTCCAACGCCATTCTGGATATGGTGGCGCGGGTTCTACATCTGGCAAAGACCAAGTCCGTTAACGCAGGTTGGGGCGCAAAACTCGCCATTGTCGATCCAAGCGGCAAAGTCGCATCCGTGGTCCCAACGGCGAAAGGAAAGGAGAAGGCCATCGCCGAGGATGTAGACGTCGAGATGGTGGATGCGAACACCACCTCTGTTGAGCAAGCTGAGGGCAACAAAAACGGCGCGTCTGGCAGCCAGAAGCCCACGGGTCCCCATCATGAGATCACGCCTTATATTGCGGCACTTACTACCTTCCTCAGCTCTATTCTTCAAAACTCCAGCCTCAAATCGGCATTCGTTCGCCAAGGCGGTGCTGAGTTACTTCTCCAGTTGGCGGAAGCCCCCAGTCTTCCCGAGGACTTCGCCACGACCAGCGCGTCACGAACCCTCTCACACACGCTTGCGTCTGTGATTGAGGCGAGCCCCATCCTTGGTCTCCCTTCTCTGCTTAATCGGATTCACGCCGCTATTGATGACCTTGAGCCGCTTGTCGGCAAGGAAGGCGCCCATTCATTCTTTGCACCCTTCGTCGTCCCTAATCCTACGATTGCGAAGGACCTGGGAGGGTGGAAACAAGGCTTGAGTGGCACCGTGGCTGGTGGCACTCGAGTTGTGAAGGCTTTGGTTAAACTCCAGCTGCTGCTCCGGACGCTTTACCAAAGCTTTCCCTACTCCTCCCGGCAGGCGACGGTCTCTATGCCCGCGGTAAACGTCTTCGATTACTTCGACGCTCTCATCAAGCGCCTCGGCCCCCTCTTGCGCGATGCCGCCATGGAGGATATGGCACTTGCGGCCCTCGTTCCGCAACACTGGACGGGGAATAAGCCAATCTCACTGGATGGTGCTGAGACCCCTGCGCCTCCTGTTCTCCCCGCGGATGAGGAAGATAAGCCTGAAGAGGTTCGCATTGACGACAAGGGAGCAGAAAGGTCAGCCCTGCCAAAAGAGCCAACCAAGGGAGAACGGTCCACGACTCCGTTTCAAAACTATTCCGTCATCCACCGTCTACTCAATTCGGTTGCACCCAGCGCGCTTCCGGTTTTCCAGACAGTGGGAAAGGTGCTGTTACCCAGGCGAGGTACCGAGTCGTACGTCAGGTCGCAGCACATGAGGCTCGCAGATACGTTGGCGCAGACTATCCTGGAGCAGCTGTGCATGCCACGGCAGACGCTGGCGGTTCGGGACATGCATTACTGGGCCGTTATGTTCGACGCCCTGAACCAGATGCTGATTGACCCAACGAGACTGCCTGACCGCACCTCCGTCCAGCTGATCTTGCCTGTCCTTGTGGCGTTTAAGGACCATGGCGGCATAGAGCTCCTGAATACAATGCTTCAGAAGTTTGCCGACGAGGTTTGTCGTGATGCGATCGAGGGCCATGACGCTCACAGGTTGGAGCTCGCTACGGTTGGCATGAAGAAGATTTTCGATATCTACCATGTCATCGTGAATGGCAAGAATGTTTATGATTCCGTTGCCCAAACTAGTCTCTTCCCGCGGTCCACGGACAGGAGCAAAGATTACGGGCATCAGCTTGTCGTGGAGCTGAGGTTAGCCATCCTCCCAACTGCCCGTAAGCTTTGGGAGTCAGACTTCGCTGAGAAGGCCCCCACGCCGGCCTTGAGCAAAGTCATCGACATCATCAAGACCATTGCGACAGCGGATTTGGAAACCAACGCGTGGCGCAAATTGGACAAATCGGGGCCCCAACCCTTGTTCAGGAATCTCAAACTCGATCCTTTCAACTGGGCTGCTCACGCTGAGCAAGTTGAAAACTTGACGCGACTGGACTACGAGGAGGGGCTCGCCCGCGAAGCAGTCTATCGTGCGAACGGAAAGTACGACGAATCGACAGAGTATTGCCGTGCTCACTCCAAAGACTTGGCAGGCAAGCGCAATCCTATCCCGGAGGTCGACGCCTATCAGCGCCCGCCGTCACCGAAACCCCATGAGTCTCGTGAAGAGAAGTCATCTTCTTCAGCGACAAATCCCCCGGGTGCTGATCCCATGTCGCTGGACTCGATACCCGGAATCAATAACTTCATTCGCGAGGCCATTGGCGAAGCTGTTCCCGAAGACCTCTCCTCTGACGACTTCAACGGTGAGCATTCAAACTCGAGTCAAGATTCCTCTAGAGAAGACGAACCCCTCGCGTCCTCGGTGCTAGCGCAAGGCGCCCAACCAAGCCCATCTGACGAATTTCTGACGCCCCCGCGGGTCACGAGGGAGGATCTTGACAAAGAGCGAGCCGAGATCCAGAACGACTTGATTGACCGTTGCCTGGATGTCGTCAGGACTCATCCGGATCTGGTTTTCGAGGTCTGCGACCTGATCCAAGTCACTGTTCTCAAGTCTGGCAGCGAAGTTCAACGGGGGGAAGTCGGCGATGTGCTTGCCAACGCTCTGATGTCCTTTGCCATGAACGACGAGGAAGAAAAGCGCGCTAACGCCCGTGGTATTGCCGCTTACGCTCATTTACTTTCACTCCTCTTGCAGAATCGGCCATTCTTCAAGTCGACTCTGCCGACCCTGAAGCAGAACATCGGCGACTACCTGGGCTTCCTGAAGGTTTCTCTCGCCAGCTCCAATGAGGAGCTTCCATCATGGATTCCGTATACTCTTCTCATCTTCGAGATCCTCCTATCAGATGATGAACAACCAGTCGAGGTTGAGTGGAAAGCACCAACCAAGGAGGACGATCCCGTTGAGCCGCCGGTCTGGATTGCGAGGGAACCCAACATGTCGGCTGAGGAGCGCTCCAGCCTCCTCGCCTCGGTCTTGGACATTCTCCCGAGGGTTGGCAAGGAAGAGACCCTGGCTGTCTCCGTTTTGAGGATCCTCGTAATCCTAACAAGGGACCATGCAATGGCAAAGATCGTCGGCGAGAAGCGAAACCTCCAGCGCCTGTTTGTTATGGCGAAGCAGTCCTGCAGTGGAGGGTCGGCGCGGCTCACGCAAGCGCACATCTCGGACAACATCATGATCATTCTTCGTCACATAGTAGAAGATGATGACATCATTCGCCAGATGATGGAGACAGAGATCCGACAGTCTTTGAGTTCCCGAAGCCCGCGGGCATATCACGATCTCCAGGGCTATTTGCGCCATCTTTCTCATGTGGCGCTCCGTGCTCCGAAGCTCTTCGTCGATGTCACCACAGACCTCGTGAAGCTGAGCAACTGGTCGGCTTCTCTTGATCCCGCCATGCGCCCCCACGCCCTTGCTCTCAAAGACAAACCCGCTGAGGAGGCGGCACCCCCGAAGGAGGGGTCGGTTGAACCCGCGGTGCAAGCAACAGAGGACTTGACTATCCAAGATGTCAAGCTGTCAACCGAGTCAGGAGATAAAGAGATGGCAGATGCATCGAAGACTCCGTTTGAAGTCAAGCGTCCTGTCCTGGAGAATCCTGACGGTGTGATCCATTTCCTGCTCTGCGAGTTGCTCAACTACAGGGAGGTTGACGATAAGGAGCCGTCAAGCCATCCTGCGAAGGAGTCGCCGACGGGAGGCGAATCCTCCGGTGCGACTGTGGAAGCGTCCTCTGCAGGACAGCAGCTGGTAGACCCGAAGGACAGAAAGACACCCAAGTCAACTTTCAAAGCAGAGGACCACCCAATCTTCGTCTACCGCTGTTTCCTGCTCAACTGCTTGGCCGAGCTTCTGCAAAGCTTCAACCGCGCAAAAGTTGAGTTTATCAACTTCAAGCGGAGCGCTCCCGTACTCAACAACACGCCCATCAAGCCTCGCTCGAGCGTCTTGAACTACTTGCTCAACGATCTTCTCTGCTTGGGGCCTGCCGGCATCCCCATGGATTCGACGATCATCAAGAAGAAGGCTGCGACATCAAACCATGCACAGGCAGTGCTTGTGGCTCTGGTTACCCGGACCCCTGAGAAACCTGTCGATCGCACCCGCATTCACTTCGAGTACGATGACGACTCGGACCTTTTGTTCGTTCGCCGGTTCGTTCTCGACACAGTCCTCCGCGCATTCAAGGAAGCCACTACTCCTGGTGAACCGATTGAGGTGCGCTACGGGAAGATGATGTGCGCCGCAGAGCTTATGAGTTTGATGATCGGCGAGAAGGAGAAGGAGGGGGCGCCCAGAGACGCCCGGGCCACGGATCCCGCCGTTATCAGGTCGCAGATGCAACTCAAGCGCCTCATGTACGAGAAGGGTTACATCGCTGCGTTGACGGCGTCCATTGCCGACATTGACCTCACGTTCCCCAACGTCAAGCGCACGATCAAGTACATCCTGCGCGTTCTTCGAGCCTTGACAAAGACAGCGTACCAGTTGAGCCAGTCGGACGTTATTCCAGTGACGGCGACTGACCAGCCTGAGGACGACTTTGCATCAGCGTCATCCCTCTCAGATCTGGACGATGACCGTGAGGAGACTCCCGACCTCTACCGCAACTCCACTTTAGGTATACTCGAACCGGGCCGCGAGGAAGATTTCTCCGATGAGGATGAAGATGGTATGCTCCTGAACCATGGCCGTGTTCTACTTCAGCGCTGACACTAACTCTTTCAGATGACGATGCCATGTACGATGACGAGGCTTACGACGAAGAACTCGATTACGGTGATGAGATGTCCCAGGATGAAGAAGAGAACCCCAGCGACGACGAGGATGAGCTGGGCGGGATGGGAGAGATCGAAGGCCTTCCTGGTGAGCCGGGCGTCGTGGAAGTCATCATGGGTGAAAACGAAGACGATGAAGATATGGACGAAGACATGGACGAGGATGACGAGGAAGAGCTTAGCGACGAGGATGAGGATGAAGATGAAGACGACGATGAAGATGAGATGGGCTCCGAGGATATGGAGGAGATCGAAGATCGCATTGAGATCGTCAACGAGGAGGGTGATGCTATGGAGGATGAGGGAGCTTCCGGTTGGGAGAGCGAAACGGATGAAGAGGATGAAGATGGCGAGGAGGAGCTCCCGTTCGACGGGGGTGCGCAAGATATCCATGATGCACTGATGCATGGTCATGGCATCGATCAACTCGGCCGCATCCCCGAGATCCTTAGGAACGTTGTCGATGGGGAGGATCTAGATGCAGAGGACATGCAGGATCTCGACGAACACTACCTTGACGATGGTTTGGATGATGAGGGTAAATTCTTGCCTGGCCTAGTCTCTTTTTCGATATCTTGCAACCAGCTAACCGAACAAGACGAGGAAGAAGAAGATGAAGGTGACGAAGATGAGGTGTACTACGACCCGAGCCATCATCACCACCGTGAGATCCCTTCACCATCCAACGCGGTCTTGATCAATTCTGACTTGGAATAGATGATGACCACCCCCCTTCGAACATCGCGTCAGGTCTCGGATGGGACATCCCCCATATCGAACCTCATCACCGATTCCGACATGGAGGTGTTCGGAGCCCATTCCCGCCTGCGTTCACCATGGGAGGCCGCGAAGGCTTGGCACCTGGTACGTCGCCCGACGCCTTCCGCCGACAAGGTCGGCCTTCGGGCATTGGTTTTCTGGAATCCATTCGTCGCGATCTAGACCGTCTCCTCCGCGAGCTTAGGGATCCGACGGAGCATGGTGCTAACCCCATGTCAGACTTCCGAAGCTATTTCCGCCACAGCCACCCCCGCCCACCCGCGAACACGACGGACGATGGTGTCAATCCCTTGCTGCTTTCTGGTAACCGTACTGTACCGGATTCAGTTTCTCGCGTCACTGGCCAGCACATGATCCGCCTTGGGTTCCCGGGTGCTCTCGTCGGGCATGGTATCGACGCGCCCCTTGCATTCATTAATGATCTGATGCAGAGCATCCCTTTTCCTCCTAGAGGCGGCCCTTCCTTCAGCCTCCAGCTGAGATCTGAAGGTCCATCAGGAGAGGTCCGCCAGGTTAGCATCCCGGTCAACATGGCAGCTTCACCCCGCGAGACTCGTTGGGAGCCACGGCGTGAGGTGTATCAGGAGCCCCACCAAGCTGTCGCCTTCTCTTCCGAGGCTACTGCCGAGCGATGGCAGGAAGAATCCAAGATGATCTTCGGCCTCAACCATCATGAGAAATCCAAGCTGCTGACTACAGCGATCCTCGGGATGCTCGCCCCAGCTGCCATGCAGCGGGAAAAGGAAATCAAGGCTCGCCAAGAGGAGAAGCGCAAGCGCGAGGAGGAGCGTAGGAAGCGCGAAGAAGAAGAGCGCAAAGAACGCGAGGCCAAGGAAGCGGAGGAGAAGGCTGAGAGGGAGAGGAAAGAAGCCGAGGAGCGCGAGCGGCAGGAGCGGGAGCGCGCCGAGGCCGAAGCGGCGCGTGCAGCCGAACAAGCGACTGCGGTTCCTGAACCGGAGGTTGAGGAGCCCCAGGCCATGGAAGGCGTTGAGTCTCATGCCGAACCCCAGGCGGAAGAGCAGCAACCGGCTGCTCCGGCAGAACGCGTCACCACGGTCATTCGTGGCGAGACCGTTGATGTTACCGAGCTCGGCATCGACCCTGAATATCTCGCCGCGCTTCCGGAGGAGTTCAGGGAAGAAGTTATTGCTCAGACCGTGAGCACTCGGCGCTCGCAGGCTCGCGAGCAGGCGGCCAACGAGGGAGAGAATACCGAAGTCTTCCAAGAGTTTCTCGAAGCTCTGCCAGCGGAACTTCGTATGGAGATCGTTCAGCAGGAGCGCCAAGAACGCCGTCGTCGCGAGCGTGAGGAGCAGCGTAGACAGGCAACTGCGGCTGGGCAGGTGGACCTTGGTCCCGTCGAGATGGACACCGCTAGTATCTTGTTGACCTTCCCGCCTGCCCTTCGGGAGCAGGTCCTGCTGGAGCAAGGCGAAGACATAATGGATCATTTGCCCCCCGAGCTCGCTGCAGAGGCCCGCGCGATCGCTCAGCGGCATAACTTGCATCGCGTTCCGCCCGCGGGGGTGCCTCGTGCCCGGGATGCTACCCGCCGGCCGGAAGCAGCAGTTGAGACGAAGCCAAGGCGGCGCACAATCGTGCAAATGCTCGACAAGCCTGGGGTTGCAACGCTTCTCCGGCTCATGTTCATCACGCAGCAGAGCTCCATTCGCAACTACCTGTTTGACGTCTTCTCGCACGTCTGTGAGAATCGCCAAAACCGCCTGGAAGTTATCTCTACCCTCCTTCAGATTCTTCAGGACGGCAGCACCGACATGGAGGCTGTCGAGCGTAGCTTCAGCCAACTGTCCTTGAAGGCGAAGCAGCCGAAGGACAAGGATCCTAAGACGCCGCAGAGCCTCAAGCGAACGTTCACAAACCTCAGCGCCAGCAATCAGGTGACCGGCAACTCTGAGGTCTCGCCTCTGTTGATCGTCCAACAGTGTCTCGACCTGCTGCAGGAGCTTGCAACTAAGAACCCCCATGTTCCATCCCTCTTCTTGACAGAGCACGAGACGGTTGCCTCTACACTTAAGCGCAGCACGAGCCGTAAGGGCAAAGGCAAGGATGTCAACGCCAAGGCGCAGAGATTCGCCATCAATTCGCTTCTGGCACTCTTGGATCGGGAGCTCATCATGGAGAGTTCGTCTGTCATGCAACTCCTGGCAGATTTGCTCAACAAGGTCACCTACCCACTGCAGGCCCTCGAGCGTCGGCGTAAGGAAGCTGAGGAGGGAGCGAAGAAGAAGGCCGAGGAGGATAGGGCGGAGGACAAGGCTGAGCCCAGCGCTGAGACCGCCCAGGCTTCGGAGGAACAACCTTCCACGGCTCAGACCGCTGAGCCCACCGCTTTTGTCTCAAACGAGAAGCATACGGCGGCGTCGAGCACTGATCAGCCCGAAGCGGAGAGCTCAACGGCGAAGGAGACGAAGCCTGAGGAGAAGAAGGTTCGGCAGCTTACGCCGCCTACGATCCCTGACCACAACCTAAAGCTGGTCATCAACGTCTTTGTCGCGCGGGAATGCAGCTCCAAGACCTTCCAAAACACGATATCCACCATCAAGAACCTCTCCAACATTACTGGCGCCAAGAAAGTCTTTGGCGAGGAGCTTGTCTCGCAGGCTAGAGCTCTGAGCGAGAACATTGTTTCGGACCTCACCGATCTGCTTCCGCATATCCTCAAGGCAGAGTCGGGAACTGAAATTCAGGGCATCGCGCTTGCCAAGTTCTCGCCTGGCGCGTCGGAGCAGAATAAGTTGCTACGTGTCCTGACGGCGCTGGATCACCTGTTTGATACTAGGGGCAGAAAATCAAACGGGGGCGCAGCAGGCAGCGAGATGGCTGATGAGACCAAGGAGGACCTCCTTGGTTCCCTTTACTACAACCCGACGTTCAAAACCATGTGGGACAAGTTGAGCGCTTGCCTCAGCGCGATTCGGCAGCGGGAGAGCTTGCTCAATGTGGCGACGATTCTGTTGCCGCTCATCGAGTCTCTGATGGTGGTTTGCAAGAACACGACGCTGAACGAGGCGCCTACCTCGCAAACTGCGACCAAGGAGATGCTCTTGTCTAGCCCTCCACCCGAGAACGGCATTGCGGACTTGTTCTTCACATTCACGGAGGAGCATCGGCGTATCCTGAACGAGCTTGTCCGGCAGAACCCCAAGCTCATGTCTGGGACCTTCTCGCTGCTCGTCAAGAACCCCAAGGTGCTCGAATTCGACAACAAGAGGAACTACTTTAACCGCAGCGTCCATGCCAAGACGGGCCAGCAGCAGAGGCCGCAGTACCCGCCCCTGCAGCTTTCGGTTCGTCGGGACCAGGTGTTCCACGACTCGTTCAAGTCGCTCTACTTCAAGTCTGGTCCGGAAATGAAGTTCGGCAAACTCAACATCCGCTTCCACGGCGAGGAGGGTGTCGATGCGGGCGGTGTCACGCGAGAGTGGTTCCAGGTGCTCGCCCGCCAAATGTTTGACCCGAACTATGCGCTCTTCATCCCCGTTTCGTCGGACCGCACCACTTTCCACCCGAACAAGCTCAGCGGTATCAACGACGAGCACTTGATGTTCTTCAAGTTCATCGGGCGTATCATTGGAAAGGCTCTGTACGAGGGCCGTCTCCTTGATTGCTACTTCAGCCGTGCGGTTTACAAGCGTATCCTCGGCAAGCCCGTGTCGGTCAAGGACATGGAGTCGTTCGATCCAGACTACTACAAGTCTCTTGTCTGGATGCTCGAGAACGACATTACCGACATTATTGTCGAGACCTTCTCGGTTGAGGATGATGAGTTCGGTGTCACCAAGGTGGTCGACCTCATTCCAAATGGCCGCAACGTTCCCGTCACAGAAGACAACAAGCACGAGTATGTGCGGCTGATTGTGGAGCACAAGCTCCTCACGTCGGTCAAGGACCAGATGGAGAACTTCTTGAAGGGTAAGTTGCAATCCCCCAGCTAGAAACTCCAGTACCGTGTCGCTAATATGTGCACTTCTAGGCTTCCATGACATTATTCCTGAGGACCTCATCGCCATCTTCACCGAGCAGGAACTCGAGCTTCTCATCTCAGGTCTGCCGGACATTGACGTGGACGACTGGAAGAGCAACACCGAGTATCATAACTACACTGCTGCATCGCAGCAGATTCAGTGGTTTTGGCGGGCGGTGCGTTCATTCGACAAGGAAGAGCGGGCAAAACTCCTCCAATTCGTCACCGGCACGTCCAAGGTGCCTTTAAACGGGTTCAAGGAACTGGAAGGCATGAACGGCGTCAACCGGTTCAACATCCACCGCGACTATGGCAACAAGGACCGGCTTCCCAGCTCTCATACCTGCTTCAATCGTAAGTTCCTGACGTCAGTCTAACCTTGGGCGAGTGGGTGCTGACTGTCTTGGCGCAGAACTTGATCTTCCCGAGTATGAGAGCTACGACATCCTCCGAAGCCAGCTACTCAAGGCGATTACAGCTGGCAGTGACTACTTTGGCTTCGCCTAAACAGCGCAGTGGCCTGGCACGATTGCGGAGACAGAGAGATTTGGAGGTCATAACATGGAGGGACGGCATGAATTGCCCATCCTGTCCAAAAAGCGTCACGGGGCATCTGATGGATTGTTTTGATTGCATTTGCAGGTGGATGGGGCGGCACAACCGCAATGCTTCGTGTAGATTTGGTCATTGTATGTCTTTAATATTTTTCATTGCCCGCCCGTCTTCAGCCTGGCGTCGGGTAGTTACAGGTGGGAGAGCGGAGTGCAGGCCGCTTTCTTCCCTCTGCTACTGCGCGGCCTCGCGGAGGGGGTTTTGGGAGGTAGAACATCGACGCCTCTGTTGAGGGGGGCTAAGCGTCAGTTAGGACAATAGGATTATTTCTATTACTCGCGGCGTCCTATTACTACAGACATAATTCATGATTTGTGATCTGCGGGAATAGTTTGAGCCAGTGACTCTGTAATAGACTTGCAGTCTCTCACCGGAAACTATGTGCATAGATATCCCCATTGGTTTTTCAGGATGAAAGATGCCGAGCTGCAGCTGAGAGTGATGTCTTGGCGGGGGAGTGGAAGCGAAGTTTCAAGACCCACCACGCCGGGAGTGGGCCTGTGCACGGACCCATAGGGCTCCCAGCGCCGGCAGCGGTTCAACTTGGGAGCCGAAAAATTTCGCCCACATTTTCCAAACTCGACAACGCCCACCTGCATCTCGCCTTGACAACCGCTCGACCAACGACCAACGAGGTAAGTGGCATCGAGCCCCGAATTTCCTCTTCCGCGACGAATTGAAGCCTACACTCGTTATCACGAGTTCTGGATCGTCAGTTTGGCGAGATCGCAACCCCTCCGGCTCGACCGCACGCTCAATACATCACGACCTCTCCCCGCTAACTCGAGCTTCCTCCGCCAGACACAGTCAAGATGGGTATCTCACGGGACTCTCGGCACAAGCGCGCCGCTACCGGTGCCAAGCGAGCGCAAGTTTCTCCTTTTCCTGCCCCGAGTTGACTGGTACTCCGATCGTTGCTAACATCGATTTTTGCTGCAGTTTCTACCGTATGTCGTGACCTCCTTCTCTCGATCCCACACTATATCATAGCTCCTCCACACAAGGGGCACTCGAAGGTCCGCTTGGGAGGTCACTGCGTCGGTCTGTCTGCTGTCTTCCCTGGGCAGACAGGTTGTCGCAGGGACTGACCCCTCGCGTTCTGAGCCTGTTAAAACGCACATGGAAATGAACCAATTTCTGACAGCTGCGTACAGGGAAGAAGAGAGCCTTCGAGGCAGGTCGCCAGCCTGCGAACACCCGTATCGGTGCCAAGCGCATCCATGTTGTCCGCACCCGCGGCGGCAACCACAAGTACCGTGCGCTCCGTCTTGACTCGGGCAATTTCGCCTGGGCCTCGGAGGGCTGCACCCGCAAGACCCGTGTCATTGTGGTCGCATGTGCGTCGTCCCTACAATTCAATTGCGAGCTGAGCACCACTGACCTGAGTGACTAGACCACCCATCGAACAACGAGCTCGTCCGTACCAACACCCTGACCAAGTCCGCCGTCGTCCAGGTCGACGCCGCCCCCTTCCGTCAGTGGTACGAGGCCCACTACGGCCAACCGATCGGTCGCCGTCGCCAGCAAAAGCAAGGCCAGACCGTTGAGGAGGTCAAGAAGAGCAAGTCGGTCGAGAAGAAGCAGGCTGCTCGCTTCGCCGCCTCCGGCAAGGTCGAGCCCGCTCTCGAGAAGCAATTCGAGGCTGGCCGTCTCTACGCCGTCATCTCCAGCCGTCCTGGCCAGTCCGGCCGCTGCGATGGCTACATCCTCGAGGGCGAGGAGCTCGCCTTCTACCAGCGCAAACTCCACAAGTAAGCGCTGTGCGAGGAAGGGAGTCACGTACTGAATGGGAGGAGCAAGTCTGGGCATGGGGGCGTACATCGGTGTTTCGCCTGGGTGTTGATGGGTCATTTCTGGTTGCATTGCTGCCCGTCGGGTCGATTTTGGTGGGATCTGCGGGTATGAAAAAGAAGGCGGACAGTGCAATGTCATTTCCAATCGCTTTCGTCACCGGTAACAGGGCATGGCAGGGTTATTAGGGCAATGGAAAATGAATACCACCACCATGAAGCAAGCACCAGCACCCCCAAGCAGTCAATTGATCCAGACTTGATCACCTTCATTTGAGATGCCGTAGCGAGCGCTTGTGCAGACCTTGCTACGGTGCTTGTGCAGACGATGGGTGGTCTGTACATTACTGAGTAGCAAAACGTTAACCTATACAGCCACAGAAGCGGTTCACTGTACTTGAACATGTGCTCGATGATGTAGTAGCACGTATTATCCAGGAGCACGAATAGCAATGGTAGGTAGTATGAATCATGATAGATGCTATGCCCAATCCATCCATGCGAATCCAGGTCTGCCGTGTTACTCTACCCCGTCTTTCCATATCCGATTCCACACAGCGTATCGTATACAAGACCACTCTATCCTCCGTTTCAGCTCGGCCACACACTCTTTTAGACTCCCTGATCATCCTAATAGTGTTTCTCTATGCAAACTGGGGGATGGTCCTTTCAGGGATTCATATCAAACAAGATGCCGGTGTGGGTAGTTTGGCGAACTCCGCGAAAGGGTCCGGACTATGAAGCCACCGATACACCTCCGCAGAAGGCAGTGGCATGGTAAGCTCGACCTGACCTGGTTGAAATCGGCGCGAGGCAATGGGATGCCATTGTGTCGGTGTGAGGTTTGCTTGTGGTAATAGCGAGGAGCTGCTACATGGAACAGCTAGCTCATTGGAACTGTCTCTTGAGATCGGTCCATTTCCTAGTCAGGGCCTCGTGTTGCGAGTTGATCTGTTTATTTGATCGTCAGTCAGTCAATTGACTTATGGAGACAAAAAACCACTTGTAACAATTGTCGTTCTAGAGCAAACTCACCTCGGCATACTGCATCTTAGTCTGCACCAGCTCCTCCTCAAGCTCCGACAGTTCCTTTTCGAGCCGCTGGTTCTCCTCGTGCACCTTCTCGTTGCGCTTCATGAGGTCGTCGCGCTCGAGCTGCCAGACGGCCTCGATCTCGGCGGGCTGCTTCTCGATGACAATGCGCAGCTCCTGCACCTGAATTCGGAGGCCCTCATTCTCGTCGCGCAGCTCGTCATTTTCAACTTTTGTGTGCACCAGCTCCGTGGCCAGCGACGCCTGCTCGGCGTCCACCTCCTGCAGGCGCTCCTCAAGTTTGCGCATGCGCACCGCGTAGCTGGCGTTGCTCGCGCGCAGCGCCTCAAGCTCGGCCTCGCGCTCCTGTTCGGTGCGCGTCTTCTCCTCCCACTCAACCTGGTACGCCTTGAGCATCTCGGGCGTGATCTTGACCTCGCACGCGTCGCGCACGAGCTGGTCGGCGCGGTAGACTTCCTTGTCGATGCTGCTCGAGGAGCTGCCGAAGAAGCCGTTCTCGAGGATGGAGTTCGACGACGGCGACGAGTCAATGTAGACGTCAAACAGGCGGTCTTTGAGGAAGGCGGTGAGCTGGGACATGTCCGTGATGGCGAGGAGGGCGGCGGCGTTCTTTTGCATGAGGACGATGCCGAACTTGAGGATGGCTGAGAGGCCTTCGGAGAGAATCAGATCGTAGATGCGGAGGACAAGTTGGAGGGGGAAGCGGTAGGCGAAGAGGGTGAGGAACCATTGTGTGGCATACAGGTGAGGCGAGATACCGCGCCGCCGGAGGTGGCAGTAGAGCGCCGGCTCGAAATCTTCAAGGAGGCGTTCAAATTGGTACAGATGCAGATGGAGACCGGGCATGTCTTGAATGAAGAGATCCCGGAGGCGGTACTGGTTCATCAACCTCACGAGCAAGCAAAAAGCTTCCTCTTCTGGCATCTGGGGCAATGTCAGCAAACGTCTTCCCCAACCATGGCTGAGAGTTTTAGCTCACGTTGAATAGGAGTGGCATCACAAGGAAGTTCATGCCTTGAGCATAGCCAACACCCTCGTCGAACAAGGCGTACGCCTTGCAGACACCGAACAAGCCCTCTTGGAGACCCTGAGCAGCGGCAAACTTGGAATAGCTTGTCCTGGCGCCGAGGTCTCTCTTAATCGTCTTCTCGAGCTTCTGCAGCATGGCCAAGTCTTCCTTCTCCTTCTTCTGCCGCTGGGCGGCAGAGGCAGCCTGTGCCTTCTTTGTGGACTCCGAGTCCTTCTCAGTCGGTGATGGCACGCCGCTTTGAGAATTCTCGGAATGGACCGACGAGGCAGAGGATGCCGATCCTTTGGCACTGCCATTGATGGTCGCGCTTATTGTCGTCCCGCTGCTCTGCCTATCCTTATCCTTGTTCTCTTTATCGGTGCCTCGTACCACGAGCTCCCGGTAGACAGCCTCGAGCTCCTCGTTTTTGCTTTGGGCCAGGACCTGCCAAATGACGCCGCGGATAGCATTCGGGATGCCAGTGGCAATGGCCTTGTTCAAATCCTCTGGGCTAGATCGAGCAACTGCGGCTGGCCCTTCGTTTACGACGGCTTGCCAGAGATCCCAGTCCACTGGGGCATCAGCGATGGATGAAGGGCCGGCCGTGACGCCCGAGGCAGTTCCTGGGGCGAGGTTCTTGTTTGGACTTTGCGGCAGCGGTGACACGGGAGGGTGCGCCGCCAGACTGCTCTCCCCAGCATCGCTCGCCCCTGGGCCAGTCTTATCTTCAGGTGGAGGGACCGCCTCTCCAATCATGCGGAGCGCCTTGAAGCGGTCTTTCAAGCTATTGCGTGACCCGGTGTCCCTTCCTTCCCCGTTCTTATCCTCCTCCAGCTTGCTCAACATCATTTCCGAATTGCTCGTCAGGGTCGCAACAGAGCTTGCAGTGTTTCTCCTCGTCGAAGGGGCATGCTGCACAGCTGGAGGTTCTTTAGAGGAACTCCGGGACAGCCATGAGAATGGGCTGTTGAATTTCCTGCCTGTGGATACTGGTGCTGGGGCGGGTGGGGGCGGCGCTGTTGCTGTCGCTGTTGCTGCCACGGCAGGCGGGCTCTTTGACTGGGACTCGGTGGCGGGAGGTGACCATGGCATCGGAGGCAGTGCATTCGTTAGACTGCTGAAGGACATGGTCTTGGTCCTCTCAGGCGGGGGGCTCTTCTCTGGGGGCGAGTCAGCGCACTGATACAAGTCATGCATGGCTACATGGGCGCAGCTTACCTTTCGGAGGAGCGGTCGTTGTTGTGGTTACCGCCTCGTCATCGAGTTTCACTTCGTCGAGGGAGCCGGCGGATGCTTGGGAGAGCGGGCGCAGTGACTTCTCCTCTGGGGGGACCTCTTGGGAATCGGGCTTGGTGTCCGCTGCAGGAGACGGCGAAGCATCGTCGTCGTAGTCAGAGTTGGTCCGCTCCTCGAGTGACGGAGGTTTGATAGGGCGTTGGCGTTTAGTAAGTGACCGCAAAGACCCTGTGTCAACAGCGTCCTCGAAGGTGTCCTGCAAAGTGACGTTGCACAATCAGCATCGTGTAGGCAGCCGGAAGTGGTTCTGCTGTTGAAGGGGCGCATCTGCCAGGCCTATAGGGCATACCGTGTCCTTGTCGGAGCCATTGCCAGGTGTCTCCCGTTCTTCTGTATTCTGCTCTTCCACATCGGGTGTGTTTTGTGTCCCCCCCGTCTCCGTAGCATGCTGCCGCTCATCGAACTCCTGCTGGACCGTCTCGTCGCTGGTGGGCATGATGGCTGGAAGAATCGAAGACTCTTTCACACCTGAGCTGTCGCCAGTAGTGAGATGCCTAATCTATGAGGTGCGAGGCAAGTGTAGGTTAGGATGGTCAGGCGCGGAGTCGTGTGCCCATGGAATTTCAGGGATGACAGCCGAGAGGCCTTCGTTCGACGCGCGATGCAACTCCTTTGGTTGATCAATCCAGGGATGTGGTCCGCGTCTCGCAGTCTGTAGGATGTAACGGTAAACACTGAGTCGGTCACGGTAGTTGGAAACATTTATGGGAGCATGAGCTCTAAAATGTTCAGTGTGTCGTTCAAAACTCTCCCCTTTCAGTTGTTCGAGATTCTGTTAGGAACCAGGGGGACAGCATATGGAAATGGTTAAAAGTGGAGGTCAGCTCCTCAACAACGAGTCCTGTGCAAGGGTTCCCGTTCCGTGCAACAACAGGGACATGCAATTACGGATACGGAGACAGGAGCGATGCTTTTCAGGATATGTAACCACGGCGCAGCTCCGCCTAGTTTCCAGCAAAGGACCTTTATCAAAGCTATTTCTTCTTTAATCCTCCCGCCGGTCTGGCTCAATTGTTCGGCGGCTGGCTTGATGATAACGTATGCGGACTGTGAGTACCCCAATTGAGGTACCATAACTAAGTGCGGTATCTTACAATGGCGTACGGTAGCTTTATTGGACTTGCTCCCGATCCACCCATCCGTTCAAGTCAGTTGTCCTTTATTGCAAGATTCCCGCTATTCTTATACGGGAACTGCCATGTCATGTTCCGTTTGATCCCGCCGGGATCACTCTTTTGTTGCCCTTCTGATCAGTCCTCCATTTTAGCATAAATGCGTCCTTTGTCATCGTCCGTTCCCAGCGGGCGACTGAGCGGGCGCCCTTGTGGTCACCGGTATTTATTACGCTTTGTCATTCCTGTAACCTGGAGCAGCCTCGTTTTTGACAGGAAGCCACAGGCGTGAATCTGAAACGAAACGGTGCATGGGCTGGCTGCAGGCCAAGCCGCGGCGGCTGCCTTGGCTTCCCGGAGCCAATCGCCGCAGGAGCTATGTTAAAGTTCGGATTTGCTTCTAAAGTTGTACTGCATGTCTGGCCGCCATAATGGGATTCATCGTCCAATCCCTCCCTCAGTCATCAATTCCATGCACAATCTGACGTGTTGGCCCAGGCCAGACTTGCGGTTTGACCTCTCCGTCGCACCTCGAAGCTCAAGCCAAAACCCGCCAGGCCCGGGCCGGGACGCAGGGACCAGCCGTTGAAGAAGCACGAGGCTTGACAGGCGAGATTGACAATCATCTGCCGATTTCCACCGATGTTCGTCCCACCTGGACGGCTCCCATCACCGTCTGCGGCTCGCAGCAAGACGGGCGCTGCCTAACGTTGCATTCACACTTTGTCCAGCGCTGGGCCTTTGTGGGCAGAATGGAGAAGCCTCTGTTGTTACTGCGGCGAGAGGGTTTGAACTGGTCTGTGGCCCAGCGGGCATTTGCGCAACTCGAATGTCGTCGTCACCCTGGCTACCACACATAACGTATCAAACGACCTCGGGAATTAGTGGCTTGGACCCAAGGCCTCAAGTCCTTGGCCAATCTGTCTCATCAACTCCAAGAGGCAATACGGACAGCCGCACGGATTTGCAAGGATGCAAATTGTTCAGCCAGATTCTTAAGCGAACAGCCACCGTTTCATAGTGCGCTGCTTCGTGAAGACCAGAGTCAGCTATCTTCGGTTGTCGAGCGCCGTCAGCAAACAAGTGGACAAGGTACGGAGAGCACATACCAGACCTCTCCCATGGCGAACATCATGGTCTCCGGACTGAGCATGGCTTGTCTGCAAGCCGCACATTTTCATTTTGTGTTTGGATTCAGCAACCTGATTCAAGTGAGGTGACCATTGAACTAGTTATTTCGCAGAATCTGGAAATGTCGAATAACTCGTAATAAGAGGAATCAGACGTTTGAGGTCTTGATCATGGCCAGGCAACTTGTCAACCTCCTCTGCCTGCCTCTGAACCGTAATGGTCATGAGCGATAACCGCCCCGCGGCGGGCATCCAACCAGCAAAACCAAACCAACAAAGTTGGCCTTCCTAACTCCCACACCAAAAGACGGACTACCCGGTCATCTCCCACTCCCATGCGCCTTGCTCAGGCGCGATCAAAGACTCATTTCTTCAACCATACCCGCCGCGCCATGCCCCCGCACAAGCGCGTCTACTTCCTGCGGCGCCAGCCCGAGGCGTGGGTCAATCACGCCCCGGAGGCGCGGGACTGGGAGGTAGCGGCCTAGTCTACCCCACGCTCCTGCTCCGTGTCCTGCTTCCGGTGGAGCCATGTCGGCGTCGGCGTCAGCGTCGGGAGTGTACTTGTCGTCGTCAAAAATGGGTTCGTTGTTGTTGGTGATGGTGGTGGTATCGTTCGAGGAGAAGGAGAGGAAGTAGTAGTAGGAGGAAGCCGAAACGGGGTCGCAGCGCCTGATGCGCGAGTCGCCTTCGCTGGTGAGCTCGGCTGTCGTCGGCCAGTCGCAGGTTGGCGGGCGGCGGGAGGGGGTGAAGGGGTTATTGGGGTGGGCGAGGATTGCCGAGTGGCCGTCGGCGTAGGTCAGGGGGAGGGTAGCCAGCGTCGGGGGGGTCGATGGGGGAGCACGAGGCGGGCTTTAGCTGGAGCTTGTTCCAGACGTTGGGGGCGAGCTTGCGCGAGTCTTAGTCGCTTGGCGTGAAGGTGCTTGCTGACGATGGCGTGCTTGTCGAGCCACTATCGGGTGCCGGGTAGTTGAGCTTGATTAGGACTTGCGCTCATCCTTCTCCAGCGCGCGCAGCATCTTCTCCTTGGCCTCCACCTTTGCCAGCAGCCGAGCCGCCTTCTCCTCGATGCCGTCGGCCTTGAGGCCGACGTAGCCGTCAAGCGTCTGGGGAAAGAAGGGGGCCCGGTGGAGGTCGACCTTTCGAGCGCTGGCCCGGGCCCGCCTGAAGGCAACCCGCATTCTCTCCACGTCGCTCCGCCAGACGTGCTTGGCTGTATTAGACGAATCCGTCGAGTCCAGCTCATCGTCCTCGTCGCTCTCCTCGCCATCGTCCTCCCAGTATTCTTCATCGCCTTCTCCGACTTCGAATGTCTCGGTGTCGTTCCACGTATCGGATGATCGCTCAGCCCGTGTCCTCGCGAGGGAAACATGTGTCTCTGCGACGGACGACGCTGACCTAATCGTCCCATGCTGTGTGATGGAGTCAGTGTGCTAAACTCATGCGATAAAAATGCATAGGATGGGAGCCAAGGTATGCCACGAAGAACCAAGACTGGACGAAGACCACATGCAAGAGGACATGGGTGGCCGTTCTAAGATGTGATCAGACGAAAGCTTACAGTGATAGAGGAAGTGGCAACTTCTTCGAATCCGTGGGAAACCGTCCCATCACATGCACTAGTCTTAGGCTTAAGGGGTGCTTCTGCTTAGCTGTTAGCATGGGGCCATCGTCAGTTCAGGGGCAAAAATAAAGGGATTAGAGGTCAGGGGTATATGGCATATCAACCGACAGTACTACCCTCACTGTAACTCCGGACTGTTAACTGTGAACAGTTGTTGGCCACCTTTAGTGAGATTCAAGGAGAGAGGTAGAACTGTGTTGTCAATTACCGAAAACTCACTTTATGGGGGTTCCTCTTTGAGTCAAGGTGGCCGCACAACCAAAGCACAACACGTACCTTGCTCAATCATGGAAGGATGGGAACCCTGCTGAGTCCCAGGTTCCGGCTTCGGCGGGAAGAACCCCGCCAAGGAAAGAGGTCTAAAAGACATCCTCGTGTATGTCCTTTGAGGCCGGCTTGGTTGTTTCTGAGGCTGGCCCAGGTCCAGTTTCTGTGACCGGAAGGAGAGTGAGGAGAACATTCCTCGACATACTCAACCAGTCCCAAAAGACAGGAGAGGACCCGGCCTCAAGCAATAATCATAAGAAGAGGAAAGAGATAAGGAGCTTGTCAACTCATAGGACCTTAGCAGCCTCTTCAATTTGCTGCAACCCTCTAGTGTGTGGTTGGTTGCTGGGGAAAGAAGTTGGTTGAGCGAGAAATGAAGGGAACAGAAAGAGTAAGGAGATAAGGTTGCTTTAGCGTGAAATGTGAGAAAAATCTCTGAGAACAGAGAATGTTTCAGGCTCTTCCAACTAGCCTGATGAAACAGTTGGAGAAAAATAGAGCTGGTTGTGGTTCCTGATGGTTTGAGGAATGCGTTCGGGGCGAACCGGATGTTTTCCAAGCTCTTGTCAGAAAGGAAACTGGAAGGTTACGCTTGCCAACCGTTGTAGATGCTCTTCCAGAGCAGGTTTGCCTCCGTCGAGCTCTGGTATCGTCGAGGAAGCGGTTGAAGAGGAAGATATGGTGTTAGTTGTGTTTCCGATGGGATGGAAGGAAGGCTCCCGAACAACAGGCTGCTCCCAAGTTTTGTCAGTGGTAAAGGCTGTCGGAGTAGTGCGAGCTGTAGTGGACGTCAGCGGATCGGTTTGGGTATCTTCTGAGCCGGCGAGCCCGTATGAAGTTTTTTGTACACGGGGGGCATCCGCTTTAGAGCCTTCTATGTGTCTTCTTTTGTGTGCCAATGCGTGTAGATGGGGAAAAATTGAATACTGCTCCGCTCGAGTCGGTTGGGTGAAGGCGATGGTGGTTTCAGCGATATTGAGGCTGTCAGGAAGAGCCCATCTCCGTCAAGCTCCCATCGCAAAGATGGAGCCGATGCCACTTGGGGAGGATCAAGAAGTTAGCGCCAGCTAAAGAAAGAAAAGAGTCTCAAGCGAGGGAAAGTTTGGAGGTCTCCATGTTACCTCAAAATCAACATGGAGGAGGCCGACTGACTTGCTGCTAATACAGTGTAGTCAGAGACAAACCAGACTTCATCCGGCTTGCAACGTGAAGAAGGTAAGCGACCCACGTGAGTAAGGAAGGCTGTGCTTGGTAGGAGCAAGAAAAGTTGTCGAGAAGAGCAGCGAGCACTGTCAGTCCGCCAGTTGGCAGTGTTTGGTGTTTTGGAAAGGTATGTGTCCTGAAAAGCAGTCAGCGTATGGATGGGGAAGGGTTGAGGACAGGAAGAGCTGAAGGCCGCAAGAGTTGAAAGCCAGAAGCTTCAGTCTTTTGGAGAACTCTCTAGTATGGAGAATGCCGGCTGAGAAGCTGAGGGGTTGAAGGCTGGAAGAGAGATGGAAAAAAGTTATGCCGACTTGAGGGAGTGAGTTGGCTAGGTGTTATGTAGGTATGATAGCTGAGTCGACGAAGCTAGTCATTCTTAAGGAGTGTGATCAGTCAAATTGGAAGGGTTATCCATGGGCCAGCTGGACGGTGAGAGCAGACTCGAGTTTCGGCGGTCGTTAGGAAGTCAAATATATGGCGAAGCAGCCTTGAGGCATTTCATAAAGTCAAGATGGAAGTGAATCAGTCCGCTTTGCTGTTTTGTGGGGAAAGGTGCACCAAGGAATGGTCAGTTCAAGAAAGATTGTCAAAGTATTGATTTTCAAATCTGGTGGTACGAGAGTGACGGGTCCAGTGATTCCAGTCTGAGGAACTCATATATAAAAACCGTTGAAAACACAATATGCCCGTATCGGCGGGTTAATGCATGGGGCGCCCATCCAAGAACCGCCCTTTGACGGCCGTCTCAATTCATGGGGACGTCCTCCATTACGCCAGGCTTTTAGGGTAACAGACTTTGTGTCATGGTACACTGAGCTGGATATGATGCTCGTCCCAGCAACAATAGTGGAATGATGGTGATGAATAGAGCCTTAGAATGGTCACCCTGAGATAATATACTTCTGTTAATGAAGCATCTGACGGCCATATGAGGACTAGAGTCCACCCTAATAGTACGATAATAAACTCAGGTTGGACTAGTGCTAGTGGAGCGAATACCATAAGAGACTGCCAATGTTGATAGCCCAGATGGCATGCCCGGAATCATATCTCAAGCGACCAGGTGTATAGAGTGCGTTTGTGTAGCGAGATATGGGAAGAATTACAATTTGGCTTCTTGACTGTGGTAAACAGAGGGAATATGCAGAGTTCATTACAACTCGAAGTGCCCACTAGTGCTCATAAACAGGAGGGGGATGAGACGACCTGCTATGTTATGACCAAGGGATTGATTCCTGTAGTCTATTGAGTGTATGTGAATGATGAACTGCCAGTCTGTGACTTCAGGCATGTCCCAAGTCGCAACCATCATACCTTGCTGCACACTTCTTATGCGGATAATGCTAGGAGTAACAGAAAGAGACACTGGTATCCTGGACTCCTTGAACCCTCCCTTATCCCTGCGATTACACTGTCTGAATGCCACACAAGGCCTCATCATGAGACATGAAAAAAAGAACCTCTTCAAACCCCTAACCTATTCCCCTTTGCCAACACCATTGATCCTGTGCCCCTCGATGGCCTAGTCATTCTCATAACCTTCTAGTGACCCCCTTCTCTGTTTTCTTTCTATCTGCTCCGACAACCCTTCCTCGCTTGCCCTCACTGCTCAGAGAGCGCCATGGGCTGCGCATCCGATGTCAACCCAACCAGAGTGGAGGTTGTGCTCTCGATGCTGCGAGTTCGCCGCAGCTTGTTCGACGTGGTTTTAGAACCATAACTCTTGTTTTCCCTCAGTGATTGATTTTGTTGGTGTTGGTGTTGGTGTTGCTGCTGTTGTTGCTGCTGCTGCTGCTGTTGTTGCTGCGGTTGCCAGGCCTGGACATGCTGGGTATTCGAGGCGAAGCAGGAGGAGCAAGGGCACATTGAGGAGCTGGCCATGGTGATTGCCTGTGCCAACGCCGTGATAAGATTCGAGTGACGCTTTACGGTTGAATCTGACCCGCAAACTCCTCTGTATTGGCTGTGACACTTGGGATAAGGGTTGATGTTGGTGAGTTGAGTCGGTGTGTAAGTCACCTTGACGCCACGCAACCGATGGCTTTTCTGGACGACTCTGTCACCACTAATATCAGAAACACCATGGGGAAGGAGAACGACCAGAGAACTGAAATGGCTCAAAGCCTTGGGCGAACGAGAGAAGAGATAAAGCCCCAGTCAAAGCAAGCCAGCTAAGCGCCAAGGCGCCTTTCTCATATTCTCCAGTCAACCGATAACTATCCCAGTACCTCCCCGTCTGGGCACAGCAAGCACCCACCCTATCAGCCCATGCGGACGACAAGCCAAACTTCCCTTTTCTGCACGATAGCTGGCGCCTCATGCAGCAAGAGCTTGGCTCCCCCTCATGTGAGCACTCACTACCTCCAACCTCACAACCCAAACATAACTCCTTCCAAACATTGTGAAAGTTGCCATAAGGTAGGTAAAATATCTTAACGTTGCCGATGCAGGACTGAACCACCGTCCATCAACCAGGAAAACGGAATCACCTTCCCAGATTATGAGTAGATGGTTCCTGGTTCCAAACCCAGATCTCCCAGCCCGATTCAGCCAAGTCAGCTCAATGCACTCCGGATGAAGGGGACCGAACGGGCCCCAAACCTCCCCGAACCCAAAGTCTGGGCATCATCCCCCCCACCCAACCACCAACAGCTACTTGTTCTAGACCTGCTTGGCGGTCAGCGACAGATTACCAAGAGCAAATAAAGTAGATAAGAGGCAGGAGGATGGGTGTTGGGCTGCCTGGTCCATCAGCATCGTTTGGCAGTTTTGAATCCCGTAAAACAAAGATCACAGACTCACCCATCCACTTGTGGCGAGAACTGAAGAATTTCCAAGCCGCAACACCTCCCCTTTCTGTGTGAAAAACCAAACGTGGTGAGATGCACAAACACAGGGTGAACTTGAATAACAACAAGGGAAGTGAGAGTGCCATTGCCGATGTAAAACGTTGAAATCTATAGCATTGAACCCGCTTCTCCCCATCCTCTCACAGACATCCACTCCGACAGACAGACAGTGAGAGATTAGCTTCAACATGCACAGGATCAGGTGGGATGTACAGTACACAAAAAGCACGACCAAGCAGCGGCAGTGCCATCAACAAAGGAAACTCTCGACCGCAACTATGGCAATGTCTCTCCCAGTGAGACCAGTCTGATATGCTATGCCCTGGCTTGCCATGCCTAGATACCCAGAGTGAACTCCACGCCGACGTCAATGTCACGAGCTATAGGTCAACGCACACCAAAAAGTCAGCGTACTGCGGTCTCCACAACGAAAAAGAGGGCGTATGGAAGAAGACAAAAAGTCATCCATCCGGAGAGCAAAAAGACCACGCACCCATCTTGACCACCTTGGACAGCTGGACCGCCTTCTCGGCGGCGCTCTGCAGGTCGTCAATCGAAAAGATCTTCATGCCCGAGTCGTTGATGAGTTGGTGGGCCTGCTCCATGTTGGTGCCTTGGAGGCGGGCGATGATGGGGATCTTGAGGTCAAGGCTCTTGACCGTGTTGATGAGGCCGTGGGCGATGGCGTCGCAACGGACGATGCCGCCAAAGATGTTGACAAAGATGGCCGTCACCTTGGGGTCGCTCGTGATGAGCTCAAAGGCCTCCTTGATGGCGGCCGGGGTGGCGCCGCCGCCCACGTCGAGGAAGTTGGCCGGCTGCCCGCCGTTGAGCTTGATAATGTCCATGGTTGCCATGGCCAACCCCGCGCCGTTGACCAGGCAGCCAATGTCGCCGTCCAGCTTAATGAAGTTGAGCCCGGCCTGGGCGGCGCGCACCTCCTCCGGGTCCTCCTGCGTCGTGTCGCGCCAGCTGAAGACCTCCTTCTGGCGGAACTCGGCGTTCTCGTCGAAGCCGAACTTGGCGTCCATGCACATGACCTTGTGGTCTGACGTCTCGGACAGCGGGTTGATCTCGATCTGAGTGGCGTCCTTCTCGAGGAAGATCTGGTACAGCTTCTTGATGGTCTCGATGGCGTCCTCGATGCACTGCTCGCTGAAGCCGAGCTTGGTGACGATGCCGCGGGCAATCTCATCGGTCACGCCGACGTTGATGTCGATGTAGGTGGTGGTGATGGCATCGGGGTTCTCCTTGGCGACACCCTCAATGTCCATGCCGCCCTGCGACGACGAGACGATGACGGGGCCCTGCGAGGCGCGGTCCATGAGCACGGCCAGGTAGAACTCGCGGCGGGCGAACTTGCGCTCGCAAATGTACACGGCGTTGCACAGACGACCGCCCGCGCCCGTCTGCTTGGTGATGAGCTTGTGGCCGATCATCTGCTCGGCGAACATCTTGGCCTCGGTGGGCGAGTAGATGACGCGCACGCCACCCTTGAGGCCGTTGTCGAAGGAGCCCTTGCCGCGCCCGCCGGCGAGGACCTGCGCCTTGATGACCATGTCGTCGGTGCCAATCTGCTTCGCGACCTCCTCGGCCTCGGCGGCCGTGTGTGCGACGGCGCCCTTGGGAAGGTCAATGCCATACTGTTCGTTGCCGGTCGGTCCGCGTCAGCTGACATTCTTCGTTCGATAACGAGCATACTCGAGCGCGAGATTCTCTCACCTGGCGGAGAAGGTCGGCCGAACGGTACTCGTGGATGCTCAGGGCTCTCCTTTGTTGTTGGGCGATGCAAGTGAGTCTGGTGGAGGGAGAAACCTGGGTGTTTGGCGTCGGTTGTCAGCTTCAGCTCACGAGCTCTCGCAACGAGAAGGATAAAAACAAGCCCGAACCTTGGGCGCGGCAAGGGCCGACGCCAATGCGCGGCTGCGTCCGAGTCTGAACATTGTGCGTGTCTTAACTCCGATTTTTCAAGCTAGTGCGCCGCAAAGAGAGGGGAGGTTGGTCGATGATGTCGCCGGTACACTGGTGTTGGTTGAAGCAGCCCCTACCTAGGTCACTTTTAGAAATGACGCTTGGTTGAACTGCTGCTTCATGTCCGCAGTTGGCGGTTTCGAGCTCAGAGTGGGTCACGGGTACATCCGAACCAATAGAAGCTTGACTCTGAGGAATTTATCCCCCGTGCTTGCTGCCGTTCCGATCATTCGGGACTTCTGCTCGGGTGTATTGAGGAGAGTTTGACACTGCGGCATTGATGCTCGAGGAACTTTCCCAACGCCTGCATGACATCGAAACCCGGAAGCTTCACTGACCACCGGTTTGCTTACCTACCTGTAGGCTACTATTGTCACGTTGTCTACGGCGCCATCGATGCTTGTTAAGTGTCCGAGTCCACCAAGCCCTCTCTGTCGTTTCCTGCATTGGATCAGTGGATTTGGCCACAAGCCAGCTAAACATTGTGACCTATGTGGACGCTCGCGGAAAAGTAGGTACCTAGCTGCTCGCCATGTCATGGCTTCAAGAGAAGAACCTTTCAGAACCGAGTACACCGCCGGCATACGCATCCGGTAGCGGACATGGAACATGAACGCGACGAGAACATACAGAGCGTATTGAATATCGCGTACTAAGCGGGGCAAGATATCTCGCATGTCGTCGAGTCGGCGGTCCATCAGCCCAGAGAATCATCCATGATGATCCGGAGAACAGTCCCGTACATTCAATGACATTAGACCGGCATCAGCACAATGCCCGGCGTCCTTTATAGAGCTGAGCGCCTCCCTGTGTTGGAGATCGATTCGCGGCAGCTTGGTCTAAAGGAGCGATTTGGAACGTGATGCGGCTGTTGCCATGAGTTGTAATACCTATTCAATGCCAGCCGAGCTAGGTACCCACACTCGTGCCACATTCAGTTCAACGCAGACATTGATCAAGCTCGATTTGTGATTTCTCCAGTTAATCCCAATCCCGTTTATCAATCGGCTCCGCGACCCACGGCTTCTGCTTCCACATCCACACCACACGTGTCTTTTTTGATAGCTGACAGCCATGTCCACCGCTTTCTCCCAATGTCAACTCGTGTCGGGTCCGGAAGCACCTGGAACCATTGATGACTTTGAGCTGAAGTTCGCTCGGCGCAGCTGGGTTCTTTTGAAGCAGCGCCTGCGCCGCGTCGGGCCCGAAGGCGTCAAACTCTTCTAACCAAATTTAGAAGAGAATGACCAGTACTGGAGGAGGGTCGTCGCCAAGTCCAACGGCCAATCTCGCGCTGCTGAAACGCGTCTTAACATCCGCGGCCTCTCCTCCAAGGACTTCCTGACCTGGTTGGCCGCCGCCGGCCGCGACGAGGCCAAAATGCAGGCTGCGCACCCAGAGCATTACCACGTGGCCAGTACCTTTGCACGCGGCTAGAGCGTCATAGAAATCCTGGGCCATCGCGTCTCCCGAACGGAGATCACCTTCGACCGGGAACACAAGTGCAACGACTTTGTCACCGGTGCGACGAGAGCTCCACCTCCATCTTGACTGGGAAAGGCTGTATTCGCGATCGAACAATTTATGGCAAAGTCCTGCATCAGTTCAAGGATCACGAGGACGGCAAGGGGTTCGAGGCTAGGTTGGCTATTTGGTTCCCCGGGGGCTGCGAGTAGGAGCTTCTGGAGACTAATCGCGAGCACCTGTCAGTCGAGTTCGTAACTGGGCGGCGGCCGCATACGAAGGGCTCAAGAGAAGGAGTGAGGCACACGGGGGGAGTTGGCAAGCCCCATGGACAGATGAAATCAATAGCGTAGGTACCAACTACTCCAATGTCGAAAGCAACATTCATCAGCTCAAATGGAATGAAGCTTAATGATTGGTCGTTCAAAATTACACTCTTAGCCTGACCTCGGTAGAACGACTGGAATCTGTAAGTCACGTAAGAAGTAACTTCAACGATGTACTTGAACTAATTCTAAGTGCCATAAACAATACCGATCCGTTGGTAGGGATGCAACGTTGAAATGTTCGGTGTCATGACTTGTTTCACCAGGGAATCTCTCCCACTAGGCACAAGCTCGTCTTTACTCAAGAAGAGGTATTGTACAACTACAGTCCGAAAAGGAGAAATGCTTCCCTTTGGAGCCATTACTAATTATGTAAGGTAGACTGGAGGCACCCCCTACACAGTACATTTCTTCATTGTGTGACTATCACTTGACTTATTGCACTTTGGAGATGACATCAGGTTTAGGGTATGGAGAAGCCCGATGACCCTGCTTGTTCCGACGGCAGCTCGCGAATCCCGGAGCCGGCCGACACCAAATCAGCGTGCCTGTGGGCAGATAAGCTAGCCGTCTACCCCGCAATGCCGATAAGCCCGGGTTAGCAAGCAGACCTGAACTCGAAACGAGGAGATTGGCAAACCTCATTCGCTGCAGACATGCAAATGTGTCGTGCGTATCACTCCGTTCTTTGACAAATTGTCTCGCAGTGGGTAGTCGAGTCTCCCGCTGACAAGTGCCCTATCCCAAAGAAAGCTTGCCATGGCAGGTGGCAGATTGAGGGAGACCGCATGCGGGGATCCCGGTCATCAGTCATGACCGACACCCAGCACAACGAAGTGGCGTCCTCTTCGTTGGGCGCTTGCCACTTAAATTCATCGCACCTTCACCTCGTCCCATATCGCAGTCCCCCAAGTACCTCGCTGGACGGGGCTGTATAATGGAACCTGCACAACGTGGACACGGACCAGTTGTTTTCGCTCCCTTTATCAAATCTCCCGTCTCAACGACTTCCATCAAGAGTCTCAAGCGGACTGCTCCCTTAGCTATCATCATTGAATAGGATGCTGCACTGAGAACGACGGAGTGTATCTACTAGTACCATCAACACCCTGGTCGACTTGGTTCCACGACACTAGAAACACGGCTCGCAATGACTCCCTCGGCCGTTCCGCCAATGCCCATCAGGGCGCCGGCCGGGACACTAACTACCGCCTTCGACGACACCCTTCGATTCTACCTGAACGGCACCCGTGTCGTGCTCGATGAGATCGACCCTGAGGTTACACTCCTGGAGTACCTCCGCGGTATCGGCCTGACAGGCACCAAGCTGTACGCCCATAACCTCTCTTAGCCTTCCAATCATATTCCCCCCAATGCCACTGACACTCTTCACCACCCCAGTGGCTGCGGTGAAGGCGGCTGCGGCGCCTGTACCGTCGTCATCTCACAGTACAACCCGACCACGAAGCAGATATACCACGCCAGCGTCAATGCCTGCCTCGCGCCCCTCGCCTCGGTCGACGGCAAGCACGTCATCACTGTCGAGGGCATCGGCAACGTCGAGCGGCCCCATCCTGCACAGGAGCGCGTCGCAAAGGGCAACGGCTCCCAGTGCGGCTTCTGCACTCCGGGCATCGTCATGAGCCTGTATGCTCTGCTCCGGAACAACCAGGCCCCGACCGAGCATGACATTGAAGAGGCTTTCGATGGGAACCTGTGCCGCTGCACCGGGTACCGCCCGATTCTGGATGCCGCGCAGACGTTTAGTGTCCGCAAGGTAACGAACGGGGCGGATGGGTGTGGGAATGCTAGGGTAAATGGGGGGAGCGGGTGTTGCATGGAGAATGGGAGTGGCGGTTGTGGTAAGGATGGGAAGCCGGATGGGCCCGACGACCAGCCGATCAAGCGATTCACGCCGCCGGGATTCATCGAGTACAAGCCCGATACCGAGCTCATCTTCCCGCCAGCGCTGAAAAAGCACGACTTTAGGCCGCTGGCGTTCGGCAACAAGCGCAAGAAGTGGTTCCGCCCTGTCACGCTGGAGCAGCTGCTTGAGATCAAGACCGAGTTTCCCACTGCCAAGATAATCGGAGGCAGCACTGAGACGCAGATCGAGATTAAGTTCAAGGCGCTGCAGTACCCCGTCTCGGTGTACGTGGGGGATATTGCCGAATTGAGGCAGTACTCGCTGAAAGAGGACCATCTGGAAATTGGCGGCAATATTACGCTTACCGATCTCGAAGGTGTCTGCCAGGAGGCGTTGAAGCACTACGGGGAAGCGCGCGGCCAGATCTTCGGCGCCATTCACAAGCAGCTCAAATACTTCGCTGGCAGGCAGATCAGGAACGTCGGCACCCCTGCCGGCAACCTCGTCACAGCCTCCCCCATCTCGGATCTAAACCCGGTGTTCATGGCCGCAGACGCCGTCTTGGTGGCGAAGACGCTGTGCAAGGAGTTCGAAATACCGATGGCAGACTTCTTCACGGGATACCGCCGGACAGCATTGCCAGCCGAGGCAGTCCTCGCCTCAATCCGCATTCCTCTGACCCAGGAGAAGAACGAGTTCTTTCGGGCCTACAAGCAGGCGAAGCGGAAAGACGACGACATTGCTATCGTCACGGCAGCCTTGAAGTTGCGGCTGAGCGATGACGGTGTCGTCGAAGAGGTGAACCTCGTCTACGGCGGCATGGCCCCGACGACAGTAGCAGCTAAGCACGCGAATGCATACCTCATCGGGAAGAAGTTTGCCGAGCTGGAAACGCTTGAAGGAGCTATGAACGCACTGGGCCAGGACTTCGACCTGCAGTTTAGCGTGCCCGGCGGCATGGCCTCCTACAGAAAGTCGTTGGCCTTGGGATTCTTCTATCGCTTCTACCACGAGGTTATGCGGACAGTCGGCGGGAAGGCCGATGAAGAGGCGGTCCATGAAATTGAGAGGGAGATCTCCACTGGGAAGGAGGACAAGGCGGCGGCCGCTGCGTACATGCAGGAAACGGTCGGGAAATCTAACCCGCACGTGGCGGCCCTGAAGCAGGTGACGGGCGAGGCGCAATACACCGACGATATTCCGCCTCTGAAGAATGAGCTGTATGGCTGCCTCGTCCTCTCGACCAAGGCTCATGCAAAGCTCAAGTCGGTCGACTACTCGGCCGCGCTCGAAATTCCGGGCGTGGTGGACTACGTGGACAAGAACGACATGCCGAGCGCCCGGGCGAACCGCTGGGGTGCGCCGCATTTCCAAGAGACCTTTTTCGCTGAGGATGAAGTGCACACGACCGGTCAGGTCATCGGTCTCGTGCTCGCGACATCGGCGGCGCGGGCGGCTGAGGGTGCTCGCGCGGTCAAAGTCGAGTACGAAGAGCTACCCGCCATCTTCACGATCGAGGAAGCCATCGAGAAGGAGAGCTTCTTTGAATTCTTCCGGGAGATCAAGAAGGGTGACCCAGAGGAGGCATTCAAGAACAGCGATTACGTATTTACGGGGACCGCGAGGATGGGCGGCCAGGAGCATTTTTACCTCGAGACGAATGCTTCGGTTGTCATTCCGAAACCCGAGGATGGGGAGATGGAGATCTGGTCTAGCACACAAAATCCGAATGAAGCGTCAGTGACCTTCCCGTGGGTGCTTCGAGTTGCCAGCTGACTCTTTGTAGACAAGCATATGCTGCGCAGGTCTGCAATGTCCAGTCAAACAAGATTGTTGTCAAGGTCAAACGCATGGGCGGCGGTTTCGGCGGCAAAGAGTCTCGGTCAGTTCCTCTTAGCACCATCCTTGCTCTGGCAGCAAAGAAGACGCGCCGGCCAGTCCGCTGCATGCTCACCCGCGAGGAGGACATGGTCACTTCCGGCCAGCGGCACCCCTTTTTGGGGAAATGGAAGGTGGGCGTCAACAAGGACGGAAAGATTCAGGCGCTTGATCTCGACGTCTTCAACAACGCTGGATGGTCTTGGGATCTCAGTGCCGCGGTGTGCGAGCGGTCCATGACACATTCTGATGGCTGCTACTTGATCCCCAACATCCACGTGCGCGGCCGCATCTGCAAGACCAACACTATGTCCAACACGGCCTTCCGCGGGTTTGGCGGTCCCCAGGGCATGTTCATTGCTGAGACGTACATGTCCGAGGTGGCTGACCGCCTGGGCATATCCGTCGAGAAGTTCCGCGAGATCAACATGTATAAGCCGGGGGAGCTCACACACTTCAACCAACCCCTCACCGACTGGCACGTCCCGCTCATGTACCAACAGGTCCAGGAGGAAGCGGACTATGCCAACCGGCGTGAGGCCATCACAAAGTTCAATGCCGAACACAAGTGGCGCAAGCGCGGCCTCGCCCTGATCCCCACAAAATTTGGCATTTCGTTCACGGCCCTCTGGTTCAATCAGGCCGGCGCGCTCGTCCACATCTACCACGACGGCTCCGTCCTGGTAGCCCACGGCGGCACGGAAATGGGCCAGGGTTTACACACAAAAATGACCATGATCGCCGCGCAGGCCCTCAACGTCCCCATGGAGGACGTCTACATATCCGAAACGGCCACCAACACCGTCGCCAACGCCTCTGCCACCGCCGCCTCGGCCTCGTCCGACCTCAACGGGTACGCCATCTACAACGCCTGCGCCCAACTCAACGAGCGCCTGGGCCCGTACCGCGCCAAGCTTGGCCCCGGTGCAACCCTCAAAGAGCTCGCCCACGCAGCCTACTTCGACCGCGTCAACCTGTCCGCCCAAGGCTTCTACAAGACCCCCGAGATCGGCTACACGTGGGGCGAGAACAAGGGCAAGATGTTCTTCTACTTTACCCAGGGCGTGACAGCCGCCGAAGTGGAGATCGACACGCTGACCGGCTCCTGGACCTGCCTGCGAGCCGACGTCAAGATGGACGTCGGCCAGTCCATCAACCCGGCTATCGACTACGGCCAGATCCAGGGCGCCTTCGTGCAAGGCATGGGCCTGTTCACCATGGAAGAGTCGCTGTGGCTGCGCAACGGCCCGCTGCAGGGGAATCTGTTTACCCGCGGCCCAGGCGCCTACAAGATCCCCTCGTTCCGTGACATACCCCAGATCTGGAACGTGAGCCTGCTCAAGGACGTCGAGTGGAACGATTTGCGCACAATCCAGCGCAGCAGGGGCGTCGGCGAGCCGCCGCTGTTCATGGGGAGTGCTGTCTTCTTTGCGATACGGGATGCCCTCAAGGCGGCGAGGAAGCAGTACGGGGTGGAGGCGAGGGTCGGGGTCGATGAGAAGGGGGAGGAGGACGGGCTGCTGAGGTTGGAGAGCCCGTCTACGCCCGAGAGGATTCGGCTTGCGTGTGTCGATCCTATTGTTGAGAAGGCGAGGGTCAAGCCAAAGGAAGGGGAGAAGAGCTTTTTCATCGCGATCTAGGGGGGTGGGATGCCTTACCTATCTGCGTATTTAGCTCCTTTGCTTTGCACGGCATGCGTGGTTTTGAGAAACGATTTCGGAGTCGTTCATATGTCTGGTTCGGAATGCGCTTTGAGTGCGTTTGGCCGTGCCGTACAGTTGTCATCCGAAAACAAAGGTGCCTTTTGGATTGGTCTCGATGGCAGTGCTCATCACTGTGAAAGTACATCGTACATTGAATGAAGCTACCTTATGTCTTGCTCTAGCCCAGTCTTCCAGCTTCTTCGTCTTTGTTGGATCATCCGCAAGCTTGCTCTCTCCCTCTCAGACGAGCACTTATGCTGAACCGCCGTCAAAACTCAATCGCAGGTATTTACTCTGCAAGATATCCTCCAGCCTCCCATTGTGGCAATAATGCGCCAGATTGATCGCCTTGGTCGCCCACTCCTTGGCCCGCTCAATCTTATGGGCGCTGTAGCAGTCAATGGCGTGGTTGAAGGACGTGGTCGCCATCCATTCCAGTTCTTCCTCGGGCCAGGTGGCCTCGCTCTGTGCATCTGTCAGACGAAGGCCAGCTCCATAAACGGATTTCGTGGGGCAAGCAGTAGAGGTGAGTGAGAAGCGGATATCTCACCTCTCGCAATTCTCTCGCCTTGCTACACGCCTCGTCCAACAACCTTATCGCCAATCTGTCGTCCAGGGGGAGCGTGGCCTGAAACAGACAGCGCGTGTATTTGGCCAACTTGACCGCGTCAAAGCTCTCAAGCACCCAGATCTCGTTGACTATTTTCCGCATGGTCGAGTACAGGACTGGAAACCGTTAGCATCTATAAGGAGATGAGATAGATGTGGAAGGGATCTGCCTTGTCCGGGAGCCTGCGCCCTCAGCAGACTGTCTGCCATCGCCTGGAACGCGGTGATATTCCTGCAAGGCACCGCCCTTTGGATTATGCCGCCCAGTTCTTCCCATTGCTTCAGAGCAATGGCTGCCTCAAAGTCAAAGGCGAGAATCGTGGCGTGCTTGCGGAGCATGTCAGCCCTCGACTGCTCGTCGAGTTGAGGCAGGTACTCCGGCAGTTCGGTGTCAAACGCGGCGACATGTTTTCGCATGGCAGCGTAGTCCTCTCTTTGCTTTTCAACATTGTCTTGCGTTCTTGCGAGGGCGACCAACGCAGACGAAATGACAAAGTGAGAGAAGAGAGTCTTCAGCGACAGCTCGCCTCTAGGGCCCACATCGGGAGGGAAGTGGCTGATGATGTTGACGCATGAAGTCATCATCCTCACGACACAGCGGAGCTCCCAGGCAGCTGTGTTCTTCAAGGCGAGGTTGTAGGCATTCCTGCCGAACCAGTCAAGCTCGTCGACAGTAAAGAGTTTCCGCCGCGACAAACTGTCTTCTTTCTGCCGCTCCAGCGCTAGGACAACTACTACTGTCAGCACATGTTGGAAATTAGCTGATGAGAGAGACACTGACCGGCTTCAAACTCGGCACAAAGATCAATGGCAATACTGTCCGTGTCTGCCCCTGGCCGTTCCGCTAGCAAGTTTAACAACCGGATCGTACATCGAAAAAGAGCTGGGAGGTGTATGGTATTCGGCTCCGCGTACTCGTACTTCTCCTGCAGTTTCTTTAGGGCTGAGATCGCACATATGATATCGCCGGCCTTCTGAGACTCTGCGATACAGGCGCCGAGATAGTCGACATGATCTGGCGCCTGACCGACTGTTTCAAGGCATTTCTCGGCCATCTCGTGGTCTTCAAGTCGGATGGCAACCTTGAACGCTAGATAGGCCGTCATGGGCTCTTTCCAGCTCTGCGGTGACATCTTGCTGATGACGGAGGCGGCAGCGTCCAAGCTGTTTTGAGCAAGAGAACACATAAGTAACTTCCTTTCCTTTGTTAGTGTTTGGTTTGGACGATCAAGGCAGATTGCCCACCTCTCCAACTTCGAGGAATTGCCGGCGCCGCAGTTGTGGAAGACTTTGTGCAGTGCTAGCTGGCACCAACTCTCGGCCAGGTCATACTGTCCTTGACCATAGTTCAATTCCAGCTTCTTCCAGAGCAACTGAGCCAAGCATTAGTTCGGCACTGGCGAAGAAAACCGGGAGCTACTTACTACTTGTGCTGCTACAGCCGCTTCTGCACTTAGTGGCTTCGCAAGATACCCAAGGACCGTCTGCGCAGCGTTTATCGTCTCGATCGAGTCCCGCTGGTTTGTGATCATCCACATACGAGCCACAACCGCTTTCTCCAACCAACTGTAGTTCTCTGCACGGCCCAGGGCGACGATGAAGTCGTCTAGTACAGCGCACGCTGCACCCGGACTTTTGTCGTGCAGTTTCCGGATGTGGTGCATGATGAGCTTGAATCCAGAGTCGGAGGAGGCAAAGTTTCGTATCATGTACCGCAAGACACCGCTGTATGCCTCGCTGTCAAAGACTTCAGCTGGCGTCTTCTGGAGCAGTTCAAGCTTGAGCAGCGACACAACGGACTTGTTGCCTGCTTCTGTCTCAAGAAAGTCGATGTAATTCTTGGCTTTCTTGAGCCCGTCAGGAGTGCCGGTACCCAGAAGCGCAGAAACCAGCGCTTGTAAGATCGCAAGCCGCAACTCTAGACCTTCGCGAGACAGCTGCTCCAGCCACTGGCCGTTGATGACGTCGTTCGCCCTCTCAAACCACTTGATTGCAACCGTAAAGTCGTTTCGTGTTGACAGTGACTTGCCGATTTCGTACAGGACATCGGCCAGTCGCTCAGCGTACTCAGGCGTAAGAAACTGGCGGAGGGGCTCGGCTTTGGTGTACATGTGCTCGGCGACATCGAGCCTGTTCTCCACCCAACACTGTATGTTACCATCAGCATCATTTTCATTTTCCAGCAAGAGGAACCAACCATTGCTGTCCTCATGATGAAATACTCCACCTCGAGGCATTGACATTCCCGTGCCTCCTCCTTAGGAAGGTCATTGGCGAGAGTCTTCAGCCACTCCTTGTAGTCAGCCACCGTCTGGCCCACCATACCAGCCAACTTGGCTTCTCCGGCATCTGTTCCGTCAATCAGCCATGCTCGCAGCCGGTCATGACTTATGACTTACCAACGCAATCCCTGAGAATTTTCAACCCCAACCTCATCAATCTCAGCACGACCGCAACCCTCCCATTCTCCCTCGGCCTCGCTATCCCCAACAAGAGGAAGGCGAGAACCCTCCCGGAACGGAACACCCTCCCCAGCCTTTCCGAGCTCACCGTCCCCATGCCGTCTGCACCTCCTACCCGATGCTGGAGTTGTCTCTTCACAACCACCCCATCCCCATTCGCCCCACCACTTCCACCCCCACCAACGATCCCCTGCCCCAGGCCCTCACCATCTAGTCCTCCTCTCCGGTGATTCTGCTCTTGCTGCTCCTCCTGTTTTCTGGCCTTCCACTCCCTCCCCAGCCGCGTACAAACATTCCACAACCCCGTCGCAAGCCCGTCAATCTCCGGGTCGCCGCTCACCCCGGGGACATACGTCTGCTGGCAGGCGTGCAGGTGCTCCACGTGCTTGGTGATGTCGGCGGGGATCGAGTCGTCTTCTGTGAGGTGTATTGTGTTATCGGTGATGGTAGTGGGGGACAGGGAGAGGAGATTTCTCAGGCGGGCGGCGAATTCTGTTATTTGACTCCGAGGTGATTGTACCGCGTAAATTAGCCACGTCTGTTTAGTCCGGTCGTTGTGTGAGGGGGGCCTGATTATAAGGGTGGAAGGTAGAAGGGCGTGGGGAGTAGTGGAGGGGAAGGGGGGATGGATAGCGAAGGGAGGGAGAATAGAGAAAGCAGTAGAGGACGTGTAGGCAGCATAGGTTGTCTGGTAAGCAAGGCTGCGCTGACCTGTGACGTACCGACTGCTGCTTCGATTCGCTTCTCATATTTGGCGGATGATTGGGAGGAGGGGTGTCGAGGAGTTCGCGTTGAAGGCATCTCGGGTTAACAATGGCAGCTGGAAAAGCGGTTGATGGGTTCGCGTGTTTGGATCGTGATCGTTGGTTGAGAGTTGGGCTTGGTGGCAATGGGCTCGCATTGGACTCGGAACAAGGTTGAGTATTCGACGAGAAGATCATAGAAAATCCCATGCGAGAGACTTGAAGGGGAGAGATGAGGAAGAAACTGGGATCCAATGTGAGTTTCTGCCTGGGCACCTCACGACAATCTCTGTCCGTCGCAGGAAGGCGCGATTGGCAGGCCCCAATAACCCCGAACTGGCCTGATCCAACAATGGCATCACAACCTCTTCTCTTTAAGCTCCTGTTCTTCTAAATTCTTCGGTCCTTAATGCAATCCGTCCTTTTTCTTGCTGTCCCCCGTATATCAATGGGCTCGGGTGTCCTCCTGACAACCATGATTCCAAATCCGTGTACATACACACGGTACGTACGCACCAACCGACCCAGGAAATACAGACGAGCCTCCGGATCCATTCGAATATAACCAGACTCAGCAACATTTGCAAACGTGCATCAGAATGCCCCTTGTTACAGTCGTACATTGACGATGGGTATAGGAGTTCTTATTGTTCGGGCTCGGGGTCATGGGGAAGAAAATTCCCAATGATCAGACTTGGACTGCGACAATCAACAACTGACCAGGCCAATGGTCACCGGAGAGTGATGGGGTAACTGGTAACCTACACCTTGTGATCGTCTGTGCGAATGCGAAACGAGAAACAGCAGTTGACGACATGATCCACCCCATCAACAGGGCTCTTGAGCGAGCATGCTGTGAGGAGCGTGTCGTGGGCCGGATCGAATGCGATTGTCCCAAACTCCTCCCAGTACCGCACGTTTGACTCTTCTGTTAGTATCTCGTGCAGTGCAATTTTGCCCTGGCGACACGTCAGCAGGCGGTACGCGATCTGCAATCGGGCCTAGCACTCACGCCTCGTAGATCTTCGACCGGCACCTTGATGAGCTCGGCCATCTCTTTATTCCCCCTGAAAATTTCTCCCGTCCGCCTCCAGCAACATGCGGGGACGGCCATACTCGCAAATACGCGGTCGTAATCCATGAGCGTTCTCTCAAACCACATCTCGACCAGAACGAGATCCATGTCGGTCAGGTCCTTCATCTTCTCGCGGAACTTTGGCCTGAATCGGTCGAGCTGCCGGAGGATTTTCTGCTTGGACGATGCGGCAACGTGCGTGTCGAGGTAGTTCTGGAGGCGGGTGTATCCCTTGACGTAGTTGAAGGGCTTCAGCAGACCGGCCTCGTACTTGGCCTGCAGAACTTGGCGCATGCGCTCTTCTGGCGCGGCGTTGCCCGTTGGATCCGCCGCCTGGAGGTAGTATGCGCGAGTCTTGTCGGCCGGTATGACGCTGGCCGGCCTCGAGATGGCCTTTCCCTGCTGTTCAGCGTTAGGCGCAAGCATGGAGCTCCTTTGGACGGCGCTCGGCGGTAGCATGGCGTTACTGCTGCTGCTGGGAAGCCCCAAGGCGGAGTCATTCTGGTTCAGGTCATCGCTCAAGAGCGCGCTGTCATCGAGCAGGCTGGTCTGCAAAAAGTCATTCAAGAGGTTGAACTCATTGGTCACCTCCGGCGCAATCACATAGTTTGAATGGAAGTTGTGCATGTCGTGGTAGTGGTTTTGTGAAGCCAGCCATGCGTCCGAGAGACCGGCAACTGCAGGATGGTAGCTTCAGCTTCTGCGCGACCCAGAAAGAGACGGGGCCCCAGAGGGGGTGTTCCAGCCACCTACATTGACTCATGCTGCTCAGGGTGTTGGCCGCTATGCCGGACACCAGCGTGGGTTGCACGAGCTGGAGAGGATTACTTCTCCGGCTTGCAAGCGCGGTGGCATCAAATGCCGCCTTCGCCGCTTGTCCCGGTCCGTTGCCCATGGCCGGGTCATACAATGGGTGTCTCATGGCGCCGGCATTCTGGTCGACAGTGCTGGGTCCTGAGTCTGGCTGGGAACCCGTCCCCTGCACAGTGGACGGGGCGAGACTCTTGGACTTTCTGGACTCGTGCTCACGAGGTTCATCATGGCACAGATGCCCGATGTTCCGCTTGATGCATCTCGTACATGGCCTCTCCTGTTCACAAAGCACAGCCCCGGGTCAACGTCTGCCCGCGCGCCGGACCAATAATCCGGTATGCAGGGTGGGGGAGGGCACATACGAGATCGCAAGTCATGTGCTAGGAACAGGACATGGTTAGCCAGTAAAACGACTTGACTGTACTTGTGCATCTTCTCGCCGTGGCCGGCCGATCAGATGTCTTTGTCCAATCGCAGGACACTCCCCGCGGTGACAGGCTGGCCGCGCCACGTGCACATAGTCAAAGGACGAGGACAACTCTCTTGGAAGGCAGCGGCGTATATGGATCGGTGACTTACAGATCGACGGCAGTAGAGACAGGCTGTACAGGAACAGGCAGGCTGAGTTAGCTTATGGACGGGTAGAGACGCAGGGAGACGAGAGACGATATCAGGGGCGCCACCAACTCACCATGGTTCACCTTGCGCCGCTTCTTGGGGGTCTTGTGGGCATCGTCTGCGGCATTCGAACGCTGATCGCGGGCCTTAGCCTCGCTCACGGACCTATCTGCCATACCCTCGCTACCAGTCGTCCTCTCCATGGCTTCGATTGCCGTCATTGTCTAGTGGACGCCGTTCCCATTGGGTCTCGTGGTTACGCAACGGGCGTCGAGTTCGCAGCCCATTTGAGCAGGGCCGACGGGTTCTCGCAGGTATTGGCGACGATTCGATGGCTGTTTCCGACGCAGCGGCTGCTGCTACTGCGCTGGCTTGGTACTGCCACCGCCGCCGTGTCCGTCTGGCAACGCTCCTGTTGTGCTGTGCCCTTCGGCCTCCTGCGTTTTCTTGCTGGTCTCGGCTGCTCGAAACTTATGACGGCTGAGGCCGGCTGCGGTCGGCTCGAATTACCGTGACGGCGGTGATGGTGGTGGCGTCGGCTGTGGTGGCTATTGTGTCGGTACGATGATTATGGACAGCATTGTGGTAAGGAATTGGCCGCATTCCATGCCTTAACTGAGCGTGGGCAAGCAAAAGCAGAGAGGGCAGTTGTCGGCACAAGACTCAAAAGAAATCGCTCTCCACCTCGGCCGGCCAAGGGCCGGCCCTGCGGCGCAGCGGATCCTGGGTGACCCAGCTCGCCAGGGTGTGCGGATAACTTACAGTACTTGCAGGGCCGATTCATCAACCGAGGGGTATTTTTGTGGGCCATCAGCAGAGGTAGACAAGGGCTCATGCCTAGAGTCAGCTCGACACATGGGATGCTCAAGGTTCCTCATTCAGCCAACCTGTAAGAGTCCTCTCGAGTCATTCTCTTGTGATCACTAAACCAAGGTTTGTATAATCCAAGAGGCGACCCCTCGTTCCCTCTTTACCTGTTCATGGTCCCTGGCCAAATCCCCGGCTGTCATCATGCGAGTTCTTTCCGTTTCCGGTTGGCTTCCCAGGCAGGACCTGCGCGCCTTCCGGCCACCTCGCCATATGATTAGCCAGCTGGCTCGAATTTCTTTGGTGTGTCTGTTTAAGGCAAAGTAATCCGTACTCTCTCATCGATTTGGTTCTCTTCACACATGACTCCAGTCGTCTTTGGCCTCCTATGTACTTAAGTACCTACCTGGTAACTAGAGGTGTATAAATTGAACTCAGATTCATTTGTTAACTTAGCGTAGAATTTAGGAATGGACAACTCTTTTGTTTCGCTTTCCTATATTCTTTCTCCATTTCTTCTTCCTCTAATCTTTGTCTTTGTATCTATCCTTACTTTTCATATTTATCGTCTATATCTTTCGTTCTCTCCTCCTTTTGTATTTTAAGCAGGTAGTACCATCTATGTGCCACGCTAACAAATAAACAAGGGCTGGCGTAATGCGTGATTTAGCGAGACATAAGAGTGCATTTAGCTTTAATTCCAGCTAAACTCAGGGTTATTTGGGGCGTAGATGGCGTGAACAAATACACCGAGAAACTTCGCCCGCATTTGAACACATAAGAGCAGTGAACCCTCGGCCATCGCCAAGTACTGTGGTAGTGGATGTGCAGCAGGTGGGACTGTAAGAGTCACTGGGTTTACAGGCCATCTCAATTACACGTGCTAGTGCCTTAAGAAGTGGAATCATACTTCAATGAACTTATAACAGAAGCAGTACAATCTGTCAAGAAACTGAAGCCACCTGCTATTTCTTGAAGTGAACAAGTTTAGTTCCGCATCCATGTTCCTCTTGTTATTAGCACCATGGTGTCCATGCAACCAAGACGCTTTATTCTATACCCATAACAGGTTTGAAGCGCACTGAGTGTCACATGCACCTCAGTGGGAACGTTCCTGTCTCTTCACTGGGGTCTGGTGGGGTTTGTTCAATGTGAGGTTCCCGATTCCTGAAGCAGCTGCAGCTTCATCAGGCAGCTTTCTATTCTTGATAACCTGACTTCGCACACTCAATACGGCAATCTGTGCATTCAGTTTGCTGGCTCTTACGGGGCTCTCGCATCTTGAAAGGGGGGCAATTTACCTGAAAATTTCCTTGTATTTATCTTGGTTGTTCCCATTCGCGTCTATTTTTGGCCCTTCCCGGGACCTCTTGGCGTCCTGGTGCAGTGGTGGCACTTTGCTTCCTTGTTCCGGACGTCGGCGTGGTCTCGGCTCCCAACTCATCGCGGTTTCTTGGAAACCACAACGTTGCAATGCCACCTCCAAACACCCCTGAGGAAGGGCTGACAGCACCAATCTCACAGGCAGTAGATGCCGCTATCGCTCTAAGATCCTCCTCACCTCATCCTAGTAACGCCATGCCCAACGCATCACAAGGCGGACCGTCGATTATAGAGCTCGACTACCAAAGTCTCGAGTATATCGAGGCTGTGGACGACACCCTCATCTGCCCGGTGTGCAAGACCCCTTTTTACTCGCCCATCACAACCCCGTGCGGCCACACCTTTTGCACTGGGTGCATCAACCGGGCTCTCGAGACACAACGAACCTGTCCCATCGACCGGCAGCCGATCAACAAGAACCGCGACTACCGCCGCCTACCCTTAATCATAAAAGACCAGCTTGATCGCCTCAAGGTCAGGTGTCCAAATAAGGGCTGCGACCATGTGTGCTCACGCGAGAATCTCAAGGGGCACTACGAGCGCCGCTGCGAATTCACCCCAGTCGCGTGCCCCGAACCGCTGTGCAGCAGGCTTGTTGCTCGGCGTGACGCCAGCCCAACAAAGGGCTGCCTTCACAAGAGTGTCACTTGCGAGCACTGCCACAAGCTTGTCGCCATTGCCGAGCTCAGCATACACCACGACAATGACTGCGACGCCAACGAAGTCGAGTGTCCGGACTGCAAGGCAAACGTGGTGCGCCACAGGCTAGAAAAGCATAAATCAGAAAGTTGTCCCGAGCAGCAAATACAATGCAGATGGCATTCCGGCGGGTGCAGGGTGGCAGACAAGCGTCGGATCGTCCAGGTACACGAAGAGAGTGGGTGCATCTTTGAGGCTGTGTCCCGGCTCTTAGACCAGAGGGCGGAAGATCGCACGATCATCAACGACCTGACCAGTCGACTTGCCAATCTTGAAGCGGCTCGCGGTAGGAGACGTGAGGACCGTGAGCGAAGAGAGCGGAGGACTGAATCGACACTCCTTAGCACGGTTCTTCCCAACCCAGCAAGCCCTACTTCAACCGAAACCCCCAACGAACCCATGTTTCCATCCGCTCTATCAGTCCCACACGCCGCCGACACCTTCGCGTGGGGCTCGCCCGAAGACTATATGCTGGCGCGGTTCGAGCGGCTGGAGACGCAGATGGAGGAACTTCGCAAGGAAATGCGGGACATGGATGCCCACCAGGCCCTCACCTTCCTGCACCACACGACGCGCATTGGCGACCAAATTGCCGAGCTCGCCAGCAAAGTCGGTGTTCTCAACATGCACACTACCTGGCTCATGAACATGCAGCGCCAGAGCCATGCACAGCAGAGGGCTGGGTCGACTGCCGGGCCTCCTAGCTCGGGACTGTCGCATGCCAGTGATAGCAGTGGCTCAAGGGCGGGGTCTTCTTCGTCGGATATCAGGGTGCGGCATCCCGGTGGCAGTCGGAGAAATAGTGATGGACGAGGGGACACTCTCACCCGGCTTTGAGGGACGAGGATAAGAATGGCGTTGGTCTTGCTTGTACGACTGTGTATGAAGACATTGTGGTTCTGTTTCGGAGTTCCCTGGTATCGGTAGAAAGGAAGGGCTATGGGGGCAACATGGTCAACGCATCAGGAGTTAAACGGGGTGATGTTGGCTTTCACAAGAAGCATGTGCAGTGAGGGTATGCTTTGTTTATATATATGCAGAGGGGAAGTGGCCCAATGGATTCAGCACGGCCGGTTCGTTGTAAGATACGGATAAGGTACTGCCTTTGGGGCATGGCACGCATTATTCAGCATATTAGAGGCGTCCCTTTCCCAAGGATAGGACGAGACCAATTTGAAACAGCATGTCACCGCCAGAGAGTTGGTTCATCATCTGTGTATCTTTCGTTCCACACAGTACTCATCATGCTTGTGCCTGTACGGAGTAGCAGGACGCTAGTGTTATCGATAAGCATGAGTCGTATTAGTAATACCACAACACTGCTAGCGCCGAGGTTCGGGCGTTTAGACGTCGTATGTACGTCCGTACAGTACTGTACTTAACCGTTGCCTGACGTACCTGGTAGAGGACAGTGCTCCAATGGATAGCGCCCTCCTGCCTGGAACTCTACTGAAACCCCACCATGATTCCAAACCGACACCTGCTCTAGAAACTTCAGGCAACCACTCTTCGAATCCCATTCTCGCTGGTTTCACACCACTCCCACCGCCTATCCATACATAACCTGAGCGGTCCAGGGATTTTGTACCTGGTAGCCTCAATCTCCCCACCAAATATCTCCCGTCATCACCCACCTCCTTTGATCAGCAGCGTCATCAACCGAGACAATGGACTTGAACGAGCAGGCCCCCGCGCCGTCGACGCCGGATGCGCCAGACCAAGAAACGATGGAGCAGATTCGTCGGCGGAGACTGGCCAAGCTCGGAGGGCCCGCGGCTTCAACATCCGCTGCTCCATCCCCAGGCACTACGACACCGACCGCCGCCGGGCTCAATTCCTCGAAACCAGCCGAGGACAAGACAGCAGCGCAGGGGGCCGAAACACCCGCAACGGTAGAGCCTCGTCCGAAGATCAACATTTCGCCTACACCGGCGGCAACCCCTCAAAGCACAGGCAGCCCCAATAGCAGCAGCAGAGCAGGTAGTACCAGCAACGCAGAGTCCCGCGCCAAGAGGCGAGCATCAGATGTTGACGGGCACGCAGCGATCGCGCCGTCGCCCAGGAAGCAGACCCCCGCCGCCCCGGAGACGATCGACGAGTATGCCGATCGCGTGCTGTCGACCATCTTCCGCGTCACCGTCGACCCGGACCGCTCGACGGACAGCCAGGGCCATAAGCTGGCCTTCCTGCCGGACCTGAGCGCGGACCTGGCCGCCGAGGGCGCCACGCTGCGGCTGTCGGTTGGGCGTTTGGAGGAGGCCATTATGGAAGCTGCCACGGCGTATCCCCGCGAACGCCCGCTGCTCGAGTACCTCTTGCCGTGCTGGAAGCGCGTCGTAAGAATGCTCAAGGTGTTGCGTGGTCCGGCGCCCGAGAAGGAGGCGCTGCTTAAGGAGGCCAGGCGGTTGTGTTTTAGTAACTGCATCTTTGCGTTGACGGTGCCGGAGCTGTTTAGGTAGGTCTGGCCGCCGAGGCGGGGGTTTCGTTGCATGTTGGTGCTGACTTGGCGGTGCCTCCGTGTAGCCGAGAACCAAATCCCCAGCACGACACGCTGGTCCCATATCTGTTGCACGAGGTCGAGAGCGAGAACGGCTTGTGCATGGATTTCTTTATCGAGGCAGTGGCTCGTCTGGACGACGACGACACGATTGCTCCGCTGTTCACCAAGGCGATGGTGGATATCAGCACCAAACTGTCTACAATGAGCATGAACGACGATTACAAGCCTTGTGTCAACGTGAGTTGCGAGATGGGCGAACAGGGGCTCTGTTGCTGACCTTGGCAGGCACTCTTGACATACTCGAGGTTCCCGCCGCTTCTTGACGCGTTAGCACAACACCCCTGCTTCCAGATGGCGCAATCCGCACCCAACATCGAGAAGAATACCATCCTTGGTCCGTTCTTCAGGATATCGCCGCTTCAGCCAGAGGTGACGACAGTCTACTTCGCGGGACCGCGGACAATGGACAAGGGGCGCATTCAGACATCTCAGAGTGCACTGCAGATGACTCTAGGGGCGCATCAGACAGATCTTAGGACGATCATCAACGCCTTCATCCGGGCGAGCCCTCAGACCAGGAACAAGGTGCTGGACTGGTTTGCCTACATTATGAACGTCAACCATAAGAGGCGTGCTATCCAAGTTGACCCCAAGGAGGTCTCATCCGATGGTTTCATGATCAACGTGACCGTCATACTGGACACCTTATGCGAGCCTTTCATGGACGGCACATTCTCGAAAGTAGGACGTATCGATGTTGGCTATTTCAGGAGAAATCCAAGGCTCGACATCAAAGATGAGACAAAGCTGAATGCGGATCAAGCGCAATCAGATGCCTTCTATGCTAAGAAGCTGGACGGGGAGTCCAATTTCATCACAGAAATTTTTTTCCTGACACTGGCGGCACATCATTACGGAAGCGAGGCGGCAAACTCCAAGATGAAGAACCTCGACAGAGACATCAAGTACTTCGAGAAAAACATTGCCATGATGGAAGCGGAGCGGCCCAAGCTGATTAGCCGACCGGCACAACTAAGGATGTTGGAGGAGGCAGTCAAGCGGCACACGAACGTATTGGAGCGGACAATGGCGCTCAAGTTCTCGATTGAGGGCGTTCTCCTGGAACAGAAGATGCAGGCCCGGTCGCTGCTGTTTATGCGGTACGTTACCGTTTGGCTGCTCAGACTCGCCAGTCAGACAGAGTACGCTCCGGACAAGCCGCTTAAGCTCCCGCTGCCCTCAGACCAGCCTGAGGCGTTCAAGTGTCTCCCGGAGTACGCGTTGCAAGATGTTGTGGACAATTTCAAATTCGTCTTCCGCTACATCCCACAGATTATCCTCTCGGCAGTAGGAGACGAGATGATTGCGCTATGCATTACCTTCCTGGAGTCGTCGGAGTATGTCAAGAACCCCTATCTCAAGTCATCGCTCGTCACGCTGCTGTCTCACGGGACATGGCCTACGTACCATCTGAAGAAGGGTGTTTTGGGCGATGCCATGACCAACGCCAAGTTTGCCAACGACTACCTGCTCCATGCTGTCATGAAATTCTACATCGAGTGCGAGTCGACGGGCGCACACACGCAATTCTACGACAAGTTCAACATCCGGTACGAGATCTTCCAGGTCATCAAGTGCGTGTGGTCCAACGACGTGTACCGGGAGCAGCTGGTCCAGTCAAGCAAGTGAGTCGCCTGTACGATGGGAATTCTGGTCGCACGCAACCACTGACGCTAGCAGATCCAACCGTGCATTCTTTGTGCGCTTCGTCAACCTGCTCCTGAACGATGCGACCTACGTACTAGACGAGGGTCTCAGCAAATTCCCCAAGATTCACGATTTACAGGACCGCCTAAGAAACCCTGAACTTTCGCAACAGGACCGCGAGAAAACCGAAGAAGATCTCCGCACCGCAGAGAGCCAAGCCACGAGCTACATGCAGCTCGCCAACGAGACAGTCAGCATGATGAAGCTTTTCACCACAACCATCAGCGAGTCCTTCACCATGCCTGAGATTGTCCAGCGCCTGGCGGGCATGCTTGACTATAATCTCAACATCCTGACCGGTCCCAAGTCGAAAACCCTCAAGGTTGAAAACCCAGAGAAATACTTCTTCAACCCTAAAACCCTCCTCCCGGAGCTCGTAGACATCTACATCAACCTCGGCGGAGTCCAATCCTTCATCGAAGCCGTCGCCGCCGACGGCCGTTCGTACAAAACCTCCACCATGGCCACGACGGCGCACATTCTACGGAGCCGCCATCTTAAGGACGAAAAAGACATCCAGGCGTGGGAGTTGCTCGCAGCCAAGTTTGAGTCGGCCAAGGAGGCGCTGGACCAGGCCGAGCTGGACTATGACGACGCTCCCCCGGAGTTTGAAGACCCCATCATGGGGATCCTGATGACCGACCCGGTCATTCTGCCGTCGAAGCATGTCGTAGACCGATCGACGATCACGCAGCATCTGCTCAGCGATCCCAAGGATCCGTACACTCGCCAGCCGATGGGTATCGAGGATGTCGCTCCGGATGACGAGCTCAGGGAGAAGATTGAGCGGTGGAAGGCGGAGAAGAGGGCTAAGGCTAGGGAGGAGGTGGTTAGTAGTACTGCGGAGGGGCCGGGGGATGCGATGGATACGACGGAGTGAGTTATTTGTGGACGGAGCGAGGCCCATTGCGGAGTGAATGACTGTCCGCTCGTTGCTGGCTGCTGGCCGAAGTTGGGTTGGTTGCGGTAGAGCAGGGGGGGAATAGGAGGGGGAAGGTGAGAAGAGTTGTGAAGTTGGGGGCGGGGAATGAAGGATGGGACGAGCGATGCTGGGGGCCGAATGTTTATTGTGATGTATGAAACTGGGATTCGGCTTATCGAGGAGTAGAGTTTGGGCTTGGAGAAGAACCTGACGAAGGACCCGATCGGTTCACTCTCCGTCGTCCCCGGGGTTGGGGAGTTCATACGGAAGGGAGGATATCCCTTTTCGTGTAACGGGTTGTATTTATTCAATCTAGGTCAGAAAGAGACAAACTTGCTTTGAGAAACACGTGAGGGGGAACTCGTGGTGTTGAGGGCTGGCTCGTTCAACGGCCTCGCATTCATTCTGGCTAGTGGTCCCATCATAGGCATTGGCATGTTCTGTTTGACGCGGTCGAGCCGCGAAATCCTCGGCTGCTCAGCCACGGGTGATGCTCCCTATCAACGGATACTTCAGACAGAACTGAGGTATTCAAAAGAGGGAGGACTCCGGCATATGGCAGTCCCAAGCTTATGATGGCTTCGTGGTACCGCCAGCGCCACATCCATTCGTGGGTTTCATCCCGAGCCGGATGACTTGGGTAGAGTTCTGGGTTGGGTCCTGAGATTGTTCTTCTGGGCCCATGCTTGACTAGGCCAGTTGGACATTGCTTGTAAATATAATTGGCGGCAGGTCGTCAATTCAACGAGCGCTCGCTTGCTGTCTTCAAGTTCGCTTAGATGGAGTAGTTATATCGCTGCCGATGAGTTTGTAGTGCAAGGTGAGTACAGGAGCAGTAGGGAAGCGGACTCGGGCGTCCTCTTGACTTGTTAAAATAGCCAGTAGGCTGCTGCTTCTTGTTTGTTTCCAGAATGCTAGAACTCCGTTGACCACTGTGGCAAACCAAGCATGTGTGATTTCTCACAGAGAAGCTGCATGGTTTCGTGTGCTCATCCCTGAATCTCAGCGGGTGGTCAACTGCTGGCCCCGTTGACTGAAAAGCTGAACAGGAAGAGCTAAACTTTATGGCGAGGAGTTGGCCAGCTCATCTGGCAACTTGCCACCCTCCATCTCTTCGTTGGGCGCCTAGGCCACGCACGTCCTTCTTGGGTTGCATACTTTTAAGGTATAGTTGAGCCCGAAGTGTAGCCGCCTTCATATGACCGACTGCTTCTTGGCATTGCTGCGAGCTTTGAGTAAGCAAAGTCGATGTCAGGGGTCCAGGACACGGCGACTTCGCTGGATTCCGGAACTCGGATATAAGGAGTCTACGGCGCCATATTGCGTCAGAGTAGATAAACCCCAGGCTTACCGCCGTCGACCACCACCCCACTGAGGGGGCCCGGAAGCGGGGTCAGATGCGCCCTTACTCGGGCTATATAAGCCCGGCTCGTCGATATTCAAGAAGTACCTAGACTCTCTTCCTCTTCTCGAATCGTTTCCAGCTAAAATCGGGGGCGTACTGCACTGCAGATAGCAAACATGACGAAGGTTCTCTTGACAGGTACATGCAGCGTGGGTGTGGGGTATCTTTCACATTACTAACCCGTAACAGGTGGCTCCGGCTTCATCGCCGGTAAGTCGGAACTCATGATGATATTGCCCTGTGTTTCGTGCTCGGTCGTCTGGTCACGGGCTTCTCAGATCCACCCGGCCTGACGCCCACGACGCCGGGGACAAGCGTGTGATAGGGAGTCAAATCTCTCCTTCTTGAAGACCATGGATAACTGACGTGCCCAGCCCACATTCTGGACCAGCTCCTCGCCAAAGGCCACAGCGTGGTAGCCACGGTCCGCACCGAGGAGAAAGCCTCCAAGATCCGTGAATCCTACCCCTCACAAACCGCGTCGGGCGACTTGATCGTGGGGATCGTGCCCGACATCGCCCAGCCCGACGCCTTCGACGAGGTCGTCAAGACGCCCGGCTTGGAAGTCGTCCTGCACACCGCGTCGCCCTTCCACTTCAAATGGAGTGCGTACACCCGCCCTTCCTGCATCTGCGGGCGTCTCACAAGCTAACCTCACCGCCATAACTAGCCGACCCCCACAAGGAACTGATCGCGCCCGCGGTGGTGGGCACAACGTCGATCCTGCGCGCCATCGCCCGCGATGCGCCGACCGTCCGGCGCGTCGTCGTGACATCCTCGTTCGCGGCCATCATCGACGAAGCGCACGTCTCGGACCCCTCCACCACCTTCACGGAAGCCTCCTGGAACCCGGTGACACTCGACGACGTGCACCGCTCCCCCGCCACCGCCTACCGCGCCAGCAAGACTCTGGCCGAGCGCGCGGCATGGGACTTTGTGCGGGACCCGAAGAACGAAACCAAGTTCGATCTGGTGACCATCAACCCGCCCATGGTTTTCGGCCCCGTGGTGCACTACCTGTCGAGTCTCAACAGTATCAATACCAGCAACGAGCGGGTGGTGGATTGCTTGAAGGGGAAGTGGAAGGATGAGATACCGAGTACGGGGCCGGCAGTGATTTGGGTGGATGTGAGGGACCTCGCGGCGGCGCATATCAAGGCTGGGTTGGAGAAGCCCGAGGTTGGGGGCAAGAGGTTGTTTGTTACTGCGGGGCTGTTTAGCAACGCTGAGTTGGCAAGGATTGTGAGGAGGCGGTTTCCGGAATATGCGGAGCGGTTGCCAACGGAGGAGACCAAGGGCGGGGAGCTGCCTGTTGAGGGGGAGAGGTTTGGGTTTAATAATAGCGAGACGAACCGGTTGTTGGGGCTTGAGTACCGGTCGTTTGAGGAGTGTGTGGTAGATTTGGTCAAGAATCTGAAGGCGCTCGGTGCGTAGGTGTCGAGTACAGAATAGGATCGAGATCATAGAGAGGTTCCTTCATTAGCGCGCCTCCAACTCCTTGATCCTTTTCAACAGCCCCTCCTTCCACTCCGCATACGCGTTCCTTCTCCTCTCCCCCAAGTAATCATACCTCTCCTGAAACATGGTATCCGGTCTGCGAATGTGCGCCACCACCACCTCCTCTTCCTCCCCACTCACAGCATCCTCCTCTTCCCTCGCCCTCTTCCTCTCAACCAAATCGCCCACCCCACTCGCCCACTCCATCTCAAACCACCCATGCCTCTTGCCCCTCACAGCAGCAGCATCGAACTCCCTCGGCCCGACCTCCTCCCACCCGTCCCACCCGCCAGGCACCTCCACCTCCTCCTCCCTGGCTTTTGCGATACAGGCCGCGACCTCCTTCCGGAACTGCACGTAGCGCTCCCGTTCGACCTGCTGCCCATCAGGCCACGTCACGCCGCGCCAGGCAAAGAGATACAGCGTGCCGAGAACGGGCACGAGATTGGCCCGCACCCAGCCGTCGTCGGTCAGCTTGCCGTGGGGCGCGACGATGGATTCCAAGCCTGACGCTACCACGGGCCCGATGCTAGCAGGGCCGAGGTGGGTGAGGAGGTAGCGGAGGGTGGGGCGGATCCAGGGGGGTAAGCCGTCTGGTGTTATTGTGGCTTTACGTCTCTTGAAGGATGGGGTGTCGTTGCGAAGGTCGGAGAGGGACTTTTCCTTGGTGGGGGTTGGGCGGGTTTTGGAGGCTAGCGGCGAGGTGCCGAGGAGTTGTTGCTCGCGGAGCTTGGAGCTTGGGGTCCTGGTGCGGCCGCTGCCGAGGGCGGTTCCGCTGGGAGTGGCGCAGCTTGGGGTAGAGCCTGAGGCCGGGAGGATCTTGTCGAGGTGGTTGAAGAGCCGCTTGTAGATGCGCGGAGGGATTGGGGGTCTGGGTTCTATCGGCGGCAGGTTGAGGATGATTTTGAGTCGGTCGCATGCCAGGTGAGCGCAAGCATATGGACGGGCAATCTCCTCCTCTGCCTTGAGGGTACTGGCGCGGTGTCTTGACTGAGCCAGAAGAGAGCTGGCCAAGTCGACGAGAGGTTGCGGGAGGGTCGAGTTGTGAGTCGGGAGCAGAGAAAGGAGGACCTGCTCAATTGTGCGGTTCATGGTGTATTTAATTTTATAATGAAATACAATGCATGTCCTGTTTCGGAGTTCCGAGGTTTGCCAGTATGTGACTGATCAAAGTTTGTATTTGATGTGTTGCCTTCCAGGTCCCCTCACTTTGTCATGGCTTTTAATTGCTGGGCTCGGCTCCTTCCAGACGCGACACGACGCGACGCAGTAGCTTTGTTAGCGGGGAACTCGAGTTGGACATTGAACCCTTTATTCCTTTTCACTTTCTTCTGTTCTAACCATCTATCTTTCACTTTAATATTTTCTTTATTTCCTACATTATATTATTTCCCTCTATGTTTTACTTTTATTTTCCTTCTCCTTATCTTCTTGTAATTTAAAACTGGTTGGTTTGTTAGCGTGGAACGTATGTAGTAGGTATTATACCTCATCTTTCTTCTGAAGACCTTAACCTTTCTTTGTATTCTTTCTTTCTTTCCTGTTCCTCTTTCTCTTTCTCTTTCTCTTTGACTTCCTCTTCCTCTCTATCTTTTGTTTTCTCTTCTTCTCTATCTTAGTCTTTCTCTTTACCCTCCTCTTACCTTTTTTTTTTCATTTTCAGTATTTCTTTTTCTCTCTCCTTCTTGTCTTCTTACGTTCCTTGGTTTCTTTAGAGGACCCATTTCATATTCAGTGTCCCCCCATGTGCCACGCTAACGAACAAACCAGGTTGGGATTGTACTTTCTCCCTTGTATCCGTAGTTATTAATTTCTCCTACTTCATTTGCCGCCTGCCATGTGGCGCGCTAACGAACAAACCAACGGAGGAAATCGCGGCCTCCCCGCCAAGTCACGTGGGCTTTGGCAAACCAGGGTGGCCACTTTTGCCAAGGCTGGCAGTTGCCGCCAATCCACTTTGTCCCCAACATTCGGTGCCTTGCATCATCCGCCCTTGAACTTGTTCTACAAACTGTCATCTGCATCCGCATCCATCTTCGCGGGCAGAGCGGTTCCAATGGCTTTCCAAGCAAGTGGGTTACCGGTGAGTTGTTTCCCCAAGTTTCATCTATGGCATCCCCTGGAGTCTAGCTAGGGTTCGCTAATGCCGTGCTCAGAGTATCGCAGCGGCGACCTCGGACCTGTGGCCGTCGGTTGCGAACACTCTGCTGATTCCCTGGAGAGGCGCACACTACTCCCCTCCGACGCCTAGAATTCGATCCGCCCGTTCTCCAGTCCAGCCTCAGCCTCAGTCGCCGACAACAACAGCTGCCAGCGTCGAGGCCGACTCTTCAGTCCGCGTCCAGCGCGACGCGGAATCCAGGCCAAAGACCGAGTTCCCCGAATTCCTGCGGGACGCTGTGCTGTCGCCGCGCTTCCTCGATCGCCGCCTCGCCACCGTTTCTCCCATCAACATATTCTCGGAAATCTCCAACATGTCTCCCCGATCACTCGCCATGGCGAGCCCCCTAATGCGTCGCTCGTATGCGACGCTGATGGCCCGCCCCTTGACAAACCTCCCCGGCCTCCGGTCCATGAGCACCTATCAGCCGAGCCGCTTGCAGCCCTTCAATTGGATCAGGATTCACCATATCTCTCGGAACACCCAATTTCGGGGCTTCGTCACCGGCGGCGTCCCGCGCGATCTCCTCGCTAATCGCGAGGCTGCTGCTAACCGGAACCCGAACAGCGCCACGGCTCAGAATTCTTTCTACCAGCTCCTATTGAAGGCAAACATGCCTGCAATTGTTGTTGAACGCTATCAATCTGGTAGGCTCATTAGTTTACCTGATAGTGAGCCAGGTTGGGAATGCTAACGAACTTACTAGGACGGTTCGCCACGAACGAGGCTGCCGACGAGGCCTATCAACGAGCGCTGGCCATGATTAACGGTACCACCGGTGCGGTTGCGCAGAGCGACGCGGCAGCCAACGCAGCTGGCATTAACCCGAGCAATCTGCAGGTGGTCGGCCAGGCTGTGGCCGCCCACCGTGCAGGTAGCAACATGGCATTCTCGATGGGACCTAATGGTGGGAAGAACGGCCCCTTGCACGTCATCGTGGATGAAACCTTCGGCACTGCTGCTCTTAGGTGGATCAAGTTCCTTCTTTGGTTCGGTCTCTGCGCCTATCTCAGTTTGGTTCTCGTTACCATGGTCATTGAGGGTATGACGACCCTCAAGCGGCCGAGCAAGGTTGACGGAATCGACCCCAAGGCCGAGAACCAGAAAGCCCGCTTTTCCGACGTGCACGGCTGCGACGAGGCCAAAGAGGAGCTTCAGGAGTTGGTCGACTTCTTGCGGAACCCTGAGAAGTTCAGCAACCTGGGCGGCAAGCTGCCCAAGGGCGTTTTGCTCGTCGGCCCCCCAGGTACAGGCAAGACTCTGCTGGCTCGTGCCGTCGCCGGAGAGGCTGGCGTGCCCTTCTTCTACATGTCCGGCAGCGAGTTCGACGAGATCTATGTCGGTGTCGGCGCCAAGCGCGTCCGTGAGCTTTTCAACGCCGCAAAGGCCAAGTCTCCCTCCATCATCTTCATCGACGAGCTCGACGCCATAGGCGGCAGACGCAACTCGCGCGATGCGACCTATGTCCGGCAAACTCTGAACCAGCTTCTTACGGAGATGGACGGCTTCGCGCAGAACAGCGGCGTCATCCTCTTGGGTGCTACCAACTTTCCTGAATCTCTCGACAAGGCGCTCACCCGGCCAGGCCGCTTCGACCGCCACGTGCACGTGTCCCTCCCTGATGTCCGTGGCCGCATCGCTATCCTGAAGCACCACTCCAAGAAAGTCAAGATGGGCCCAGACGTCAACATCGAGGCTATCGCCGCCCGCACCTCTGGTCTGTCTGGCGCCGAGCTCGAAAACATTGTCAATCAGGCTGCCATCCACGCAAGCAAGGAGAAGGCCAAGGCCGTCATGCAGTCGCATTTTGAGTGGGCCAAGGACAAGGTGATCATGGGTGCCGAGAAGAGGAGCATGGTGATTACGCCCAAGGAGAAGGAGATGACGGCCTACCACGAAGCCGGCCATGCGCTGGTTGCCTACTATTCCAAAGACACTGCGGGCGACTTGTACAAGGTCACCGTCTTGCCTCGCGGCCAAAGTCTCGGCCACACCGCCTTTCTTCCTGCCATGGACAAGTACTCGTACTCGGTCCGGGACTACGTGGGCATGATTGACCGCGCCATGGGCGGCAAAGTGGCTGAAGAGATTGTCTACGGCAACGAATTTGTGACAAGCGGCGTCAGCGCAGTATGTACTCTCGCTTTTCCTCTGTCGCGTGTTGAGCATTGGCTAACTGATATGCCAGGACCTGGACTCAGCCACCCGGACGGCGTGGCAGATGGTGGCGCAGCTCGGCATGTCGGAGCGGCTCGGCCCCGTCGAGTATCTGCGCTCATACGATCGACTGAGCTCCGAGACACGCGCCATGGTTGAATCCGAGGTCAAGAAGGTGCTTGACGAGTCATACGCGCGGGCCCGCGCTCTGCTCCTCTCCAAGCGCCACGAGCTTGACCTTCTCGCCAAGGCGCTCGTCGAGTACGAGACGCTGGACCGTTCCGAAGTCGAGAAGGTGCTGCGCGGCGAGAAGCTCGAGGGCCGCATCTCCGTGCCGCCGGGACCCATGGCGGTGCCGAAGCCGGCTGAGTCGATAGAGCCTGGTCTGCCAATCCCGCCGCTGGGCGGGAGCGGGCCGGACGCGGGGAGCCCACCGCCGCCTGCGCCGCCACCGGCACCGGCGCGGCAAATATCGGAGCTGGACAGGGAGGAGCGGAATCAGAAACGCGAATGAGTGTGCAGTTTTGGTTTATTGGCAGCGGAATTCGTGTGTCTGAGGGAGACTCGGGAGTACCTACCTGCCGAGAATGAGGCGATAGGGCACAGTGGATGGCATGGGCGGCGTTTGTATTTATCATCGCGTAGGGGTCTGTATACCTCCGCAGCGGTGTAAATTTCCTTTGTTTGTGGGCAATAGCAATCATAGCATCTCTCCTGCCTGCGTTTGCGATGACTGTAATCTGCTGATAAGCCTAGTAGTAAAATGCAGGTGTCTTGAAAGTCTCACCGTCAAGCGCTTCGATGTCTTATTTCACATTTCACGCGACCTCTGATGCCCATAGCCCGCCAGAAAACATGACGGGAGATAGGATTACCGATTGCTACCCACATCACTCCTCTACCAAATCCCCGGAATGACAGCCCACCGACCCCTGATTTTCTCCTCCCCAAACCTCTCGGCATACCACTTGCGCCCGCTCACGGCCCGCGGCAGCATAGCCGCGATCTCGTTGAACAAGAAACACCGCGCCGGCACACACCCCCAACCGGTCGCCATCCAGAATCCAAACCACTCGACCCACTCAACAAAATAGTGCGGGTACAGCATCACCTTGAACAGCCCCGCCTGCGGTATCTCGTAGTGCTTGTCCACCGACGCGGTGGCCTTGCCGGCCTGCTGCCTCTGCCGCCGCAGGACCCTCCTCCTGATCTCGCGCAGCTCGTCGTCGTGGTAGTAGTTGGCGGCCAGACCGACGTAAAACAGCGCGATCCCCGCCGCGAACTGCGCCGTGCCGAAGGGCGCGAGCTGGCGTGTCCACTCGGCTTGCGTCGTGGGGCCGTACGCGGCCAGCCAGCTGCCCAGCATCATGCCATTGATGACCTGAAAGGCGGCGCCTGAGAGCCAGATGACGAGGTGCAGGGGCGACATAGACGGCTGCAGGAAGGGAAAGAGGATGGCGCGGTAGACGTAGTGCAGCACGAAGAGCGCGGCGAGGACCTGGTTTTGCCAGGGGAAGCCTTCTTCTTGTTCCTTAAAGTTGTTATTTTTCGCCGCGGGGGTGAGGGCGTGCATGTGGTAGAGGAGGGTCAGAAAGCCGGGGATTTCCATGGTCAGCCAGCCGATGCGGCCGGGGAGGTTGAGGCGCGAGGACACGGACGTCTTGCCCATGCCGTACCAGGAGACGAGCCATTGCAGGGAGGCGGCCTGGGGGGGGGGGGGGGGATGGTGTTAGTCTGAGTGTTATGATGAGCGGAAGAAAGGAACGGCGCATACCACTGGGAACCAGATCCAGACAGAGAGGATGCGGTCGTAGTTTTCGCGCGTCGGCGGGAACCAACCAGGGATGAGGCCGGGAGTGGAGGTAGCCATGCTGTGCTTGGTGATGGTTGTGTTGTTTGAGGGAAAGGCCCGGCGGGATGAGAAATTGCAGGTATATTTTCAGGGTCTTGACTGCTGATAGGTGTTGTTGAGAGATGAGCTCTGATGTTGACTGGACTAAGCGTCGAATGGAAACTGGCGCCAGAACAATAACACTGCGCCGCGGCGTGAGATGATTAGGATTGAGGACAAATGTGAGACCAACAACCGGCAGAAATGAGCTGCAATGGCTGGCACCTGCTGTGCAATTCCACCTTGACTCCCGTCCACAAAATGGCACCTGACGCTGCAGCTCTTGAACTGGCAGACAGCACTGTGAATGATGTCAAAGACCAGATTCCGTTGGCTGGCGAGGCTGGCTACCCGCACTTAGGGTCAGGTTCAGGGTTAACCGTTTCATCAAGTCAGGGTGAGCTACGGATCCGTACATATGTATTAGTAAGCTGCATTCATCGAGTATGGCACGGGCTCTTCCGCTGTCAATTGTCCGGATATTTCCGGCTTACACCACGAGGGATGACAACCGCCCGGCATGGAGTGGGAAATTTCTTCTACAGCTTTCCTACCTTGACTACAGCGTGCTCACAGGAGTCATGTGTCTGCCTCTGATGAAGTCCCCAAAACATGTGACATGTAGGAAAGGCTGTGCCACTACGGCACAGGCGCGGCGACGGCAAGGAGATAGGGAGAAATGAAACCAGCCGGACGACGGAGTATTATAAGACAAGTAAGCAACCATCAAGACGTCATCTCTCTAGTCCCAACGGTTGGTAATATGGCCCAACGCCACCTCCAATATACCCTGAGGAATACCGCACTTCTTGCGTGATCGGGGGCCCAACAAACGCCGCAATAACGAAGGTACCCTGGAGGTGTCTTTCGCCTCGTGGATATCGATCCTATTTTCGTCTCGGAGGGCGTAGGCGCGGAACTCTTCGAAACTGTCCCACACCTTGACGCGCTTACCCGTCATCCGTGCGTCGACGAGCGCAATAATGTTGACTAGCGTTTTCTTCAGGCACCTCTTACACTCGGCGATCGAGTCGCTCGGGTCAAGGCCGACCTCGTAGCATAAGGCCTGGTAGCCCTGGAGCGTCCTCGCCTCCGCGCTGACTTCTTCCTCCACATTGATGTCGCCGAGCTGGGGCGGTTGCGAGAAGTAGTGGAGTTGGAGCTCCTCCTTTGTTGCGATGGTGCGCTATCGTGTGTATTCTTGGGAACCAGAAACCCATTGCTGGGACGAGGCGAGGCGGGCGAACTCGTCGCCAAAAGATGCGGCCTCATTCGGTGTGAACTAGTCAAACTTTGCGAAGTGAGATTGCGAGGGCGGCGGGAGCCCTTCGTCTCCAGATGACGGACCGGTGCAAGACCGGCAAAAGTTGGGAGTTGCAGCCTCAGAACAAACGCGTTGTGGTTGTTTCTCTGGTATTTACACGCGTCGCGTTCGCTGTTGCGGACATGAGATGTGATGCGAGGTACGAGCTGAGCAACGGATGTCGATCAAGTCCAAGTGGTGGAGGAGGAAAAATCACCTGGAAATTGCAAGCCAGAATCCGCCTAGAGTGCTCGGGCAAACCGTCTCTAACGTTAACAACGCTCGGATCGGGGTAACTATGCGACGGAACAGATTCGGGGCCTGTACTTGCCTGGCGATACCCGCCCTTGGTTCCGGAATGAGACAGGCTGGGACGCATGATCTCGATCCGGAATCTGCGGGCATCTTGTTATTGCATCTAAATCTCAGTATTCACATCATCTAAACCTCGTTGAGATTTCTCTAACCAACCCGGAACCGTGTGCTCTTTACTCATACACAACTGAACACTTGCCCTAACTCCCAACCAACATCTGCTGTGCTTGACATGCTGTTGAGCCTGCCGTTCATACCATTAATCCATGATCACCCGTAATCTCATAACATCACAGCACCTCCCAACTACCAACTCCCTCTTCAATCCACGCAATCATTACCTGTGTGCAGCTCACATAACAACACACTCCCGATCTCTCCCTCCGCCCGAACCACCACCAGCCCCCACCGGCGCCGACGAAGGCGGCACGCCCCTCCGTAACCCCGTCGGCGCCGGCGCCGACCCCGCCCCAGGATATACACCCCGTCCCCCTCCAGGATGATACTCACCACCTCCAAACCCACCACCTGGCGGCCTCCCACTCCCGCCGGCACCAATACCACCAACACTACCCGGTGGCCCTACTCCGGCCCGTCCACCACCAGTCCCGGACCCGAACCCAGAACCCCCCCCCTCCCCCTCAGCAGCAGCAGCCAAATCCAGAGGCCTGCTCGTCGGATGACTCGGGTGCCCCGCAGGCGGCACATACGGCAGCTGCTTGGCAGCCTGTTCATAGCTGGGCGGCGCATCCTCGAGCCCATCTTCTGCCGCAGCGGCGGCGGCCGGGCGAGTGGTGCGGAGCGGCGGGAGGAGAGACCGGACCGTTTGCGTAGTGGGTCTTGACCCGGGCGGCGGTCTGTTGATTGCGTTGGCACCGGAGTTCCCGGTGGTGGTAGTAATAGTAGTTGTGTTGGCGGCGTTTACGTTGATGGAGGAACCGGATGATAAGGCCGGGCGGGTGGCACCCGGTTGGATGGGCGTTGGGCCTCGGCGGCCGGTGTTGGATGATGAGGCTGTGGAGGTGAGGGAGGTTGTGGAGCGGGAGGCGGCGGCGCCGCGGGCGCGGGCAGGGCCACCTGCTGCGCCGGCGCGACCACCGCGTGGAGAGGCGACGGCGCTGGTGGGGCCGTAGCGGCCTTGTTGCTCAATGTATTGCTCCGAGAGGAGGCTTTCGCGACGGCGGCGGTCTTGCTCGACGCGCGCACGCTCGTCTTCTTCCTCTTGGAGCTGCAGGGCCAGGGCCAGGTCGCGGTCTTCTTGTTCGTGTTTGGGGGATAATGGCGGCTCGGTAGAGGAGCTGTGCCGCGCTGTGTGACTGCGGCCGCGCCGGGATTGGACCGTCGTCCACTCGGAGTTATCTCCATCGGGCGCTGCGCCGGTCCAGTTCTCGGGTACGGTATCATGCAACGGGCGGAGATGGTCATGGGTGGCGCCACCGACAAGACGGAAGTCGCCCGAGAAGAACTCGGCGCTCTCCCCGTTGATGTCGACGAGAGACTCCCACACAACCTCGGCGTGGCCGGCATACCCAGCATCCGTGACGAGGGTGAGGAGCTCTAGGGTCTGTGGGTGCCTGTAGAGCGTTGAGAAGTGGTCGTTGCGGAAGAGGATGGCCACAGATCCGGGCTTCATCGTCTTTTTGATGACGTCAAGCCCGACCTTGGTTAGCTGCGTCGCCGAGATGCTCAGGAATGACTTGATAGTCAGAATGTCCTGGTACAGCTGCTGCTCCTCCAAAGTCAAGCCCTGAGGCGAGCACAGCTTCTCTTCGAGCTCCTCCTCCCTGAAGAGCAGGTTCTGGGCGTCCTCATACGACACGGCGTGTCGGGTAAACGCCTCGTGCACCGCATCATCCTTGGAAGGTAGCCAGCCGTGGATGAGGGGGATGGAAAAGGTCGAATAGAGTGCCATCTCCTTGGTGTGCTCAAACGTTCCCGGAATCATGTCGGTACGCTCGGTCGGATGGATGTGTGTAAGCGAAGTGCGCTTAAACGCCGGGACCACTTCTGGAGCTGGGATGAAGCGAGGGTTGACATTCATGCCGGTGTGCAGGCCCTGGAGGAACTCGTACAACTCGGCCACATCGGGCAGCGGAACGTCTGATTGCGTTCGCCTCTCCGACATGAGTTCGTCGAAGACGGCGTCCAAAAGCAGGCCCAAGCTGACTTGCTCTCGCGATTTAAGAGTCTCAACAAGCGCCGTGTTGGTCTTGTCCGCCGGCGTAGTCAGCGTGAGAGCGTTGACAAGGGCAACTAATGGACATGGTCCGTTGGCGTTCTGGACGAGGATGGGTGATGTCCTTGGGTTCTTGGTAGCCGTGGCATCGTACCAGTTAATGTTCTTTATTTGGTAGGTCTCCGACTTGTCGACAGGGCGACGGGGTTTGGGCGGCGGTTGATCTGCCGACCTCCGCGGTGGCAATTGTGGTGGCAGGGTAGCCGCCTCCCCCCTCGCGGGGACCGTCTTGGCCGCAGCTGGGGCATTATCTTCAGCTTCAAAACTCTCCCATGAGCTTTGTCTGGAAGGGGGCCCAGGGCGAGCATCAATGTCAATCAGGTTCCAATCGGCGGCCCCTGCAGCGCTTTTGTCTGGTACCGGGGGCGGCTGAGCAATACCCTTCCCTTTATCGACGGCCTCAAGGTCGTCCCAGGCATTCCCACCCTCAAGAACGTCTTCGTCGGCTGTGGATATGAGCGGCGGGGAAACAGTAGCGTCCTTGGATTCCTCTGCCCATCCCGCAGACCCCTCTTCCGGAGGCAAGGATAAGAGCGCTGGCGAGTCTGATGCAGGCCCTGGTGTCGGCTGGCGTGACGGTTCCGCTGAAGCCCAAACATTGTCGCCCACAGAATCCTGCTCCGGGAGTCTTGGAACAGGCGGGGGGGCTGGTGTCGCTTTGATTTCGTCCATTGCTGGCTGCCAGGTATTAGTACTTGTTTCATTAACACTGAGCTGCGAAAACTCTGCGACCGAGACGGGCGGTACGTGCGGCGCATTTGATGACGGTGTTGACGTGCGCTGCCCTGCGCCGACGCTGAGCGACGTCTTCCGCTTGAACGGGTTCGTCTCCGGTTTGGACCCTCCGCCCGGCCGGAGGGCAGCCGGGACAGAGTTTGGTTCTTGGTCCGCCCGCGTCCCCTGGCTCGTGTCTGCTCCTTTCCCATGACTACTGCCCGACCTGAGAACCGGCGATGCTTGGCTCGTGTCCCCGGCGTTGGACAGCGCGGGGACTTCTTCAGCCCATATATTGCTCTCCTCTCCCAGGCCGAAAACGTTGCTAGCGGCGCCGGGCAGAAGCGAGTTTGATACTTCGGCTGGCGCGGGATATGTACTGTTCAGCTCCCCTTCCTGACGCTGCGCTCCATCCCGCCATATCGTCTCTTCTTCCGTGTTCTTCGCACCCCGCGCCTTCTGCGGCACCGCCGGGTCGAGTGTGGCTGATGAAGGAATTGGCTTTCGAATCACCATTGCGCGAATCCGGTGGGGTAACTTTTCGAATTGACCCTACCTGGCAGAGATAGGTATGTGCGGAAGGGAGCGAGGGGTTCGTGATATGGTGTTGGACAAAGGCCCAGTTTCGAGGCAGCCAGGCGGAGGGGGCAGTGCCGTCCCACGCGCCACAGTACGCCAACGTATGTACTTGTACAAGTACGAGGTGAGGTGGCGTGGACTCGGTCAGAATCGATTTGTAGCCTTTGAAATGGAAAGATCGAATGGGAACTGGCTTCTCAGTTGCAGTGGCTCTCGTTGCCGAAGCGAACCGTTGCGCATTGAGGCGCACGGTGCACGGTCTGCGCTTGAGGTTAGGTGGGGCGGTCCCTGCGGTGCGCCGGCCCTGTTTAGAATCGTCCCAAGGACACTGGAGCGTTGGAGTATTCCAACTAAGATTAATAAAATTCTCGGAAAATGGGACCCCCGGTCTCAAATCACTCTGTTTTGAAGTTCTATGGAAGACCTCGGGAACAAACATGGGGTTCGGAGGTGGTTGGGGGTTGGCGGTTGAATGCTGGTTTGAGATGACCCGCTCACCCGTCCTGCGTCATACCCGCTGCCTTGGCGCGCTAAAGTCAGTGGGCGCTTCCCCATCCGGTAAGTGCCTTCGCGGCCTCGCGGGGCCAACCAGGGGGCATCCAATCGGACGGTTGGCGTCACAGCTACGGACGTACCGAGTCCTCAGAGTTTCGTCAGCCACACAGAGACGGGAGCGTCAACCTTAGTTGGCGAGGTTGGTCATGTTGCCACAGGCACATCTGGCCTTTTGATTGCGCGGCTTCGCTTTCGAGCTCTTCATGAAAAATCCAAGGGAACTCAACAAGCTAGCGAATCCGAGTACACATCAAATCTCATTGAGCACACTGTTATATAAAGAGTTCCGAGTTCAGCGGCCGAATCTGCCATGTAAACCCATGATCTTGGACTGTTCGAAGAGGAGGTAGGCTGGGCAGAGCTGAGGGAGGCAGGTGAGATGGGCCTGGCCGAGAGATGAAGGACGAATGCGTTGGAATAACTACCTTGCATCAATCATGCTATTTGCGTACCTTTGCAGACGAGGCATTACAACGAGGAGCCTTACACGCTGAGTCCGTATATGCAAATGTCCTCCAACGCCGGTGCTTCAGCATGGTCGACCCAGAATGATAAAACAGACATCTAAGCACCTGGTATTCACGACACTTCCCAAACTTCAATCAGGCATCGCTTCCGCCCAATCATGACGCCAGCGAGTTCAGCCTCCGGCATGCGGGCATGTCGTACGAGTTGGCCAGCTCCATCTTATCCGGGTCCGGGAAGAACCAACCTTGCGCCGCATTCCGCAGCTGTTGCCTGTGCGCCATCTCGTTCTCGCACTGAATGCGCAGCTGCTGCACGAGCACCACCTCGGCCTTCCTATCAAGCGACGACAGCTTGGACGGACTGTACGAGTGGACGTCGGACGGGTTGAGATAGTATTTGACCTTGTAGTTGGGCATAGTGCGTTCCATCGTGTACAGTGGTGGGGCTGGAGCGTCGAAGGCCATGCTGGGTGTTGACGGGGTCGAGGAGGCAATGCCGGAGAATATGGACGAGAGAATCGGCCAAACCACGAGGAGGATGATAGGCAGCAGGCCGATGATGGTGCTCCACATGCTGGCCGGTTCCTCCTGGCCCGGGTTACGGGGTCGGGCCCGTGGCCGCGCACCACCGAACTGGTGTACCCGCACGCCCGGCCCCCCAAAGTTGAAGACGAACTGTGGCCCGCCGTCAAAGCCTGTAACTAGTCAGCTCCAGTCCTAGCGAAATACCGTCCACAGACCTGAGGCATCACCCACCTGCAAAGGGCCCCCCGAACCCGCCCCCTCCGAATCCGCCTCCTCCAAAGAACCTCGCAAACATCTCCTCGGGACTGATCTCCTCCTCGGCCCACCCACCGCCGCCACCACCACCGCCTGCTCTCCTCCCCGCAAACCCAGCAAACGGGTTCTGCGCAGCCTGCGCCTGGGCACTCGCGAACCGACTATCAGGATCCGTCCCGAACCGATCGTACTTCTCCCTCTTCTCCTTGTCCCCAAGCACGCTAAACGCGCGCGCCACCATCTTGAAGGCCTCGTCGGCGTGCTCGTGACCGTTCTTGTCTGGGTGCGTCAGCAGCGAAAGCTTGCGGTACGCCTTCTTGACCTCGGCGTCGGTGCACGTCTTTTGCAGCTCCAGGATCTCGTAGAAGGCCGTCGGCTGGCATCGCCGGATGCGCAGCACGGCGGCTTTCTGCTCGGCCGTGTACTTGCGCTCTTGATTGCCCTGGTTGTGCTCGCGCCGGTTGCGCGCCGAGGCTTCGTTTTGGGACGCCGAGGCCCCGGAGGCGGAGGCGTCGGGCATGATTGCCCTGGGGTGTTATCGGGGGTCGAGAGGTGGATGAGCTTGGGCGGACAGGGTTGGGCGGACGGGCAACGAGTGCACGGGAAGCGGATGAGGGTGAGAAACTACGCAACGCGTAGGCGCTGAGTGTTTTGCGTGTGTGTTTCGAATTAATCTTGGGGCCGCGAGGATAAAGCAGAGAAGTGTATTCGGTGTTGGCTGTTTTCGAAGGATCAGTTTGAAGCTGCGAAGGTGGCTTCTTGAACACCCCTGATCCGCACCAGCAGCTGGATTCCCTTGCACTCGACCTACGTAAACTTCAGACCGACGGGTTCTAATCACAAGTCACTCTGGTTTTAGGGGGTGAAAGTGAAATCCCACGGCTGTGCAAACATGGCGTCTTCTGCGATGGCAGACCAGTCTTTCTCAGCTCCAGAATTCTGGCCGGTGGACACTGCCAATGGACACTTTCCAAAGATGTCCGTGCATGTTGGCAATGACAGTGGGGCTTGGGCAGTGGGCCTCCGATCAGTCATCTCACGCTTGTGATAGGTAAGTTTAACGCTCTCACACAGCGCGACGTCACTGGTCTCAAAACTGTTGTTTCAACGAATGAGCCAGGGCAACTCAATGAGCTGACAGAGATTGTCAAAGCTGCCTCCTAGAGCATCTGAGGTGATGAGCCAGCGCGTCTTCAACTTTTGGTGTCCTTGATACTAAACTCACCTTTCACTCTGCCCAACCATTGACAATGGCGCCCCAGGAGGAATCCAAGGCGTCGTTGACCCTGGCCTCACAGCTCAAAGCCTGGGGAAGTAAGTCACTCACTGCCTCGCTCACTCATTCACTCACTAAAAGCTCATTCACCCTTCCATCTCATACCTCCCATACTGCCTCACAACTAACTCCAAACGACCTTCAGCATCCGCCATCCCCCCCATGACGCTCACAACGCTCATCATCTCCCTGCACGCGCGGCCCTTCCAGGCCCTGCCGATGCTCTTCCCGCCGCTGCTCATCTTCAGCTCCTACCTGACGCTGGCCGGGTTCAAGATTGACGGGGCGGGTATGACAGCCGCCTGGAGCGGCATCTACACCCTGCTCGCGGCGCGGCGGCGATCAGCCTCGCTCCGCAGCCGCTTCAGCTTGAGGGGTTTCGTCCGCGGCTCGGCCATGGCCCTTGGGGCAGCGAATACCGTGGCGGGCTTTTATACCTACGCGACGGGGGATAGGAAGAAGGAGGAGGAGGAGCGGAGAGAGTTGAATCGCTGGGGCGTCTATAGGGATTGAATGGTGCTCTTAGGCGGAAGGCTGAGCTGGTTGCAGGCATTTGTTACGTTCTGGGGCGATGTGTGTACAAGGAGAAGGGCATGGGAAGCATTAGATGTGTCTTAGTATAACTACCAAACCATATATTCATTATTCCTTGGGCCCAGACTCAAGATGCAATGGAGAGAGAGCCGGTAAAGATCACTTCAAAGACGGGTTCAACCCATCAGACCCCGGGGGCTTTTATTACAGTATGCAACAATCGTACAACAAAAATGGTCAAAACAGTCATCCAGACCACGCCAAAAGGACAGTAACAGAAACAAAGCCAGCCCTGAACGCCAGCGAGACGCTCAGCGCTTGATAGTCTCAACCCAACGCCTCCCTTTCCATCTATGTGTCTCAACCCGATGTATGTGTATGATGTCGTGAAGTCGGAAGATGCCCCGGTTAAGCCAACGCAGCCATAAGCACCCGTACTCTGTTTCTCTGTTTTCCTTTTCCTTTTCCTTTCCTTCATGTCGCGCGATGCTGCGCCAGGGTCGAAGCTGAGAATTTGATAATTAAGTGCCAGTCCGGGACCAAGGGAGCGTGTATGGTTGAACGTCGAAAAGCGAGATGGTCCGATGACAAGTGATCGCAGTATGGCATATCGAATAAGCCGCTGTAAAGAAATGACGAGACCCGCTCAGCCGGAGATTGACCGGATGGTGAGTCTTGCCTTTAGGAATTGTCGCTGTCCCGACGCCGAGTCGCCACCCCCGGCGAACGTACGCCCCAAACCAGCCAGATGGCGAGCATCACGATAGCGAAAAGGGTGGCCCGGACGAAGCCGGGCGCGCGAAATGGCAAGCTTGGTTCCCAGAACAGATTGGAGACGTCACCAAGCTCAAAGTCGGTGATGTAGTCAATGTCGCACTCGCGCACCTTAGGCTCGGCGAACGTCCGGTATTCGCCGATGATGTTGCCCAGATTCCAGCCCGAGAGCTTGCGGACGATGCCAATGACGCATCCGGTGCGGTGCTAGTCAGCGTCAGCACTCCTAGCCGTGGGACGAAGCGGAAACACCGGGCATTTCTTCCGCTTACCTTGCCGTGGTTGCAGTGGATCAGGAGTGGATGATTTTGCCTGTCCAAGACTATGCGGAGAATCGACTTCATCGTCGACGCTGGGATGCCTTCCTTTTTGGTCCCCTTCGTGTCGAAGACGATGTGGTTGATCCCGTTCCTGTGAAGGAAGGCGTCATAACCATCTGGAAAGTCCTTTTGCACCAAGGTGCTGGGATTGTGTGAGTGATCAACCAGAGATTCTGAGGGGCGGCCGACTCACACGATCGTTTTGAGCTTGAGGCCTTCGATAAAGGCATAGTCCTCCGACTGCGGGAAACTACTGCGATACACGCCAGGCACGACAATGCCGAAGTTGCCCGGGGGGTGCTCGCCTGGGAGGGTCTTCTCTAGCATACGGGCCGAGTGGTCGGCCTGCTGCTGCACCGTTGCGCTTGGGGGATGGAACGCATCTCGGAGCTCGGGGTCGCTCTGGCGTTGCGCCTGAGCCTCCAACACCAGAGTGTCGGCGTCAACTTCCTGTTGCCCGCTTTCTGCACGCACCACCGGAGACTGCTGACGGGTTGACATTGAACGAGTGGACTCTGAGTTGGTCCAGAGCGTTTGCACTGAGGAGATGGTTTTGAGCAGTGCTGAGCGAAATGCGTGAGGTGGAAAACGCTAGGTAAGGGATAACAGAACGGACAACGAAGACGGATGTGCGCAGGATCTGGCCGGTGCCTGTTGTTAACAAGAGACACGTCTCCTTCTAGACCCAATCGATCAGCAGCAACCGCGAGTCCTGCGAGATGCAAGACTGACGATTGCCACAGCGGTTGACGAAGCTGCTGTGTCGTTTTGGTGTTACAGGTCACGGAATCGGCGGCCATGTGGAGGGCCTGCAGCTGCCATCAAGGTCAAGAGTCCACCCACTCACACTAAGGTTAATGGATCACCGCCGCTAAGCCGCATTTGGAGAGGCTCTGTCCCAGAATTTACGGCAAGCGTTATTTTTTCATGTCCTGGCAGGGCAACCCCACGCATTCACCGAACCGCTGCATGCAGCCCGCCTGGTGTCCGAGTGTTCAACGTTGCCAGGCAGCTCTGAGGCTTTCAAAGGGGCTGGTGCTGGCTGTGCTACGGATCGAGAGGAAGAAGGCCTAGGAGCACAAAGGGACCATCCCATTGTTTCTTCAGTTCCTCGGATGCGCCAGGTTATGGAGCAATTTTAACAGGCTACGATGAACGGGAGTCAAAACTGCTGTCAGCTTAGCTAAATTTCGCATTCGATCACGGATTTTGTAGTCTCAAACCACAATTTCGGTCCATTCAAAGGCATCGGGCTGCCATACAGCAAAACGCCTCCGGCGCTCGGGTGTCATCATCCCGCGCAGTGCATTGCGGTCACGCGACACAGCTCAAACTGCCTTGGAAGGCTAACCCAACAAGCTATTTCCTCTTCACATCTCCATACGCCGAAGCCACTGGCGGGGTTAATTCGCACACAGCGAATAATGCCTTAGCGAAGCCTCATCCAAGCGCAATGGTGCCAATCCATGATGCCAAAAGCGATTGCACAAGTTAAACTAGTAGTGGGCACAATGCACCCCAGACAACGGCCAAGCCAGAGCGAGCTCCAAAAAGACCCACCATGCTCAGGTTTGATCCCGCGCTCTGCAGAGGGTGGGGCAACAACATCCCACGTTCCGCACCAAACCCAGAAAGGGCACCGAGGCTTGGAGGCTTGCAGATTCGGAACATTTCCGTTGGAAACATGAGGCTCCAATGAAGATTTCGATGCCTGATTTTTTGTTCCTGCCGCTCAATATTTGCTGATGATCGGTCCAAGACGCCTTGATACTGTACAGCATTGCGAGGCGGATTCGCCAGAACGCCGTAGCTCGACGAGGAAACAAACCCCTACCTAACCTTCCTCAGTACACCGACATTGCAGGTTCCCTCGAGCAGATGGCCAAATTCACTTCTGAGGAGCTAAGGTCTTCATTGATACATACGGAGTACAGTAGATTGATCTGTCTCCCACAATATAGCAAGCCATAGCATACCCCAGCACTCGTAGACGGCACTTTTACCGACTACCCAACCCGTCGTCCACAAATCAACCCAACCGTCCCTGCACGTACGGATGCCCGGCACTCAAACCGCCATCGACCGCCCACGCCTGACCGTTCACATAGCTGCTCTCCTCACTCCCCAGAAAGAGCGCCACGCGCGCGATTTCGTCGGCGTGGCCGGCCCGCTTGAGCGGGTTGAGCTGCCCGATCTTGCCCTGGGTGCCGCGCGCCCGCGCCGCGTCGAACACGGCTGCCGTCATGCCCGTCTCGATCAGGCCCGGGCAGAGCGCGTTGACCCGCACGCCCGAGCCCGCCAGCTGGTAGGCGGTCGTCTGCACCATGGAGATGACGGCCGCCTTGGAGGCCGAGTAGGGGGTGCTGCCCGCGTTGGACCGCAGGCCGGCGACCGAGGCGGTCGCGATGATGCTGCCCGACGGATGGGACTTGGAGGGGGAGGTGAGTTGCATCGCGGGGGCGGCGTGTTTGGCGGCGAGGAAGACGCTGTGGGGGGCGTGTTAGTATGGCTGGTGAAGAATGGGTACGGTGGCGTGGCGGACCTCAGAGAGTTCACCCGTAGGACATCCATAAAGTCGGCGGCGTCAATGTCGCCGAATAGTGCGTGTGGGCCGACGACGCCGGCGTTGGCGAAGAAGACATCGAGTCGGCCGTACCGCTTGACGGCGTCGTCGACCATCTCCTTGACCGCCTTCTCGTCGGCGGCGTCGAATTGGCGCGTGTGGACATCAACCTGTGGCCACAGGGCGTTGATCTCGCGCTTGTGCGCCTCGAGATGGGTGCCGTCGTAGTCGCAGAGGTAGACGGCCTTGGCCCCGTGCTCTGCAAACTGGTGAGCGGCTGCGCGGCCGATGCCAAGGATTGAGTTTGCGCCTGCGAGCAGGTCAGTATTTCCCAAGACATTCCATATCATGATTTGTGGTTGGAGAAAATGAGTACCGGTGATGATGATCACTTTGCCGGCGACCCTCGGTCCGGCTGGGGCGACTTTGACGATGGTCGGGATGCTGCTGCTCCCAGCGAGCTGGTTACCGATGGCCTGGACTCGCCTCTTCGCTGTCTCGGACATGGTCGTTAGATACAATTTCCTGCTTCTCCTTTGAGTTCAAATACGACCAAACATGGTGTTCACTGCATTTCTGGGAGGACAGATCCGAGATCTCAGCCCTTCCTTGGACCCGGGCCGTGCCAAGCCTTCGGCAACCGGCCGTGAGCGCGGGGAAGGACGCTAGGTAGACTGGGCCGAGGTCTCGATCGACCTCGGCGAAACTCCACCCCGTCAGTTTGGTTGTTGCTGCATTTTTGTGACCAAAAAACTCAACTTTCCGACCTGTCGTTCACACCGAATTACAGGTTCAATTCTGGGGTATTGACGCTTTACCTCTCAACGTTGCCCAACGGACAGCGAAGTTCCCGTTCGACTAGGTGTGCTCGAATGGTCTCGTGAGATATGAGCAAGCACGGAAAGACAGCGGCTGCAGAACCATTTTCCAGTTCCCAAATAACCTGGCTGACTCCGCCCAAAGGTTCTACCCAGGCTGGCCGGTAACACGCCCTTGGCTCTGTCTTGGACCTTGTCTCGAAACGGACATTGTCCGGTCATCGGTCAAGCTAGCTACTGGGCAACTGTCTTAGAAGCGCCTTTGAGGCTTTCCAGGTGGTTGCGAATGCTCAATAGACACCTTAGGCCATTTGAAAGCTTTCCCCCTCGACAACAGACCGCTAACTAGCGGCTCACCATGTTCGATGTCTATGGGCTTACTTTGGAGGCTGTGAGAGACTGCGCTCGGCTTCCCCGCCAACGACGCTGGAACCAAACCGCAAGACTACTGGCTCGATGCACGTCGAATTCCGCTGTCAGGGTCTTCGAGTGACAAAAAATGGAAAAGGTAGGACAAGGGCAAAAGCTCACCAGCTAACCCTCGTCGGCGGTCAAAGAGAGGCGGCTCGGACGAAACCCTCGGGAGTGTTTACTTCCGGGGGGTTCGGGGCGGCGGTTGTGTCGTTTCTGTTGCCCGGGGGCTGGCTTAAACCGAAGAACTCCCTGTGAACAGGATCCAAGCCCCGGAGCATGGACCACCGCCATTGACAGCTGAGCCACTGGCGGTGGTCGTTGGACCGGAAAACGCGGAGCTCCTATATAAACCACTGGCTGGTGCTTACCTGGCTGAAGCCGTTCTGGTTTTCGTCCGGACAGGTGTGGACTCCTACAGATTCTGTTACCTGCCAGGTAACTTCACAGGTGACTGGAGTCTCCCAGTGTAAATCGAGGTTCACGTAAGGTACAGAGTACTTCCCGCCAAGTTTGCCCGGTGAGCTAGCTGGGAAGCCCGTTGGCACTTCGTATGAATCCCAACTGACCAGGCAGTCACTCTTCGCATAGCTCGCATTCACGGCTGAGATCACCGAGGAATCTCTGGCACCGTTTAAGCTCTAAAACCTCACCCGCGAGAAATGACATCAGGATCGCGACCGGAGAGCTTTCCTCGCGGACATTGGGGTGGCCGTACTTGTCGGCTTTCATCCGAACTGCCATGATACACTCTGGACGTCTGAGTCTCATCAAACCCGGTTCCAGTGTTTCCTTTCGCCGCAATTATGCTGACATGTTCAGGCGATCGGCAGGAGTGGTCCTTCATCCTGCTGCGCTCATACCGATCCAGCAGAGAATCGGCAGCAAAGAGGTCCCTTTGTGGCACTGGCAACACGTCCACGTGGCTTTGAATCCCGGCCTTTCTATCCATCGGGGGTAAAGCCCGCCCGTGGTAAGCTGCTGCGACATTCTCGGAATAACTAGAAATCCAACCGTCGTCTACGTCTCTTCAAATCATGGATAGCCGTTGTTCCGTATCCAATGTTCATCTTCGTCGACAACCCTACCCATCCAATGAGTTCACTTCCAAGCAGAAGCCCTGGGACGTCTCTCCCGGACCCAACGGACATCGTCCCTGACTCTGAGACGAAGACCAGCGGGGAAAAATCAGTCCTGTCACACTGCGGCTATTGGCTTGGCAGCTGATCGACGTTAGGTAGCGTGTCGGGTGGTTCTCGGAGCATCACCGCGAATGGGGTCTGTTTCTCCGCCATGTGCGTGGATGCAGGATGAATGCTTCTGGCTGCGGCCTGGCTGAGATCGACGCGGATTGAGGTTGTTCGCAGAATTAGGCCCTTGGTCTTCGAGCGACTCCCGTCGGAAGCAGAGAGTCAAGATGCAACACAACACAGCCTCGCCTATTCCATGGTGAGAATTGTGTTTTGCTCAACTTCAGTTGATTGACTCAGGAGGACGAAGATCACATCACCGCGAGAACATTTTCTCAAGTCCGGGTCAGTCGGATGGCTTTACCGCCTCCATCCCACCGCTCGAGCGCCATATGTCGGGTACAAGCATGGATTGCTGTATCGAGCCGTTAAAATTCTTCTTCAAAGCAGTGGGTAAGCTTCGAGAATGTCGATCTCAGCTCCCGCATGGCGAGCCACGCCCCAAGCAAGGTTATGTCTGAGATGGGCCGGCGTGGTCCCGGAGCCTCATCCGCCCGAAGCCGGGGGGAATGATCTACGTCCATTCGACCGTAAAGCATACTTAACCGGAGTGGAGCCCGAAGATTCAATGGGCATGCAATGTAATGCAATGCAGCATACAAAGCAACCCGAAAGGTTGGTGGAACCGTACTCGAAGCGCACTCTGGGGCAAACACTCAGAAAGACCTCGCGAGTCGCTTGGGCCGATGCAGGAGCAGTGCCCACAGGCAAACAATGCAGGACACGAGACACGGCTCGCAGAATCAGCACGGAACACAGCGATCGATACGACAGATCTTCCTTTCCTGACGGTGTCACCGGCTGGCCTTAACCCCCCAAGTACTTGTGATCGGGTACCTGAAGCAGCAGAGTCATTGGACGCCGGTCACCTCTGGTCTACTCGTCGCTGGAACCTGTCCTCCCTACCACAAGGCCACAAGTTCCCCCGTCGCCGACAGGAACTTGCGCTAGGGGGTGCAGCACCCGATGGTACGAACCGACGCACCAGCTTGATTGGTCTTGTTACACTCCCCGGGGCTGGTCGACATCGCTTTTCGTCGTTTAACAGCACAGATTCCGTGCCTTGATTTAGCTTCTGTCGAGACTTAAAAGGATCTTGTCTTAACAAGGGGCTGGGGTGTTTGAGCCATGGAAATCGAGGCGGGCCACCTTGGAGGAATGATGAATCTCTTTTACAAGATCCAATGGGCATCCAGAAGCTCCGTTGTCGATGGCGCCTCTCGGCTGTCAGATCTCAACATCGGAAATTCCGTTGCCGGCCAACGCGCCTCAGTGTATCGGGTCAGCCCTTTCATCTAGCGGTCCGTGGTTATCTTCCCTTTCCCGACATCAGCAGCCTGCATCCCAATATCTACGAATCCTGCGCGATATCAGCCCCGAATGCCAGCACAGGGCATGCGTGGCATCAACGCCATTTGCAAATGAGATCCCCAGCAGCCCTGACTGCCTCACCGACGGCAAGATACACGGTGGCTTTCTGCTTGTCTATGCTGATCTGCCAATCCAGGGAAACGATCCTTGCAGTGGACTTCTTCCCTCCCCTCGCAGCCCCTCTTCTATCCGCAAGAACAACATGAACGCAAGTGAGTCAATATACTGTACGGAGTATGTAGACACTAGTGCAGGGCGGGAAAGACGGACAGACGGGTAGAGCGCGAGAGGAAACCTCGGATACGTGCAGCATTCGTCATTTTCCTTTTTCTTGTTGACTGCAACGATGCGCAGGACTTGCCCTCCCACACCCATCATCCTTCCTTTATTGGCGAGGAGCGGGCTGGTGCAGCGCCAAGCGTGTAACTTTAACGTCCGTATCGTTCTGCATAATCTTGCTCGGTCAAATAGGGAGGGATATCACAGGGAGAGGGAAGCCTGTTGTTGCACATCATGCACTATCTACAGTATACATCTATCTGCATGTACGAGCCAGCCAAGGCCCAGCTCGTCAGATGTGCTGTGCTGTGGTTTAACGGTGCTTTGCTTGCGGGGTGGCAAACCTTGGGGGAGTCGCGTTGTGTAGCATTGCAAGGTGCGGTGAAGCACCGAGGAAAGGACTGTGCCTCTTCTGGTTCCGTCTCTTTCTTGTGCCTGGTTCTGATCCGAGAATGCGATGGGGACACGGGAAAGGGGGGCCAAGGGGCTGCTGTGCGGTATATAGCCCGGCGTGGTCCTCGCACGCCTGTGCTGGGCCCCCCCCCCCCCCTGACGGGTGCCCTCTTGATCTCTGAGTTCAGATCTGGTCTCGCCTGGCGGATGAGATCTGTCTGTTGCTTGCTGGTCAGTTCTCTTTGGGTCTGATTCTCTGGTTTGAGGGTCAGACATCCGGCACCAGCCGATACGCTCTTTGGATAGGGCACCAAGCCTGTTTGTCTGCTCTCCGTTTGCTGCACATTTCGACGTCCACTTCAGCACTTTCCGGTTCCTGACGAGGCATGATATCGGCTGCCTGAGGGCTTGTGTGAGATTGAGACGGCTATGCCATCCGTTATATCTGGCACTCGCCATATCCTCTACCTGCCGACGTGTCCGAAGACACCGCTTGCCAGTTCAGAAACCTACAACAGCCGCCGGACATGGAGGAGATCAGAAGGATCGCCGAGACCGCCGGCAGCGCCTGCGAGTGCTACATCAACCCGGCCGAGATAAAACAGGGGAGCTGGCAGGAGGATCCCAGCCACTGTCTGCGCAACTGCAAGGCGCAGTTTCTCCGGGGTGTGCTGCAGGGATGGGAGGAGGATCTGGGATGGATCGAAGGATGCAGGAGCCTCAACAGAAGCGTCCCGGTTCGCGAGTTTTGGTCGCTCTACTGGTGTGATTCAATTTTTTGTGGAGTTGGGATAGATCCCACGGGGCCCCTTGGGCAAGACCGTGAGTAAAAGGAACTGGTCTGCTGGTATGGTTGTCTCGGCTAAGACTTGGTGTTAGCAACCGTCGACCTCATCATCAACACGTGCCAAAAGTGAGGTTTCTAGTACGGCTGGAGGGCTGTTCGATACTGACCTGGCTTGTTAGTATCGGGTTTCACTTCCTCCTCGATCCAGGCCCGCCGCCCCAAAACTTCAGTTGCAGCACTGAAGCAGAAGTGCCAGCAGTTTGCTCGGCCACAGTAATGCAAGTACCACAAACAACCCAGGCACCACAGCGTACATCGGCGCAAGCGACACCTGCCACCACAGCTTCTCGAACCACGACGACGGCACAACCAAGGCCCAACCCGGCCGTGGTAACTCCCGTGCTGACATCCTCACCCCCTGTTTCCACGAAGAGCTCGACGCCAACAGCAGCACCATCAACGACGTCCGGAAGCGGCATCACCGGGCAAGGCAAGGCAGCGATCGCAATATGCGCCGTGCTGGCCCTGATGTTGATCGTCTGCTTTGCCCTGCTCTGGCTCCGACGCCGAAAGCGACGCAAAGCCTCTTTCCACCGTGCACTTCGCTCGAGGCGAGGGATATCATCGCACGAAGTCGCCCCAGCCGGATCACCCACCCCTTTAATCTCTCCGGCCAGCTCGGCGGTTGGCAGACGCGCAGTTCTCACCCCTCCCCTACGCCTTCGAGACCGGAAATTCCTCCCCTCCATCCTTCGATCAGGGAGCCGCTCCCCTTCCCCACCTTTGACCCCTCTAACGCCAGCCTACAGCCTGCAATCGGGAGCAGGAGGCGGCGGTGGCGGCGCTATCTTCTCCTCCTCCCCAATCTGCTCGCCCACGACGAACAAACTCGTCCCGCGGCACGAACGTACCCTGACCCCGCGCAGACACCCAGCCTACTCCGGTAACCCCCCTCCTTCGCTCCTCTCCCCGTCCTCCATGACCCTAGAGTCAACCTTCTCCCTTCCCGTGCCCGCTCCGGGTTCCGCCTCCGGCATGTGGCCGTCGCCCACGCCAGCAGGCGACGGACACCACCACCATCATCACCATCACCACCACCAACGGGGCAGCGCCAGCGCAAGCAGCTGCTACACGGGACAAACAGGAACCTCGACAGCGCACTCCTCCCTCCGGCACGAAATCCCAATCGCCATCCCCTCCATCGTCGGCCCCGGCACCGGCACCGCAAACAGCAGCACCAACACGCCACCGCCACCGCCACCTTTGAGTCCCCCGCCCACGAGGGCTTTGCCCCGTCCGCCACCGCCCGCTTCTCCGCCCCCTCCTCCGGCGTCGGTTAGGGGTGGTGGTGGTGGTGGTGTTGTCGGAGGAGGGGATAAAGCCGCCGGGCTTGCGGGTATTTCGCCTACTCCAACCGTGTTGTCTGGTTCACTGCCGCCGCCTGCTCTTGGTTTGGGGAGGGCGGTAATGGGGCCAGGGGAGAGTAGTTTTGGTGGCGGTAATGGTATGGGCGGCGGCGGGAAGAGTCCCCCTCCTCCTCCAGCTCCTTCTCGGTTCGGCGAGAGTGCTGTCTCTGTGGCTGGCCAGCATCAGCCGGATTATGGGCGCCCGCCGCCGGCGTACTCTTTTGTTTCGGGACAAGCAGCCAGTGACGCCCGCAAGGAACGGGTTATGTCGAGAGGCAGCTGGGGGAGTTGGAGTGCGGCTGGGAAGGTGGTTGGGAGTGGGAGTTGTGGTGCCGGGAACGTTAATGCGGGCGCCGGCGTGGGCGACTTGGCGCAGACTGAGATCAGGGAGGAGGGAAAGGGTGGTGGCGACGGTGAGGAGAGGCGGTAAGCTCTATGATGAGCGAGGGTAGTGGTGGGACGGCGATAGGGGGGAAGATTGTGCCTGGTGTGTCAGACAGGTCGAGCATGAGGGATGATACCATCGGTGGGAAGATTTAAGTGGATAGGGGTAATAATGGAGGGCTTAGAAAGTGACATGGAGAAAGAGGGTAGAAAGGCAACAGGTGATTTTCCTTCCGCGACTCAGCAACATAGCTCTTAGGTTGCTTTGCTCGATATCGGAAACAGGGAGCGATCTGGACATCGGCGGGCAGTGCTTAGTAGTACAATGTCTCGAAAGAAAACGAATTTTTCCTTTGCCGCGGTTCGAAGAGTCAAGAAACTTCCTCGTCTGTTCGGAAGGAGCAGGCCAAAGTGTGTCCTAGGAGAAGGTGGATTGAGATGCCGTCGTAATCAAACGACAATCCAAGACACTGTCGTGCATGAGGGAAGATGCGAGTCATGATACCATCAGTTCTTCTAGCAAATCCTGAACATCAAAGTGCCTTTGCAAGTACAGTATTTGAGGGAAGGGGGGTTTAATGCCTAAAACAGCCCAGAGTCTCAAGAAAAGAAGAAAGGACATAAGGAGCGAGGAAGCAGGTGGAACCGATGAAGCTTCCAACAGCTCGGAACAACAGCAAAGCTGGCTAGCAGGCTTGGCGGCGTTGCAAGCCAATCAGCCTCCAGGACACATCGGAGATCTCCCGCGGCTCGGCTCCAATGACGGCCCGGGCGCATTTGATGAAAGCCCCTTGTGGATCAGGCCCCGGCTCCAGGATCCAGTCATGCAGCAGCAGCAGCTGCATGGAGCCCCCAGTCGTTGCTTGCATGACACACACCACTGCAGCAGCTAAATGACGGCACATGACGACGGCGACGGCCCAATCTTTTAATTACCTTAACCCGGCACCCGCGGCAGTCATTCCGATCTAGAGTTTTCTGGGATACAGGATACGGAGAGAATCTACATTCTACCCTGTAGAAAGAGGTGGAATGGGTTACTAGTCCAGGCAAAAGCGGAAGCGCATGCGGCATCTCCGCACTGCTGCTGGCGCCACAACAACTTAACACCGAGCGATACAAGACGCGATCCAGGGAGATGCGAGCTATTGAGACGGCAACATGGAGACGACAATGGCTGCTCCCTCGGCTCCTCTCGAGCGTTCCATCTCGCAGCAGTCCGGCACCTCGATAAGAAGCCATCGATCCCGTACTCGCAAGAAACTGACATCCCAACCCTCGAGCTCGGCCTCATCCGTCGCCCCGTCCGACAAGTCCCTGATTTCATTTCCATCATTTTCGCCCGAGTCACCTAGAGAAGAGAGAGTCAGCTTCTTCCGCAACAGCGACGACTCGACAACCGTGACCTCATCACGCAAGACGTCGGGCCAGAGCTTGGCCAGCTCGGGACAGGGAGAGAGGCAGGGGCAGGGACAAGGAGAAGGGTTGGAACGGAAGAAACAGGGAGATTGCCTGGATTCATCCGCGATTGTCCACCACTTGACCACCACCTCGCCATCATCAGCCGCCCGCGGCGCCTTGTTCGAGGATGCGCCGCCGGCCTCGCGCATAGTCCCCGGCGCCCTTCACCATGCCGACGATGAACACATCCGTCGTCTAATTGACCGCCATGGCGCCGTCAATCTCGTGCGCCAGATCGCCGAAGACCTGGCTCAGCGGGACGCCCAGATTTCGAGCATGCGCCGCCGGGCAGAAGAGCGGGAGCGCTCATTGCGCAAGATCATCCTGGAATGCGGCTTGTCAAGCCTCGATCTAGAGACCCGGCTGCGCACCATGGAGCAGGAAGCAAAGGCCAACGGGACATCAAGGTGGGCATCGGCGGCCGGCCTCTCGGATTTGATGACGGATGCTATGACCGAGCATGTCACGCCCCCCTACACGGCCAACGCTTTCGATGACGCCACCGTCCGAGCGAGTTCAGTCCCTCTATCTGCGGCCGAGGATATTGAAGCTACGAAGGGTTCAGGGCGAGGCTGGAAGGACTACTTTTGGGGGACTGGCACGGTAAAGAAGTCTAGCCGGGCAAGCAGCATGACAAGGGACGCGAACAAGCAGTCGCCAGCCGTCGTCAAAGCCATCCCGGCCGAGCGGCGGCCACCACTACAGGTAGACTTGTTCCACCCGCCCGAGGACGAACCGGTGCGAAGCTCTAGCAGAGCATCAAGCATTAACTCGGCCCATGCGCCAAGAAAGCCGTCGCTGGCGAGCATGGCGCTGCGCCTGGTTGCCGGGGGTGCGTCAATTGGGCGTGATGGCGAAATTCGTGGACGTGCAAGCAGCGCCCAGGGCGGGGGTTCCCTTCGGACACCATCGACTTCGAGCTTGAACACGACCGGCTCAGCCCGTGCCGTGTCAGCCCAAAGCGGCCCCAAGGCCTTAATGGCGATGCGCCGACCCACTGGGCCAGTTCGGCCGATCGACGTCCCTACGCGGTCTCAAGCTCAGGAGCGCTGGGATACGATGGTGTCCACCCCAGGGAGGAGCCCAGTCGCGCGGCAACAGAGCTATGGCCCTGTCGAAATGGACACCATCCTGCCCCCGGATGCTCAGCCGCCAAGCCTGACGCATACCTACAACAACCATGCGGGCGCCGACTATCTCACGGATCGCTTCGGCTTCATCTACGACCAACGCCGGAAGAAGCGCCAACGAGAATCCGCGCAGGTGGCCCACCATGCGAAGAAGGGCAGCCGCACCGAAATGGTTAATGGACGAAACGGTCTTTCCCCGGTATTGCTGGAGGACAGTGCCAGCGGGAACATGAGCATTGGCAGCGACGGCAGGCCCGGCACGCCTAATTCGTCGGAAGAGCCCCGCGAAGACACCAAACCCAAGCGGTGGCAGGACTACCTGAAGATCGCGACCTTCCCCACGGAGCTGCTCTCCCACACACCTTTGATCAGCGCCCAGGGCTTCGAAGTGCTGGAAGCAACTGAGGTCCCCAAGTCACCGAGTCAATCGCCAAGCATTGTGTCGGAAGATAGGGGCTTCCTGCCGGCTGCGACAACCACGGCTGCAATAACACCCAGCGACACCGAAACCCAGCCGGCATCCGAGGGCGAGCAGCCGTCAGCCACGCTTGCCAAGGAGGATGCCGAGCCAGTCAGGCTGCTCCTTGAGAACCTCAACAACCTTCACGATACTCTCCAACGCGAGAAGACAGCCCGGTGGAATGACTTCCTCAGGAAAGTGCGAGCAGAGCGCAAACGAGATGGGGAAGCCGCAGCGGCAGCCGCCGCCGCCGCAGCCGAAGCTCGGTTTCAGCGTGCCACGGCCGTCATGCCCGAAACCCGCCTTGGCGACGGCGAGCTTATCGGCGTCGCCAGCCTCGGTATCCAAGGCAAGATTGGCCGCGCCAAAGCCAACGAGTTCAAATCCCTCGTCCTCGGCGGCATCCCCGTCGCCTATCGCGCCAAGATCTGGTCCGAATGTTCCGGCGCCAAAGCCCTGCGCATCCCAGGCTACTACGACTCGCTACTCTCCCGGCCGGAGCCCACTGACGACCCGCAGGTTGTGGCCCAGATCGAAGCTGACATCACCCGCACCCTGACCGACAACATCTTCTTCCGCAAGGGGCCCGGCGTGCAGAGACTGCACGAGGTCCTCCTCGCCTACTCCCGCCGCAACCCGGACGTCGGCTACTGCCAGGGCATGAATCTAGTGGTGGCCAACCTGCTGCTCATCACCCCGACCGCCGAGGACGCCTTTTGGATTTTGTGTTCCATGGTCGAGTCCATCCTCCCGCCGCACTACTTTGACCATTCCTTGCTCGCCTCCCGCGCCGACCAGGTCGTGCTACGACGATACGTCCGCGACATCCTGCCGAAACTCTCGGCCCACTTCGATACCCTGTCCATCGACCTCGAGACCATGACGTTCCAGTGGTTCTTGAGCTTGTTCACCGACTGCCTGAGCGCCGAGGCGCTGTTCCGGGTGTGGGACGTTGTGCTGTGCACGCCGCATGACGGCGGCGTGTTCTTGTTTCAGGTGGCGCTTGCGCTGCTGAAGCTGAACGAGAATATGCTCCTGACGAAGTGTGGCAGTCCCGCGGAGGTGTATAGCTACATTAATCATGAGATGACGAACCATGCGATTAGCATTGATGGGCTGGTGCAGGCGAGCGAGGCGTTGAGACGGTTGGTAAGGAAGGAGGAGGTGGAGGCGAGGAGGACGGCGGCGATGGAGGGGGAGAGAGCACTTGGTGGCAGTGGTGCTGCTGCTATCGTGTCTGCTACGGCGGGGACGGGTATGGAGATTGATGTGGGTGTGGCCGGGAAGAAGGCTGGCAAGGCGCCGGCGGTCGTCAGTCAGGAGGTGGTGTTGGCTGCGCCGAGTCGGAGTGTCAGCCGGGCGCCGAGTCCGCGTCCGCCGGCAGGCGAGGACGGTGCTGGCAGTGGTGACAACAGGTGACGCCTTGGACGGGGAGTGGTGGCAGTGGCGGGTCTGAATCTTGAACATTATAGAACAATTTTGAAGATGGGGTTCTTCACAGTCACACCCGACGGCTTTCCTTTGTTTCATACGGTTGGACTGATACAGTTCGGATTGCTTTTGCTCACTGCATTGGGGAGTATCAGCGGGGTTTATTGTTGCATAGCCTTTTCCCTCCCCTTTTTTAGATTGGGCCTCTCAAAGTCTTACGATACCCAACGGTTCTCTGGGGGCCTAGTGGGTGGGAGGCATAAGGTTAGAGTTGGAATCAGTTACACTACCACTGGATATGTCGATGTGAACAGCTTACGCTGCGTAAAACAGGCAAGTGACAGACAGCTACACTGAAACAATAGAAAGAGAGATGTTTGTTGATTATCTGTCGCAACCCTCACCGCTAGGGAGAGTGTACGGTATGGAGTAAGATATACTTGGACAATCGGATCAGGCAAAATAAACAGAAGAGCCCTAGATCCCTTCAATGTATTCATCGCAGGTGATAATTGCTAGGGTCTCTAAGGAATAGCCCCGCTCTGTATGCAAACTCAGGTCCTTTCAAGCATGCAGGCGTGGTGGTTCCCAGTCCCTTTAGGAAACCTGATTACCTATCATCAACCCACCCAGCTAGACTGTGCTAACTACACTACATGCACTTCTCGGCGAGCGTCGCTACGTGAGACCGCCTCGTCTGCTCAGTGTTCCTAGGGCCTGCAGCGCAGGGCCTTATATACTTGCGGCGTGCCCTGCTCAGTGAAGGCCGACGTCGACGGTATGTTCTGCGGGCTCAGCCACACCTTGGCACAAACGAAGCGGCTCCGCGATTTTGCGGCTCGAGATGTGCCGAGGATTATCGACCTCCTGTGTCTTGTTCGGAGGCGTAAGTACCATACTACTTTTGATCCGTTTCTCTCGAAATGCAAACCTGGATATTAGCTAACCTAAGGGTGAATCTGCCAGACCATCACAACCTCTTGCAGTCCATGAGTATCGAGGCCTCCTCTCGCAATACCTTCGGACTGCGCCCGTTTCCCACTGTTGATAGCCACCACTGGAACCACCAGGTGCGGGAAAGCCCAAACTTCGCCGTCCCCCTCGCATAGTTGGTCAATCCCGGCCCGAACAGCATTCCAAGTTACATGGACTTCCCCCACCTCCGGTCTCTGTCGCTGACGGACCTCCAATACGATTGCCAACGTATTTTTCGGCTCTTTGAGGCTCACGTCACCATGCTTATAGCCGCGCCTAACCTGGCCCACCTTGAGCTCTCCATAAGAAACATGTTTGGCGGCATCACTTTGAACGGCAACGTGTACGCGCTCACGTACGGGCCGCCTCGAGCTCAGATCCATGCGTTGCGCTTTCTCTGCTTCCGATACAGGTAATCCGGTGGACAGCCCCTCCGACTGGAGACCCTGAGGCTGGGCTTCGGATCTGAAATCGTCGAGGACGACCTTCTTCCTCTACTCCAGCCACACTACCTCTCAGACCTCACGGACCTGGCTTACCTTTCGGAGCTGCTATGAATGGGCCCATTCTACAAAGATGGAAACAAGCTCAGTCCCTTGTCCACAAGGCAGGGCTTTAGGTTGGCGGTTTCGAGGTTGTACCCCAACATGCAACCATTCGGCATGCACAACCTGCGAAGGCTCACTTGGCCTTGGGGAAAGGGAACCCTGGTGAACCTCATGCCCAAGTGTCCCTCCGGCCGCCTCCGCATTGACGACCCTTCCCCGACGGACTGGCGCGTCATTTCGCAGGGGGATACGTACGAGACTTGGGTTAAACGCGGCCATGTCAGCAGCAAACGCCACAGCCATTTTGAGACTCCAAGGTCTGATCCTCCCTGCCGAGCACATGTGCCCGGAAGACGCCGACAGATTCCTTCGCTTCGTTTCGCACATGACGCCCAATGCACCACCTCAAGCTCCACATGCCGAGCCTGACCGGCGGCATCAACGCCAGAGGTCGCATGAGGACGTTCCGCAAGCGCATGGAGAGCATGACCCAGCTGCGGGAATCGTGACTTGCCGACGGTCTCGGCATTTGGACTCGGCCAACCATCCCCAGGGTCAAGGATCTGTACACGACCGAGGCAGAGTTCAGGAGCTTTGCCACCGCGATTGCCGACAAGTGCTCTCGAAGCTGGAATTCCTGCGCATTCTCAATCGCGCATGGATCGCCACGAGGTCCAATATCCCGGGCGTCCCTGCCCGTGTTGAAGCCACTCCCGGCGTGGCAGGTTGAGCACAAGTTGCCGGAGGCTTTCGACTGGAGCAAGCCAAAGGTATTCTGGGGAGGTGAACGGCTTAAACGACATGTCTTTTAACAGAGATAGTAAGGTACTTATCGGGAAAGGCGAGGAGCTAGATGTGGTTATGTGCGTTTTGTATGACAACATGAGCTGCCAAAGAATTAGTGCTGCATGCGGCAGAAGGGGGCGTCTTGTAATCAGCTAGAGGGACTCACTCCAACCGTCAATGTGTATTATGGTTTGAATCTTTCAATGGCAGTGGTGTGTGAGAGGCATCTTGTGTGATCAGCTTTATTCATACCTGGCTCCACCATGCTATCAAGTTCTCAGAGCCACGGGTGTCCATCCCTCTCGGTTATCCACCAGCTGTTCTCCAAAGAAAAATACATGGAGATACGATGCTGCCCATGGGACAGCTTTTCCATGGAGTCCTCCACCAGAACGCCCCACCAATTGTCCCTCTGATGTCGTCCTGCATGGAGTCCTTGACTGCCACACAGAACATATCCAGTGGAGATTCGTAGCGAGACGGGTATCAGTAGAAAACAGAACTGAAGAATGGAAATTTTTCGTCAACTCCTCATTAGATGACTTTGGGCCTTCCAAAGTCAAACGCCTCTGGGAGGTGGTTCTCGACCTCCCGCGCCGTGAGGCGTGAGCCTCGTGATCCGCCAGGCACGGTCCAGAATTCTCAAGTACTGGAGCTTGGGGCACTTTCCGGCAATGACGGTCGAGAAGCGCTGAAACTTGGTACCTTCCGGGCTGGGCTGGATTAGGCTGGTGCCAGTTTCCGCGGCCGTCTGCGAGCAACAGCTCGCGAAGCTCCGTCAGGCGCTTCAGGCGACTGTAAAAGCCTTCCTGTAAGCCTGCCCGTCCGCTCCCTTTACCCCGGTCAGGAGATGGTCGGCGGCTTTTGAGTGAGTGCATGGGCCTGATCCACGGAATGAAATGAAGGAGGTTGTCGGCGCCCTTTGCGCTCATGTTGTCGGTCGGAAGGATGAGTTACTTCAGCTCGAACGTCCGAGATTGGGTATTCATGAACGTCCACGGGTAGAGCCAGGTCGGGGGGCTTCAAATAGAGAGCTCCAGTCGTCCGGTGCCGGCTCGGCTACACGGAGGATGACGTGCTCAAGATGGTCCCTGAACCCCTGCCAGAGCGACCTGATGAGGTTCCCGTGACCCCAGGGCATGGTGAGCGTGCGCACGTTGGTAAAGCAGCGCGCAAGCGGAGATACGGTCGATGATACCATTGTGGACCCGAACTGCTCATGTCCCGAGACGAAGTAGGTACCATTTTTTGTAGGTCGGTCGCTCCACATGAAGCTCCTCGAGACACGATGGGTCAATGAGGTGGCTAGATAGTAGGGAGCGGGAAAAGCGGCCAATTTGGTGCCGCAAGGAGAGCTCCAGGTACGTAAGGCCCGGGGAGCCTTTCAGAATGGCGACAAGGGGCTCGGCGAAGGGCGAAGGCTACCTGCCGTCGTATTGAATGTTGTTGAGCGATAGAAAGAGCAAGTTCGGGAAGCTAAAATCTGGAGCCAGGTTGATCTTGCCATCACCGAAGCTGACACAGTTGGCTAGGGGAAGTATAATATCCGGCATGGTGATCAGATTGTGATTCCAGCGAGGCAGGTCAGAGGCGGGAACGCAATGGAGCCCAAATGTGTCACGGTCTGACGCCGTGATGTCGAGAGACTCGATTTGGGGGCGGTCTGTAAACCGAGCTTGTCAGTCAATGTCGTGCTCCGCGAGGCTTGAAGCGGATTGAGAGTGTTATCGATGTACTTACGCTGCTGGAGGATACGCACAAGGCCAGAGATCTGGGGTACATCTGAGCTGTGAAGCTGCGAAGACGCCGTTTGTTTCAAGGTAGCCTCGAGCCCTTTAAAGAACTTGTCGACCTCCCGCTTGATCGGGCCCTCCCACTCGATCATGTGTCTCATTCGATTGACGTGTCTCGACTCCCATCTGGGCATGAAACGCGATGTCCTTGAAGAGGTTGGCGGCCGCGACCCGCAAATCGACCGAAAACCACAGATTGAAGCAGGCCAGGGGGGATGTGAAGCGGCGCCAGAAGGCATGTCGGTTGGCTGAATGGTGCTTCGTCATTATGTATGGAAGTCGGATTGTGCGCCAAAGATAGACCTGCGAGGCGCTGTTGAATTGCCTGTTCGTCAACGAGGCGCTGCGAAGGTCGTCGACGGCATCGAGAAAACCGAAGATGAGAGTGTCGAGCTTCGCAACGGTAACAACGTCGTTCGCATCGAGAGGCCTGATGAGGTTTGTCGCCGCCTTCTTCGCTTCCGATTAGATGTCGAATCTCAACTGAGAGTACGACCAGGTATCCATCTGGCAGAGGTTGCAATGAGACTGGACTAGAGTAAGGTAAAAGCGAAGAAGAGGACAACCTGCAGTTGAAATCGACGTTGTGGAAAGAAGGTATGTCGGCAAAAGACGGATGAATTGAGAAACTGGGAAAGGAAGCGTAGGAATGAGGCTTTCGAGGGTTCCTCGTCGGTCCCGGTAATGGGACGCCGTGACAACAGACAGCTTCATGTTGTTGAGCAGTTGCCAGGGCGACATTCGGGGGTTCAATCAGATGAAAGAAAGGCCTGAACAGTGAAGGTATTATGTTGACCAGACACTTTGTAATCAAGTATCAAGAACTATCCTGTTTTCTGATTCTCAGCCATGATTAATGCAAACAAACGGGTGATACTAGACGCAACTGATGAGAGCAGCATGTGAAGACCCGCCAGGTTTTCATCGTAATTAGTGACAGGAAAGCCGAATTATCGTGCATGAATGTCTTCCAGCTCACGGATTGTATTGATGTAAATGGAAAGTCTGTTTCATGGCAACGGTTTTTGGATGTATGCCATGCCGCATGCTCACAAACGATAACTTCATGTCGTAGATCGAGGCTTCAAGTAGGTATGCAAGGTGGGGAAAGCACAGCACTCGGGCACTCTGGCCGGTGCTTTCCCAGCGTCTAGACATAATCTTGTTGAAAAGATTTGGGTACACGGCCCTTATGTCAACGAACAGCGGGAGGGTGTACTGTTCTAGCAGGTCTGAGTATCGGTCCCAGAAGGCGGCGTGATCGGTAGAATTGAGCTTGAATGCAAGTAGGGGACTGTAATCATCCGCGGAACTTTTGCGGCGCGGTGAGAGTGCTTGCTAAAGAGGCCGACGCTTGGAAGATCGGCGGTGTCCTCCACGAAGCTGAGAATGTGAGCACCAAGCTCGATGAATCCAAGCACCTGATCGGCAACGACGATGGCAGAGGTGTTGTCTGCCTTGTTTGAGCATCAGGTTGTCGCTGATATACGGAGTGAAGGGAGGTTCAGGGATAGAATCGAAATCTTGGTTTATGCGAAGAGTGGTTGGAATCCACTACGGAAAAGGTGGAAGAGCAGAAAATGTAGGGCTCAGAAAATGGTGTTCTGCTGGTAACCGGCTGGTTTACCACCATACCGAACAGATCTATTGTTCACGGCGCTAGCGCGTCTCTATACACGACTTCGGACGGAGGGGGAATCACGGTGAGACCTGGCAGCTGACAACACCGGTTGTCCAGGAACTCGCCATTGCGTAGCATGGACACTCGGTTCTCGGCTAAGGGCCCATATAAGAAACAGGAATGAGAGTATAATGTTGGATAAGACCCAAACTATGGACAGGAGGAAGGTATGGGAATCAGGTGTATCTTCGCCGGTGAAAGCACTAATCAGTCGTTATGTCGGAGGGACAAGTTTGCGTTTCCAATAACCACAAGACCGTTGATAACAAGTTCAGGGTATGATGTGACATCTCACTGTGAGCCGAATATGAGCGACACATCAGAGAAACAATCCACAGAGAGAAACAGCGAAACAACAACCCCAACCACTCCATGGCTCACACTGTTACTCAGACGTCATAGTCAAGTGAGTCACCTACATGGACGGCTGGTGTGGTGCCTGTGTGCCCTCCGTCAGTACCGATCAAGTTTCTTCCTCAGTAGTTCAACAAGAAGCATAATCGTCCCTAGGCCTCAGGGCTTTGGGTTTCAGAAGCATCCAGTCTACCCATATCCAATCGTCTTGGTTTCGTTCCGGGAAGCCATAAAACACCCAAATAAACAGACACTAACACCAAAAGAAACCACCTTATCAACTTCCCCTTCCCCTCCCCTCGGCCTCCCACCACGCCCTCAACCTCTCCACCTCCCCCTGACACCACCCAAGCTCATCCACCCTCTGAACCCACCAGCTGCCCCGGCCCACCAACCCATCACTGACATATTTGCGCAACGACCCGCCCTCATAAAGGTGATTCTTTACCCCCAAAAGGAGCACCGCACTCCCAACTTCAGGCAGAAACTCGTCTGGGTCGAGGTAGACAGTCAGGAGGATGTGCTTGTCAGGGGTGCTAGGGTCCGCGAGCCGAGCGGTGCGCTGCCGGAACGAGGGCGCGATGTACGAGGGCTCGACGGGTGCGAGGGAGACGACGATGGCGAGCACGTTGATCATCCAGTTTTGGCGGTACGGGAGGTGGGGGATGGAGGCGAGCGGGGTCAGTTTGACGGGCTGGGTGGCTGATGTTGGGAGCCACGGCCGCGGGCGGGTTATGATGGGTGCGGAGGGTCGGTGTTGTTGCTGTTGTTGGTTTTGCTTGATGATCGCTGCTTCGAGTTGCTGTCTCCGGTCGGGAATGGTGATGGGCACGCGGCGTTGGTTGGCACGTTCGGTGGATATGGTAAGGGTTTCAAAAGCCGAGTCGGAGTCGGAGATGTAGTCTGGATCGTCGGAGTCGTTGTTAGGGGTTTGGTGTGCGGCTCGGGGTTGCGGCTTATTGTCGGAATGGATCTCGGCGGTAATGGCTGGCGCGGTCGCTGCAGCTGTTGTAGCCTTCCTCTCCATTATTTGCTGCAGAACCTCCTCGCTGTCCACATCATGAAAGCTATCATCATCCTGAGCAGACGTTTGCCCTTCTTCACCTTCCCGCTCTTCCTCGCCTTCAACAACCCCTTTGTCCGTTTGGTCCTTCACAGCAGCCCTCTGCTTCTCCTCCTTTTCCCTCCTTAGAATACCCATATACGCCTCATTCCACCCGACTGTAACCATATCTTCCACAACCAAATACACCGTCTTCCCCCTTTCCTTCGTCTTCCCTTTTCCCTTCCTCATCTCCCTCGCCCTCCTCACCCGTTCCCGCACCTTCTCCAGCGTCTCCGGATCCCCAACCTCATCATCCACCACCTCTTCTTCGCTTCTATTCCCACCCCTCTTATCAGTAGGCACTGCCGGAACATCCACAAACCTTAGATCAAACCTATCCAACCTCACATACGCCCCTTCAAACACACTCCCCGAATCCACAAACCGATGAATCTCGCCTCTGCAAAACGCCTGGATACACAGCTCCCCGTCGCCAAGTAACAATCTCACCGTCCTCATTGGCCTACGGTGACGATGATATAGCCGTCTGATCCTACTGCCAGGTTGGTGGCCATCTTCCGGAGCAGGAGGCAGTAGTAGATCTGAGACGGGAATATTCCGCTCGATGGACTCGACCAGAAACACCGAGCTTGGCATGCAGTACCTCGTGCGGAGAATGTCGGCTATCAAGGGTTGTGGGTTCAGGGGTGTTGTTGGGTCGAGGGAGACGATGGGGTTGTTTCCGTCCCCATTCTGGCCCTGTTCCTTTGAGGGTGGTGCAAGCTTGGGTGCAGGGTTGGGTTGGGGAATTTTCATCGTTGTTTGGAATGAACTGGCAACTTTGGTCTGTTGTATGGATGTGAAGAGTGTAAAGTGAATGAGGATAGTGAGTTCTTTACGTGGTGAATTATGGTGATGATGGCAGATGCTGTGAATCCGGGGTTGAGTGGACACGCCGCAAACACTTATTTGGACGCGATGGAGTGATAACCCGTTGGATAACCCTAACCCCGCTCTGAGCAGGGACCTTGACCGCCAGAAGACTGAACACAGATGGACCACAAACCCAGGCAAGACAGGAGATTCATCTGCTCACGTCGTGGTATTCCGTCAGGTATCGAAACTAGCTAGCTCTCTATTAAGCGTGGAGGGCCGGGGAATTAGTGAAAAAGAAAAAGAGGCAGCAAAGATGCGAAGGGAGCTTCGGATACTAAAAGAAAATAGGGGTAAAAGAAGTCCAGACCACCGGGTACGATTTGCCAACAAGACGTAAACACCATAGGCCAAAGGGGTATGACTGTGACCTGTAAACCGCATCGAGTTGCGCCGCGCTATTTCCTCCCCACAACTTTGCTCGGGACGCCGCATCCTGCTGCATGAGCTTTTTGGGGCAACCCTTCTGCCCGGATTGAAAGATTTTGAGGACCACCAGACGAAAAAAGCAACACTCCATCTGGTCCTGGGCCTTAATAGCCGTTCATGGTCATCCGTTGCGAGCTGCGGCTCATCTCGCGCTCGGCGGACGGGCTGATGGGCCTGCTGCCCTGCGCGCTGCTCTCCTTGAGGGCCAAGAGCTGCTTGGCGCGGAACGTCTCATAGTGGATCTGGGAAGTCGTCTCGATGAGGTCCTGGAGGTGGGTGCGGAGGAGGAAGTTCCGGAGGTAGACGAATTCGCAGTGGTTCTCATCCTCGACGTTGATGACGCCCCACCTGTTCTGGCGGCCCCGGACCTGCTTGCCATTGACAATGATCGACTTCTCGGAGCCGACGACGGCGAAGGGAATCATGTTCTGCTCATGCGTCAGCTGTTTGCCTGCCATGCTCAGCCTCTCAGGACCCACCTTGATCTGGGTGTTGATGGCACGCTCCTCCTCGTCAAACTCGTCGTTGTCGTAGGGGTACATCTTGAGGTTGTGGAAGGCAAACTCCTCTTTGATGCGTGCCTTGAACTCTTGCCGCTCTTCCAGGGTGAGCGAATCGGCCTTGGCGATGACCGGGACGACGTTGACAACATCCGACAGCTTCTTCAGCACCACTATATCGATTGGCTTGAGCGTGTGGCCTGAGGGCTGGATGAAGAACAGGCAACAGTGGATGCGCGTGTCCTGAATGTAGCGCTCACGCTGGGCGGTGAGCTCCTTGCGCAGGTAAGCAGAGTGCTGGTCCTTGATGTACTTGACGATTGGATCCCAGCATCGGTCGTTGTTGATGAGATCCCCGTAGCCGGGCGTGTCAACGATGTTGAGCCTCAGCCGCACGCCGTTCTCCTCAATGATGTGCGAAACGGGATGAATCTCGGTAGTCGAACGAATCACCTCATCGGGATTGAGCCTGCCCTTGGACTCAATGAGGTGCGAGGCAAAGATGGTGTTGATCAGTGTCGACTTGCCCAAACCCGTCTGGCCTGCAACGCGAGACACGTCAACCCCAGCTCTCGCAATAACCAAGTGGAGCAACCAGCGAGCTAGAGGTGAGGGTGAGGGATGAGAGAACTGACCGACGCAAATGACGTTGAACTGGAAGCCGCGCTTGAGCAGCTTGCGCTCAATCTGAGATGTGATGCTGTCGAAACCGACATGGCTCTGGGGATAGATAGTCGCAGCGGGCATCGACGCCATTTCGCGGTTGTTGGATGTTTGGGCTGCGCGGCCTCTCTATTCCAAAAAGCAGTCGGGAATCGCTCGCTCTGAGCTGCTGAGGTGCGGCCAGATATTTAAGTCGAGTACGACGGGGCTCGTGGTCCGCTGGTAGCGAATTGACGTCGGGGTTGATGCAGGCGAGCGAAGTGTTGAAGGGGAATTTCTTCGTCTTCCTGACGGCAGCAGCTCAAAGCAATAATTTCCGCCCAGGGGTCACTCCGCTGGCTTGGGAAAGGGGGAGGGAGGTGGGCGGCTCGTGATTGGCCTGTGGGGCCTGCCCCAGGCACAGGCTTGATCGGGTAAGGACGTGCAGTCGCATCCGAGCTCTGGTGGGACCGTGCCAACCCTGCCTTCTCATCTTTTGGCAATGGAAGATGCCGTGGCCGACTTTTTTGGGGACGGAACTGACAACGCGATCGACCCAAGACGATCAGCACACAAGCACGCCGACGACAGGAGGCCACCAAGGTCGCACTTCCTCAGCCTGAACAGTACAGCGCAGCGCAATTCGACTGTCTCTGGACCGGGCTTTCTGCCAACGCCAGTCCTGGATATTTCAAGCCGATTCTCGGCCGACGCCCATCATTCCAACCATGGCCATGGCAGCGCCGGCCATAAGGATGGCCCCCTCGATCTCCTCCCTCCCCAGACTTCTCCCGCCGACTGTCTTCTCAACAACAAGGATACAGCTTTATGTTCGGCAACTCCCGTTGCCGCTGTTCCCGTCTCTTTCCCTTGCCGTGCCAGTCGGACTCCAGCTTGGGCTTCCGTCATTACCATCAATTCTCCAAGGGATTTGGGAATCGATCCTCAAGGCGGTGCCCAAGAAGAAGACATCACACATGAAGAAGAGGCACAGGCAGATGGCAGGCAAGGCGATCAAGGACGTGAACTCCCTGTGCAAGTGCCCCGCGTGCGGAGAGATCAAGCGGATGCACTATCTTTGCCCGCACTGCGCAGCAAGTATGGGGGCCGGATCCATGGACGTTTCTTCACATGCTGACGGTGAAACAGGACTCAGAGAGATGATGAACAGGGAGGCGAGGGAGAAGAACGAGTGAAGAGGTGATGCACTGGAGTGGGAATAGGAGATTGCATGATATCGAAAGCTGTGCCAGAGGCATCGCACTTATCTCGTCTCGGATGTGGGAAGGGAGGTGTACATACGATCCAGTGTACATATACTGTATCATTATCAGTGGCATTGGGGTGGGGGTTGGGCAGGGCCGCTGTCTGTCATTATGGCCGGCAATACCTAGCCGCCACGCAATGGGAGGCGATCTTGGATGAAGGTTTGGGACTTTGCATTTCATCAATGGACAAACTTGAACAACACGGTTGATAAGTGAAGCCATCAACTGTCTTATCGGTTCCTTACATCATGAACGATACATCTTTGTTTTCTTTTTTTCAAGTTAGATGCTGATCAAAGAGACGAACAGGGCTGGATTGTGTGCAACATTTCAATTTGGACTTGAGCCAGGCAGAAGCGGACGAATACTCCATAGGATGTTAGTGATGAAGCCTTCGTCTGTGTGGTTAATTCGCTGGGATATCACGACGCGAGCTCAGGTCTGAGTGTATATTGCAGCCACATGAATCGGGCATCCATTACTCTCTGGACTAAGCTTGTCGTGCCTGAGCAGTAACCATGCGTGACAAAAGCCATACCGCTCAGAGTTCTTCAGTAACGTCGCCAAGAATTTACCAGTTGAAAAGCTATTACATAGCGGCAGTTAACCATTCGGACTGTTCCAGCCTCGGAAAGATGATCGAGTCTGGGACGGCAGGGTTAGGATTCTCAATCCGAGATGTCCGAGACTGAGATGTCTGAGTCTCACGCGACCGAGAGGCCGCTCCAAGCAAAGACAGAGTTGTGGAATGACACTTAGGCTCCTCAAGCACAAAGCCGACATGGAGCGGAAATGCGTGCGGAACAAGCAGCGGCTCCAGGCGGTCGGCTTTGCAAGACCACTCCCTTATTTCATGCCCCAAACAATGAAAACAAACAGAAATGCAGACTTACCCTAACCCTGGACGGACACTTCCTCACCGTCGTCGATCAAGCTACTTCCGCCACGTCTCTGCAGAATCGCCCGTTGACCATCTCGCAACACCATACTACTACCAAAATCAAGACCTGCTTATGGAGATGTGACAATGGTAAGTATCCAGATATATTTATACCTTTACAAGATACTGACATCTCCACAGTCGAAACAATACCTCACCGTTCACACCGTGGACGAAGGTGCGCGCAGCAGCAGAACCCCGCGATTGTCCGCCCATCAAGCTCCCGGAACGAGCTAACCAACCCCCCATAGCCCACCCAGCAGAGATTTTCTCCCTCGCACCCACCCAGACCTCCCTCTTCTCCGCTAGCGGCTCCTCATCCCTCCGCATCCACAGCACGACCGACCCGACCTTCCCCCTCCAGCAAACCATCTCCGACGCCCACAAACTCGGCTGCCACCACGTGTGCACGGCGCGCGGCGGGCAGGGCGTAGTAGCAGCGAGCGTAGGCTTCGGAGGCGAGATCAAGGTCTGGACAAGAAACGAAAACAATGAGTGGGGCCTGGACTGGGAACTCCCGCCCTCCAGACAGAAACAGGCCAACGGCGGCGGCGGGGACGTCTGGGCGATCGCGCTGAGCGCCGACGAGGGGTATCTGGCGTACACGACCAGCGATGGGCGGATCCATGTGTGGGATCTCGCGGCGCGGGAGATAATCCAGACTTACGAGACGGGCGCGAGGGGCACGGGCAGTTTTGCCATGGCGATGGATCTCAGTCGGGACGGGAGGCTGACGGCGAGTGGGCATGAGAGTGGCGCGGTGTATGTGTTTAATAATGATGCGGGGAGGATGGTGTATTCGCTTTCAGGTGAGTCATTTCTCTTCACTTCTTCTGCTAGGGAAATGGGGGAAAGGTGAGGGTGGGAGTTGCTAATGAGGATACAGGTCTGGCGAAGCCGGTACGGGCGGTTGCGTTCTCGCCTGGGTGCAAGCGGCTTGCGGCGGCGGGCAATGCGGGTGTTATCGCCATCTACGATATGGAGCATGGCGAGCATGTGGGCAACCTCACCGCGCCGAGCAGCAGGCCCGCGTGGATCACGTCTCTGGATTGGAACGATACGGGCGATTATTTGCTGAGTGGGTCGCTCGATGGCAAGGTCAAGGTGTGGGATGTGGCGCGCGGCGTCTGCGTGGCGACGCACAGCGAGACGGACACGGCGTTGTGGAGTGTCAGGTGGTTACCGAAGACGGAGCGGGCGTTGGGACCGGGCATGGGCAAGAGCGAGATGTTTTGCGCTGCCGGAGCCAGCAGGAGTATCACCTTCTACCGGGAAGCTACCGGGTCGTGAGGTGAGATGGAGGCGTTCATTGGCTCCATTTATTTGCTTGCACGTCCTGTGAGGGAACAGGAACTTCGCGTCACGTAGTCGCTACGATTGATCTTTAGCCAGGGCGGGATAAATAAAAGAAGACATGACGAAGGCCGGCCAAATTTTCTCGTCGCAGCCCCTCACTCTCATCGTTCACTAGACTCGGACTCCCTCTACTTCTGAAAGCCCATTTTGGAACCATAATTAGTGATAGTCTTGTCATATTCTCCGGTTCGGCATACGCAATCGGGCTGTGTGGTTTTGAGTTCCGGGTCGTTGATCTGGGAGTTTGCACTCCTCTGACGCTTGCGAGGGCATACGATATGTCTCTTGTCTAGATGATGATATAGCAGTCACGCAGAACTAGAAGATAAGCAAGACATTCCAGATATCAGATATAAGGCTGCCTTAGGCGCGGCTGTTTCGTTGTTGGAGCGGCATGACTACAGCCTCCCGTCACAGCTGGTCCGGTAGGGAGGGTTGCTCATGAAATCAGATCACGTGCGCTCGCGTTTTGAGTTGCGTTGCCTTAGTAACGTTGGTTAACTTACAGTCATTCAGAACGGGAGCTGAGAGCCTGCCAATTGCCAAGCCCGGACCTTCATCAATTCCAGCAGCTCACTTAACCTACCCTGCCTGACTCTCCAGAACGATTACCGTTCTTCATCCCGTGCACATTGAACCGCAACCACAGCACGACAAACCTTTCACCTTCCATCACCTTCCAATCCGACAAATACCTCTCGATTTCCTGACGTCACTGGCACGATGCCCACCACCCGCAGATCCTCCCGTTCGTCTACGGGCGCCTCGGGGAAGCAATCGACTCTCAGCTTCAAGCACAAGGTGACCAAGGCTATCAGGACGGGCAAAGAAGAATACAAGTCCCCTTCGCGCACGAAAGAGTACATTCCCAAGCCATCACCCGAGCCCGCCAGCAGCAAGGACACCAAGCAGAACGCCGGCGGCGACGATGACGACGATGCATCGCAAGTCCAAACCCCAACGACTAGCGCCTCTACCGACGATGAGCAGAAACAGCAGCAGCATGATCGCCCGCTGCGCCAAATCGAGCAGCAGGCGCAGCCTGCACTAGCCCAGGTCAAGTCCGAGGACGAGCTCAAGGCCGAGGAGATCACCGATCGTGCGATCGAGCGCTACTGGGCCGGGATTGAGGCCGGTCGCATGGCGAAGGCGGTACACAAGAAGCATGGCGAGGGCCTGAGCACGGGGGAGAAGGTGCTGCGGTATTTCGACGTTAGTTCGCAGTATGGGGTACGTGTGATCCTCGTCGCATTTCCATCTCCCCATTTCTGTCACATTTGTCTGTGGATGTAATGGCAGAAGCTAACATGACGGTGGTGGCTACAGCCATGCATCGGCATCGCACGCATCAAGCGCTGGCAGCGGGCGCAAAGGCTTGGGCTGAACCCGCCGATTGAGGTGCTGGCAGTGTTGCTGAAGGAGGAGGCCAGGGGGAATAGCGGGATTGAGACGGCACATATGGACGAGCTGTTGAACTCGACTGCTGTTGGCTCGGTGGGCGTTTGAGCAGCGGACGGGCAAGCGTTTTGTAAGCTGTATGATGATGATGGTTCGGGCGATGGAGTTATGGAGTTGGGACGGGCACCGATTTGTCTATCTTGCTTTTGCTCTATTGCGGGAGGTTTGTCTAGATCTATCTGGATCGGGCACACTGGCAACTGGCTATCGACGGGTTGACTCTGGAATACTGCGGACTTGGTTCAGTACCAGATACTCCTCGTCCTATGATGGGGAACGGTTTCCTGCCCTGCGGCTTCCATCTCCTTTATTGTGTCGTAGAGGAAGAAGTCGATGAGGATGGCGTTTAGCCGACAATCGGGATTCTGTTTGACGATCTCCCTGCGGATCAGTTCCACACACCATATGCTACATGCTGCGGCATTGTCAACCTCTGCATCTCGCCGTCAGGGGTCTGGTCGCTTACCCCTTAGCTGCATCTCCCAGTTTGAGCCAGACGGAATGTCGCGCTTCGTCCGTATTGCGGTACTCAGCGGAGGGCTGTACGAGATGCACCCCATACTGTTAAGGATCTGGGGCACGCGGTAGTCGGCGAACATGGTGAGCTTGTCAATGTCCCAAAAGTCTCCGTAGCCCTCCCCCTCAAAGCAGGCCCACAAATCCGCGGCCAAAATTTGTGCCCGTTTGAGGATACGGATCGGTTTCCGCCGCCCCTCGAAGACGTGCTCGTCGCGGAAGCACTTGAAGTCCCGGGCCAGCAGGTTGACCAATGCGGCAGCTGATCCGTTTGCCTCGTCAATCAGGTTTGCAGGGTGGCATTCATATTTCTGGACGACATGTCAGAACACGGCAAACGGGCGGATCGGAACGGACAGGAGCTCAAAGAGACCAGTCTAGCCCAGCGGGGTCAACACGTACTTCGTACAGCACCTGCCCAGCTTCACGCAGGCAGGCGAGCCGCTCGGCCAGCAGTGGCATCTCTTCGTTTGTACAGGACCTGAAAACATGTCTCAAGACGTCCAATGTGCACTCCTCTTCATCCTGCCAGAAGTGCGAGTCCGTAATGGGAATCCCTTATCAACCAAAACAATTAACGTTCTATTCCAATTGTGAAGGAGTACTGTAGTTTTACATAAACGGCAGACAGCAGCTACACCGTCACCGACATACGCATACAGAAGGGAACCGACCTACCTTCATCCAACGCCCGCCGCAGCGCAGCCACCAGGCTCCAATACCCCGTCCAGCGCCTTCCGCGGTACTCAATCGTAAACCTCTCCGCCTCTGGCAGTTCAGACCAAAACGAGAAGTTGAGCAAGTCCATGGTGAAAACGAAGGCAACCATGGCGTCGTCGCCGAGTTCCGCCCTGCTCGGATGCAGCTCGTGGGCGGCCCACGTCGCCGGCGAGTACCCCTTCTGCTGCATCTGCGCGTAGATAACGGCCGCTGCATTCTTGCAAGCGCGCATGTCGATGGCGACGTCGATGGCGTTGTCGTAAACATACTCTGCGCCTTGGAGGACCCCTGTCTCGGGCCCGTCGTGCAGGGTTAGTTTTCCCTGCAGGTGCTGCCGGAGAAGGGCAAGGAGTTCTGGGTCGGCTTCGTCGTCTGACATTTTGGACGATTGTGGGAGGGAAAGGGAGGATTTGTAACTCCGTAGAAGGGGGTAAGAGAAGGTTGGCTGGAGTTTGAGGTGATGAACAAGGTTTGATCCTACTAAACAGGGGTCGGACGAAATAGGGAACGTGCGCTGGAGTCAAAAAGATGGCTCGCTTTGGCGCGCAAAGAGATGGCATTGTCGGCAGGGAAGGCTAACGCAACGTATTCAAGAGGGACGATTCCATGTTCCTGAGCAGGTTTATTTTAAATGTTTAGGTTTCATCACAAGAGGATGACTTGAAAGTCAGCCTCCATTTGAGTTGAGCCTGCAAGTGTGACCACTTTTCATGGAGACACACTCCTTCGCTGCTGCAAGATTCAGGCCTCGCAAGGCGGCCAATGGGGGATGTTCCGTCGATTGTCAGGGGGTTGTACTTGGATGTAATCCGTACTCCGTACCAAAAGTACTTCGTACCAAGCACATCCTGCTGCAACATCCACGCATGATGCCGTCGAACCTTGTCGAACAACGAAAGTAATTCTGAAGCTGTGGTCAAGTCCGCCTCGAAGCCCTGTCCACTCTGGCGCTCGGTTCCTTCGAATTCAGTCCCAAGTCAAGAATGGTAGACATGCTCCCATTTCTGACAACGTTGACTCTCGGCGGTGACATGCGGGGCCCTTGCACGAGCCATCCTCAATTCCCGTCGCGTCCTGCCGCGTTGACCCACTCAGCCGGATGCAACCGTCCTGACAGAGAGGCTGGCTTGGTTCTTGATGAGCAAGTAATGCGATGCATCACATGACAAGGCTCTGGGACGGCAATTCGGTTCATTCACTGACGGCGTTGAATATTCATGGATATGCTATAAGGCGTTAGGTCCACTTCTCAACCGCCTGTCCATTCTCCTTTCCCTACCTTCCCGATCCCTTTCCTCGCCAATACCTCTGTATCGCATCATGGAACCCGCGGCCATGCATGGAAGCACAGGCTTCACTGCTCCCATTGTGCCAGTCGCGCCAATCGCGCCGGTTGCCCCAGTCATCGCACCCTCCCTAACCCGCGACAGCTACAATGCGCAGACTCTGGGTCGGAGTTTGAATGCGCGTGTCAAGCAGGTGGGTACCCGGGCTTCAATCGCTCGATCCCTTCGCATCCAACCATTCGTCTCTTCGCGGCCGCACGGCAGAGAACGATAAGCTACAGCACAGTTCACCAACTTTTCCCATTTCTTTACGCATCAGACATTTACGTTTGTTCCGTTCATCCTCTCGCTCCGCCATCTCGCCCGACATGGAACACGACCTTGTGGCCCTGCTAACCGTCGCAAAACAGTCGCGCGTGCTAATGGTCGGCGCTGGCGGCATTGGATGCGAACTACTCAAGAACCTCGTCCTTACCGGCTTCGGAGAGGTCCATGTCGTCGACCTGGATACGATTGACCTCAGCAATCTCAACCGGCAATTCCTCTTCCGCCAAGAACATATCAGGAAGTCCAAGGCATTGGTAAGGGCGCCTTCGATTGTCGCCAAGACTCAACCCTGACTGACTCCTTGCTACTAGGTCGCCAAGGAAGTTGCCGAGAAGTTCAACCCGGCGGTCAAGATCGTCGCCTACCATGCCAACATCAAGGATTCCGAGTTCAGTATCGAGTGGTTTAGCGGGTTTACGATTGTGTTCAACGCCTTAGACAACTTGGAAGCGCGGCGGCATGTGAACAAGATGTGCCTGGCGGCCGATGTGCCGCTGATTGAGAGCGGGACCACTGGCTTCAACGGCCAAGTCCAGGTTATCAAGAAGGGCGTCACGGCATGCTACGACTGCACGCCAAAGGAGACGCCCAAAACATTCCCGGTCTGCACGATCCGCAGCACCCCGAGCCAACCGATTCACTGCATCGTCTGGGGCAAGAGTTATCTGCTGAACGAGATATTTGGGACGAGCGAGGACCAGTCCGCGTTTGACCACTCGGCGGATGCTGAAAATGCAAAGGAGATCGAAGAGCTGAAGCGAGAGTCGGAGGCTTTGCGAAAGATCCGCCAATCAGTCGGCAGCCCGGACTTCCACCAGATGCTGTTCGATAAAGTGTTCAATACAGATATCGTCCGGCTGCGCTCCATGGAAGACATGTGGAAGACTAGGAAGCCGCCGGAGCCACTTGATTACAAGGCATTGCTAGAGAAGGCGTTGGACGCTATGGCAGCAAAGGATGCGGTCCTCAAAAACGACCAGAAGGTTTGGTCCTTGGAGGAGAACCTGGTCGTGCTCAAAGACAGCCTCGACAGGCTGAGCAAGCGCGCCCTCGCAACGAAGAACGCCGCCAACGGCTCAAGCCAAGACGCGATCATTACCTTTGATAAGGATGACGACGACACGCTCGACTTTGTCGCTGCGAGCGCAAATATCAGGTCGACGATCTTTGGTATCGACCGGAAATCCAAGTTTGACATCAAGCAGATGGCGGGTAACATTATCCCTGCCATTGCGACCACGAACGCCATCGTCGCCGGCCTCTGCGTTCTCGAGGCATTCAAGGTGCTCAGGGGCGAGTATGACAAGACTAAGGAGGTGTTCCTGACGCCTTTTGCTCCTGCCCGACTCCTCGCGTCGGACAAATGCCGACAGCCTAACCCTGACTGTCCGGTCTGCGGCGTATTTCAAGCCCGCGCCTACGTCGACCTCTCAAGGGCGACGTTGAACGATCTCGTGGAAGACTACTTGAAGCTCCAGCTGGGGTACGGCGAGAAGGAGATTTCGGTCAGCAATGAGGTTGGCATTCTGTACGACCCCGACGAGACGGACAATCTCGGCAAGAAACTAAGCGAGCTCGGTAAGCATCAATGGTAATTTATTGTACAATAGCTTCGGCGTTTCTGACAGTATCGTACAGGCATCAAGCCGGACTCTTTTTTGACCATCACAGACGAGGACGACGAAAATCCGTACGTCAACGTGGTAGTCGCCATCCAAGAAGCGTAAGCACCTTGCTCCCACGTTCAAGTCAATCCTGCTAACCTTCTGTAGCAAGGAACCTCTCGAAGACAAGCCCATCAAGGGCGCTTCGACTGAGGTCAAAATCCCAACCAAGCCGAAGAAAACACCTGCGCCTGAAGCCAATGGCGGCCACGGCAGCAGGCAGCAAAGCGAAGCGATAGCCGAGGTAGTCCCGGCCAAGCGTCCGCATCCGGAGGGCCCGGATGATGTCGCGGCGGCCAAGAAGGCGAAGACAGCGGCATCATCTGTGGGTCAAGACGACGACATTGTCGTCCTCGACGATAGCGCTGGGGGCGGCGCCATCATCATTGATGATGACTGAATGCTGCATCGGATAACCAAGAGTGCCTTGCTACATAACAGAAAGAGTACGGCGCGATCCCGCCTGCGCCAGACGACCACGCATCAGACAGCACTCAGCCCGCCGTCGAGATGGAGGATGCAGTTATTTGCATAATTGTTCTTGGCGAGAAAGAGAGCGGCGTGAGCGACCTCCCCCGGCGTCCCGAAGCGCCCGAGGGGTATCCTTTTGATGAGTTCTTTCTTATCGAGATCTTCGTGTGGGTAATGGCGAGGACATGTAAGATTAGCTTTGGCCACTATACATGCGATGCAAGGTAGCATTCGCTGCGGTCTGAACTGGCTTGGGAACGGCCACAGGACTGGCAACGCTGTAATGGGTTTCTACGGCAACCATGAATTGAAATCCTGAACTCACCCTTTGTCATGGCGGTATCGATGTATCCAGGCACAATGGCATTGACACGGATGCCGTGGCGACCAAACTCTTGGGAGAGGGCGGTGGTGAGACCTAGTTCGGTGTATAAGTATTCACTGTCATGGCATGGTTGAGTTCTTTTAACATTTTCACACACCTATTTGGCCCGCCTTGGCAGCAGCATAGATGGACGTCCCGATGACAGCACGATACGCCAGCAGGCTTGAGATGTTGATGATGCATCCGCCCTTGCGCCGCCGGGCCACCATCTGCTTCCCGACCGTCTTGCACCCCCATACGACGCTGCGTAGGTTGAGGTCCAGCAGGTGCTGGATACTTTCCTCGCTTGTGCGCAAGAGAAGGGACTGTTGTGTTTCTCCGGCGCAGTTGATGAGTATGTCAATCTGTGTCTGTTTCCCGCCGTGTTATGAAAATTCCCTTCCCTGTGCAAAGAAATGGGGTAAATAACAAGATAGACTTGCATTTTCAACCAAGGACTTCCATCCATTCGCTTCACAAACATCAAAGCAAACCGCGGCGTGCGTCTTGGGTTCAGGTCGGCCTCTAGGACCCAGCTCCTTCACGATGCGCTCGAGCTTGACCTGGTTGCGGCCCACCAGCACGACGCTGGCGCCCTGCCTGGCAAACTGTCGGGCAATGGTCTGTCCGATCCCGCCGGTTGCGCCTGTGATGACGGCTGTTCTGCCTGAGAGCGTCGGCACCTGCATGATGCGGAAGGTGAGATTGTAAGGTACCTAGTAGTGTTTCTCTAGTCAATGAGAGTACCTCTGTGTGTAATCTGTATTCAAAATGTCAAAGGGGTAGCAGGTTGCACATGCCTGCTGCAGCAACGGATGCGGGGCCATATGCATGGGTATGAGCAAATCAGCTTCAGCGTTACCACCTGGTGAAGAGAGCGCCACCAGAAGCAGCGATGAACTCTCTGTTCTCGGCGGGCCGCGGCCGAGGCCAATTGATGCAGAATTTCGCCAAGACCAGAAGCCAACGACTGCATTGCACTTCATGTGGACAGCCCTAGTAGACACCAAATGATTTGAGCAAGCCGAGTTCCTGGTCTCGACGGGCGACTGTCCACGTCACCACATCCATGTCTCACAGCCGCCATCGCACCAAAACCCCCACCGCTTCTCGTCCGCCCGCTGCTCGTTCCGGAGCCGAATTGGTGGGCATTACGACGACCTCGGCGCGGCTTCAATCCCATGAACCCCCCCGCGCGCGGCCCGGGCTCCGGCTCAGGGCTCGTTGATACCCCAGCGACGCCTGCCATCGTCGGGCCGAAGGGACATAACGGCGTGGTTGACGCCGGGTTGAAGAGTCTGCATCACTGTATGTGACTGTTCCGCGCCAATTGAGCGTGCTCCCCTCGCGCAACCCCATGATAATCCCCGCCGTGGGCCACGCTTCGAAACTCTACCCTCCCTCATCGGACTCTAGCATAGCTACAAAAAGGCGCGCCTCTCAGGTCACTTTACTGATGGCGGCAACTCAGACAAGCGAGCGCTTCCGAAATGGCGATACGACTTGCGACAGAGGCTCCTGCCCATGGTGCGGTGGGAGACCCCGTATCTGGCCTATCTCCAGAGCATGATGCGCACCCCCGCCCTCGACAGCTACTTCGCCATCACGGCCAACCTCGGCACACACACATTTTTCATGGTTTTCCTGCCAATACTCTTCTGGTGCGGCTTCTCGGAGTTTGGGAAGGGGTAGGAACGGCCGAAGCCAACACCCCACGGAGAGATAAACCTGCGACTAACCTGAGCTTGGCAGGCTCGTCCACATCCTCGCTTCGGGCGTGTTCTTCACGGGCTTCATTAAGGACATGGTCTCCCTCCCTCGGCCCCTTTCCCCGCCTCTCCAGCGCATCACCATGTCGGGCTCGGCCGCCCTCGAATACGGCTTTCCCTCCACACATTCGGCCAACGCAGTTTCCGTCGCCGTCTACGCGGTCCTCATGCTGCACCGCGAGACCCCCAACCCCACCTTCTCCCCAAGCACTGCACTCGCCCTGGAAGTCCTCGCCTACTCCTACGCCCTCTCCATCGTCATAGGCCGCCTGTACTGCGGCATGCACGGCTTCGTCGACGTATTGGTCGGCTCGCTCATGGGCGCCGCCATCTCCCTCGTCGAGTTCTATTTCGCCCCGCGCCTCAACGCTTGGCTCTACGCCAGCTCCTACCTCGCCCCCCTGGCCATCGCTCTCGTCATCATCGTCCTCGTGCGCGTCCACCCGGAGCCCGCAGACGACTGCCCCTGCTTCGACGACAGCGTCGCCTTCGCGGGCGTCATGATCGGCGTCGAGGCCGGCACCTGGCGCTTCGCGCGCTACTCCCGCTTCGCGGCCATTTACAACGGTCCCCAAGCCACGTTCGACCTGTCCCGCCTAGGCTGGCCGCGCGCCGTCGCCCGCCTCGTCTTCGGCGTGGCCGTGATTTTCGCCTGGCGTGAGGTGATGAAACCCGCCCTGCTCCGCGTCCTGCCGCACCTCTACCGCGTCATCGAGACGCACGGGTTGTCGCTCCCCAGGCGGTTTTTCGTGCCCGCGTCAGAGTACAAAGACGTGCCGCTGCATGTGAGGGACGACAATGTCCTGCCTAACGTGAGCGACCTGCCCCGGATTGTGCGGAGTTTCCGCGGGCCTGGGAGAGGAAGATCGGTCAGTATCGGCCCGCAGAGCGCGGCGGATGCGTACGAGACGCTGGCGTATCGCGAGCGGAGGAGGAGGGAGAGTCTGGAGAGTGAGAATGGCGGGAGGGGTTTGAAAGTGGCTTTGAGCATGAATGGGTTGAGGGAAAAGGCTGTTGTCGATGGTGAGTGCGTGCAGGTTTCGGGAGCGCAGCGGAGCGCGGGACGGCTGGCGGAATTTGAGGGGATGATGGAGACCGGGACGGTCGTGGCTGCTCCAACACCCGATGCGCCCGCGAAGGATAGTCTCGCGGGGGTCGATCTGTTTCTCGGCGAGGAGGATGAGCTTGGGGAGGGGGAGGTGTTCTCCAAGCTGGTGAAGCCCAGGGTGCGATATGATGTAGAGGTGGTGACTAAGTTGGTTGTCTATGCTGGTAGGTTCTACGTTTCTTATGTTTTCCCTTTTATGTCCCTGCATTCGACTGACCGATGTCTTAAGGCATTGCGTGGTTAGCCGTGGACGGCAATCTTCTCATGTTTGAAGCGATCGGCTTGGGCGCGGAGCATCTAAGCATACGATGATCAAGGCGGTCTTTATTTGCTGTGTATACGACCCGTATATTTAATTCCTGATGTCTGGCGCCGGCTTGCCACCAATCTACCTCGCTATTGATGACTCTTTCTGTGTGGGTTGCTAGAGATTGGCAGAAGAGTGTTGTGTGGGTTCTTGTAACGACTAGGAGAAGCGCTGCGGACGAGTGATGAAGCTGTCGGTACACCTCTGATCCAAGTCGATCAGGCCGAACCCCGTCACATGGGCGGAGCCCTGCTGCAAATCATCTCCAACGGAACCCCACGCGGCACCTGTACCCCAAGTAGTTCAGGGACAGCCGGTTCGTATTTGGCCTGCTCCATCTTATCTAATCTGGCGTTGACCTGATTTGCCGAAGTGATCGTGTGCTACACTACTGCCAGGTTCTGACCCTAGCTTGAAGGAAGTCTCTTTGTGTCTACTTCTTGGCTTAGCGCAAGATGGGATGGAGAAAATCTTGCTTTGAGCTATGGTTCTAGGGGATTTCCTGTCATCATGTCTTAATTCCGGGGTCTTTCACCACCGTCCACTAGGATTCTAGAGCCACAACCTGTGGCTCAAGGACTCGGACCCCTACTTGCCAGCCCGCGGTTCACAACGTCCACAACCCTGGTTTGGCCACTAGCGTATGACTCGAGATACTTAACCAATAGGGGAAGATCCCTGAGAGAGAGGTTTGAAGCTTATATACTCCGCCTTTAACTTTTCCCTAGTCCAGTCATTCCTTCGGCCTGACTTCCGTGAATGCGTTCATTAGATCCATTCCCCATTTTTTTCATTTCCATATGGCCCTTTCTCTCTTTCCCTGGCCCTATAACTATGTGTTGCACTAAAAACAAAATCAACGTTTGCCGAGTCTCCATGGGAAGAAGCAGGCTGATCTGGCCATCATGACGTCCTTCAAGATAACTATAGACGGACGGGACCAAGAAAGTATCGGGGTGTGTTTTTGAGTCCCATACTCCAGCAGTGACACTATGAATTTGAATTGGAATCAACTTGAAGTCCAATGCCCCGCAACACGAACAATGGGGTTGAAAATGACGTCCAGTTGTGAGAAGAATGCCGGATTCTGAGAAGTCTTGAGCAACCAATCATACTAGGCGATTCCATCATGCAGGCCTGTGCGTCACTTCCTACTCTAGCCTAGTGCGAGCTGGCAGATTCCAAGCCCGAAGCACAAGCGGCAAGCGCCCTGCAATGCTCAACCCTTTCCCATCGGTCACCCGACGGCGGATGATCAACCCATCAAGCCGACTCGAGTCACAGATGGCGATTCTCTTCGAGGATACAACCGAAAAACAGCGTTTTTTCCGTGCAGTGTCGCCAATCGCTCAAAAGAAGTGGAGTTCTCAGATTTTTTGAACGACATCAATTGCGGTTGTGCAGAACGGCAGTGCTTGCGCCCACTGAAACCCACCGCCTGCAGCACCTTCCCCGTTTGGTGCTCGCCCGCATCTTCCTTCTTAGCGCAGGGCCTGCCAGGGAGCGATCAACCCAGATTCCTGCTAAATCGACCCATCAATAGCAGCCAGCCAGAGTTCCCGTTGCCAACCAGCCCCCGCCTGTACTCCGAATTGAACAACCTCAAAGATTATCAGATTCCGGTCCCGCAACTGCCTTTCGCCGACGGCACTTGCGCCGCTAGGCGAATCTCTGTCGATCGGTGATACGAGAACTCGACCCTTGCTTCACTTCATCGCATCTCGACCGTGTCTTCATTGCACGCATTCGGACGCACGCATGTAGCGCCCGGCACAATGTCCATTGAAGCGATTGGCGCTCCGGCGCCCACCGTGGCCATGGACGTTGAACTGCCCGATCATAAGCCTAAGCCGGTCGGTCTCCATTCGCCGCCGGACAGTAACAATGCCATGGACGTCGACGGCAGCGACTCGGAACTCAGCGACCTCGATGAACTCGCCGGCAAACTGGACGACACGTCAAAGGATGGTCCGAAGCGTGAACCTGAACCCGAGCCCGAACCGCAGCCGGCGGCCGATGATATCGGCGAAATTCTTCCTGATCACTGGTCTGGCACAGTACCAGTGTTCAAGCCGACCATGAAGCAGTTCCAAGATTTCAAGCTCTTCGTACGCAGGCCCGCTAAGTCCGTTCCTGCTATCCCGCTAACGGTCGCATTGTAGATGGAAAAGGTCGACAAATACGGCATGAAGTCGGGCATCATCAAGATTATTGCCCCCCAAGAGTGGAAGGACTCTTTGCCACCAGTGGACGACCTCATCAAGCAGATCCGAGTGCGCGAGCCGATCAAGCAGGACATAATGGGATTCAACGGAACATACCGACAGGTCAATATCCTGCACCAGCGCTCGTACAATCTACCGCAATGGAGACAGCTCTGCGAGCAAAGCGAGCATCAGCCACCCGCGAGGCGAGGCGAGCGACGGGCCAACGCCGAGAGAAAGCCTGCTACCAGGTCTCGCGCGGCTGCCGACCCGACTCCCAGATCGGCAGCGACTTCCACGCCGACCAAGAAGCGAAGAGGCGGAAGAGTCACTCGAAGGTCGGCAAGGGCTGCCAAAGAAGAGCCCGAAGAGCCCGACGAACGTCCGATGACGCCGGTGTCGCCAGTGCCAGAAAACGACGAGGTGCTCAAGTCCGTGGAGGATGACCCTGGCGTCAAGGAGGAGGAATTCGAAGACGATGACGAGCCTCCGGTGGTGCGTCGCATGGGACGTATCGGACGCATGGGGCAATCGAAGCCGAAGACCCAGTCCGTGTCTGCGCGCCGGAAATACATCCGTCGCGAAGGTTCGGCCATGATCGATGAGGCTGCATTCAAGGACTGGGACTATCGGATGGATATTTCCGAATTCACACCAGAACGCTGCGAAGAGCTGGAGAAGATCTATTGGAAGACCCTGACATACGCTCCGCCTCTGTATGGAGCAGATCTTCCAGGCACCCTCTTTCACGACTCTGTCAAGCTTTGGAACTTGAACAAGCTGCCTAACCTCCTCGACGTCTTGGGCACCAAGGTGCCGGGCGTTAATACCGCATACCTGTATCTGGGTATGTGGAAAGCGACCTTCGCTTGGCATTTGGAGGATGTCGATCTCTACAGCATCAATTACCTTCACTTTGGCGCCCCGAAGCAGTGGTACAGCATTTCGCAAGCCGACGCCCGCCGCTTCGAGGCTGCCATGAAGAATATCTGGCCGACCGAAGCGAAAGCCTGCGATCAGTTCCTCAGGCACAAGGGATTCCTGATCTCACCGTCACATCTCAAGCAACATTACAACATCACGGTCAACAAGTGCGTCTCATACCCTGGCGAGTTCGTTGTCACCTACCCTTATGGTTACCATTCGGGATACAACCTCGGTTACAACTGCGCTGAGGCAGTCAACTTTGCCTTGGATAGCTGGCTACCGATGGGCAAGATCGCCAAGAAGTGCCAGTGTGCCCAGGCGCAGGACAGTGTTTGGGTCGACGTCTACGAGATTGAGCGCAAGCTGCGCGGCGAGGAGACTGAGTATGAGGAGACGGAAGATGAGGACGAAGAAGAAGAGGATGAAGAGGACGACACTGGTCTTCCCAGTCCACCTTCGAGCCACACCGTCAGAGTCAAAATTTCCGGTCGGAAACGCAAGCGAACGGCCAACGAAAAGGAGCCACGGGCGAAGACGAAGAAGATTCGCTTGCGGCTCAAGCCACATGTCGAGGCCCCCTGTTGTCTCTGCCCCAACGACATTCCTGGCGCCGAGATCATGAACACCGACGATGGCCGCAAAGCTCACCGCATGTGCGCTCTTTACCTTCCCGAGACGTACATTGAGACCCTGGATGGAAAGGAAATTATCGCCAACGTGGCCGGCATCGACAAGGCACGTTTGGAACTCAAGTGTCTTTACTGCCGTTCCAAGAAGGGCGCATGCTTCCAGTGCTCCCAGAAGAAATGCCCTCGTTCCTATCACGCAACCTGTGCGGCAGCTGCTGGCGTCTTTGTGGAGGAAGGGGAAGTGCCAGTCTTTGGAGAGGATGGGACCGAATACAAGGAGCAAGCGTTTGAGTTCAGCTGCCGGTTCCATCGGACCAAGAGGGAGAGGAAGCTGGATGGAGAGGTCTTGGAGGACGATCCGCGGATCCGGGAGGCCGCGAAGGCCCTCCAGAAGAACGACATCTGCCAGTTGCAGTATTATCGCGGGGAGATCTTTGCTGGCGTGGTGGTCGAGAACCGTCTGGATGAGGAGACACTCCTTCTCGACATCATCCCTAATGGGTATGTCGGCCGAGGCAGTCTTTGGGGGCGTGGACTAACAGACAATAGTGATCGGGTCGAAGTGGAATGGAAGTGGCTGCGGCTGCCCGACCCTGAAGATTTCCGTCTTCCCAAGGCTTCGCCGAATGCTATTCCGTTGCCGACTTGCAGGAAGGCACAGAAGGAGATTAACGCCAAGAGGGCCGTCGACGAAGCTCCAAGAAAAGATGACGAGTTTGTTTCCGGATTCACGTGGGCCGAGTTTCACTTGGGCGACGCGGTCAACAACCATGCGCAGGTCAAGATCGACTTTGCCAAGGAGAACCAGGTCTGGCACTACCTGGGCAAGACCTCTACAGAGGCCAAAGCCCAGTACACGGATGACCCGTCGCGACCGTGGTATAACCCTAAGGGCAATTTCCTGGATACCATACCGAAGCCGCTTCCCCCGGTGCGGATGCCTCTGGTCCCTCAATCGGGGCCGTTGGTGCCCGGAGCGTATGCAAACCATCCGCCGCCTTCAAGGGTGCTGCCAGCAGTCGCCACGGCGAAACAGGAGAAGCCTTACGTCTACAAGCCTAGGAAGCCGGTTGCGCCAAGTACTACACAACATCATGTTCCGTTCACGTCAGATATGTTTGCTGTCAGCACGCCTTCACCCACTTCAGCGTTCCAGCAGTTCCAGCCTCAACCAGTGGTACCAAGACCACAAGCCCAGCCGACATTTCACCACCACGTATTCCCTCGACATTCCCAGCCACAAGTTCAGCAGCCGCAACAGCAACAGCAATTGCAGCAGCAGCAGCAGCAGCCTTACCTTCATGTAAGGCAGCGCGAACCATCCACTTTCGACCTTCAGCCCAAGACCTCACCGGCAATGTATTCGTCGGATCGTTTCGCGCCCGTCGGAGGTAGTAATGGATTCCCGAAGCTTCTTGGCTTAACCTGGCCCCCTGCTCACATGAAATCAGGGCAATCTGTTCAACCTCAGCCAAGAGCCTGGCCTTCATCGATGGGTGCGGGTGCTCCTGTACCGCAGCAATCTGCGCCGATGACTTCGTCAGCTTTGGGATCTCCGAGTGTTGGCGGCCCGCAGGCTGGAGGACAACCACAGATGCGTGCCTACCAAAAGTACAGCTTTTTCCAAGTCAACCACAACAGGTGTGTATCAGTCCTTAAGTCTTGTACTTTGGGACAATGCTAACGCAGTGCTAGGGACTCATCGAGATACCGCACACCATATGGACAATGGGGCGGGTTCACGAACGGCTATGAAGGGAATCTCAGAGAATTTCTGATTAAGGCGCAGAAAGCGCTCTCGGGAGGGTCCAGCAAGGGCCCCATCAAGCAGGTGCCCGCCTCGTTGCTGCAGCCTTTGCGACCACGATTCGATACTCCTCCAGCGAACGCCTCTCCGTATTCGCAAATCCGCCCTCGTCCACCTGCCCAACCTCCGCAGTCTCCCTCGCCCCATACTCCGATCCCGGCGGCGGCACCGTCTCAGGCGCCCGTGTACCACAACCAGGGCCATCCGATACAAACCCCTTCCGGTGGTCAGCGCTTTGAGGTCAGGCAATTCAAGACCCAGCCACAAAGTGGGGCATCGCGGCCGCAACATGCAAGCCAGTCCGGTCATCACGTCTGGCAACCGACACCTCAGCCGGCAACTTCGGCACCTCCGCAGCCGGCGCAGGCGAAACAGCCCCTCACGAAACAGAGCCATAGCCCAATTCCTTTGCCGCCATATGTCAAACAGATGGCCGGCCTATCACCAAACGCCGTACCGCCATCTCTAGGGCAGCGTCCCAATCCACCAGCCCCACTTCCTCCGCCTCAGAATCCCTTTACAGCAGACACTCCATCAACTCAACCATTTCCACGGGCTGAAGCAACCCCTGCCCCGGGCCCTGTCCCAAACCTACAATTACACCAAAGCGCGCAACAAGGCCAATGGACAGCAACACCTGGCCAGGCCAGCTTTACACCAGTCCCAGGCTGGGCATCTCAAACGGGCGTGCTGGCACCGAATCCGGCAACACATCAATCAGCCCCAACAAACGGGCAAATTTGGTCTTTAACACGTCGGCTGCAACAACCGCCGCCGCTAGTCCAACAGGAAGCTCCAATTGCTCCCCCGCCGGCCACAGCTAACGCCGCCCAAGATGACCACTCGGCGGCGTTGGTGGAGAAGATGATGATCAACCTGAGGAGGGCGAGCGAAAACTTTGGGAGGCTGGAATCAAGGCCGGGTCATCAGAGCTTGCATGTTGCTGAGGGAGGAGGGCTGGGTCAAAGCCAGAGTCAGGGTCAGGATCAAACATAGGTGATTCTTGGCTATGCCTGGCTAGGGCTCTGGGCTGAAATCATGATGTATTGCCGGGTTGATATTGGGTGCTGTTCATCCTCAGTCCTGCGAGAATATGGGCCTGGCTTGTCTCTGGATGGTCCGTTTGGTGCGAGAAGAGGAAGGGTGTTTGTTCTTTTGGCGTGGGGATATATCCTTTCACATTCTTATCACGTCTACATTTTGGGGTGGTTAATAGGGGTAATCAGGGGCTGTTGCTTGTGTCAAGTTATGTACCTAGGTCCCGACGTAGCTACTACCTACGTGTTCTGTTTTGCGGTGTAGCGCTGTACCACTAGGCAGGTCAAGGAAGTTTAGAAGAGTGGGCCGGTGCCACGCAGCGAGGGGCTACCTGTGGTATTCATATTTAAACTGTCCTGGACGCAAGGGGTAATACGGACAGTGCTTCATTCATGTGCCTCGCCTTTGCTAACCCCAGCCACCAGGTCGAGTTGCCAAGGACGCACCGGAAGTATTCAAAACTTAAAAGACTTCGGAAGATGCATGGCATAACCAGTCTAGGGAGCCTAGACTTCAGTAGCACAAACAAGTCCGCATTGTGTGCCGCGTGGAGCTGATCTACCCATGGTGGAGGGCGGAAACCTGTAGCGGCTGGCTACGGAGCTTCGTGAGTCGGACAAGTGACGTCAGCCGACACCATGCGAGCAAGGACCCGTGATTTGTCTGCTCGTCCGGTTTTCTTGGTTTTTGACCTTGGATATGGCTTGATATAACTCATTTGTCGTCATTTGGGTTTTGGGGTCTGGTCAGACTTGAATACTTCAATGATCAATCCCCTATTTACGCCGTCTGATCAACTGTTGCGGTTACCAACCCCGGACAACACCAACACTAACAACTTGCTGTTAAGTGTTCATATCGCCTACACGCACAAAGTCCCAACACTTATACTTTTCCAACGCAATCAATCCAGAGGGGAGAAAACAACTACAAACCGGTTGTCAAAAAATAAAAAAGAAACAAAATGCCCACAGTCCTAGGCCTGACAAACGAGAAACGCCAGTCGCCGCCCGGCAGCGGGCCGCACATTTCGTCGTCGACCACCATGGGTTCCAACGCGCGCCTCGACACCATCTCGAAGCGCAACCACGCGTCGGCCCGCGAGATGGAGACGCTTCTCTGGCGCGCACTCTGCGACGAGCCCGAGACGCTTCGCGAATACCTCGCTCACGACTGCATCATGATCAACCCGCTGCTGGCCCCCGGCGGCTCGAGCGAGCCCCTGAGCAAGGAGACGCAGCCGAGCGTCGTGGACGTGCTGCAGCGTGCCGCGGACAGGAAGAAATTTACCGGGTACAGGTTCCACGGGGAGCCGTTGGTTGTGGAGGTGGATTTGATGGCAGTTGCGTTAGTGTATAAAATTAGTCTGTTTAGGTACGGGCGGAAGGGAGTTAGGGAGGTGGTGGCGAGCTGCAGTAGTACGTGGAGGCAGACGGCTGGGGCGGATTGGTTGTTGGTTGCGTTCCATGTGCAATATGCTGATGATGAGGATGAGGATGAGGAATAGGGGAGGGGGTTATCGGGTGGGATGAGGGCTGGTGTTGGGTTTCTGATATAGGTAGGATATCATGGATTGGATCTCTGGTTAGGAGTACTGGCTGTCACGTCACGTTTCATTATCAATTTTTCTTGCCCCGGCATGGGATATCTATGAAATGAAACCAAAATGCAGATAACTGGAAGCATAGGTACTAAACCATGCACGTAGGTAACTTCATAAGTCTCCATATGTTCTCCAACAGGCCAAGCAGCCAACCAAGTCCGGTTGGGCGGAATGTACCCTATCCAGCAATGAATAAAGGTAGACCTTGGGAAACGCCAAGTCGACAATATAATATCGTGTGAGGGAGTCACGGTCCTCGCAGAGTTCTTCCTTTAGGGTGAAATGTCTGCCTGCCACTGTCTGGTATGAATGTCTCTTGAGACAACACACTCGTTGAAAGGGGGACAGTTGAAGGGGTTTGCCGGCTGGCGATGACATTGGCTTCATGTCCGGCCCGCCTCAACCTCAAAGGCATAGATTGTGTAAACGCATCCTGGCGAGGTGGATGGGAACCTAATCCCCCGATAGGATGACTCAAGTGAGGCGTCCCAGGCATGAATATCAGGAAGCAGTGGGATGGGCAGTCGCACCACGAAACTTGACAGGGATTTGAGATCTGATGTGGGTTGGCCATCTCCCTTTAATGTGTTTGATAGGGGAGCGCCTCACTTTTCCACGCGACGCGTTACCTTTACACTCAACACCAATTTTCTCATTAACCCAACATGCCTCCTACTTTAAAGAAAGCTAGGGTAATCTAGCCGTTGAAGCGATTCAGAATACCTGAAACCAAGTATATGAGCCGCAGCAAAGATTAACGACGTTGCGAGCCGAACTATCGGTCGTCGACTCGCCAATATACCTGCACGACGCGATATTCTAGCCAACTCACGTAGTCTAACGGACCTGGAGGAGAAGATAATAGTTCAGTGTGTGATTTAGCTATATACCCGCGCATTCCTCCTAGGTTTTGTGGTGTAGAAGATATGGCCAACTAACTGCGGCGCGGACGCGATGTACAGTACACCCTGTCGGTAAACGCTGGGCATACAACTTTGTCAAACGCCAGCCAGAGCTCCGGACACGTTATACGCGTAGATATGATTACCAGAGGGCAAAATGCGAAGATGCAAAGGTCATTAGCGAGTGGTTTGCCCTCGTAAGGAACGTTATGGCCAAGTACGGCATTTTACCTAACGATGTCTACAACTTCGGTGAGACCGGATTCATGATGGGCATCATCTTCGCAGGCATAGTGGTTACAACTTTGGACGGCCGTAGCAAGGAAAAACTAATTCAGCCAGGCAATCGCGAATGGGCAACGGTGATCCAAGGAGTCAATGCGCTCAACTGGGCCATCCCTCCCTTCATCATCTTGGCTGCGCAGTACCATCTCGCCAACTGGTATACCGAGTGCAGCCTCCCAGACGAGTAGCGAATTGCAGCCACCGAGAACGGCTGGACTACCAATGCAGTAGGCCTTGGTTGGATCAAGCACTTCGACTTCCATACGGCACCGTGTACGAAAGGCAGTACCGGTTGTTGATCCTTGACGGCCACGAAAGCCACCACTCCACCGAATTCGAGCTGCTGCCAGTAGAACAACATCGTCATGCTCTACATGTGTCACGGCCCCCACCATGAGCCCTACACTTGGGCAATTGGCGGGCGAGACACTGTGGATTTCATGGCGAAGCGACATGACTCGCAGCAGAGAGAGGATATCTGGAGAGCGGGAGACTCAGATTGGAACTTAAAACTTCCCTCTCTCAAGGATCAGTCAGTTGGTTAGTGGTGCACGCACAATGCAGTCGTCTTGCCTGCTGCTCGTTGAGGATTCGGTGCATCTTCCTTGGTGAGCCTGTGTGTCACCTTACAACATGCCTCCACATTCTTCGCATTTCCTGCAGCCACTCGATGTTGGCTGCTTTGGACCGTCGAAGCAGGCGTACGGCCGCAGATCGAGGACTTGATATATATATATATATATATATTAACCACGTGAGTAAGCTCGAGTTTCTGTGTGCCTTTCGCGAGGCTTTCTTTGCCTTGATGATAGAGAAAAATATGCAAGGTGGCTTTGTAGGTGCTAGCCTGGTACTATACGATCCGGAGACGGTGTTTTCCTACCTGGACATAATGCTTCGTATGCTAATAACTCCGACCTTACAGCTTAGCACTAAATAACACTGGGTCTTCCAGACACTATACAATCCTCGAGAAGCTAAGTTTTAGTTAACACTCATTAAGGCTCGTATTGCCAACCATAAAAACAGTTCTCAAACTACGATGTTGGCTGCTGTGGACCAGCTTACCAAGGGTACGATGGCTGTAATGCACCAAGTGGCTCTCCTATAATCAAAGGTCTCTTCGCTCTGCAAGGCCAACGAGCCACTAAGCAAGCGATGGAGAGCTAAAATACGTATATAGCTTGGGAGGATCACTTACTGTACAGGCTGCACAGGGGGTACTAGGCCAGGGAACTGTAGGGGAGAGGAGTGCAAGAAACGCACCCAGAGGGTAGTTGTCACGGGTCGTGACAGTGCGCCCACCCGTGACAGTAGTGGTGTAGGGAAGGGTCGTACGAAGGTTCGGCGCTGTGGTGTGTGTGGCAAGCATGGCCATAACGCCCGCACTTGGCAGGAGGCTGTAGAAGTATTTGATTTAGCTGTTTCTGATGTAACTGTAGTTGGTCTCTAGTGTTGTGGTTTAGTAATTGAGGATAGTTTGTTGTAGGGTAGGTAAGAGTGAGGCTCTCGCTTATCAAATACATACGTTACTTATCAGCTAACGTTACCTTGTGTTCTTCTGCTCAATCTCTGATGTCATGCGAATGTGCAAATGTCGATGCTGTGAAACATGGACTCTCTCTCTCGGGACGTCTGGTTTGCCCGGTTAATCAGAAAACTGTCAACAATTTCCCGCAGGTTGCAGCCCTACAAGTCTGGCTGCATTGACAGGAAGCACAACATCTTGTGTCCCCACAGTCCAGGCGAAGTGAACACATTATCTTTGTAACCCGGACACATCACACGGCATCCCATCACACAGTACAACTCAACATTAGACAGCATTGCAGCTAGACAACGAACAATCAATCGGCGTGATTTCATGTAGAAGTGAAGCGCATGTAGTCCATGGAGGCGAGACAAAAATCTGCCTTACGATCGCCACGCACAGTACTTCGAAGACTCAACAGGTTGACATTCATCAAATCATATAGTCATGCATGCGACCACGGAGCGCAACACAAAGCGCTTTAGATCAGATGCACCCCTAGCCCAACCCTCCCATTACATACACATAATATCCTCTTATATGACATTTTTTCTTTTTCATTTTACACAAAAAGTGTCCACAACACCCGGCGCCACGCAGGCATGGCCGCCAGCTTGGCGCGGTACTCGTTGATGGCGTCCCAATCCAGCTCGCGACGGCCCGTGTCGACATCAATCTGGTCGGTGCGGAGCCAGCCGGTGCGCTTCCACAGGAAGCCACCGATCCAAAAGACGATAACGACGGGCATGGCGAGGTACGACTTGAAGAAGCCCTCGGCGTCGTTGTAGCCGCCGTCGACAGGGCAGATGGCGACGTAGAGCTGGAAAGAATCACAAGCGTTAATTTATTGGTTGGTTTCACTTTTGGGCGATGCAGGGGGAATGCGGATGTTGACAGAAAATAATTTACCTGAGCGATGAGACACAGAACGTTGAGCCCTAGACCAAGGTACGAGCCGTAGACGCCGCCGACGGCCTTGAAGGGAATCTCGTCGAGGGTATGGCCCTGGGCGAGCCAGGCCTTACGGAAACGGATGTGGGCTAGGCAGATGGAGCCCCAAGTGAAGAGGGCGGCCAGACCGGAGAGGGCAAGCAGCCAGTCAAATACGGTCGGGCCCTCGGCGTGGAGGTTGACGTAGGCGAGAGGGCCAAAGGCGCAGAGGAAGGCGACTGACGCCAGCGGACGGCCGGACCGGTCAATGTAGGTAAAGATCTTGGGGGCGTAGCCCTGCTGGGCGAGGGCCGTGAGGGTGCGCGAGCCACCGTAGACGGACGAGACGCCGATGGAGAGCACCGAGACGAGGATGATGACGTTCATGAACGAGTCATAGCCCTTGAGGTTGGCGTACTTGCCCACGAGGACGAAGGGTGAGGCGTTGACGTCAGCGTAGGGGTTGGCGCCCAGCAAATTCTCATCATCGTGCGGAATTAAGAGTCCAACGAAGAACAGGCCGAGGATGTAGAAGAGGGTGATACGCCAGAAGACCTGCTTGATGGCACCGGGAAGACTCTTGAGCGGATTCCTTGCTTCGGCAGCAGCCTTTTTTTTTTAGGACATTTAGTCATAACGTTCGTTTCCATGGTACGGGTTGGGATAATTGTGTCCGTGTCTTGAGGGGGAAAAAAAAGGGATTCAGGGGTGGCTTACCAAGCCGACAAGCTCAGTCCCAGAAAAGGAAAAAGCTGCAGTGACAAAAACGCTGCAGAAACCACGGAAGCCGTTGGCAAAAGCACCGGGCTCATACCAGAGGCGGGCGCCATAGTAATGGTCGTAGCGGCTACCGGAGGGGCCACCGCCGAGGACGAGGACGAAGGCGGTGATCATGAAGACGATAATGGCACAGAGCTTGAGCACCGACGACCAGAACTCCTCTTCGGCGTAGCCGAGGGTGCCAAAGATGTTGATGATGAGGATGAGGCCGAAGAAGACGGAGATCCATACGGCTGGGGAGAGGCCGAGTTAGCAACTGAGCGAAGCCCGGCCGATTTGGTATGTCAACTCACCGACGCTGATTTCGGAGTTCCAGTACCCGATGGTCATGGCACAGACGGTCAATTCAAGTGGAAGGACAGCAGCCCATTGCATAACATAGTTCCAGCCCATGGCGAAGCCCCAGGACGGGTCAATGAAGCGGGTCGAGAAGGTATAGAAGCCACCAGAGACGGGGTACATGACAGCGAGCTCGCCGAGCGCGTAAACCGTGTTGAACATCATGACGCCGATGATGAGGAAGTCGATGAGCAGAGAAGCGGGGCCCCCATTGCTGAGAGCCTTGCCGGAGCCGACGAAGAAACCGGCGCCGATGGAACCGCCGATCGAAATCATGTGCATGTGGCGCGTCCTCAGAGAGCGGTCGAGCGAATCGACAACACCTCCGCCATAGTCGCGCTTCTGGAATGACCGGAGATTGAGGCCGTTCCTCGTCAAGAAGTCTTCGTGATCGCGCGCCTGGCCCTCTGAGCCGTTGCTGAAGGCTGGAGGAGCCTCCTTGTCGGGCGTGTTGAGGCCCATGCCGCCTTTCTCTTCTGATGACATGATGTAAGAGTGTGATCAGGTCCGACCAGGCAAAGGATGGTGACGGACAAAAGAGGACGGAGCGGGACGGGAGGGGGGAGGAAGGCAGCTAATAAATGTGGTATGGGATCACACACGACAATGCGCGGCTCCCGTGAGGTGACATGCACTCCAGGGTCCGTGCCGGTGGACTCTGTGAGGACTGAGGAGGGAACGGCGGGGAATAGGGCACGGGCGTTCCAGGATCCCAGGTCAGTGAGAAGGACAGGCCAAACGAGGACACATGGGACCACGAAACCTCGGATGTAATAAGCCGGAAGCGCAGAAAATGGCTAGAAACCCCACCGAAGGAGTTAAAAAGCGTCAGACGTGCGGTTGGAGGGTCGGGGACTCTGATAGGAAGTTGCTCGATGGAGAAGGAGCCAAGCCAATACCTGGATCAGCTCAGGAGCAGAGGGGCCAACAAGCGTGGGAAACGAGCTGGCGCAGCTTCATCAACAGCCGGGGTGGCGAAAGAAGAAGCGTTGCCAATCGGACATGACGAGGATGGGGTGCAATGACGGAAAGCAACAGAGCAGCCGAGTGGTTGACATGCAGTTCGTGCAGGAGGGGGTTACGGCGGTGCCCGTGATCTGCGCGTTGGGTGTATGCCAACAGGTAGTTCAGAACAGACACACAACGAGGTCATGATGTTCATCGTGTCGTCTCGTTTGTTGTCGGTGGCTTCTTCGGGGTTGGCGTCACCGGCGGAGAGCCGACAATGATAGGGAGGACTCCTGGCAGCGCCGTTCGGAGATTCCATGTGTCAGGTGAATTGGACAGGCTCTCATCGTGCCAAGCCAGCGCCCCAGATCTTGCCCTGCCCTGCTACTGGAGTCTTGGAACGCCACCTGAAGCTTGGGTTCCCGTTGCCGCGAGCTGGCGACCAATCGCCGAGTTGTGACCAACCTGCGTTTTGCTGATGACGTTGTTCCACGGACGACACGCGACGGCCCGTATGGCATCACACTGTTCCTGAAAAAAGAAAGTTGTGTCTTTTGGTCGCTTTCTTTTCCGATCCCAGAGACGTAGAGGCTGCGTATCGTCGCACAGTCTGCAGCCGGCCAGCGTCGATATTGAACGGCAGGGCCGGTGGGCGGGCAATCCCTGGTAACACAGCGCACGCTGCTTGTCCCTCAGAGGCACAGGCCAAGCCGGCGCTATCCCGGCGCCGCTAGCAATCGCCTGCGACTCGTGGCGTTGCCGGCAGGACGGCGGCCACATTTTCCATCTAGGGAAAATGCACCGAATAGCGGAGAGGGCAGGCGGCTTGAGAAGAGTCTCGCTCTGCCTTCATTCGCTGGCCGACCGGAACAAGGCTCCATGGCTTGGCCATCCTTGGAGTGTCTTGCCAACTTCCTGTCATGGAAAAGCTTGGCCTCAACCCTGGCTTCTTGGCCCGATGGATATCTGGGGTAGACGACTCTGGCACGGCTTGGCAAATGCCCACTTCAGGGAACCAGTATTAGGATCATGGCAGGTGGATCTTGGCGTAGGATTGCCAGTCTTATCAACAGATGCTCGGCCAGACCGCTCTGGGTGTTGCAAGTTGGTGGATTCTGGGAAGTCCCTGTGTGATAAGGAAGATTGCAAGCAGATAGGCAGCAGGCCGTCATCCCGCGCCAGTCTTCTTTCCTGTCTTTGTACTCCACAGATTGTGTTTTTACGCACAAATTTGTATTTGACAAGTTGGAACTGATGAACTGCTCTTTGCGAGCCCAGCCCAAGATCAAGGCGTGGGAAGGCGATGGGGGAATGGACTGCAACAAGGGGAGGGACCGACCCATAAAATGGGGCTCAATCACGGATTACACTAGTTCACCTTAAAACAATGCGGGGGAAGCCACGGCGGGAATTTTTGATACCAGAAAAGGCGAGACGAGTTCAACATCATGCACAAACCAACCATTGTCTTGGCAATGGCTTCTTAACAGCAGATTCCTGGCGTCGTGAGGCACTGCCAGTGGCTTTTTAATCAGCTGATTTGAGCAGTGGCATGTTCGACCTGGTTTTCACATGTAATCTTGGGCATGGCTGGGCACGCGACATTTGTCTGGGCCAAGGCGCGTCGATGTGAAGAACGACGTGGGTCAATCACCAAGACCGGCGCGGCCACGCAGCATCGTTTGGGGATGGTTCAGAATCCTTCGACCCGCCTGTCAACCGCGGCTTTTCTCTCTGTTGCGGTGCAGGTGACACCCAACACCCAGGGACGTCTTCCGCAGCCCCGGCACTCCCGTCCTTCCCGTTCGTGGAGAAAGGGACGCATGTCCCACGAGCACCAAAAAGGAAGGAGAAACAGGAACCTGGTAACTAGTGCCCAGACCAGCTTAAATGCGAGCATTCCAACGTGACGGAGCGAGGCATTTGGCACTTTCCCTCCTACCGTGCGTATTCGCTTCTCAATTTATTGCCATTTTGTTGTCCCAGCAAACCAGTTAGATGGAGGTCGCCATATCTTGAGAGCTCTCAGCAACTGGTCTCAAGTGTCCCTCGAGTCCTGTCAATGTCGGCCCATTCCGCCTGCAGGTTCCCATTTTCGAGTCCGATTCAATCTCGAACTAATCCGAGGGTTGCGTCAGACGTCCATCGCTCCTATCAAATTCGGCCCGTTCATCCCAAGGCCGGAACGCAAACTGTTGATAATTAGCACATTTGACCCCCATGCCAAGATCAGCCGTTGGGAGGAAGCCTCGGCATCGGCCACCGCGACACCATGGTGTGAGAGTCCCCCACGGCCTGACGGCTCGTCCGAAGCCACAGACGTCAACACCTGAGCATCTCCCCAATAACGGTGTGCTTCGAAGCTTGTCAGAAATGCGAAGTCGAGGCCGAGAGACTATCATGGGGAGGTTTCCGCCATCCTCCAATATCGCCAAATGTCACCCACTTTGCTCGGCGCTCAGCTATTAGCCTATTTGGCGCCCAGCAGTCTCAGTCCTCGTTTGCGTGCTGAATTGCCATGTGGTCTCGGTGAACACACAGTCATGTTGAGCATCATATCTGAGAATGTAAACATCTATGTGATGGACATGGTAGGGCTTCAGCTTCAGTGTCTGCCAGCCTCCTTGCTTCGGCGCGGTCCAGTCCGGAGTTTCACCCACGCGCACCTGCATGTAGGTGAACCCATCGACGTAGGCACATCCGAAACAGGCCATCTACCATGACGGCATGCCGTGTTCGTCTCACGCCCTGGTGGTCGGGTCGGCACGGTCGTACAGCTACCGACCCGAAGGGCCGGAAGTCGGAAACGGGCCGCTGAGTCTGCCAGTTCCAAGAAAGCAGATCGGCAATCTGATGAGGGAAGGAAGAATTTGATCGACCGCACCGGATGTACGGATAACGGTCCTGCCCTTCGTGGCACGTCCCGTGCAGCCTTCCATCGCGCCGATCGCGGCCTGCAGCAGGTGTGAGGAAAGTGAGACACACACCCTGAGCTAACAGCCGGGGGTGAATTCATCATATCTGAGGATGGTTGCCGGAACTATCGAGAGGTCCGAGGGCAGCGATAAGCAGCCGTGACCGGACAGGTAGCTCCATGCCTGATCCATGTAGTTAGTTAGTAGTTCACTGACAACCCGAGTATCTGGTAAGGGCAAAATTCAATGCCTAGCCGTTGCTGTTGCTGTCTAACCATTTCAGGTTCTTCGAGTCACAATGCCACAACTTCAGGTTTGACACCCGGCCCTCTAACATGGATAGACATGGACAGACATAGGCAGGCATGGACAGACATGGACATACGTTGTGAAGACGGTAGGTCCTCAGAGGCCTTTTAAGCCCCCCTCACTTGAAATGCATAACGCCTGGTCAGCCAGGAGGGATAGCTGGTACTTACTAGAGCCCTCACAGCTTGACAGCGAACGCAATCTAACAGTCACGATACTCTATCCCATGATACGCGAACATCACTCGTTCCGTCCCCACATTGCTCAGTCCTATGCCGCGATCGGAAACTGTGACAGCATATGTAATACGCGCCTGGGCGCAGCCCGCCTCAGGTTTGACTTTACTTGTTTGGCGAAAATGCCACTAAGCTGACTCTTTTCAAACCCATGGCCACCCAGCTGTGCTGCCCCTTGTGAGCTGTCGTCCGACAGCCTTCGATGATAGTTGGAGCATATGCCATCGCTAACCATCACACTTGGTGTAGTCAACCACAATACGGTGCTTCTTACACTGGGCACTTTTGGCTTGGGATTTCTCTAAGCCTTAGGGTTCATGAAAAGCTATACCAACCGGTCCGTCGATATTCAGGCAAGTTGCTAAAGAGGTGGGCAAGTCGACCATACGCCTATGACCACGGGCCACTTAGGTACCTACCTAGCTAAGGTATTTGTCAACTTACCTAAGATACCAGTGTAAGATGGATCCCTGGCATAAATGGTGTCTCCTGGGAATGGATAGAAGTCCGTACCTATTCAATCTCCATCAATCATCATCAGCATTCGAGTCCTCCTTAATTAACGTATCAACTACTATTTCTCCCACTGCAGCTGATGCTGTGAGCGAGTGGACAACGAGTCATGCGCAATGATCTCAGTATCCCTGACCCTGACAAGATCTTGTAAGTAAAGCCAGGAGCACATTCGTGGCCGAGGGCCCATGATTGGCAGCCATCATTGTTACTCTACAATGGGCTAAGGGAAAAGCTGGCCTTTTTGTCGTCTTAGGAGCAAGAGTATGTATCAAGAACTGCGGGTGACCTGGACTTGCTCCCAGTACTCAACAGGTCTTGTAGGCTCATATTTTCTCCACTATAAAGATTCGCTCCGGTGAGTCCAGTCCAAGGCCATGCACTACTCCAACAGTTGGTATGACTGCAAATGGCATCGACAGCCACGAGTGGCTGCACTTGCCTGCCAGCATGCTCACATCGACCATGGACTAAGAAGGAAGCTAGTCAGCTCATCGTTCATTGTAACTCATCGTTAAGGATTCTATCGCTGGAGCCTTAGCGACTGATGCTCCCTCTGTCCCACGATGCCTAGACTTGACTTGATGGGCGCCAATCTCGTCGCCCTCCCTACAAGCCCCGTACTCGGGAGTTAGTACTCCGAACAATTCAAACAAAACCCTCATTTCACAGTTCGTGCATGTTGCACCGCAACGGCAGCAGATCCAGTTAAAAGGATGCGAGATCATGTCCGCAGGTGCCCGACGGCTATGCGTTCGCCCAGAATTTAAGCTCGAGTTCCAGATTTGGTTTACCCGAATCGATCTCACTGGCCCTGCCATGGTGAGAATTTCCCATATTCGCTCCATCTCGACGTGAGAGGGACACGCAGCCAACTGGATGGCGTTGAACAGGCGCCGCGTAGCCGTGATAATAACGGCGCATGGCTAGCGGGGGTTGAATGATTATTTCGTTGGAGTGAATGCGGTTGGTATTCAGTTGCAATGCACATATGCCTGCTTGAAGGGCACGAGGGGCTATTGAGTAACTAGACAAGGCTCACGATCATGAGCTTCAACATAGGCCTATATTTTATAGACCTTTAACGTAGTCGCTTGTGTCACAGTTATATGTGGCTTCAATGGTCATGGACGTTGCGGCCGACTCAGCATTGAGTCTGATTGCTGTGTCACGAGCACACTAGAACAGGGGCCGGATTTGGTGAGGAGGTTGATGGCAGGGGATACTTGGGCGACGCATGCCACACTTGCAGAGCTGGCATGCACTTATGGCATCGGTTATCAGGACAAAGTTGGAAAGCTGGCTGGTTGAGAATGTACTCTAAGCTATGTACTTAAAAGCGGGTACCAGTAGACTTCTCCCTTTCTTCCAATCAAGTAAGGTACCTATACTAGGTTCCATGCGCACCGACCCCAGTCTATGCTCCAGAAGTGCTAGTCGCAATGGCAGCAGACATCATGCCCTCAGTTCGAGCATCGAGTAGTTGTGTTTCGATAGATATGACCGCGATAAACTCCACGGCGACATGAGAGGGATACACAGCCGATTGGACGGTGCCGATAACGGTGACCGTAGTCGAAATATTGAATGCGCATGGTGAGGAGGTGGTAGAGCAACCGTTGTGTTGCTGGCGCCTGGTCACGGTTGAAGCATATTGAGTGGAGTTCTGCAAAGTTGGAGAAGCCGAAGAGCAACTCAATGGTACCTCCTCCTGACCACCCAGTGGCCACGGTTCTTATAGACTTCAGTTGTACCGCTGGAGACTAAGGTACCTAGAGAGAGCAATGCTTCCAGGTGGCCCCTGACTGCCACCGATGGCTCAGCAGTGAAGCCAATAAACCAGCATAGTGGCCGTGTGCCATGTATCATTTCATTGACCCTCGGTACCAGGTAGGCAGTAATGACGGCTGCAAAAAGGCAAGCAATGTGACTCAGGGCACATGCGTGGCAGTGATCAGTCCACGGTGGTCATCATTGCTGGCCTAGCAAGACTAAAGAGACCGGCTCGTCAGATCCCAAATCTTCAGAGAATGCTTATGCTCGTTGTCTTCCGCCTTAGGCATTTAATGTATTCCCTCGCCTGCACACCCAAAACCCCCCGCAATGGCAGCAAACCCAGTCAGGACCTTTGCTTCTATACGCGCGAGTCCCCGCAGTCGCACCATCCGCTCCAATCCCAGTCCATGCTCTCGATAGGATTTCTGGAGTCGTTCATTACGCCCGTGCAACGCCATTTCCCGCCGTAGATTCTCCCTAGGCACGGGGAGAGGTATGCGAGACCGGCCGGGTGCCCGCGGATGGGGTGGAGACGTTGATACCACCAGAAAATGTTGTTGCTCTTGGGGCCTCGTAGTTGATTGTTCAGGTTGGGTATGTGGTGAGAAATGAAGGGCCTGCTGTGCTTTGTTGGTGGCGACGTTTCCTGTTCCAGTGAGTTTTGATGCTGTGATAGCTCGCCAAGTTGGCCAGGAGGAGCCGAGATGACAGGGAGTTCGTAAGGATCGGATGTTTTTGTACTTTGAAATTGCAACTTCGAGAAATATTTTAAATGCAGCCAATATGATAAAGGCTTTAGTGAGGAATCTTTTGAACGCCATAGTAGTTTGACGTTGCTGGAACGAGATATTCGACACCCAAGATCTAGGGAGCGAGCTGTTCGTATTTATAAGCTAGATGGCAAGTCAACTGGTACCAAACAGAGAGGGGAAATACAGATTACATCCTACCTGCTGCTAGTTACTTTGTAAACATGGCAGCCACATGACTCCGGTGTACTGGCTGTAGTCGGGTGTCTCCGTGGCAGCTTCATGTTGTTGACCAGAAACCCCTGCCATAGATCACCAGTCACGACAAAGCAGACACACTTCTCACTGACACCTGACCATCCTATCCGCCGACATCCACGTTGACAAACAAAGTCATGACCCTTCCACACCCACCAGACCCCTTTCGATCTTTACCGTGTCCCAAAACTCCTTCCCATCCCCAGAGTGCACCCAGTCAATCCACATCACCCCCCTCAAGACAGCCCTGACCTCTTCCCACCCGGACTCAGCCAGCCCCAACGCAGCCAGCGCCCTCGCGGTTGCTGCCACAAGCGCCTCCTCCTCATCCGGCCACCTAAGCACCGATATCCTCGCCACGAAACAGAACCAAAGCTCAACCATTCCCGCCTGCGGCAATGACGGTTTCCTCTCCGCCTCCCCCTCACCTCTACCAGCCTGCGCCATCGCCAGCACACACTCCCTCATACGCCTCGCCAAATCAGTATACCGCATAGGCAGCTGCTTAATCTGCAAGAATGTCGTGGTGGTGAAGGCAAGCATGCCAAGCCGTAGCAGCAAGCGGGCAGGCTGGGCGATACTGCTGCTGCTGCCGTCCACAAAACCTGTCTCTGATTCTTCCCGTTGATCTGGCTTCTCCTCATCGGCGTGAGGTTGGTGCTGCGATCGACTCTGCCGCTCGTCGTCTTCGTCTCGCAGCGCCAGCAAGCGGTACTGGACCGAGACGAGGGTTTCGGTGTATAGCTTGGCTGGGATTTTGCGGCCGGTTTGGAAGGCCAGGTTGGCAGCGAGGGAGAATTCTTGCAGGTCGAGGAGGATGTTTAGAAGGCGGGGGTCACAGACGCCGAGATTACGGAGGGCGGTTTCGGTTAGCAGGCGGAGATTATTTGGGGGAAGAGTTGTTGAATTGTTATCGCTTTTGGTGACTGATTCGTTCGGTGAGTTGTCGTTGCGAATGGTCGCCTTATTTGACTGTTTGTTTTTGGAAGGAAGTAGATAAGGGTCCCATGAGAAGCCTTCCGAGAAGAATAGGGGTCTGGACCCTGTGCTGATGGCGATACCAAGATCCGCTCTGGAAGATTGGGAGTCAGTAAGAAAGTAAGTAGGCTTGACATTGACAGAAGGCTGCTGCGCTTACCGTAGGACTTTTGCTTGGAGATCCATGTGATTTTGAAGCGCGAGGATGCCGCCCCGGATGTTGACCAGCTGGTACAGACCCTGCAGGTGATTCTTGGCTGCCGCGGTGTCGTCCATCACATCCGATAGCATTACCAGAGTCAGCACGGTGGAGATGGTGGAATTGGAGGTTGCCAGTTCGTCATCAGCGAGGTGCTCTCGGAGTGTCTGCAAGGTTTTGTTGAGGTAGTAAATGACCTTTGGCCCAAATTTGGCCTCGCGGACAAAGTCGAAGAAACCTTGGGTCGAGCATAGGACTGAGTGGAGATATGCTTGGTCATAGGTCATGTACTCGAGCCATTGCGAGTCGCTGGGTTGGACACAAGCTTCGACTGGGTATATGCTTCGCTTGATGACAGTAAACCCTGGCCATAACGCCCGTGTCAGTGCAGGAAACAAAGCAGGACGGTGGCATCTCGGGCACGAACACCTAGAAGCAAGATCGACCATGTAAGGCTGCATCTGGACGGCGAACTTGACCTGGGTCAGGTCGTTTCCGAGGGGCCGGGGTACCTTTGCCCCCACCGCCTTCTGCCCACCGGCATGCAGATGGTCCGGGCCGTTGATCCATGAGCCCAGGCTATCGGCATCTCGCCGACGGCGGTGTTTGCGATTCTTTCCACGCATCACATGACTGCGAATCTGTCTCCTGATTTCAGCGTCCGGTTTGGCCGAAGACGTCGTCACTATAATGAACGGAGCCTCGCCAGGCACCGCAGTCCGTGTGCCAGACTGCTGACTTGGCATCGCCGGAGGTATGCAGGATTTGAAAGGTGCCGAGATGGAAGTGCGAAGGCGAGAGCTCGGAGTGCGGGGCCTCTGCAGCGGCGAAATAGCATGGATTCCGGGACCTGCCGACTTGGATTCTGCCAGACACCAAAATGGACAACAACGTTCGGATATCGGCGATCGACGAGCAACAACAGAACACACAAAGAATGTCGCCGAGAAAGCATAAGCCGAGAGAAATACACCAGGGGACAACTCAGCGTGTGACTGAGCTGGAGAAACGTACAATGTGTTGCTTAATTTCGGCAAGCGCATAGGTCGGTGTGCAAGCTGCTCGACCGAGGTTGAAACAAAGCTCCCGTGAGCAACTCACGGCTGCCAAGACCCGAATAGTTGCTGTTTCAGGAAAGGTGGAAGCAAGGATCGACGCCCCAGTATGGGCCAAGACTCTACTACTGGTCCACCTTAGACCCTAGCTCCATACACGCGTAGTGTAAGCAACGCTGGAGGTGGACTTATCTCCGGAGTAACCCCGGCCAGAGCGACTCCTTCGTGACCTCACAAGATGAGCTTTCTTGAGTTCTTGGCGGATGGTCCAAAATACCTTAGTGTCTGACTACACAGTATCCCTTAGGGCAGGTCATTCTCGAGCCTTGCCCAGCCCACACACAAGCCCGGCTTTAAAAGATCCTGCATGTCCGGTCACTGCTTTGCAGATAGCCACTAAGCCAAGACAATGACTTATATCCCAAAGCGGATAACGACCCAGAAGCCGCTCATCACCTCCGAATCAGGTTTGCTCGGTACCACGACTCAACGCCCACAGCGGAGACATGGCTTTACAAACGTCGAACAACGCCAGTGTAGCTGGTGCGGCGTTCCACCAGAAATGACCTTGCGGTTATAAAAGCTGGCCGGCCCTCCCCGTTGTCATCCCCTCGGAATGAACTCGCAGACTACAGAAGCCATACAAATCAACTTGAGGTGGGTTGTGTGTTAGCGCAACATAGGTAATTACAACTCTTATCTTCTTTCACCTTCATTTTCTTATATGCTTTTCTTCCCTTCCTCTCATCTTCCTATTTGTCTTTGTCTCTCATCTTTGATCTTCCCGTTCTTTTCTTACTCCTGTCTTCAGTCCTCTTCTATACCTTATCTTTCTTTTGATCTTTCTTCCGATTTTCTTACTTCTCTTAGCTTTCATTTTTCCATTCACCTCAAGGTAGCACCCGCCACGTGCCGCGCTAACAAACGAACCAGGGCTCGGTTGTAATTAACTCCGACTTCAACTAGATTTTCCCCAGAGAGCCTCAGCCACAACGCCACTGAGACCTTCACCAGGACAACCACCATGTCTCCAATCGAGTCTAGATCCCTCGCCCTGCGGCCGCACAAATCCCCGGCCCACATCTTCGTCAAGTCCCAATTCTGCACCAAGCCGCAACGCCTTACTCTCACGCCATCGACCTCCCTCGCCGGCAAGACCGCCATCATCACGGGCGGCAGCACGGGCCTGGGTCTTCTAGCCGCTCAGCACTTCCTCTCGCTTGACCTCTCGCGCCTGATTCTCGCCGTCCGCAACCTGGCCAAGGGTGAGAAGGCGGCCGCCGGGCTGCGCGCCAAGCACCCCCGCGCAACGGTCGAGGTGTGGGAGCTCGAAATGAGCGACTACGACTCCGTCCTTGCCTTTGCCCAGAGAGTGGACGGCGAGTTCTCGAGTACCGCCGCGGCCGAGGCCGGCGGGTCCACGGACAGGAAGCGGCTGGACATTGCCGTTCTAAACGCCGGCATGGTCGCCGCCGAGTTCACGCGCAACAGGAAGACGGCGCACTGCGAGGTTGTGCAGGTGAACTACCTGTCGACGTTCCTACTTGCAATGCTGCTGATGCCGGTGATGAGGGACAGGGAGGGGAAGAACCCAGGCAGGCTGTCGATTGTGAACTCTGGGGGGGTGTATGCCGCCAAGCTGCCCAACCGGCACAAGAGGCCGTTTTTGGCGTCGTTTGACGACCTGGCCGTGCAGCCGTGGGACGCCATGGAGCGGTACTTTAGCACCAAGATCCTGGGCATGTTGTTCATGGTAAAGCTGCTGGACTACCTGCCCTCGGCGGACGAGTTGGTGATGAACCTTGTTGATCCAGGTTTCTGCAAGGGAACCGAGCTACATCGCGAAGGCAAAGGGCTACTGGGCGCCGTCATGTCGATGGCTAAGTCGCTTACAGGGCGCGAGTTGGAGGATGGTGCTTGGACCTATGTCGATGCTGCTGTTGTCCAGGGCAAGGAGTCGCATGGCTGTTTCATCATGGACTGGGATATTCGCCCGTACGTTTCACCGTTCCTGCTTGCCAAGTTTCATTAGCTGACTACTGTCCAGATTCCATTATGTCGTCTATGAGCCGGAGGGGCCAGCCCTGATGAACACACTGTTCGAGGAAACAATGACGGAGCTCGAGTTTGCGGGAGTCCGAGAGGTGCTGCAGAGTCTGAAAAGCAAGTGCTGAGGCTTTGGACTGATGGAGGGATGAATTTCGAACCAAGAGAAGGACAACTACTTGAGCGACATGAGTGATAGCGATAAATACAACATGAAACGATTCAAGGAGGACACCCAGGAGAGAAACGTGGCTGAGAAAATTGAGAGTCGTAAAAGAGAGATAAGCAAGAAGAGGCGGGAAAGGAAAGGAAGCTAATCAGAGCTGTGCCGTTCCTCATTAAGGGGTGACTCAGGTGTCTAATATATGCTGCGTCCCTGCTGTTCTCTTCGGTGACGATACCAACGCCCCGGGGAAGTGTCACCTTGACCTCACCTGGAGGTCTCAGATGTTGCTCTCAGACGAACCAATGGCCATCTGCCGCCGGTGTGGCAAGCGTCAGTCGAGCTGGACCTGTACTACCAAAGATAAGAAAGGAGCACAAAAAAGAGAGAAGAGAAGGCAATTCTGTTTCATAAACTCAACGATTGAATCTCTCCGCCCGTCGCTGCCTCCGTCGCAGCTGTTTTACTCTGCATTGTGACATCTCAGCAGCGCCAAAACCTGGCACAATGCGCCTGCCCTCAGTCGAATTCAGGTCAAACCACTTGGTGCATTGCATGTGAACGCAGGCATTAGTATCCTCGCTGTTGGAAATAATAGCTTCCTGGGCCTCTTTGCCCTTGGCTTTGAGGTACTCCTTGTTCCGAGGACCAAAGTGGACGTGTATGAAGCGAACCTGGCTATTGACTGCAGATGAGAAAGAAGCTGTGGAAGCTGTCATCTCAGCATATCTTGAACTAATGCACTTCGAAGAATGGAGAGGAATAGAAAAGCGAAAGGGCCGAGACGACGGAAGACGGCAAATGTTGGCAGAAAAGAGGAAACACAAAAGACAGAAAAGGTGACCTAAAACTCACAAAAAGAAAGACGAAAGGAGGGAAAAAGATAACTACAAGAGAAATAGGAAAACCCAAAGACAAAGAAAGGGAATGATACAAATAGGAACGAGAATGGAATAAAGCTAACTAAAGAAAGAAGGCGAAGCAGAAGGAAAGAAAGGGAGGGAAGGCGTAGTACCTTCGTCTAATACTATAGCTCAAGTCAGCTGAGATTCGGGAACAGCTTGGCGGTAGTTTTCTCAGCCTACTAATGGAAAAACAGCTAAAATATAAGCTAGCTGACAAGGTAGGCCTCTAGATTGTAATACTATAAACAAGAACCGTATTCGACCTGGCTATATTGATTCGTCTTCTTCTAGTTTAGAAAGACGATGAAGGTGTCACGGGTAATGACAGTGTGAGGTTCATGTGCGCAACTCCTGGTTCGACTGGACAGTTCGAACCACGGTCCCTCTTTTGAGGGTGTTACGCAGTGGTCAGTTGCGCCCACCCATGACAGAAGGCTTAAGTTAAGATACCCCCTACCTCTGTTTTAATGCCCTCTTTCGGCAGATCCAGGTAAAAGCAGTTGGTCAACTTAAGAGGCAGCCTAATACTTGACCATAGGAGTATATAGTTAATAAAAATGAAGTTAACGTTCATCTAGAAGCCGCTAGTTAACTTATTACTACCGTGAACTTTAACACAGGAAATCTCAACACTGCAAAGTCGTGGCAGAAAAACGATAGGCGCAGTTAAAAGCCCAGGCCCAGAGCATCAATATTCTGTGTACCATCCCTTGGCTTTCCTAACTGCGGCCAGCCGGTTCGGCATTCCGTTCATCGGCTTATCGATCAACGGCTGTGGGATAGCCTCCCACGCCACGCGCAGGCATTCTTTGAACCTCTCGATATCCAAGACGTTTTGCTCTTTCCTTTCCACGTCTGCAGCCCATCTCTCTTAACCAACTGCACACTCGGGAATCGCAACAAGCTTCAGAGTCTTTTTCTGTCATTGCATGGACTCTCTGAATAAGATAACACTTCGTTCATCGCATTGTTCGACACCGTGCAGGACCTGCAGAATTAACCAAGCAGCCATGCTGCCCGTCGCCGCTCGAGGTTGCCTTTTCAAGTCCGGAACGAACCTCCACATCCGTTCTTCATACCAAGAATTCTGTGCTACCGGAACCGGGGTCAATCAACGCTACCCTGCGCGAAAGTTGCCGCGCTCGCCTCTACGTACGCCCCATCGACTGGACCATGGACCAGCCACGTCTTTCGGGGTGCCATTACGTCAAGAAATTGCACCCCGATCCAGCCGAAGTCGATGGCACCGTGGCGCGTACCGAGAAGGCAAAGACGACAAAGCAAGCAGTCTCAAACCCCAGCAACAGTGACTTCGTTGGCCAACTACCTGCGAACGTTCGGCTTTAGGTATTTCATGACGGGATCGTTCGCTGACTTGCTTGACACGTTCGATATCTGTGTCTCAAGGTGAGTAGTTGTCCGCTGATGCCGTCCCTGCTCTAATTCGCTGCTGACGGGCAACGATTCGACAATGTTTTGCGCTTCTTTGTCGGGAACCGAGTCGTTGCCCGCATCCGGACCGACGGGATCCTTTACTCTGGACCGACAACCCCATCCTGGCATACCTATCCTGGCATACCTCGGTTCCCATGAACTCGAGTCCCGCCGGCAAAAATATATCTACGGAAGACCCAGCCGCAGGTCCAACGAGCCCATTGAAGAGCTCCAGGAGAAGAGATCCGCTCAATTTAGCCGTCGAAGGGGAGGGAAGACCCTTACATCGTCGCGATTATGATTGCTATGGCTTAAGAGCAGAGATGGGAGCTACAGCACCCGATGCCTAGAAGCTATCCCAAAGCACAAACTCCGCCTGCTGATTCCGACATGATCGACGCGTCCTCAATTATTCCGACTTCTTTCCGGATACGTGCATTTCTCCGTATTAAAGCTTTCGATTTTCAGATGGCTGATAGCGATCAACGCCCACGTCATCATCGAACCCAAGCCAAGTTCACGCTATTTGTACATGTACAAAGCCACGATTCCCTCGCTTTCCTCAAGAATTTGATTCACCGTCCCGTTTTACACCAAGCGAGCAGATCCACATTGAGTACAGCAAGCTTCTTCTCAGAGATCCGAGAAAGCTTTTCGAAGACTTGCCTCGTATGCTCGACCTGACACACGAAAAGTGTCAGGGGTTAGGCTCGGTAAAAGCGGATAAGGAGATGGAATCGCATTACCAATCTGATATTGAGGACAGTCCACCCCCGGTGGACAAGCCAAGGGAAAGGAGGCAGCGGACAGAGGCAAAGGAGAAACTGATGATGCCAGCTTCCGATCAACACAACCAGCCCTTCTACGACGTCACAACAGACAGCCCGCACGGATAAGGCGTTGGATTGAAGACTTAACGGGAAGAAAGAGGACGGCTTAGGGTGGCAACGTTTGTGGTGTAATCATTGAAGGTTGCATATATGGACTGATCATGGATGACGCGGGTGAAAAGGGCCTAGAGGTGTGCTTTCACCTTGGTATGGTTTCAGCGCTTGGACCGACAGCCAATGACAAAGTAGCACCGTGGCTGAGCAGCTCTCTTGGCCTCATCTTCCGCAGTTGACAGTGAGTCGTCAAGGGACACGTGGGTATTAAACCCTGACGCCATGGCAGGTGGCCGAGTCCCTACTAGGCACATGTAGGGCTCAGACAAACTAACTAAGTGGGGGTGAGGCATAAGCCTTCTGTCATTAACCAGATTCAAAGTGGGAGCTCAGAGACTGAACGTGACTGTATCAAGTCCGCTCCTTTGTTAGGTGTCAGCGTGTAAGGTCAGGTGGTCGACCTGTTGGAACTTATGAGTGCTATCAATGCAATTCTGGGCGGGCACCGGGTCATGGTTGGCAATTGTCAGCTGAGCTACCGTGGCGTGCGGCATGGCAGCGCGTGGTGGCAGGGAATTGGAGTCTCTAAATGAGAAGTTCAAGTTACCTTACACTAACTTCGTTGAGACCCTCGCAAGCAACCGTTGGAGTGAGAACTGGCATCATTCCCATCCTCTCACCGTTAGCTCCCTCTGCGCTAGCACTCTAAGCTTGAATCATCATCAACAATCATCACCCAATCCCCAAGACTTCGAGTCAGCGCTCTGCCAATTTTGCCAATAAATGTTCCCTGTCTGCTCAAAAGGGTCCAGAACTGGTCGCTCTGAGGACCAAAAACAGCACCCTTTGAACAACAACGAAGACAAGAAACTGTCGCTAATGTGGGGAGCCCGAAAACGCGAATCTGAAATCCGGTGATTGACTCTCTTTTGGGTCGAACTGCTGACTCAGCAGCGCCTAGGTCACGTGCAATTGCCGTTTCAGGAACTGAAACGGTAGGGAACGTGTATGGATCCGTACGTGCTCAGTTTTCACTACTGTACTCCGTTTACTAACTCCGTTTTCATTCTTCCTGAGGTGTGATCCTAACATCGCCTTGCGATCGCAAGTTCCACCAACACGTTTGCAAATCTAATTCTTAGCCAACCAAACGAGTTTGCGACCCTCATCCTGCATATCTTGGCAGACTGTCAGGCGCAGCAGCTGAGTTCCAACTGGACGTGCGGGGTAGCTCACAATCTGGACAACCCACTTTTTTCCATGGTGCAATCAGCGGCTGTCGGCCGCTTTCTCGTTCAAGAGTTTGTCAGACCAAAACTGGGGCCGACCCTACGGGCCTAATCCCCTTCGCAGCGGAAGTGCGCTCGACGGCCGCAACGAAGGCCTAGGAGGTCGAGCCCTTCCCTGGACACGACTGTCTTCGCCGACCGCTGCGTGCAGGCGCAGAGCTGGACGTAGTCGGCGCTCCAGCACGTCGATTCAATCTTTGCGAGCAGAGCTGCACCGGCTGCCTGCTTTCCAGCCGTCGCACTCTGCGAACCACCAGCGATAATATGACCCGCAGCAACCTCAACCCTATCGCCAGGCAGCCGGTGATTATCGCCAACCGTGGTCTTTACCGGGGCTTCTCTTCAGGGCCAATGGTTTCCTGCTAAAGCTGAACTAGAGGCAGACATCCCAGATTGGAAGTATGACTACAGTCTCACGGGCTGGAGCAATAGCCAGATTGCCTTGAAGTGGCTAAAGGAGGTGTATCTACTACAAACCAAACCTCAAGGTGACGAGTGGAGGCTATTAGTCCTCGACGAGCATTCCAGTCATACAACCGGCGACTCCATGGCCACAGCTTGGCTAAATAAGGTTCAGTTGGTTTATCTGCCTGCTCACACCTCCCACAAGACTCAGCCTCTCGACCGCAGTGTCTTCTCAGCTCTGAAGAACTACTTCCGGCAAGCTACCAAGGCCCTAGCAAGCTTCACAGCATCGGCTGCCGTGAACAAGCGACGGTTCCTCTATTGCTATAGGTGTCACGGGCGGGACAGGCTGATAGTCTAATGGCAGTTGTATTCGGGCTAAGCTACAGTCTGGGCTCTATTCCGTCAGGTACGGGCAGGCTTGATTGTCAAGACGTAGCTCGAGGAGCTACGAACAGATCTCGCGGCAGCGAGGTGCAGGATCTTCAACCCACAGGGGCCCGTGCTTCCCACATGCCGGGTTCCACCCGTGGGTCCTGGCAGGCACGGCGCAATTGCCGTGACACCAGCAGGGTGTAAGGGAGGGCATGGAAGCTAGTGGACGGTTGACAAGGACTTTGTTGGCCAAGGCAGGCAAGGCCTCAGATGCGAAGAACGCCGAGATTACATCTTTGAAGGCCCAGGTTGACCACTTGACGAAGGAAATGGAGGCTTACGAGCCACAGGTGTCACGGGTTGTGACAGTGTGAGGTTCATGTGCGCAACTCCTGGTTCGACTGGACAGTTCGAACCACGGTCCCTCTTTTGAGGGTGTTACGCAGTGGTCAGTTGCGCCCACCCGTGACAACAGGGCCGTAAGAAGGTAAAAGAGAATGCCAATTACAATTTGCAAGGATCGAGGATATTATCCAGGCAAAGGAGATTCAATGAAGTCCCCTACGAAGAAAAGGAGGAAGACACGACAGAACAGCCAGGCAGTCGAGGAGGCCGAGGAGATAATTGTGTGTAGCTTAGAGACTATTCGCCGGGCCGAAGAGGAGTAGAATCATCAGATTCGTGTATAGATTGCTTGCGAATTGGATGTGCTAGATGTCTTTTATCCTGGTGTTGATGGTGGTGCCAGAATTCCATTGTGGGGTCGATTCCGTCGTTGGGTCCAGACGTCTGGGAGCTGCACGCCAATCAGCTAGGTGCGGATTGGGGTATGCTATCTTGGTTCGTCTGGCGCCGTGGCGAGAGGACAGGATTGGAAAGAGAGGGAGGTCAGCTGGTGTGTTCCGTCTATGGGATTACTGGCCTGAGAGGTCGTGGATAGGCCAAGGTAAGGTATGGATGTGTTGTGATTTTTTACCGGTGTAAAGCGGACTGTCGCCAGGGTTGATGATTCGATGGGATGGAGATATGCCTCACGTCCGGAAGGTGCGGGTGCTGCTACCTGGATTAGGGCTCCAGTCACAACCGAGCCACGTGGGTGAAACAAGCAGAAACTGGCATGCACTCCAGGGTTTAGTGTGTGAGGAAAACCAGTTTCCAGGTAGGTAGTGTCCTGTGTTTTGGGCTATGCTCTGTTCAGGCCAGTGACCAAGGTAAGGCTACCTGGTACCCAGAACTGACGACACACCTAACAAAGCTACATCGTACTGCCCATCTCGAACCAGGTCGGTCGTTTCCTCTTAGCCACATCACCACTCGCCGCCGTCAACCTCTTAAGTGTGATAGATGCCCCACTCGACCTCAGTCCAGTCTCCGAACGGCCGCTCACACTGCATCACGCCCTTGGCGCCAACCTTGTCGAACCACTGGAAGCGGGCGATCGAGTCGCGGATGAGGTCGCGGACGTCCCCGTTGCCGATCTCGGCGGGGATGTACCTGGGCGAGACGCCAAAGGCGCAGGTGCCGTAGGTGGCGATGGTGCGCTGCGACGTCCAGACGGTCCAGGTGCCGTCGCCGGCGATGTTGTCGTGCAGGCGCCAGCAGTCGGCGACGAGCGGCGAGCCGCCCGACGACTGGTTGATGAAGGTCGAGTCGCCGCAGTCGTTGATGGCGGCGATGGCGAAGCGGTTGGCGCCGCTCGAGGTGGTGGTGGTGCTGTTGGTCTTGTGCGGGCCCGGAGTCCAGACCACGCCCGACTCAGGAACCGACTCGGGAGGCGTAACGGACTCGGTGGGAGCAGCGCTGGCGGGGGCCATGATGCTGGCGATGGTGGCCAGGACGACGCCGGGGGCCGTGAACTTCATGGTGAGTCGTTTGAGGATCGCGGACTTTAAGAAAAGGTGGAAGATGGGTAGGTGAGGAGATACGAGTCGGTGCTGGCTCTCGATCTGCTGAGGCTCGGGTAGTTCGACGGGGAGGGATGATGCCCTCTTTATACACAATCTCAGCTGTCTTGGATCCGACTACCTCGGCATAGAAGGCACCATGGATGCCTGGCTACCTAGACTTCCCTGGCCATATCCACCTTCAACACCACATCGTTGACCCTGCTCGCAGTAGAAACCCCAAAAGAAACAAGTGTTTGGGGATTTGGGAAGGTCGGTTCACTGTCAGCAATATTGTCTGCATGGAGCGAGTGCAGCCTCGCCTCAATATCACGCTGACATCCTGCCGGGGCAGTTTGCTTTGGGTTGCGGTTTTGCTGATTGGAGAAGGAATTAATTACAAGGCACGGGCGTCCCGCCTGATGTAGCGTCGGCATTACCGCAGTATATCTCTCTAAACGAGCCTGAGCTTGAAGAACCATCCGAACGGACCACGTATGCAATTTGTATGTTACTCAAAGAGTCGTTGGTTAGGGCAACAAGCCATCGAGACGGAGCAAACTTATCACGTCTCTGGCGGTGGCCAAGGTAGGTACAGCACGCGCCGGCAGCATTGGATCGTAATATTGTCAGGTTGGTGCCTGGTTCATCCAGCATAATGGCTGATGTTATGAGAACAATACTACCTCGACGGCGGGAACGTAAAGAGATCCTGGTACCCTACCATTTCGGCCCCCAACGACTAATGTACCTATGGTGCCATGTCAGTAACACCGCTTGTTCATTGCAACCTTGAAACGCAGGATCGCGAGCCGCTGCCCCCCAGTCAACTTTAAGTCACTTCGTTGCCAATACCAATAGCACATGTCTAGCGTTATTGGTTGCCTCTGCTGACTGTGTACAGAAGCTTAACTTGACTGGTGGACTTGTGCGCCCACGAATTCATCAGCCATGGTCCATGTTGATTTATTGGCATCGTGCCACGCGCCCGCGTCGACAAAGTACTCTGCCCGCAAATTTCGTCTGAACATGCCACCCGAGGAAGCCATGTTCGCAGTCGCTTCGATGCCATTAGCAGGGGTCACTCTCAAGCGCTCCGCAACCTGCCCCTCTCATGAGGTAGGAATTGGCCCCCAAGTTGTCTGCTTAATGCAGTCATCATAGGCAGATTCACTCCTCCGACGACGGCCCGGCCAGTTCTTGAGTCTGCTGGATTGGCGACAGTTACAGGCTTGAATAAGGTAGGCAAAGTTCATTGGCAGCTCTGGTATCAATTGAAGGCACTGAACGCAGGTTGGATTGGCTGTCTGACAGAGTGTTGTGGGGTCGCCCGGAAGAAATAGAGGGATCCAGTCCAGGATAAGGTACAATAGGTATACTTCAGACCATGTATTTGAGCGACTCCCACTCCGACAGCCGGATCATGGTTTTCTCATGGGTTAGCGGTCTAAGCCCTTGGACAGTGACTAGTGAAGATGGTGGGAACAACGCGGTTTGGCCTACTCAAAAAAGAATAGGCCCTGGCCCTGCTGATATGCTTCCGGGCAGCTAGTGTAAACCGTCGAGTACCAGCGAGTCTCTGGATCTGATGAACATGCAGAGACAATAGAAAGATGGTGATGATCAATAGTGGTTTTTCATACAATACATACAGTACAATACAATGTATTGACGCCCGGCATTAACCCGAAATGGCAACTTTACAATATGACTAAGTTACCTTAATTTGATTGATTTGATTTGATTTGAATTTGATTTGAAGTTTGATTTGTAAGGAACGCTGGCTTGGCACACGTGGAACAGTGGGGCAACCCACCGGGTGCCAACACGACGCTAGGACGCGTTTTTGGAGGACTTGATGGGTGTAAAGCGAAGTAGGACTGGCGATGCATTCTGGCCTCCATCGCCGGCGCCGCTTGTGGTTGTTACGGAGGCGGCCATGAATTGGGAACGCGAACGGGATATCGTCTGGAAAATATCGGAAAAGGGTTTGGGTCGAACTGCTGAGTCATCAACGTCAGCTGTGCAGATTGATCATTGACGGCGGTTTGCCCATCAATTTGCAAGCTTCCCCCCCCCAAAACACCCATACTCTCTCTCTTTGCCTTTAGCTTCTTCTTGAGTTAAGCGGAATTGAGAGTGTTGCCTTTCTCACATGAATAACGGCAATCTGGCGTGCTGCCGTGCGCATTAAGCGCGTTTCAATCTGACTTTTGTACGATGGATCGGGTGGGCCTCGACACGTGCGGGCATCTGGAGCAGGAGCAGGAGCAGATGCAGGACCCGAACCGGAGCTTGACTCTCGAGTCTTTGCCTACCGAGGTGCTCGTGGCAATCTTGTCGGCTGCGCATTCCACGGCGGACCTCCGCTCGCTCATCAGCGCCTCACCCAGGCTCTACCAGATCTTCGTGTCGGCAAAGCGGGAGGTGCTGCTCAGCATCGTGACTAACGACCTGGGCGCCGCGCTGCGCGACGCTGCCGCCGCTTTGCTACTGACGCCCACCAGGCTCAACTACCGGGGCCCGACCTATCTGGACGAGTGTGAGCGCGTCATCCGCCGATACGAGGCGCTCCCCCACGGCGCCGATGGCGCGCTATCCTCGGCGATCGCCCTGCCCACCGCTGCTGTCATCCAACTCTCCCGGCTCAACCGCAGCGTGCAATTCCTCGTCGACGAGTTTGCCGAATCCAGGCTGCCGGAGCTGCGCAAGATCCACCCGGACGCCGGCGGCCCGCTGACGCCCGTCGAGCGCCGCCGGCTGGCCCGCGCCCTGCTGCGCCACCAGGTCCTGGCGCGTATCGAGTACGGCGACCGCCTGCTGCGCGTCGAGGCCGGCGAGCACCTCCCGCGCGAGACGGCCATGATGCACCGGTTTCTCCGCCTCTTCAAACCGTGGGAGATAGAACAGCTGGCCGAGGCGCATTCGTTCCTGAGCGAGTTGGTCTGGCGCGCTTTCCCCCCACTCAGGGGCCTGCCCAGCCTGGACCAGCGGGCGTCTCAACAGTGGGACCGCAAGAGGGACGCGGCATTCGACGACCTGTGCGGGTTGCACAGCGCGCTGGTTGAGGCCGAGCGAGCGTACAGCAACAGCACGTCTAACAACCTCGGCCCTCGGAGGTTTCGCGCCATACCACCGGCCGGCATGGTTCTTACGGCGCGCTTCCGGTTCCTCCGCGCGGGCCCGCTGCCGGCCCACAGCGCGGGGTCTTACTCCGTGGCCCGCGAGTTTCGCCCGCTCCGCGACGAGCTGTACCGGCACGAGGACGCACTGCCGCAACTGGTGTATGAGGGGGACGGCAACGATGATGCGGCGCCGCCATTTGCGTGGGTCGACGGGCACGGCGGGCTGGACTGCCAGCGCTGGGGCGACCAAGTGCGCCGAGAGGTGGTGCCAGGGGAGGAGGGGCAGGAGGAGGAGGGCACAAGCACGGCTCGTCAGCGCATCTGGGTGCGGGTAAATATGGACAGGTGGCGTTGGCTGGGGTTCGTGTTCTACGATCGGCGCCGCGTCGAACTGCTCAAGACGCGCATGCCCGTGTACGAGACGGGATGGCTCACGACTGCGCCTCCGTCTGACGAGGAGTTGCAGGAATTCTACGACAAGGCACGGTTGGCGCAGCCGAAGCCGACAAGGCCGAGTCGCAGGGCAAACGCTACGCGGGGTGGGTGAGGGGTGATGAGGTGAGATATGTTGGAACCTGCAGGGCGATGACCGCTGAGATATGCGCTGGAAGAAGTTATTCTGAATCAAAGCAATGGATTGGATTGAAAGGTGGTAAAGTGCTTGATTGACCATGCTGTTGATCGGCATGGGAGAGGACTAAGTATCGTAGGTAAGGAAGAGGGGTTGCGGTGCTGGCACCAATCAACTACCGAGGTCCGTTGAATGCAGCCATCAAGGCGGCTTCGTTCCGACAAGATATTCCCCACCAGTTTGGTACCGTCAGGTTAGAATGCCATCAGCAGTACGATGTATTATTGACTATCCGTACTAACACAACGAGATGGCTACAGGACGCCGGCCGAGGTGGCGAAAGGCATGTTCATAGCAGTCATTCAAGTTCTTGCTCCCACCAACCCGACAGCCCTGCCCAGATTTTGATCACAGACCGGATGCACTTCACGAGGGGCTTTTGACGAGCTTGATGATGATGCCCTTGTTGGTAAAGCCGTCGAACAGCTGGGTCTGGTAGTAGGGGTTGGTGTCGTCGACGATGGTGGCCATCTGCCCGCCGGCGGTGCTGCAGTTGAGCAGCGCCTTGGACGGGTCGGCCAGGTTGAGGCCGTCGATGGTGTTGGCGATGTCGGAGAACAGCACGCCGGCCTGCTCATCGCCGACGAGCTTGGCCATGACCCAGGTGCGCCCCTTGCTCGTCACCTGCCACTCGCCGCAGTTGTCGGCCTCGGGGAGCGGCATCTTCCAGAACGGCGACCCGCCCTGCGAGAGCTGCTGCTGCTCGTACGCGCGTAAGTACTGGGCAACGAAGTTGACCTCGCGCAGGTCGAGATTCTGCGGCGTGCCGCCCGGCTCCGAGTAGCAGATGCGGCGCTCCGGCTCGGGGAAGAAGCCTGTGCAGAGTGGGCAAGGGCCACGGTCAGCTCGGCTGCTGCTATTCGCGTCATGCACGAGGTCGCTTACAAGTCCTTTTGTTCACAGCGGCACCAGAGACACCGCCGGCCATGGCGAAAGCGCCGAGCACCTGAGAGGGCCGCATTCTGAGGTGATGTTGCTTGTCGTCCAAGCTTCGGGGAGTACGACAAGTGGCGACTGGATTAGCGCAAGAGAGGACTGAAGCGGTTGAGGGCGAAAGTCTGTGGAAGCGGTATGTGAATTCGAGCGAGTTCACCACCGTGCTTTTATAGACTTCCGCGCCATCCCCTTCTTATCGGTGCAAGCGAGCTCCGGCAGAGTCGGGACCGAACGGACGAGGGCCACCGGCGGCCTGGAGTCACATGGCAGATGCAATGAGCTCGAGATGTAACATCATCACGCATGGGAAGAGAACTTCACAAAGCAAAATTTTGGAGTCCAGGCACCGGGCCGGCGACCGAGCATATGCATAGCCAAGAAAGAAGGAAGCTGCTGCATCAATATTTTCCTGCAAAGCCCGAGTTGCAAAGCCCGAGTGTTCCTGCCTGCAAGGCGACTCGGAGCTGCGCTGCAAGGCTGACCGTGCACCTGCCTGATCGAGCGACAGTTTCCCGGCGAAATAGGCTCAATGCTGTCCAAGGAAGGCTCAGCGGGAGCCAGAATGGCACCGCACGTACCACTCAAGTCGCTGTGCCGCCCAAGATATAAGGTAGTCCTCACCGTCTCACGTCAACACCGACTCTCTACACCCTACCAAGTCCCATGTTGCCGATGGGTGGCCGGGGCTATGCGTGACAAAGACAATTCGTCACATTGGTACGCTGACGCCGTGCCGCGTGTATTGATTCCTTCGCTGACACCTGGGGGCCAGGCTGACATACTGGGGCGGGCTATAGAGTTACCTTCGGGCTTATAGAACTAGGTACTCGGCCGAGATTCGTCCGCACAAGCGGTCCTGGTGATGTTTCTACGTAGCAGTTGGTGTTCCCGACGGCCAACACTTGGCGTCTGCAAGGTACCTGGCGTGGTCACAAGCAGAGCATCTTTCGCCTACTCCGTACTGCCCTGTCCAGCAAATAGTACGAGGAAGAGAGATGACCGACCCATGCTGGGGATAACACACTTCCACACCTTGGGGGTCAGGGGAACAGACTCACAGAGGGACGAAGTGCGGCAGTGTTCCGTGGCATATATTAATATGCAGAAGTAGGTACGTTCTGTTGTCGTTGGTGCTCTGACCTCAATGCCTCACCAGAGCCACTTCAGTTGCTCGCTCTTCTTTTCCAACATTCGTTCTGCCCTCGTGGTCTCTGCGGGTACCTTATCAAGGCCCAGCCAGAACACCACGATGATGGCGTCCCTCAGGAGACTGATGGTCTCCCTGGTGGTGCTACTCGGTAGTACCACCATTTCCCTCGCCCAAGTCGACAATCAATGGGAAGCGCTTGAGGGCCCGGCGCGTGTCGCGTCCTTCCCGCCGGAGTTCCAGCACGCACCCCCTGAGACACCCGAGTACATGGTGGACAATACGGGCAACAAGCGAGGCGTTGCTCCCAACAAAGGTATGAGTTTTATCCAGTTGTTTGTCTCTTCTTCTCCGAGTTCTCCTTCGTTCGTTTGCATATGACGGCGAGGCTGACGTGCGATGCAGGACAATACAATGGCCCCGTCTGGCGCGAGTCCGGCAGCTTCGAGAACTACATGAGGAAGCTTGCCGAGAGGAAGGCGGCTGGTCTCGTTCCAAACTCCACTGTAACACACACCAACCGCAGCACGCTAAAAGGCCGCCAGGGGGGCAGCTTCTGGCTCCCCACGTTAGGGCCGCTAGGCAAGGCTCCCCATGCCGGAGATGGCTATGTCTTTTATCGAAACGTGCTGGACTACGGCGCCGACAACACGGGCGCCACCAACACCGAAGAGGCCATCAATGCCGCCATCGTCGACGGCAACCGGTGCGGCGAGGAGTGCGGAAACACGTTTGTCCTTGGCGCGCTCATCTACTTCCCACCCGGGACGTACAAGGTCTGCACGCCCATCATCCAATACTACCTGACGCAGTTCGTCGGCGACCCGCACGACAGGCCTATCATCAAGGGCTGCGACGAGTTCACGGGCATTGCGCTCATCGACGTCGACCCCTACGTGCCCAACCGCGCGCAGCCCGACGGCACTGGCGTCAACTGGTACATCAACCAGAACCAGGTACAACAAATTTCTTTGTTTGTACCCCTTTAGCTGTCTCGGGCGCCATCCTCCCCTAGACTGCGCATTTGCTCCCAAAAAGCCCCAAACAAACTGACGTTGTTGGCCCAGTTCTTCCGCCAAATCCGCAACTTTATCTTTGACCTTAGGGAGATGCCCGCGGCCACGGACGAGCACGGGCAGAAGCTGGTGCCCACGGGGATTCACTGGCAGGTCAGCCAGGCCTGCAGTCTGCAGAACCTGCGGTTCCGCATGCCCACGGCAGGCCCCTCTGGCGCGCCGCCCACCCACGTTGGTATCTTCACCGAGAACGGTTCCGGCGGCTTCGTGTCGGACCTGGTGTTTGAGGGCGGCGCCATCGGCTGGCGCGTCGGTTCGCAGCAGTACACGGCCACGTCGCTTAAGTTCCGGAACTGTATCACGGCGATCCAGATGGTGTGGGACTGGGGCTTCAACTGGTACGTGGAATCAGGACTTGGCCGGTTAGGGAATTTCTGACTGATGTTGTTGGACAAAATAAGGCACAAGATCGACATTGAGGGCGGCAGTATCGCCTTCAACATTAGCGGTCGCGGCGGCATCGACGGCCAGGGCATCGGCTCCGTGTCCATCATCGACTCGACCGTGAGCAATGTGCCCATCGGCGTGCTGACCAACAACCACGCCACCGCGCCGCCCAATGTTGTCATCGACAACACGGCCTTCAACAATGTCGGCGCCATTGTGATCGTCGAGGGCGGCGAGACACTTCTTCCTGGCGGTACCACCACCGTTGGCCTGTGGGCCCACGGTCGCCGCTACATCGGTGGCCAGGGGGAGCGCGTGACGGGCCACGTCGAGAACCGGCCCACGAAGCCCGAGCCACTGCTCGACGGGGAGGGCAAGCTCTTTACGCGCCTGCGACCGCAGTACGAGGACCTGCCGGCGTCAGCGTTTCTCATCGCCACGGAAAACGGCTGCCGCAACGATGCCACGGGAGACAATACGGCCGCCATCAACGCGTTCCTGCAGCAGGCCGTCGCGGCCGGCAAGGTCGCCTACTTCCCCGCGGGCATCTACTCGGTGCAGGGCACCGTGACGTTCCCGACCGGATCCCGGATCCAGGGGACCGGCTGGTCGCAGATCCAGGCCACGGGCAGCTACTTCGGCGACATGGCCAACCCCAAGGTCGTGGTGCGCGTCGGCGAGGAGGGCGACGTGGGCACCATGGAGATCGTCGACATGCTGTTCACCGTCAAAGGCCCGACGGCGGGCGCCATCATGATGGAGTGGAACGTGCACGAAAGCTCCCAGGGCGCCGCGGCGCTGTGGGACTCGCACATCCGTGTTGGCGGCGGCATCGGGACCGACCTGGACATCGCGACGTGCCCCAAGTTCAGCGAAAACGACGTGTGCATCTGCGTCTCTATGCTGCTGCACGTCACCAAGCAGGCGAGCGGCTACTTTGAGAACTTCTGGGCCTGGGTCGCCGACCACGATAACGACATGTCGCTGTACTGGGAGCTGGACTCATCCAAGTCGCAGATCTCGCTGTTTGGCGCGCGCGGCGTGCTGATCGAGTCGCAGGGCCCGGTGTGGATTTATGGGTCTGGCAGCGAGCACGTTATCTTCTACCAGTACGAGATGCTTGGGGCCAAGAACGTCTACCTGGGCCACATCCAGACTGAGTCCCCCTACTTCCAGCCCAAGCCCGTCTCGCCGTCGCCCATGGAGGCGGCGCTGGGCGTGTTCCCCGGCGACCCGGACTGGGCCGACTGCACCAAGGAGACGTGCGAGATGGCGTGGGGCTTGCGCATCATTGACTCAGAGGGTATCATGCTGCACAGTGCGGGGCTGTACTCGTGGTTCAACAACTACGGGCAGGCGTGCCTCAAGACTGAGAACTGCCAGCAGCGGATCATGGAGGTACGCGGGTCCAAGGACGTGTCCATCTTCAACATCTTCTCCAAGGGCGTCGAGGAGATTGGCACGGGTAACACCGAAGAGAGCAGCATCCAGCTCTCCGACGGCAACCAGCAGGGCTACACCAGCGAGATCAGCCTGTGGTTCCCCGAGGACGGCGAGCCCAGCGGCGAGGTAGTATACATCGGACCTGAGGTGTACACGGGGCACACAGCGCAGTGTGCGTCGCCGCCGTGCGTCTTCGTCATGCCGCACACATCGCTGCGCAGCCCGACGACCATCGCGGTGCCACCCTACACCACCGAACTCGAGGTCGGCGCATCGCAGGGCGGCACCTTCATCGTGACGACGACCGTCGTCACCATCACCATCGGCACCGTCGTGACCGACGTGCTGCCCGTGTCCAACCACAACGTTACGCGCGGCGAGACCCCGGGCGCTCCATTCTGGGTCACTCCGAGCGTGACGTTCCCGAATGTCGGCATACCCGTCACCAAACCCAACGGCGTGGTGACGACGCGCAATGTCACGCTCCCGCCGTGGCCGCAGATCATGACCTGGCCGGGGGGCCGCGATGGCGGTAATGGGTCGACGGCAACCTCGCGCAGCAGAACTACCTCTGGTGGCGGGACCCGGCCCCCCTACACCGTGACATTCCCGGACTCGACCTACACCTCGCCCGGCGTCTTCTTCACGTGCCCGCCCAACACGCACTATGTGCCCGAGCACGACGCCGTGATCACGCTGAACGGCTGTGACGAGGCCCAGGGCGGCACGACGCTGCGCTGGGACTGCCCTGCCACGACGACGATTGAGATCGACGAGCCCACCACGGTCGACTTCACGCTCGGCTGCACGCGCTGGACCGGCGTGTCGGAGCCCACCCCGACCGTGACCGAGTTCCCGCCGGGCTATGAGCTCGTGTGGGAGGAGGAAGATGGAGAGGAAGACGACGATGATGAGACGTCGTCGTGCCGGCTGTGGTTCTTCTTCGTGAGCCATCATTTCCAGCCTTCTTGTTTCTTTTTTGAATCTTTAGGCTGACTCACTGTCTGTCCGCAGATCTGCATCGACTGGGGCAATATCAAGATCCGAGGCTGGCGTTGGAACTTTCCTGGCCCCGTCGTCATCATCGGCCCGCCGCCCATCAGATGGCCGCCGGGTGTCACAGTCAGGGGAACGCTGCCGGGACCGTGGCCGCGCATCACGTAGGCATTGATCTCATTTACTACCTAACCACCATCCCGTTTCTCGCACCTTTGTCTTGTGTTACCAAAACGGAAACCGGCTTCCTTGATGGGAAGCACGCGCACCTAGCCTTTATACACCCCCCACCACTTGCCTTCCCCTGATACTAAGCTAACTGGCGTGCGCATGTAAACAGGATCGGCAGAGACGGCAAGCCAACTTTCCCGACGGCCCAGCCCACCAACTGCGAGACTCAGGAGGCCGAGATCTGCAGCACGTCGACCTTCATCTCGACGACAGTAAGGGACGGAACGACTAGCACAATCACGTCGTCGGCGACAACGACGTGCGACACGATCCGGGGCTGCGTGCTGACCGACGGCGACTACGACACCACCAGCACCCGCGGCAGGTCATGCAGCCCCATCGCCGCGCGCACCGCCCCGCCCGTGATAGTTGCTGCTGCCACTGCTGAGCCTGCCTCCCCCGTCATGACCGGCAACAACCCGAAGAACAACAACACCATCCGGGCGGCAACCAAGAAAAAGAACAAAAAAGTGGCAAAGAGGGCCGCCCCGCCGGATGGCCGTGACCACGCCATGATCTGGCTCCGGTATCCCGGTGATGCCGACGACGTCGCCACAATCAAGAACTACCTCACCAGCAACGACCCGGATATGCCCGGGCGCCCCAACTACGGCGACTACAAGGAGGTCAAGGCACAGAGTTGGGACGGCAATGGCGGCGGCGACTGGGTCGTCCTCTTCTTCGTACCCAACATGAAGCTCTGCCACATCGCCGATCTCAAGGGTATGACACTCGAGGTCGCCGACGCGTACGGAATCTACAGCAATAATATGCACGGCCCTCCGCCCGAGCCGGACGATGACGACTCGAACGACTCGGACGACAGCTCTACAAAGAGGTCGAACATACAGCGCAGGGATGTATTTGAGATATCCACACCTTTCTGGGAGCTTTCTCAGATCGAGGTGGGGCCCGGCGAGAAATGGGACGCCGAATGGAGGCCCGGCAGGGAGAACAGCAGAGACGTGGGCCACGACATGTACTACGCTGCCGACGAGTCGTTTGGCGCGGGCCAGACCATCTTCGTGCTCGAGGACGACTTCTGGGACCAGAACCCAGAATTCTCCGATGATTTCTTCATCAACGGCGAGCCCTTCTCGCGACCGGCGATCCGCAGGCTGCCCGAGTTCGACTGGGGCGGAGACCAGTTCAACGCCCCGCCCAGCGTCAGCCACGGCACGCCCGTCATCAGCAAGGTTACCGGCTGGCAACTCGGCATGGCCAAGAGGGCCGACGTCATTGTCGTCACGGACCGCCGCAGCCCGCCCGCGGACGGGTATAACCAGATCCATGAGCGCCACATCGAGGGCTGGATCCGCGTGTATAACGAGGTCAAGAGGATATATGCCGCAGATCCCAGCCAGAGAGGCAAAGTCATCGCATCCTGGTCGTACGTGAACACCCGCGCCACCCACTTCGCCGTGATTAGGCCAATCTTTGTGAGAAGGTTATGTAAGTGCTACCCCCTTTTTCCCTCATCCACCTTTTCTTGCCAAAGCCACCATGGTCTCAACGCTGACGGTTTGCAATTAAATAGACGAGATTCTCAAAGCCCTCGAGGACCTGGATGTGACCATCATCACGACCGCCCACAACAAAGCTGTCGAGCTGGGCGACGACTTCACCGGCCTCCCGCTCCTCTTTGCCGACCCCGGATCCGGGGCCGGGAGAACGATCGAGAGCATGGTGGTCGTCGGCGGCGTCGACGCCACGGGACGGCTCGCCGCGCACAGTCCGTACGCCGACTGGCTGGTCATGGCCCCGGCATTCCAGCTGTATCTGGCTGATACCCCTGATGCCATCGTTTGGGGAGGGTTCGGCAATTCGTTTGGTTCGTCGTCTCAGCTGAATCCATTCTTCCTCTGCCTCTTCATTCCCCATCCTTGTTTCCAAGCAGAGTGAAAGGTCATGGCAGCTAACTCGATAAACAGCAACTCCCCTGGTCGCAGGCCTGGTGGCCTACTGGCGCAGTCTCCCCAACATCGCCAACGGGTGGGGAGAGGAGCTTAAGAAGCCCGCCAACGTGAAGAAGCTGCTGCGCTACATGCAACGGGTGATCCTGGACGAGGACCTCGCCCTAGGTCTCGACAAGTCGCAGGTCTTCTTCGACGACGAGGAGGACGCGGAGTACAACTTCCCCGCCGACCACCGGAATCTCGACAAAGTCCCCTTCATATGGTCCGGCACACACAGCGGCGAGAACTGCCTGGTCAATCCGGACGCGCACCCCAGCTGCCCACGTGGCAAGATCGAGGACTTAGAGCCCTTCGGCGCCGGGTGCTCGCAGCCGGGAACACCATCGCAGAGGCTTGCCAGGCGTGCCGGCGTGTGCGTCGTGCGACCGGGCAACGGCGGCGGCCGCGGGCCAGGCGCCATCGGCGACCCCATCACCTTCAGACCGGGTCCGGCGTCGCCGACGTGCGTCCCGGGATCCCCCGGCTGCGGCACACTCTGCAGGGGCTACTACTGTGTGCCACAGCCGACGGGTTTCCCGCCGGATCGCTGGGACCCGGAGGACCCGGCGCACCAGCCGACGAGGAGGACAACGGCAACGCCGACGCGCTCCCTGCCCACGCCGAGCAGTACGTCGTGCGCCTCGTACACAACCACGACCGTGTGCAACGGCAGTGGCGGGCGATCCGTGTGCGTCCCGTCCAGCTCGTGCGCGACACCAACGCTACCACCGCTCGACGAGGATGGGCCGTACAGCGGGCCCGGGTGCGCGACGTACACGCCGACGACCGTCTGCAACGGCAGCGGCGGGCGATCCGTGTGCGTTACCGGCAGAATCTGCATCCCGACGCACGCGCCGTGCCCAGCCTGGCCCACCATCGGCACGCCCCGGTGCCCGCCCGATTTCCCCACCTGCCTGCGGACAACTCAGGTAACGCTGTGTGCGCTGAAACAGCGGACTGTCGAGGCGCGCTTGACGCCGCCGCCTTCCCCGCCTACGCCCACACCCACTCCGCCGGCGGCGGCTCAAGCGGTCGGTGGCCGCTTCTTCCAGCGCCGCGACCAACCACAGCAGCAGCAGCAACAACAACAACAAAAGCCAACAGTGCCATTAGAGCCCGTACTAATACCAGAAGACGCGACTCTCGACGACCTTGTCCCGGCAGCGGCGGTAGCTGACAACAACGGCATCAGCACCGACAACACCACTTCCGTCCTCGACCTCGAACTCGCCCCATTCGCCCTCAATAAACGCCAAGACATCCCCTGGGGCTGCGGCGGTCACGAGACAGGCGGCTGCACCGTGTACACCGATTGCCAGCAGGGCTTCTGCGCGCGGGCGGAGCGGGTATCCTGCGTCTTGGCTTTGATCCGCATTGAGATGCACCCGATCGACACCGAGGTCATGCTGTCCGTCTACGAGAACGGCGAGCTCATGTGCTCGCGCTCCATAAAGTGCCTGACCATCCTCTCGCCGGACTGTCTGATTGACCAGTCTGGTGGGGAGTTTGATTGCGGGACCGGCAGGGTTACGTCGTGGGAAAACGGCTTGTCGACGGTGGTGTATGTCTCGGGCGCTGGGCGTAGGTATGTTATGTACCTGGGCCAGGAGGGCGGGGACCAGTTCCGCCCGTGCCAGGTCGCGGGGCGGTTGATTGCGCTTTGTGTCGATAGTGACTGGGCTGGGTACGATGGGCTTTGTCGGACGTTGTTGAAGCCGCGGGAGCGGCGCTTGGAGCTGGGAATGGGGCGGTGGGTGAATGAGACGGTGCCGGTGCTGGAGTCGTGATGGTGTGAGGCGACTATCTTTTCTTCTTTTCCTTTCTTTTCTTTCCTCTCTCTTCTCCTTCTCTTCCTTACTGTAACTTGGAGTGGAAGTGTTCATACTCGACAGTGGCGTGTGCCGCACTGTGAAGCAGTTTGATGCCTGACGGGAAGGATTTGGTCGAGGAGAAGCCGTCGTCGCCGACCGTTTCGGTGGGTTGTGCTCAGCGGCCGGCCCGATTGCTGCGGCTTTCGGCCGCCGACGGAAGAATTGTCGCATTCCGCCGCCGAAGGGAACCTGCCACCATGGCAACAAAAAACAAGGCACACCAAAATCAACCACACCAAAATTCCATCATGAACAAGACTACCAAAACAGCTCCCAAACAGTTCAAACTAATTGCCTGTCATCCCTCCTTCTAATTCTAAACATTCCTTGAAGATTTGAGGGATCTCATCCACCCAACCGTTGATAGTTTCCTGTTTGACTGCGGCCCAGCCTTCCTCGGCAAGCTCCTTGACCAAGTTATCCTCCCAACAACGCCTCTTCTTTACATACTCTTTTGGCCCCTGCCATGCCTTTTCAATGGGGCTGAAGTCTGGAGATGAAGCACATTTAAAAAGTAGTCCAAGCCGTTGGTCTTCTTCCAGGTCCTGACGATATTGCTCTTGCTTGTAACGGGCTTGGCCCGTAAAGGCCTCGGCAAACTCTCGGCCAAGACTCGAGAGGAAAAACTCATGATTCGGTGGACTTCCATCTTGTTCGACGTCGACGCACAGGCCAAGGATGTCGAAGTATAAGATGGCAAGTGTCTTGCATGATCTTTCACTCTTTCTCTTCTTTTCTTTTCATTCGAGACAAACTCGTAGAGTCGTCACCAGTTAGTTGCAATATACTCCTGGGACCGTTACAATCCAGCTCTCGTCACTCCAAAGAATCATTGCCCAATCTTCAACTGTCCAGTGCTCTCGCTCTTTACACCACTCGAGCCGCTTGATCCCGGTTGCCTCTGAAATTGGTGGTTTTCGACGAGCGACGTATCTCTTTGAAACCAGCACGACGGAGCGCGTAACGAACAGCGTAATGAGCGACAATCCAGCCCATTGCCTCAGGTAGCTGCTTCCACGGCATCCGTCGACCTTCCTTTGAAGATGTGATGAATTCAATGAGCTCGTCAATTTGGGCCGCAGTTGACATACCAGGCCGGCAAGATCGTTTTCGAGGAGTTGCTTGTGCTGCAGATATCGCATATCGAACCTGGCCCATTGTAGCGCCAGTATAGGTCTTGATCCTCTTCAAGTACCATCCTATCTCTCGTAGCAGGCGTATCTCACGGCGTTGATCCCGATTCAAGTCACCGGCGCGCCCAGGAGGGGTGGAAGGTCGGATTGTGCGTTCAAGCTCCTCTTGTCGCTGAAAAAGTTGCTGAAGTTGCTGCTGTTGAAGCCGCTGCTGCTGCTCAATCCGGTCTATAGTCTGCCGGATTTGTCGCAGCTCTGGATTGTCTTCGGAGGGCTCCATCTCGGTCAGAAATGGCGCGTTGAAGAGGCGCGTTGAAGAGATCGCGTTTTGTTGTGTTGGTGGGGTACGCGGGCACGGGTGGGCGGTGGACGGGGGGAATGGGGTTGGGGGTTTGTGACGCTGCTTCCCGAGATTGCTGACACGCTAGTGCGGGACGTTCAAGTCTTGGGGGGGGTGGGGGGTGGGGGCGGTGGTGACGATCCCGCCTTGTTACGACGGGCGAGGTGGCGGACGGGCGCGAGATTGTCGCTGCGCACGGGGTGGGCGGCACGGGCGTGGCGATGGGGACGCGGCGTGGGGCCCGGACGGATGGACCGCGAAGACAAAAACCAGGCCCAATTCGCGGCTACCCTAAAAGGCAAGACATACTTCCTCAGCGACTTTGGCCTGACCAGACAGTGGAGTCAAGCGTTACAGTCGAGCAGGCGCATCCAGAGGCCATCGGAAAGAGACCGAAAGCAAGAGCGGCGCGAGGCGCTGCTTTTCAAGGGTGACGGCGAGCCCGACGAGCTGGGGCCGCGCCCGCTGGTCGCTTGGACCTGGCTATGGAACGACATGTACAGTAATCTCTACGGGGAGTACATACCCAGGGTCCTGCATCTTTGGGGGTATGTCGTGGGATGCCGCTGCTGGAACGGCAGCGGGCGGTGAGCTGGGGCACTGTGACGCCCTTGGAGTGACTATGTTCCATCTATATCAATCACTCTAAAGGAACCTTAGCTAATACGTCAGCCAGAAAGTCTTTGGTATGCTCGTGATCGACTTCACTGTCCAAGTCCTCAATGCAGCGGACACCTTGCTTTGGATCCTATACCCCAGGTTTAGGTGGCAGCCCATGAACCGCGCTGCAGCATCGGCTGCCAGAGCAATCAAGCGTGTCGTTTTGTGAGGCTGTGGTACCAAGCTGGCGGGCCAGTCCATCCATGGTCACGAAAGCGGCATGGTTTGTGCTTACACTCAAGCGCACATAAGATTCGCAGATAGAGACAATAGTTTCGGCTGCTTGAGCTCGTGGTCGTTCAAACAGACTCCCAGGGTTCATGGTACTTACCCAGAGCGGCCAGTCGGGTGTCATACGCAAATACGCCGCTTTCGCAGTGGCAGGTGTTGGGCCGCACTTTGGTCTCTTCTTTTTCCCACCGCTCCGGTCCCACCTCTGGTCTCCGCACTGTCACTGTGAAAATTTCTGCGCCGTCAAGTTCTAAAGGAAGTGGGCCGACTCAAGGATGATGCGAATTTAGGTAACTTGGTATTACTGAGACGGACACTGCAGAGCTTGTCATGTCATACATGAGAGTGTGGAAACAGTTCCGGGAGCGACATGGAATTAGGCGTTGCCCCTGATATCAACATCAAGCCATTACTCCGCTACCTGTGATATATGCCAGAACCTCGTCGCTTTAGCCAAATACGTCCTTTACCCAGTTGGGGTAATACGTCCCAACAGGATCATAAGACTTGGCGTACCAAAAGACAGACAGAGACACAACCCTGCAGGAGATATCGAACGCGGCGACATTTTTCCAGTCCCCGCGATCGAAGGGAGCCTGTCGGAACCGTTACGGGGCAAACGAAGGGAAAATGGTCAGTGGTCGCAGAGTGTCACGAGGATGTCAATTTGGTTGTTCATGATGTTGATTGTGTTCTGTGTTCTGTTGTCAAACTGTCCGATGTTCCGGACAGCCTCCAAGGTGTCTATCACCAGCCACATGTGGGTCCGTCTTGGCACCCCCTGGGTCAGGGTTCACGTTCCAAGACACCCCCTCAGGGCTGAGGCTCTTTGAGGCTCAGTCCTGCCTGTTTTCGTGGCGCTCACCCCCTGAAATCGAGGTCTTCCAAGCCAACTGTTGGAAAGTCGTGGCACTGGAAACTTGGTCTTGCTCAGCTGCAAGTGCCCTGCTGTTGGATGCATGGCTGCCCAACTGAGCGTCAGGCAATGTGAGGGGTAACCAGGGAGCTGAGCAACGAGGTCAGGGCGATTCCCCCTTCGCTGGGGACGTGAGAGAAGAACAACCTTCAATTGATGACTTCTGGGCTGCTCTGAGCATCTCAAACCCACTGTTGTAAGCTCCCATCATCTGTGTGATCACCGTGGAATCGTGGCTGTTGGTCTTCCAACACCAACCAGCGCTTCCAGTGCCTTGGGCGTCAAGACCTTCTGTGCCCTCGCCTGGATTAGGCTCTCGATGGGCACCAAATTCAGCATTGCGATGAATTCGTGATGGTTGTCCGCGTATAGACGTCTGGACCCAACAACGGAATTAACCCCACAATGGAATTTTGGCACGACCATCACCACCAGGATAAAAGACATCTAGCTCATCCACCCTTCCCGGTGAAGAAACATCGGGGGCCGCCCGCGCAGGCGGCCGGGCATCGCAAAAATTGGAAAACAGGTCCTTTGCGACCTGGTCTTTCATTTCCAAGGGGTTTCAGCTCCGTGCAGCTACTGCGCGGCCTGTTGGCGGCCGAAGACGTCGATTTCGAGGATCAGAAGTGAGGTTTCTGAGCGCCCGGAAATCCCTCACCACCCCGCCCGACAACCGCGACTTACCGACACCGACGACAAGAACAAGCTGCAACAAACTTTGCAAGATCAGGGCGATACTGGGTACGAAAACCACCCAACTCTTTCGACGATCTGAAGAAGAGACAGGGCACCCCCGGCCCTGCCCAGTTCTGGGAGAGCGAAGTCAAGAGTCTTGGCGGCAAAACCGACCGGTGAGACGACGCTACGAGGACTGGAGCGAAAGCCGTTGTACGACTCCGATTGCAAGAGTTGTTAATCGACCGAGGAGAAGGAAGGTGACGGGTTCGTTAAGGGGAGGCACACGGGCGGCTGGCCTTCCTGCGAGGCGCTTCGCCCTCTTGACAAACAGCACACTACCAAAGGAGGAACTACAATAGTGGACCAGGGCAGGTTAGTGGCAGTGCAATGGAGGGAGCTGCGCTGGCGTGGCAGCTTTTTCGACGGCCTGCTGCAAGACACGGTCGGCACTGCGGCTTCGGCCTCGTGGGGAGACCCTCGCAGTACAACGGGAAGCTGAAGGCCGGGGTTGCGCCCGACGGAAGGTGGGCCGTGGCGGCTATGCTGGACCGAGGGGAGGGCAGTAGAGTTGCGGTCCCGGCTCGCACCCGGGCCACAGGAGCGAAACAGCTGTTGCCTTGGCGGGGGACCTGTTGGACTGTACGCGTGGCTGGGCCACGTCCCCTTGTTTCCGGGCACAGGTTACAGTATGGGATGAAGCCACGGATGGATTGCACTGGGTATGGGTGCCTCGGCTGTGGAACAAATGTGTGGTGTCGCCGCCGCAAGGAAGCTGTAGCTCCGAGGAGCAGTGTAGCTGGCCGGAGAGGACGGACGTGCGTGTCGGTTCTCCAAGAAAGAGGGGGCTTTGCAGATGCCAAGTACCCGGCTCGCACCCGGGCCCCAGCCCTGCGCAGGCTGCTGTGGTGTCGCCTACGAGGCTCTGTAAGGTTGTGCCTCTTGCGGAGGGCTTAAGGTGCAAACCTTAGGGTTCCGTGGCCGAGAGGTCCGGTAGGGAGGTCTGGCCTTACCTCTCTGACTAGGTTGCCCTACGAGGCAGGTCTGTGCAGCTAGTTAGCTAGTTCGTAGGGAGAACAATCTAGGGACTCTAAGGCACAAGGCAGCTTTCTGCAAGGAAAAGGAGGCGCGATGCTTGATCTGCGGGTGCGGAGCGCACACGCAAGACGGGACAGCAAGGGAGCGTGAAGCCCAATGCCCGGCCCGGCGGGACCCAGCCATCAACAAACCAAGATGCCTTAACTGCGGAGGAGCCCACCCAGCGTTCGATGCAGGATGCAGGGTAGCAAAGGAGCAACGACAACGCGCCCGAGAACGATTTCTAGATCGACCGCTTGCCTTCCAAGCACCTCCTATGACCCGAATTACATTTGCGGGCACAGCGGCAATGACTCCTCAGAGGAGCTCCGCCCAAACATTGGAGGAATGACCGAGGAAACGTCCAGCGAAGGCTGGGCGACCGACCGACCTATCTAAGGCGGGCCAGACCAACGGATCGGACCTCTCAGCTTGGACGCAGCGCCTGAGCGTGTCGGCTACCCAAGAGTCGACTGACATAGTACGGGAGGTAATCATGGTCGAGACCGATGAGCCAGAGGGAGCAACAAGAAACCAACTATGACGCTCCGAATACTCTATTGGAACGTTGATGGCAACAGACAGCGCCTTAACCAGGCACTGGAGGGAAGGGAGGAGTTCGACCTGGTGGCTCTCCAGGAACCACCTATTAACGACAGCCTACCACAGCCGGCCCCCCCTTGCCGGAGAGGGGGAAGGTACGAGATGATATACCACTCAGGGAGGGCGGCGCTCTACGTGAGCAAGCGCATCGAACGAGCAATATGGATCGCTGAGGCTGGCGAGGACTGGGCGGCGGTTACTATCGACGAGGGGACCAGGGAACCGATAACAGTATGGTCGATTTACTCGCCAAACTATGAGCGGAACTGGCGCTCGCCACTGCAGGAACTTGCAGAGAGGGAGCCAAGTGGACGCAACGTCCTGGCCGGGGACTTCAATGCCCATCACCCGATGTGGGATATCCACAACAGGACGTCCTTCACTGTGGGTGCGGTGCTACGCCTAGCGGTGGATTGGGACCTCGACCTTTACACCCCGCGGGGGGAACCAACGCGGGTCCGCCAAGGACAGAGGGATGGGACTATCGACCATGCGTGGGCGACGCGCGGGAGCGCGATACGGTATGAGGGCGCGCTTGATCTCCCAGGCTCGGACCACATCCCGCAGCTGATAACGGTCTGGACTGGGGTCGGGTATGGGAAAAAGGAGAGCCAACCTCTGGGATACAGCTGGGCGCTGCTCGACCGCCATAGGTGCGCGGCAGAGGCGCGGTACCTCACTCAGTCTGGACAAATAGGTTGCATTGAGGAGCTAGAGGAGGCGGTGGGAACACTGATGAAAGAGCTCACCGACATCGCTAAAGCAGCGGCGCCGCGGCGCAAACACAACGTGGGCTCCCACGCCCCCTGGTGGAACAGGGAGATAGACGAGGCAATGAGAGTGGCCAGAAGAGCAGGTAGGGACTGGAGAGCCAGCCGCACCCCAAGCGCAAGGACACACTACCAGCTGGCCCTAGCGGAATTCGACCGGCTCTCGAAGAGGGCGCAAACGAAGTTCTGGCGCAGATCCCACGCTACAGCGTCGAGAAAGCCAAAGATGATGTGGGACATAGAGAAATGGGCGAGACTTCGCAGCCACGCTAGACCGGAACCGCCGGCGTTACCAGCGCTCCGGTTGGCACCGGGAGGTCTCCAGGTGGTGACCAGCCACGAGGATAAAGCAAAGGTGCTTGCGGAGATCATAAATGCCTGCTTCGCGCTGGAACACGTCCCGCGCTGCTTCCGAGCAGCACTGGTAGTCGTCCTACGCAAACGTGGAAAGACAATCGACCAGCAAAAGGAAGCTGACGCATACAGACCTATCTCGCTGCTCAGCTCAGTGGGCAAGGTGATCGAGGCAGCGCTAACCGAGCGCCTTGTCCAAGCGGCGGAAAGGCACCACATACTCCCCGATATGCAGATGGGCTTCCGCCAAAAGAGGTCGACGGAGGTGGCGATTAGGGTAGTGACAGATGCCGTACGCACGGCATGGAGAAGCGGCGCCTGCGCTTCCCTATTGTAACTCGACCTTACAGGATCCTTCGACCGGGTCGACTGGACCTGGCTGCTGCACACACTCCGCAACCAGGGCTTCGAGAGGAAGCTTATAATGCTCCTACGCAGCTACTTCGAAGATAGGACTGCCCAGCTAGTCTTCGACGGCAAGAGATCAGAGAAAATCAGGCTCACGCAAGGGACACCACAGGGGTCACCCCTATCTCCTGTTCTGTTCATCCTATTCATGGTCCCCCTATACCGCGCCCTTGAGGCGCACACAGGGCTTATAACCGTCGGATACGCGGACGACACCAACCTGCTAGCATTTGGCCAGGATACTCAGTCATGCTGCCGGACGCTGGAAAGCGCCTACCAGATCTGCGAGGAGTGGGCTAGGGAGAGAGCATGCAGTTCGACCCAGCAAAAAGCGAGCTCATCCACTTCACCCGAACACGGCGCCCACGCAACGAAGTAGTCAACATATTAGGAGGCGAGCAACCAGGTCTGGCCCCCGTGGAATCGGCTAGATTTCTTGGGGTCTGGCTTGACCGGAAACTATCGTTCAAGGCACACCGCGAGCAGGTGGGAACAAGAATGGCAACCCAGATGCTCGCACTCACAAGACTCACTGCGAAGACGCATGGCGTGCGCATCTCAAAGGCTCGGGAGATATACACAAAGATGGGCAGGAGCGTCCTGTCATACGGGGCGACGGCCTGGCACACACCAACCGCACTCGGTGGGACACCGCGAGGGCTTGCACGCAACTTCCAAGTGATACAGACGCGCTGTCTGAGAGTAGTGACCGGGGCCTACAAGGCCACTCCAGTCCGCAATCTGGAAAGCGAGGCCTGGGTGGCCCCTACCGACCTATACCTCAACAGCTGGGTGGCGAGGACCGAACAGCGGCTACAAAGGGCCGGGATGGCGGAGCTCCTGCGCACCACATGCGCAGCGGTGACATCCCAACTGCGGTGACGCAGGACCCGGAGGAACACGAGAACCCTGGCGGCGGAACCTATGCTCCAAAAGCAGGAGTGGGCCAAGGAGTGGCTGCAGGCACATATCAGGAGCAGCGAGGACGACCAGCAGACGCCGGACAGGGAATGGACGGAACTAGACGCGGATGTGACGACTATCGAAGAATGGAAGGCCCGCCGTGAGGCACAAATGGAACGCGCAGACGCGCAGCGCCCACGTCGCTACAAGGAGGCAGCCGACCAGGGCCAGACAGGGAGACGGAGGACCTAGGAGAGGCCAACAGGAGGAGGAGGAGGGGGAGACGCATAGGGCTCTAGCGCTGAGCCAAAGCCATCGGCGCACAGCCCACGCTGCGCGCTAGAGTGACGCACAAGGCCGGGATGGCCACCCACAGCACCGTCGTCACCAAGCCGGAAGGATGAGTTCCGGACGGTTGGATATGAGGGTATACAGGGAACGCCTACACAGCGCTTACGCTGTGAAGGCGCAGCACGTGAGAGGATGCATTGCATGTAAAGCAACGAGGAGGGACCGCTTGCTCTAGCTGAGCGAGGCATAAGCCTTTGCGGTGTAAGATTAATAATAATAATCTTACTGAACCACGGCACCAAACCTCTTGGGCCAACTCGGCCCCCAAGGCCCCCAACGTAACGGTATCCATGGTCGAAATTAGGCTTCGAGGGCAACCACGCCAAGATGATCCATCCCATCGCGCCGAGAGGGGAGGGTAGGATTCAACAGAGTCAAGCTACATCTGAAAGTCACGTCCGGTAGGACTAGGACCTAGGGTTCAGGCTCACTGCCTCGCTGGCGACGTATCAGTGATTACCATCGTAGGCAGAGAAGCGGCGGCGAATGTAACATGAGCAGACATATCGAACGATAGTCACCTTGACTTGTTGAAGAGCGGCCGTCCAGCCATTCCGAGGACAGGGGAAGAGCACGCGTCAGGGCAATCGACATGGTGTTCCAGAGGCCGGAACCGTGCCGCGGTTGACATGGATAACACTCTTGCATCCTTCCATCTTGGGAAACCCGTAGGCTGCCGTCGCGTTGGAGGATAGCCTCGGTGAGACTCCAAAGTGACGGCATTGCCCAATTAATCTATGCAGTGGACGTGTCTCTGAGGCACAGAGAGCGCGGAAAGGCAAGGCAGACGGTTGGAGCCAGAGCCGGACCGGCCGGAACTGAGAACTATAGGAAGGAATCCCTGAAGTTTGTGTGTACGCAGTAGGACAGCCTGCAAGGCGCGTGCTAGTGCAGCTGTGGGAGGAGCAGCCCTCAGCGCTTCCAGACTGAACATGGCCCGTTGCATGCGCATCTCTCCCTGCTGCTCCGCGCAAGGATATGGAGTACTACTACTCGGGGGCTGAAACCAGGAGAGCTGCCAGGTGAACGCAGCCGAGAAAGATGCTCCCTGTGGAGGTCGTAGCAAGCTGGTGTCCAGCCATCCAGATTTGAGGACGACTCGGAGTCCTACCAAATGCGGGTGACACAGCAAGTTAGCTAAGGCGAGTACATAAAGCCTTGAGCAACCCGCCTTGCCAACAAATAGACAACTGCGGGCTTATTCGTTTTTCCATTCCACCAGCCACCTTTGCCACACAGTTATTCAAATCCACCTTACGCTCTCAAGCTCAATCCGTTCCTCCATCCACCATGAAGCTCTCGCTCCTCACCCTCGCCACGGCAAGCGGGCTGGCCTCCGTGTCCGAAGCCTACCGGCTCACCTTTTACCTCGGCGCCGGCTGCCGGAACGCGAACCTGGGAACGTATTACCCCGTCGTCGACCCGCCCAACCACGTGTGCCGTGGCGTCCCCATCAATGCCCAGTCTGTCGCCATCTCGGCCCAGGATGCGCCCGACGCGCAGAGCAGTAAGTGCCCGAATTCCTCACCTTGGGTTTTCTCCCTTGCCTCACCGTAAGTGAAACTAAAGAGTGTCGGCATGGTGGGCTGACTTTCGGGGCGTAATAGTCGTCGTCTTCCGGCAGCCGGAGGGATGTGGCGGCCCGGTCATTGCCAGTGGCACGGGCGGTTGCATGAACATCAACAATGCCAGGTCGTACCAGATTCACTATCGGTAGATGAGGACTGAAAGGTGAATTGGGTTCCTGGCATCGGGCCTGGGCTGAAAGGTCCTCTTTCATGTAGTTGGTTGGACTATCCTTCGAGATAGCATCAAATCGCTTGTGGGAATTAGAAATGGTTTGTGAGCTAGTTACAGTAACGTTAACGTACATGATAAGCGAACGTCCCACAAACTCACTCCTTCGTACCTTCCATCTTTTTATCTACTTTCCTTCACAACGCAACGTGCCCCTAAAAAAAGACAAAGCCCAAGTGCAAGCAGCCCTTCAAGCAATTCAGAACGATCCGAAACTAAGCCTAAGAGCTGCAGCTAGGATCTATTCTGTGGACTACGCGAAGCTCAGTCGCCGAAGACGCGGTAAACATTCACGAAGCGACATTCCAGCTAACTCGCGCAAATTGACCGAACTGGAAAATCGGTTATTGTTCAGTATGTCCTCG